AGGGGCGATGTCCTGCTTCCAGTCCGGAAGGTTGGGGAAGTCGAACTTGATGTTGGCACGTGGCTCAATGACCTTCTTCTTGTAGAGCGCCTCAGAGTCGGCACCGTTCACAGTGGCGTTCTCCAAGGCAGTCTCCTTGGTGACAGCCCTTCGGATCTCACTAGTGTCCATGATGTCCTTGCGAAGCTTGGTCATGACGTTGTTCAAATTGGGAATGAACTGGAGGCCACCGTTCAGGTCCGCCATGACGGGCTCCATTTGACACAAGTCGACGATTTGAGGCGACATCAGGCCAAGCAAGTTGAAGGCCATCTCCTGCTGGGAGAAAGTACGCACGCCCAGCTTCTCAACACCCTCAGCCACGACGTTGTTGGCCGACATGAGACCAGTGCCACGGGTCCAGCCGATAATGGCGCCACAGATGGTGAGGTACGTGCCCCAGTCCTCTGCATGCCACCGGTTGAACAGTGTCTCAAGGGCAAGCTTGGACTCAGAGTAGAGACCATCGCTGCCGAAGGTGCCGTGGTTGGGAGAAAGAGGAAGCATGACTTGCGCAGGTCGAGTCTCAAATCCGCGGGTAGCCTTCTGCGTCTTGATGCTGCCGAGCATACGCAGGAGATTGGTGAGCATGATTCGGTGGGCCAATTCGGACCTGGAGTCAATGCCGTCGATTTGGCGGCCGTTCTCAGGGATGGCAGCAAAAGGGATGACAAAGTCGAGATCCCAGCCGAGACCAGACTTTGGGTCGTAGATGTACTCGATCAAAGCCTCAACATCTTGCTTGCTGCCTTGGTTGAAGGGCACAACGACAAGTTGAGACCCACGAGCGCCGTGGCGAGCATACATGGCCTGGTAGTACTCCGTCACCTCCCGTGAGAAGCGGCTTGTGGTGACGATGACGTGAGCACCACCGCTGATCAGGCCTTGCAAGACCTCTGCTCCGATTGAGCCTGCACCGGCACCGGTCATCAGTGCGTACTTGCCAGCGTAGCTGATACCATCTCTGGCGCCACGCTCCATGCAGTCGAGGTAGACGTTGCTGAGCCTCTTGCTATACTCCCATCCATGCATTGACTTTTGCTTCAAGTGCAGGAAGGGGATGGCCTCCATCTTGCCCTTTGGCTTAGCCACCTTCTTGGCGAGCAAGCCTGGCTTGCCATCATCCTTGAGGATCTGGCTCTCGTTCATGTTGAGTGATCGGATTACATCGCTGTACAGAGTCTTGATCTCTAGTTGGGAGCCCTTGGACATCTTGTGCTGCGCCTTGATCATCTTGTACAGACGGCCGAGGTCGCCTTGAACCTTGGACCGGTTGCCATACTCGGAGATCTTGCCGCCCTCAGCCATTTGCTGAACGTAATGCTCAAGCTTCCGGCAGCTCTGCCGGGGAACTTCCTCATAGCTGAGGTTACCCCGAGCATCGATAGTGGTGTGAGGACCGGTGGGAAAGTTGACGTCCTTGTATGCAGGGTCAACTGTCAGGGCCTCCCGGCAATTCTCGAGAAGCTGTGTTGCCAGCTCTTTGGCAAGCTTGTACGTCTCGCCACGCTCTGTTGGGCAATTGTCGATATGATATTGCATGAATTCGAGGAGTGTGGGGTTCGATTTGCTCATCAGACGAATACACTGGCTCACAATCTCACGGTCGACAACCTGGAGTCGGCCGAAGATAATGTCGAAGTACATGGTCAAGGCGTCTTGCCGAGCCCAGTTCCACGACGAGTCGTATGTCCTCGCCTTGAGCGGGTTGAAAGATGGCTCGATGCCAGCGGCGTAGAAATCACCATGCTCCGCACTCCACAGATCTAACTGGGCTTGCAGAACCTTGCTCGATTTCTGTTCGTTGATGAAAGCCTTGTCTCCAGCCCGCAGGTCCAGTTTGAGGTACCGCGCGAGCAGCTCAAGCTGCTGCTTGAAGAGTGCTCTCTGGTCTTTGGTGAGGGCGTCAATGGCGGCCGGGTCCATCATCATGCCACCACCGCCGGTGGCGGGCCCGGAAGCCGCAGCAGTGGTGAGGCTGATGCCGGCATTAGAGGCATACTTCTGTGCAACATCGTCCAGGAATGCCTTTGCGTCCGACTCCGAGCCAAGACGAGATGGTGGCTCCATGGTGATTGCGAGCAGCAGCACACCATCCTGGCGGCCCGAGGCCAGCCCCCAGCGAGACTCGAGGTATTTCCTTGCTGATGTGGCGTTGAAACCACCGGGCATCTTGGAAGAAATCAAACGAGCAATCAGTGCTTGCGTCTGCTTGCCCAGGTTTCCGTCGAAAGTGGCCTGCATGGATGCACCAAGCTCGTCCAAAGGTGTGTGTCTCCGGCTTCTCTCTGGTGTAGAGCCGAACTCCTTTCCTAGATCGCCCAGAATTTCGTTTTGTAGGGTAGACTTGCCTGCAGCGAACCAACATTAACCTCCTGGCCTCTCCGTGAGTGTAGGCATTTTTTCTGAGGACTTACCGCCAACAAGATCCTTGATAGCCTTGCTCAGAGGGATCTCGGAGAATGGCTTCTTCAGCTTCTGCGCAATCAGCGCCCGCACAATGTCCATAGCAGCAACGGGCGCGTCTGGGACTGCGGCAGCAGGGCCAGCACTAGGTGCGGGGGGCAGCAGCAGCGGGCGCAGGGGCAGCCGCCGCCGCCGAGGCAGCAGGAGCAGGTGCTGATGCACCGCTTGAACTGGCTGCTGGTGTAGGCTCTGGCTCCTCCTCAATTGGATCCACATCGTAGTAGATCTCCTTCGCGTCTTTGTTGTAGCACAGAATCTGACGTTGTACTGATTTTGCAGCATCAAAGGCTTCGTACTTGGATGCGAGGGTCCTCTTGGCCATCACGCCGAGAGTATCAGCAGGACCGACCTCGACGATCCGCTCGGCAGTCTTCTCGGCGAGGAAGACATCTTGAGTTTCGATCCATCTCACGGGCGAGGCGAACTGGTATGCAAGGAGCTCAACGAGGAGCGTGTGGGCGAGCTCTTGCTCAACTTCGGGTCTCATTTTGCTGGCAGTGGGCTGGCTAACTGCGGTGTGGGAAAAGGGACGTGTCGCGCGAAGAAACAATGCTCAAGAATCGACGGCGGGTATCTTCGAAGAATTAGACTGTAAGCGAGGCAAGGCCAGGGGGGGGGGTGCGTTGGCTGATCTCGAGGAAGAGAATTCTTCGAGGCTGGCTCCGAGGGTCTTGTGTGGGTAAAGAGGGATCTGAACGCTGCCACCTGGAGGTCAGAAAGGGGGGAAGAGAGAATAAGGTAGGCAGTGTGGTGGAAGGAGGCAGGGACGGGAAGCTGTGGCCGCCGTGGGGGGTGTGGGTAATGAGGGAGGAGAAATCCAGGTCTAAAGGAAGAAGTCGACCCTCTGGTGGTGTTTAGTGATCGGAATGGGCTGGTTGGAAGGCGGCAACGGGTCAATTAACGATCGTTGTCAACAACTTACGGATTTCATGCAACCCGAATTTCCTCCTTCTGCCCGTCTTGACTTCCAGGTCACCGGACACGTCCCTCCAGGCAAAAAGTGGTGGACGAGGTATGCGTTGTTGGGCATAGGAAGGAACAATCCTTGAAAGCGTTGGGGGTAGCCACACGGGCAGCAAAGTTCACCAGTCTCACTGCAATTACCAGCCGGCGGGAGCTTGTACCCGGTACAATGGTACTTGCTCTCTTTTTTCGTGGGTGGGAAGGGGTGGTCATGCATCCCTGTCAGCCTTGCTTGGCTTGGCCGCCCTCTCGCGCTCCAGCCTTTCTTTGGGGAGGTGGCCCCCACAGTTCTGCCCATGCAGTACAACCCCATCCGTTCCAATGCTCGCGACGACACAACAGCTTTGCCAAAAACAGACCAACAGCGACCGGCCACCCACCACTGGCGACGGCGCATCGCATTACCACCCCGAGCTAGGACGGCAACGGCTACATATCTCGCAGGCGATAAGCTCGGCCAAGCCTGCTCGAGCCTTTGAGCACACACCCTTGCGTTTTGCTGAGGACCTCCCAGGCACGTCAGAGCTCTCGGCCGGCCACTCGTTGTCAACGCGTTTCGCATCCCCATCAAGATGCTCAACCCCATTTCTCCCTGCGGATGAGACCTCGAAACTCGATCCGAGGTGCTCGTATCTCCTCTACGGAGCTATGAGGCTCTCCGAGCTTCCGTCCCGGGATTCCGAAGTGGCACGATCTCTCTGGAGGCACTATATACCTGCCACTGCAACTGGGTAGTACCCATGGCCTGCTGTACTGTACCTCGTCTCGGGAGCTAGGTCCATCTTGGGAGCTTGAGCTTTATCGATACTCTATCGTTATCGACCTGCAGCAAAGCCCAGAGCTTCTGCCGCCCGCCATTGTGTCCATTCGCCCGGGACCGATCCGGCTTGGGTATGCGATGCCTTCCCAGCCGGTCTGCTTTTGCCCGATCAGCCCATGGAGCCATGCGTCTCCCGTGGTGATCACACATGCTGGTCTGCTGGAAGGTGCCGCCATGCCTTGATGCGACCCATGGACACCCAGGCAGTCCATGCGGCAGTGGATTCGACGCGGAGACAGCTTCTTCGCGGGTCACCCAGGCCGCTCTCGGAATACCCACGTATGTACGTACTTGGTACATTACAACCTGCCCATTGATCAGCCATTCCTCTGTACGGTGTACCGGAACGACACAAATCTGTCACTTCTCGTCCTGCCCCGAAGATTCTCGGTCGTCAGGCCATGGTTCCCATGCACTGGGGCAGCGGGTTCGCTATAAGCTTAATTTCACCCGCTGGTCTCGGTGGGCCCATCCTTCTCTTGGATTCAGGGTCTCTCTTCTATCTGGGTAGTCCTCAGGTCTCGGTACACTGCTGGGGTAGGGCTCCGTCCTATACCGTGTCTGATGAGCACATCATACTCGTTGTCACTAGCATATGCTGATCCTTGGATAGGTGCTCTTGGATGAACACCCTCGTGCAAGCAGTGTCTTTGGAGGGACGGTCTACCGGCCAAGAATTCGTACCTCTTGCAGAATCAAAGGTACCCAGGGAGGCGAATCACACTCTTGAACACCCGGCAGAAACATAATACTATTGTTTCATAACCCCTTCCACCTTCACCACTTGGGACTTGTGGTCGCACACCTGGACTTGCTGCCCCCAGAACTACTTGCTATGACGGGCCTTACACATAACACACTGCCAGTCGCAACAGTGATTTTCCAAGGAGAGACGTAGGTCGCGAGCTGGTGACATGACCGACCTTACTGGAATGAGCTGGCCCTGTAGATCGCCTGTCTGTGTCATGCGGCGCCAAAGTCCTGAGCACATGTAGGCAGGCGGGCATGTTTATAGGCAGTGGAACAGCTCGGCGATTGTGACGTGCAGAAGGGGGCTGATGTGCATGCTTGGACTACTGCGGTCTCGCCTTACTGCTGAACTTTGAGAGCTTCGCTTCCTAGTTGATATACATAGGCCAGGGCAGCTAGTCCCCGCCGCCACGGCACCGGTGCCACAATATTTAGGGTGAAAGAGCTACTTTATTATCTTTAGTCCATGCCAGGGCAGTGGACCTAGGAAAAGCGTTGCCGTCGACCTAGGCAGTCTGTCGTAGGATTGCTGACCCGGCTAATTAAAAAGCTTACGATGGAAATTTGGGTTTCGCAGGCGCGACCGGCTGTGGGCTATTCCTGTGCCGTTATACCAGCCGACAAAAGAGAGACTGAATAGTTGCGAGCATTGCAGCATGATCTGTGAGCCGCGCGTCTGATGTTGCTCGGGAGTCAACTCGTCGAAATATGCTGAATCTGAAGGCGCCGTCGATGCATCGATTGCCCATTTCTTGCCCCTGTCCAAGGTTGCGTTGCAGCCCGTCCGTGGCCCTTCCGTCGAGCCGGGGAATTTTTTTTTTGGGATGGGGTTCACCAAGCGGTTGGACCGTTGTCGATTAAGCCATTGACGCATGTACCGGTACCTCAGTGGATGACGCGCGTGTGGAGCTCTTTCCCCAGTCAGTTTAAGAGCGGCAGGCGCTCCTTCTTCAACCCTCGGAAGGCGGTGACGAGCAACTTCCCGGGCGATACGATCAATTTCTTTATATGACGAGAAGCCACGCATCGGATTTGATTTCCTTCACATAGGTATCTAAATACCTAGGTATCTTGCAATGTCTTTGTGCGTGCAGATTTGCCAGTTTGGGAACGGCAAAACAGCAACGACAGTCCGGCTGTGTTGCCGTGTTCTTCTAGAATAGACGCCCCAGGAAGGAGGGGCCCCTGGTGTTCTTTCGTGCAGAGGGCAGGCAGGAACGTGGGAAAAAAGTTCGCGTGGGGCTAGGGTCCCCCGCGACCAGTCGACCCCCCCTTGGCAAAAACGCGAGCATCCCTGCACTCAGGCAGAACAGGCAGGACAAGTTTGTTGGGAATCGAAATTGAATTCGGTGGATTGGTTCAACATACCTTACCATGCAGCCGGACTTGATTTGATGTGCTGTGTAGTGCTGCGAGGCTAGCAAGGACCAAGGGAACTGTTTTGAACGGTCGGCATTACTGATCGCCTTCCGCTTGTCCTTGAGGTTGTTGGTCGAAGCCCTGCTCAAGAGAAAGAAAAAGAAGTGACGAGCAGCAACAACATCGGCTTCGGGCACCCACCTTGCAAGCTTCTTCTCTCCTTCCCCCCCTCAATCGATAACTTTGGACCCAGGCCCCGTTCGTCCAAGTTGCAACCACCATACCTGCTCACTTGATTCATCCATCGTCGTCTCTACCATCTAGCCGTTCCTCCCCTCTCCCACCACCCTCCTCTTCGGCCCCAGTTCACTGCGCCAACATCTTCGCTTCGTGTGCCTCCAGCCTTCTTTCCACTGTGTGTTCACCGCGATAGAGTTTTGCACTCGCTGCTCTTGACTGAGTATTTCGAGTATCTTCGAGACGAAGAGACACAGGAAGTTGTAAGCTGCCCTCTGCGCCGGCCTTTCTCCAAGCCGTGGGACTTGACGCTGACCGTTTCTCAAAGATATCCGTAGATCTCATAGACGATACCCCTTTTTCACCATGTACGGCACGGGTACTGGCGCCCAGACGGGCGTGTCGACCCCTCGGTCTTCCGCCTCTCTCCGACCTCTGACCGTGTCCCACGGCACTCTCGAAACCTCTTTCCTCATCCCTACAAGCCTCCACTTCCACGCCCTCCAACTAAAAGACCGCTTCAGTGCGAGTCTTCCACCACCAACCGACGAGCTCGCGCAAGATGACGAGCCATCTTCCACGCCTGAGCTGGTGGCCAGGTACATGGGTTTCATTGCTGAAGAGGTCGAAAAGGGCGAAGATGACTCTCAGGGCTCTTACGAGGATGTGCTCAAGTTGATTCTCAACGAATTCGAGCGGGCCTTCCTCCGCGGCAACGATGTCCACGCATTGGTTGCAACTCTGCCTGGCATCGACGCAAAGAAGTCCGAGGTCCTCCGCAGCTACTACGCCTCAAGGTCGGTGCTGAACAGGGCTGTCCGCCCCCACCAGTCTGCTCTCTTCCGCGCATCTGAGGAAGGGGATGCCTCCATCTATAACATTTTTGGTGGCCAGGGCAACATCGAGGAGTATTTCGAGGAGCTGCGGGAGCTGTGGCAAACCTACCCATCCTTCGTTGGGGACCTCATCTTGACCGCTGCCGAGCAGCTGCAAACTCTGGCTAACAACCCATCGGCCGAGAAGCTGTTCACTAAGGGTCTGGACATCATGAACTGGCTGCAAAATCCAGAAGCCACCCCGGATGTGGAATACCTGATCACCGCTCCTGTGAGCTTCCCACTGATCGGACTTGTGCAGCTGGCGCATTACGAGGTCACCTGCAAGGCCCTCGGAATCCACCCAGGCACGCTGAGGGAACGAATTAGTGGTACGACTGGTCACTCTCAAGGTGTTGTGATGGCAGCTGCCACTGCCGCGGCCGACTCTTGGGAGACTTGGCCAGAAATCGTCAAGTCTTCCCTCTCGATCCTTTTCTGGATCGGTGCTCGCAGCCAGCAGACTTTTCCTCGGACTTCCATGACTCCTTCGGTGCTGCAGGACTCGATCGAGAACGGCGAGGGGACTCCCACGCCCATGCTGAGCATTCGTGACCTCTCGCAAGATCAGGTCCAAACGCACATCGACGCAACCAACAAGTACCTGCCCGCCGACCGACACATCGCCATTTCACTCATCAACAGCCCGCGCAACATGGTCGTGACCGGACCTCCCATGTCCTTGTACGGTCTCAACTTGCAGCTCCGGAAAGTCAAGGCACCTACGGGTCTTGACCAAACACGGATTCCGCACACGCAGCGGAAAGTCCGATTTGTCAATCGATTCCTGCCGATTACTGCTCCTTTCCACAGCAAGTACCTCGCTGAGGCGACGTCTCTGATCGATGAAGACCTCAAGAACATCAAGATCGATGCTGAGTCGCTTGCCATCCCCGTTTACGACACCAACACTGGGAAGGACATCCGCGAGGAAGTCAAGGGCAATGTCGTCCCAACCTTGATCCGTCTGATCACTCGCGACACCGTGAACTGGGAGAAGGCGACAATTTTCGAGAACGCGACCCACGTCCTGGATTTCGGCCCAGGTGGTGTTTCCGGCCTCGGCATCCTCACCAGCCGTAACAAGGAAGGCACCGGTGTCCGCGTCATTCTCGCTGGCACCGTCAGCGGATCAGCCAACGATGTCGGTTACAAACCCGAGATCTTTGACCGTGACGAGGAGCATGCTGTCAAGTATGCTATCGACTGGGTCAAGGAGTATGGCCCAAGGCTGATAAAGAACTCCAATGGGCAGACCTTCGTGGACACCAAGATGAGCAGACTTCTCGGCATTCCTCCTGTCATGGTTGCTGGTATGACTCCTTGCACAGTGCCGTGGGACTTCGTCGCTGCCACAATGCAAGCCGGATACCACATTGAGCTGGCCGGAGGTGGCTACTTCGACCCCGGAATGATGACTACGGCGCTTCTGAATATCGAGAAGGCCATTCCTGCTGGTCGTGGTATCGGCGTGAACCTCATCTATGTGAACCCACGGGCCATGCAATGGCAAATTCCCATGCTCGGCCGATTGAGAGCCGAGGGTGTGCCAATTGAGGGCCTCACTATTGGAGCCGGTGTTCCTTCCATCGAGGTTGCCCAGGAGTACATCGAAACCCTGGGTCTTAAGCACATTTCCTTCAAGCCTGGCTCTTCTGATGCCATCCAGGCCGTCATCAACATCGCCAAGGCGAACCCTACGTTCCCTGTTATGCTTCAGTGGACTGGCGGTCGTGGCGGAGGTCACCACTCGTTTGAGGACTTCCACCACCCGATCCTGCAGATGTACGGCAGGATTCGTCGCCAAGAGAACATCATTCTCGTAGCTGGCAGTGGTTTTGGCGGCGCTGAGGACACTTACCCATACATCACTGGAGAGTGGTCAAAGAAGTTTGGCTACCCCCCGATGCCTTACGACGGATGCCTCTTCGGTAGCAGAATGATGGTGGCCAAGGAGGCGCACACGAGCAAGGACGCCAAGAAGGCCATCGTCGACGCTGAAGGTGTTGAGGACAGCGAGTGGGAGAAGACATACCAGGCACCCACTGGTGGTGTTCTTACGGTTCGCTCCGAGATGGGTGAGCCCATCCACAAGCTTGCCACCCGTGGTGTTAGGTTTTGGGCTGAGATGGACCAAAAGATCTTCAGCGTGCCGAAGGAGAAGCGTGTCGCTGAACTCAAGAAGAACCGCTCCTACATTATCAAGAAGCTCAACGAAGATTTCCAGAAAGTCTGGTTTGGCAAGAACAAGGCTGGGGAGTCTGTCGATCTCGAGGACATGACCTACGGTGAGGTCGTGCGCAGGCTGGTTGAGCTTCTGTACGTGAAGCACCAGTCCCGCTGGATCGATCCTACCTTCACCAAGTTGACCGTAGACTTCATCCACCGTGTGGAGGAGCGCTTCACGTCCACGACAGGCAACGCCTCTCTTCTGCAGAGCTACTCCGAACTTGCCGAGCCATTCGCTGCTGTTGAGAAGATTCTTGCGCAATACCCCGAGGCCGACAAGCAGATCATCAACGCCCAGGATGTTCAGTACTTCTTGAACCTGTGCATGAACCCATTCCAAAAGCCAGTGACCTTCGTGCCAGCCTTGGACGATAACTTCGAGTTCTACTTCAAGAAGGATTCCCTCTGGCAATCTGAGGATTTGGATGCTGTGATTGGACAGGACGTTGGTCGGACGTGTATCCTGCAAGGACCAACGGCGGTCAAATACTCCAAGATTGCCGACGAGCCCATCAAACAGATTCTCGACGGCATCCATAATGGCCACATCAGCTACTTGACCCGCGACATGTACAACAATGATTCGACCAAGATCCCTGTCATCGAGTACTTCGGCGGCAAGCTCGTTGACTCCGAGATTCCTATCGACTCCGAGGGCGTTACTGTGTCATATGATAACAACAAGAACACCTACCGCGTCTCAAACTCGCCCTCGGCGGTGCTGCCTTCCATTGAGGATTGGCTTGCGCTTCTCGCCGGACCAAAGCGTTCTTGGCGACATGCTCTTCTGTTGTCCGAGGTTGTCGTCCAAGGTCAGAAATATCAGACAAACCCCATGAAGAGGATCTTTGCACCTGCTCGTGGATTGTACGTGGAGATCTTGTATCCAAACACCCCGGACAAGACGACCATTGTTGTCAAGGAGCAGCCCCGCCACAACCAATACGTGGATGTCATCGAGGTCAAGATGACTGCAAACAACAAGATTGTGGTCAACATGGTTAAGGACACAACGGCCCTCGGCAAACCAGTTTCGCTCCCTCTCGAGTTCATTTACCACCCTGAGGCTGGTTACGCACCCATCCACGAAGTCATGGACGGACGCAATGACCGCATCAAGGAGTTCTACTGGCGAGCTTGGTTCGGTGATGAGAAATTGGACCTCGATGCCCTTGTTACTGGCAGGTTCGATGGTGGCAAAGCGACCGTCACGAGTGAGGCCATCAACGACTTCGCGCATGCTGTCGGCAATCACGGCGAAGCATTCATTGACCGACCAGGCAAGATCATGTATGCGCCCATGGACTTCGCCATTGTTGTTGGCTGGAAGGCTATCACCAAGCCTATCTTCCCTCGCAAGATTGACGGCGACTTGCTGAAGCTTGTCCACCTGTCGAATGAGTTCCGCATGATGCCTGGTGCTGAGCCGCTGAAGAAGGGCGACCAGTTGACGACCACTGCTCGTGTCAATGCTGTCATCAACCAAGATTCCGGAAAGATGGTCGAGGTCTGCGGTACCATTCAACGCGATGGCGAGGATGTCATGGAGGTGACGTCTCAATTCCTCTACCGCGGTAACTACACCGACTTCGAGAACACATTCCAGCGCAAGACAGAGACGCCTATGCAGATTCATCTGTCCACGGCCAAGGATGTCGCTGTCCTCAAGTCGAAGGAGTGGTTCCAAGTCGATGATAAGGCACTTAACCTGGACCTCCTCGGCAAGGTCTTGACATTCCGCCTGGAGTCACTCGTTCGTTACAAGACAAAGACTACCTACAGCAGCGTCGAGACTCGCGGCCAGGTGCTCCTTGAGCTTCCGACGAAGGAGATTGTACAGGTCGCATCTGTTGATTACTCGTCGGGCGTGTCGCACGGCAACCCAGTCATCGACTACCTTCAGCGCAATGGAGCATCCATCGAGCAGCCTGTCATGTTCGAGAACCCGATCCCTCTGAGCGGAAAGACACCTCTGCAGCTCAGAGCTCCAGCGTCCAACGAAGGGTACGCACGTGTGTCTGGTGACTACAACCCCATCCACGTTTCGCGAGTCTTCGCGACCTATGCCAACCTGCCCGGGACTATCACCCACGGCATGTTCTCGAGCGCCGCTGTGCGAAGTCTCGTAGAGACCTGGGCGGCCGAGAACAACGTGGGCCGTGTCCGAAGCTTCCACGCTTCCCTCGTGGGCATGGTGCTGCCCAACGATGAGATCCAGGTCAAGATGCAGCATGTGGGTATGGTGGCTGGACGCAAGATCGTCAAGGTCGAGGCTAGCAACAAGGAAACCGAAGACAAGGTTCTTCTTGGCGAGGCCGAAGTCGAGCAGCCTGTGACAGCCTACGTCTTTACCGGACAAGGCTCTCAGGAGCAGGGCATGGGTATGGATCTGTACAACAACAGTCCTGTGGCCAAGGAGGTCTGGGACCGCGCAGACAATTATCTCATGGATACCTATGGTAAGTTTATCTCGATCCATTTTTCGCCCGCTACATCACATGCTGACTGCTCTAGGCTTCGCCATTACCAACATTGTGAAGAACAACCCCAAGGAGCTCACGATCCACTTCGGTGGTCCCCGCGGAAAGGCTATCCGGGCCAACTACATGGCAATGACCTTCGAGACGGTGGCAGCAGACGGTTCCATCAAGTCTGAGCGTATTTTCAACGAAATCAGCGAGAGCACACCGTCCTACACGTACAAGTCGCCCAGCGGTCTCTTGTCCGCAACTCAGTTCACGCAGCCTGCCCTGACGCTCATGGAGAAGGCAAGCTTCGAGGACATGAAGGCGAAGGGTCTTGTCCCCCGCGACAACACGTTTGCCGGGCACTCCCTTGGCGAGTATAGTGCTCTTGCTGCGCTGGCCGAAGTTATGCCAATCGAGTCCTTGGTCTCGGTCGTTTTCTATCGTGGTCTGACGATGCAAGTCGCTGTGGAGCGCGATGCCTCTGGCCGCTCCAACTACTCCATGTGTGCTGTCAACCCTAGCCGTATCTCCAAGACGTTCAACGAGGAGGCGCTCCGGTTCGTTGTTGCCAACGTTGCCGAGGCGACTGGCTGGCTGCTGGAGATTGTCAACTTCAACATCGCCAACATGCAGTACGTGTGCGCTGGTGACCTTCGCGCCCTGGACACGCTGGGCTTTGTCTGCAACTACCTGAAGGTGCAGAAGATCAACATCGAGAAGATGATGGGTGAGATGTCCATCGAAGAGGTGAAGGGCCACCTTGTGCAGATCATCCAGGAGGGCGCATCGCAGACCGAGAATAAGCCACAGCCTCTGGAGCTCGAGAGAGGATTTGCCACGATCCCTCTCAAGGGCATCGATGTGCCATTCCACTCGACTTTCTTGCGCAGCGGTGTCAAGCCCTTCCGGTCGTTCCTGCTCAAGAAGATCAACAAGACCACCATCGACCCGTCCAAGCTGGTGGGCAAGTACATCCCCAACGTCACGGCCAAGCCATTTGCCCTGACCAAGGAGTACTTTGAGGATGTGTACAAGCTGACCAACTCGCCGCGTATTGCCAATGTGCTGGCGAACTGGGAGTCCTACCAAGGCGAGGGCACCGGACCAGCCGAAGGTATCAACGGCGCAGCTAGTGTTAACGGCACTACCAACGGTGTGCACTCGGACTAGACTGCTGTTGCAGAGCTAGATAGCAGGGGGGCAGTCCTTTCCTGGAGGATAATTGTGGTAAAAAGGCCACCTTGCATGCATGGCTTACGATGGTTCTGTGTAATGAATGAGGATAAGTGGTGATGAGATAATAATGGCTCTTGGTGATTGTGTGGGTCCAACATTGATAAGGATGACATGGGACAGGCCGTTTTCCGTTTGAGCAGTTGGGCGGGCGCCGGCGTTGGCCGTGTTTTGCGGGATTGCTAGTTTGATGCAAGATGTATTTATTAGACAGGTATGATCCTGAACGAGGTCGGAAATAAAATAGAGACGTCTTAGACAAGTTATATGTCGCCGAGCTGTCACATCGCTGAGACTGGACTGAGCATCGCGTACCTCCTGACGTGCATCTTGTGCTCCCAACACCGCGACTGGCGAGCATCTGTTGCTCAAAGAAGACAAGGAAAACGTCAAACTGTCCTACGGGCGATAAGATAGCGCCGTGCCAGCTTGGCTCGACAAGAAGCGAAGGGGACCGGGTGCAACGGCAAGCTGTTAGTTGGAGATCCCCGCAGCCGCTCGAGCACATGCAAGACAACGCAACGCAACCCAACCTGCGCTGTGCTGGCTGACTGACTGCATTGTGCCGAACCAAAGAAACCACACCTAACCATCCCAATCTAGGCTCTTACCTGCCTAGGTACACACACTCGCGAGATATGAGCGCCACTCCGCCTCCCAACCAGGTCTTCATAGGGACCTTTATCCACTCAAAGGCCCTTGATGAGCTAGAATACCTGCACCACACCGCTGTCTTTGTCGAAGGGTCGACGGGGACGATTGTCGCCATCGAAAGGGAATGCGACCACACCCGGACGCTGGACGAGACCTTCAACAGGCTAGGATGGAGCGCCGCCGAGTGCAAGATCTACGACTCGACGTCGCCCACCAGGAGGAGTAGCAGCAACGGCAGCAGCAAGATCAGCAGCGCCCAGAACGAGAGCGACGGCTCACTGCCGTCGACATCGCCGCCCCCGCCGCCCGTCAGGTTCTTCTTCCCGGGCTTCATAGACACGCACATCCACGCCTCGCAGTACCCCAACGCGGGCATCTTCGGCAAGTCGACGCTGCTGGACTGGCTCAACACGTACACGTTCCCCCTCGAGGCGTCGCTGGGCCGCGACCTGCCCAAGGCCCGCCGCGTCTACGCCCGCTGCGTGGCGCGCACCCTCGCCCACGGCACCACGTGCGCGGCCTACTTCGCCACCGTCGACGTGGGCGCCACCAACCTCCTGGCGGACCTGTGCCTGGAAAGGGGCCAGCGCGCGCTCGTGGGGCGTGTCTGCATGGACGAGCCGAGCACCTGCCCGGCGTGGTACCGCGACGAGGACGCGGCGGAGGGGCTGGCGCGCGCGCGGGAGTGCGTGGACCACGCGAGGAAGGTCGACCCGAAGGGCGAGCTGGTCCGGCCCATCGTCACGCCGCGGTTCGCGCCTAGCTGCACGGCGGGGAGCATGGCCGCGCTGGGGAAGCTGGCGCGGGAAGAGGGCCTGGCGGTGCAGACGCACGTCAGCGAGAACAGGGGGGAGATCGAGCTCGTGGCGTCGCTGTTCCCGGGGGAGACGGCGGGCGGTAGGGGCTACGCGGGCGTGTACGACGCCTTTGGCCTGCTCTCGGACCGCACCATCCTCGCGCACGCGATCCACCTCTCCGAGGCGGAGGTGGCGCTCATCGCGGAGCGGGGGGCCAAGGTCAGCCACTGCCCGTGCAGCAACAGCGCCATCACGTCGGGCGCGGCGCGGGTGCGGTGGATGCTGGGGAAGGGGGTTGATGTCGGGCTCGGGACGGACGTGAGCGGGGGTTACAGCCCCAGCGTGCTGGACGCGGCGAGGCAGGCGGCGCTGGTGTCGCGGCACGTGGCCATGGGCAGCAGCGACGAGGGGGACAAGCTGAGCGTCGAGGAGGTGCTGCACCTCGCCACGAGGGGCGGCGCGAGGTGCGTCGGGCTCGAGGGGGTCGTCGGCGGGTTCGGGGTCGGGATGCAGTGGGACGCGCAGCTCGTCGCGCTCGATGCGGTCGGGGAGGACGGCGGCGGGGGGGATGGGAATGTTGATGTGTTTGGGTGGGAGAGCTGGGAGGAGATGGTGGCTAAGTGGTTGTTCAACGGGGACGACCGGAACACGGCAAAGGTTTGGGTCAAGGGGAGGTTGGTGCATGAGAGGAGGGCATAGGATGGCCCCGATGGCCCCGAGTGTGTTTGGTTGAGGCGCTTCTAGATGGACTAGATTGAAGATTTCTAGACCTGTGTGTTTGTTACTAGAGAGGCTGGTCTTGCTGCCCTCTTTCCGGGATGGGGTAATCCGGGGAGGTGGATAGATATGGCAAGATTCAAAGAAGCTGCAAAGCGACATCTCACGATACTGCTGTGGGATTGGGCGTGACTTCTCCTAGATAGCATCGACACGAGGATTGAGTTGGAACCCTGACGCAAGATTATTTGTTAATCAGTCCTCAAGAACATGACTTGATGCATATTACTTCCAAAGTCTTTCCGATGAACAGGTAGTTCAAACATTCCATGAGTACTTGTTTTTCTTGTCTCGTTACCCATCCGGGAGTCTGTTGTTCTCCGGGGAAATTCAAGTCGAGTATTTCTGAATCTGCATCACCAGACCAGTGTCAATGGATGTAGCAAGATGATCAAAGTCAAGCCAGATAATCCAACATGTACACAAGGCAAGGACACATGAGTAGCAGTCATCACTGTTGCTTTACCATTGCAGGGATACAATATGTGGATGCCGGGATGAAGAGGCAGCCGCGGAGCCACAGCCCGGAGTATGACGCACAATGGACCCTGGAATTCATACAATATGCTCTGAGGCGGACGATGCTCCTCGAATCACAGGCATCCTAATGCACAAACACCATTGCCATAATCCCTATTGCATTGAGGAGAGACAGCTAACAGACTCTGATGATGGATGCATCCCCCTCCCTATCGCCACACTTGCTATCTTTTTGTGTTTTCTGATTCCTTCAACATGAAATGCAACGCAATAGTGGTATCATCCGGTCCAGTACGCCTGTAATGCCCCAATCCTACTGAGCAATGAAGTCTGTGTCCTCGTGACAACAGACCAAATGGGGGCTCCCCGTAGACCGGTTCTGAGCCGTGCTCCTCCTCAAATCATTCTCCTGACCACTGTGCCATGCCGTGAGAGCCATATGTGCACCGGTCCGACCAAAAAAAAAAAAAAGAAAAAGCAAGCTTCGTAGACCTCGTCACACCTCAAGCAATCTTTCCACATTCTCCGTCCTCGTGGTCGCCATAACCACCCGTCCTTGTCGAAAACTCCAAAAGGTCAGCGTCGACACAGGACCGTCACACCATCGCCACAATCTTGTCCACATCTTCTTAAACCCGCAATATTCTCGGGAGATGATATTTAGAATCCACCAGTGAAAGCATCGAAGCCGCCGCCGTGGGACTTGTCGTCTTCATCGTAGTCGAACGGCTGGTTGAAATCGAACTCGGGCTTAGGTGCAGAAGGAGCAGACGCACGCCGAGCCGCCGCCTGTCCCTGGCGGCCACTGCTCCGGCCGGCCTGACCCTGACCCTGCTGCTGCTGTGCCTGTGCCTGTGCCTGTCCCTGCTGAGCCCGAGTCCGCGCCCGAGCAGCCTGGCCCGCGCCCTCGGCGGCGGCGGAGGAGCTGCCGCCCTGGCCACCAGCCGGCTCCTCCTCAACAAGGTCCCAGTTGAACTCGTGGTCCGGCGCGCCGTACTCGAGCGCTTTCGCCTTCCAGTACCTCGTCTCGGCGTCCTTGCGCTGGCGCGAGCGGCGCGCGGCCTGGTTGTTGCGCACCTGGCTGCGGCGGCGGACGTAGGCGTCGCAGTGCCGCCAGACGGCCTGCGCGTCGGCCGTGGTGTACCGGGACCCCGCGGCGATGGGCACGGGCTGGCCGTCGTCTTCCTCGTCCACGGCGGCGCCCACGGCGGCGGCCTGCGCGAGCCCGTAGCAGTGGTCGCGGATGTCCTTGATCTCGGTGCTCGACAGGTACTTGAGGGTCGTCGGCTCCGTCAGGAAGACGTGCCAGTGGTTGACGCCGTAGGGGCGCCACTCCGGGTCCGGGTGCGTCACGGGGCCTGCCTCCTGGATCCGGTTCGGCGGCACGTGCGCTGGGTGGCTCGGGGTGTTCTGGGCCGTCTGCCTGCCGCTGCTGCTGCCGCCGCCGCCCTGGCCCGGGCTCTCGAAGGAGTTGTTGGCCGGGCTGCTGGTGGTGTTCGCGGTGGCGGGCGAGGTGTCGGTCTGGGCCAGGGATGATCGTCTCCTGTGAGCAGGGGTGGGGGTGCCCTCGTTGAGCAGACGGCGGGGATCGGGCTTGGTCTCTTGCTCCTCCTCCGCGAAGCTCTCGTACTGGCTCGGAGAGATGAATTCTGGGGTGTGGGGGAGTTCGGGGTTCTCGAACTTCGGGACCGGGCTCATGTTTCTGTAGCCCTGGGGCTGTGGGTTCTGCTGGATGCCTCCACCAATGCCAGAACGAGGGTTGTAGATACCCGACGCGAAGGAGCTGGGGCCCATGCCGGAGTCTAGAGTACTACCGTAGAGGCCCATTGCGCTGGGACTGCCCGTGGGGTAGTCCATGCCTGTCAGATCAACGTCGATATGTTGAAGCTGGTTGGAGGCTTGGCCTGGGTTCGGTGCCGCGCCAAGAGCTGCACGAGATCCAGCCTGGTTCATCGCACTGGCTCCCTGACGAGTCGGGCGAGATTGGCGCTTGATTATGCCAGCGCCGGTTCCAGTACCGACTTGGCTGCGTGCGTTTCCGGAAGAGGGCAGGTTGTTGCGAGGCATGTTGTTCATGGAGTTTTCTCCGGGCGAGTACAACTGTTCGAAGGCAAATGGATCCTGAGGATCACTCGGAATATTTCCGATACCGCTCATGTCAGGGTAGAGAAAGTCGCCGTGGCTGAATCCCGGAGAAGTTCCCTGAAGACTGGGAAACTGGGAACTGAAGTAGGACTCGCCGGCCTCGTGAATCACTGGGAGAGGGTGAGTTGGGGAGAGATTCGGGAGTCGAAGACCTGGGACGAAAATTAAAGTTAGCAGCCTGGTAGCTTGCAGGGGGTGTCAGGGGTTGAAAGAGAGTGACGAGCGGGATGATAACCAAGGGAAGTGGGAAGTAGGAAGGGGGTAGGGGCAGACCGGACGAGTTGCTGGTGAGTACACGTTCCAGAACCACGAGGCCGGAGTGACATGATTGTGCCAGTATGAAAGATTTGTGGTCTCTGTGATATTGTTCAAGGGAGGCTTGGAGTGGGAGGGCTCAAGGTATCCTTGCTATGCAGTTTTCCCGGTGATGTGAGTTCAAGATATTGGCGCTTAGAAAATCAGAGGACTTACCTGAAGCAGTGTCGTTGCCCGGGGAAGCAGTATTGCCAGACACTGGCTGGATTGCCGACAAGTCAGGGGAGCCCTGGCCCTCGACTTCAGGGTCAGGCTTGACCTGTCTGGGGGGCATCTTGATTGGACTCAAGAGCTGGACGTCTTCGATCCTGTAGAATCCTGAAGAATGTGTGCTTGTATCGACTGGCCACACAAAGGCGGTTGTTGGCCAATGGTGTCAGATCTAGGATCTAAAAGTTCCGATCAGCAGATACTTATGTCTAGGATTGTAATGAGAGGGATCTCTAGACTCGTGAATGTAGTGCAATGGTGTCAGGAAGGCCAAGGATAGAGGCGATCTTCATCTCGGAGGTATGGCCTCGGGGATAGTGATAGTGGTGTTGGGGGTGTTTGAAAGAGAGGACCGGCGAATAGGGGCCGGAGAAACTCAGACGAGGTGGGATGACTGCTGGTAGCCTCCTCATGTATTCCAGAGGTCACCAAACTCCAAACGTACCTTGACTGTTGTTGCGTGGCCAGGTGGTGCTGATACGGTGCCAGGAATCAGCCTTTGTGGAAGATTTGAAGACACAACTTGTCTTGATCAGCTGTGAGAACTAGTCGACTGAGGTGCTTCGATATTCACAACGGGCATAAGTGGTAATTGGCGGGGCGCAATAGATCACAAAATGTACCCTGGCCTGGTTTCTGAGGTGATGTTCAGTCTTCCAGGGTTGTGCTGAGCCTTATTAATGCTGAAGTGATGTGGGCTGGGCGCGTTTGTTGACTAGGCCCCAAGCAAGACTAGTCCCCTCGGTGGACTGTAGTAAACAACCAGATGTGTAGCAAATGCCTGTTTCCCTGGTGCTGTATGAGGTTGCTTGGGTATTGCGTGTGTCAGGAACCTGGCTAGAATAAGGTGGCTGCTAGGATGTTACTTTCTTGTTGCAGTGGCTTGGGAACAGTTCTGAGAGAATGTCCAGGAAGGACTACCAAATTGTGTGAATGCCGTTCTGGGGTAACTGCGGATGGATAACAGGTGTTACAGACCCTTCCCTTGTTCCAGAGAATATCTGGCTAGCGCATTGCAGGCTCAGATGATGGGGGTCCTGTAAAGTGGGCTGGAGGTTGTGTCCACCTAGACCAAGGTGGCTTTCATACACCTGTCGTGATGGAGATGGCAGAAGCTTAACTCCAATACAGGAAGTTACTGGCATAATCAGGAAATGGCCTCCTCTGACTGATCCACCAAGCTCAGGGAATCGGCTCAAATGACTGATTTATTTGGCTGTAATTCCTGACCTCGAAGAAGGAGGCAGAAGGACCGACCTCAATTTGATATTGGCCGGGATGATCCGGAGGGCCCACAGAGATAATGCAAACGGCGATTTTACAAGGAGAGAATGGACCAAGACCGTAGCGTATCTCGAAAAGCCACAAACGGGACCTTTCAAAGGGGGTTCGGTGGCCACACTCTCTTCGTACGAGACGATGATCTCAAGTCAGGAGTGGGCTGAAAGTCGGCGCAAGTTGAAGTCAGTCGAAGCGCCTGGATGCTGAGTTTTTGGACAGAACCGAACGAACAGTCGGAGTTGAGTTGGGATTGCAAGCCACCCGGGTTATTGAACCTCGGGTCGCAGATTGCCAAAGGTGGTCGATGGTGTGTTGAAGGAAGGTCGAAGCCACAAAACACCAGAAGGAGGGACAAGACCCATAACAAGAGTGCTTCAGGGTTGACTGCCTGCCGGAAGGGATATTGGGACGCCGCTACTGGATTGCTCTCAGGCCGCAAAACGATGTATTTTATATCATTTGTGAACTTGGGCTGTAACGCCCAAGGAAACCGTGAGCCTGGGCAGGTCTTTGTCAGCTGGCACGTTTGGGCAGAAAGGCGGCGTTTGGCCCGACGACTGCAAATGTGGACGAGAAATGAGTAGATAGGAAGGCAACGTTGCTGCTCGCAAAAGGAAAGGATGAGGGGCAGATGGACTTCTTCTTGTGGACAAGGCACAGATGAACTTCGGTGAGAACGGAAGAATTCAACATATCGAGGGGTACAATAAAGAATTATGTAAATGACTCTGGGGGTATCTATCCGCCTCTTCACATAAACAACATGGCCGCATTGAAAGCAAGTCCAACTATAGCGACAGCAACAGTCAGGCCAGCTTGCGATGCAGTATTAGTGGGAGAAGGTGCAGGATCATCCGTCGTCCCTGTTCCCGTCGAGTCGCCATGACCAGACTCAGTTCCGTTCGGCTCTGCAGACGGCCTCACCGTCCCCTCCTTGAAGGTATCCGGCCGAAGGCAGCTCAAGTAGGTCTCGGGCGTCCACGACGATCCGTTCTCTACAATGGCCGTGAGGAAGACGGGCCAGATCTTGGTCGCGGCAGCCGTCCACAGTGTGTCATTTCCCGGAGCTGCAGGCTCTGTGCCGTGCTGGTAGAGGATCTGCTCAGACTGGTATTGGATAGCTATTCATCTTGTTAGCTGCGATGTATTCTCTCAAGGCAGTAAGCACTTGTCTGAATGCTACTCACAAAAGCCCGTTCCGCTCAGATCGCCGAACTGCTCCATACAACTCTGCGGGATTTCGGGCAAGTAGCTGGAACAGTCTCTCTGGATGCCGTTGTTGACTGCTAATAACAACGCCGAGACGCACTCGTCCGACAACATACGGCCACAGCCATAACCGTCCTGCGAGTCAAGGTCTATCGATGCGGCGCTTATGTTGGCCGACAGGCCATGGAAGATGGAAACACATGCCGTCTGGTTGCTAACGGGCGAATCAATTTCGAGAGATATGACAGAGGTCATGGTGCTATTGTCCGGGTCTCCCGAATTTGCGTCCGGGATGGGGACGTCTGCCTTCACCGCAATGCTCAGGGAATACCTGTCAAAAGTTATGAGTCCCGTGGCGTTGGCATCGTCTTTGTCGGCATATTCTGAGGTGGGAATGTCAAACAGCCCGAGAGTGCCATCGCCGCCGATAGTCTGTTCTCCAAACTGACAAGAGCCAAGAGGGACCGAGGCCAAGATGGCAGAAAGCGAGAGAAGAGAAAGTTTGGTTGCCATGGCACCTAATTTGAAATTCTCAATATCGTGTTTCAGAGTTTGAAATTGTGCGTGTGCCGAGTAGTGTTGTTGAAATCAAGGACAGGTTCGATATTCGTGGTGTATGCGAATGGATGCTACTTCACAACACATTGATATCAATGGGCGGATGTTGGCTTTTATGAATAAATCCTCGGCTTAGACGCAAGTATTTTGAGAAAGCGGCCACATGCTCGGACTCTACTTTAGAGCATCGGACTGTGGACTATGCCACTCCATGTTCAGAGTGGCTGCAGCGAATCCTTTGCAATGATGTGAGATTTAGGAGCAAGATCGTGGCGTCAGCTTCTTGGCAGGCCTGGAGCCTGGAGGGAGGAGGCTGTTTACTGAGCCCCGTAGGGCGGTCAATCGGCTTGCGCCACAGATAGAGGACATTTTCCTTTCTGGGTCATTGCGATGTTTCGGTCTTACCTTGTCGACTTCACCTCACGATCATGATGCCGAGGACGATGCACGAGGTATCTCAACCGCTGACCTTGGACCATCGTCGTTTGACCGCAGCCAGTTGGCATTACAATTTTTCGTCGCATGTGACCGCCATACGAATAAGCTTCCTTCTAGGGCATCCCATGTTGTCGAGCGAGCATTTGATAGTTCTAGAAATCACAAATAATGTCTGGTGATGAGGCTCGTACGTATTTGGCAGGATACTTGGCACCTGAAGCAGGAGGCTGTCGTCAGTAGGGTTAGGGTAAGCTTCTCGAGCTGGGGGTGCTTGGGCAGGGGTGACTGGGCCGACATTGGCCTCCCAAGTGTGGTGGGTCGCGTCTCCAACATTTTGGGGACTGTTCGACGCGTCCGCTGTAAGTGCAGGCCCGACGCGTCTATCCACACCACTTTGACCTTCGACCAGAGCCACGATTTGGGCTACCCATGCACACAATTGGTGTCAGTCAAGTCCCCAAGCCATTTTGACGATTTCAATACGCACGATAAAGTCACTGCGTCTGTCATCATGGCTGCCCCTTCCTCTCCAATCACGTACCCCCCAAGCTCGTCGCCTGCAGTTCCTACGAAGCGACCTTTTCGAGATGGCTACCAGCAACCAACGAGACCAAAGGCGAGGGGAGGCTTCATTATGGAGGACTCTGATGAGGAGGAAGATCTGCCAGAGGAGCCAAGCCCAAAACGAATTATGCTCAACGATCTGAGGGCAACTCCGGACTTGACGGCGAGCAACACGGAACCAGAGAGTCCTCCTGCTCTCGGAGAGAGGCCAGCAGGAGCAGACCAAGAGCCCGTTCATATACCAGACGCACAGCCAAGAGACGCCATAGCTGTTGACGAAGAGGAGGAAGCTCGCTATGCTCGCCTCTTCAGCCGAAACGAGGCACCAACGGAGACGCGTATACCGACACGGATTGGGAGGGACGGCTACGCATTCGTCACTTGCTCGGGCAAGTCCGATGGCGTCCTGAAACGCACGACTACGACCAACACTGCCTACAAGGACATGGTTGCTGAGCGATCGAGGACAAAAGAAGGCCGGGCAAAGCGCGCCTACTTTGGTATCGATATCCACAAACTCATGGGAGATGCAACCAAGGAAATCGAAGCTTTCAAGACGAAAACGAATCCGGCCCCAAGCCATACGAGACCGGTCATACAGTCCGTGGAGGACCGATCCGGGAATCTCAGAAAGCCCAAGAAGACCATGCTATGGACGGAGAAATACCGCGCCCGGAACTTCGTAGACCTCGTGGGCGACGACTTCACGAACAGGCAGGTCCTGCGATGGCTCAAGCGCTGGGACACGGTTGTCTTTCCGAACTCAGCTCGACCCAAGCCCGCCGCGCCGAGGAAACAAGCGGCCCAGCAGCAAGAAGAAGAGGAGAAGACACACAGGAAGATTCTGATGCTGACCGGTCCGCCTGGGCTGGGCAAGACAACACTCGCACATGTATGCGCACGACAAGCTGGGTACGAGGTCATTGAGATCAACGCAAGCGATGATCGAAGTCGAGATGTTGTGAAGGGGCGTATCAGGACCAGCTTGGGCACAGAGAGCGTGAAGACGGTCGAACATGCAAAGCCGAAACCCGGTACGAAAGCCAAGGTTGCCCGCCCAGCGTGTGTCGTGGTGGATGAAGTGGACGGTGTCACAACCGGCTCCGGTGCCTCGGGAGAGGGTGGATTCGTCAAGGCTCTGATCGACCTGGTCATGACTGACCAGAAGAACAGTTCTGGGGCCGCAGGCGCATCGGCTGCGCGGAAGAAAAAGAAGGGCGACGACTTCCGCCAAATGAGACCCCTGATCCTCATCTGCAATGATGTCTACCATCCGTCCCTACGTCCCCTCCGCCAATCGGGCCTCGCAGAAATCATTCGCATTGGCAAGCCATCTGTTGATGCCGTCGTGGGCCGACTGAAGGCAGTCTTTGAGAAAGAAGGAATCCCCTGCGAAAAGGATGCTGCACGGAAGCTTTGCGAGTCAGCATGGGGTATGTCGAATGCACTTGATGCCAAGAAGGGCGCCGAGAGTGCTGCCGAAGGCGATCTTAGAGGAGTGATGGTTGTGGGAGAGTGGGTTGCTGGCAGGCTGAAGGCGCAAGATTCGAAAGGTCCGATACAGCTCACACGCCAGTGGGTCGACAAGAATATTGTCCAAGATTTGCAACACGGTGGTGGCGGCGCTCGTGGACTGGGCCGCGGAGGCGTCAAGGAGATTGTCAGCCGTGTTTTCCAAGAGGGCGCTGGATTTCCCCGGCAGGCCGACGTGAGCGTGAACAAGAAGACACGGCACGAACAACCACAAGCTCAGCTGGGTTTCACGGAGCATTTGAAGAAGCATGCCATCGAACGGCTGCGTGAGATGGTGGATACGAGCGGCGAGGTGGAGCGAATCCTGACCGACGTCTTCTCGGAGTACCCCAACCGCGAGTTCAACGACGATTCCTATCTTTCCAAACCAACCGAAGCCTACGAATGGCTCAGCTTCCACGATGACTGCTCGTCACGGCTCTACGCCAGTCAAGAGTGGGAACTGGCGCCTTATCTCAGCCAGCCCGTATTGGCTTGTCACCACCTCTTTGCTAGCCCACACCGACCACAGGCCAACACGGGTTACGACAAGCAGTGGCGAGCCGCAGAAGGTGATCCTGGAGCCGAAGAAGCGCCATTACCCTTCACCGGGCCTCGTGCCGACTATACTGCGTACGAGACAGTCAAACAGAACCGGGCCTTGTTGCAAGGGCTCCAGGGCCAACTACCGGCGACTTTGATGCGGGCCTTCAGAAGCCCGGAGGATATTGCGACAGATTTCTTGCCATATCTGGTCCGTTTGGTCTCACCAGATGTTAAACCGGTCGTCGTGGGTGGAAGCAGTGACAAAGGTGCTGTGGCGAGCGTTCGGCGAGAATCCGAAAAGAACATGGTCAAGCGAGGCGCCGAGGTGCTGGCCGAGGTGGGCATCGCCCTGGTGAAGGGCAAGATCGAGGACTTCAACCCGTCGATGGCGGGACGGACGCAGTGGGTGTATCGCATGGACCCGTAAGTTAAACAGCCCCTGCCTTCCCTAAACCAAATGCTGACCATCTCACAGTGACCTCGACATGCTCTCAACCTTTGAAACGGCAGGGGCACACGTCCTAGCCGCACAGATCCCAGTGCGCTACGCCGTCCGCCAAGTCCTCGACCAGGAACTGCAGAAGACGATCGCACAGCGCGAGACGGCCGCCCGCCAGGCGCGCTTCAGGGCCGGCATGGGCGGCGGCGCCGAGCCGGAGCAGCACGACCTGCTGCCGCACGACGACAAGGAGAACGCCACCGCCGGGCAGAAGGCCCTCGCGATTATGCCGACCATCGTAAAGAAGGACTTCTTCGGGCGCGTGGTCCTGGAGAAGCCGCTGCATGAGATTGACGGGAACAGTGGGGGCCAGAAGAAGGGGCAGGCGGCCGATAAGGAGGAGAACAAGGTCTGGGTCACGTATCATGAGGGGTTGAATAATGCTGTGAGGAAGCCTATTACCTTGGAGGATTTCCTGAAAGGGCTGTGAGCTGTCATTGCGAGAGGCATTGGGATACTTGTTGGTCCTAGACAATAATGCATTATGTGGCGTTATCAATGTTTGTCTTGCCCTTTCAGATGTGTACTCTTTGGAAGCCTTCCTTGCAATATTGCTGTCCACCCTCACCCCTCTCGAGGAGTCTTTAGGCTGTCCAACGTTGCTTGTGTGACGGAGGGGCCTGTTGCATGATGTACTAGGCTGCCTTGGGCCACCTGCAGTGGCACTGCATGTCAGATGGGCTCCCAAGCCGGACTGCGGATGACGCCTCGAAAGCTCGACCCCTCGACAGCCACCCTCTTCGTGTTGGGGACTCTTCTCAAACAACGGATTCAGGGAAAACACATTGAGGATGGTCTCCTGTTGCAATGGCTCTGACGACTCGTCAGGATGGTGACCTCGCAACACCTTCCCCTCTCCTGGCCCTCACGCCGGGGTTGCCTGCCCCTCAACTTGGTGACCTGAGGAGATATAGCAGCAGCGAGTTGTACGCCGGGTGGTATCTCGCCGACCCGCAACAACGGTCAGTCTACCTCCGTGCCCACTTCGGGCCCATCAAGCAGTCTATTTGTTACTGACCTTGTGCATCCTATCAGGCTCTCCGATCCAGCCAAGTCCGCGTACGAGAACGCCCTCGACATCCTCAAGAAGACGCTCACGATCGACGAGTACTCGACACCATGGCTGCAGCGCCAGAGCTGCATGGGGGACGTCCGGGACGCGGTGTTACGGGCCATGGAGGAATACAGAACAAAGTCCAAAGGGAACAAGGTCCAAGAATGGCTTTCAAGTTGTTCGGAAAGAGTCATGTACTATGGAGGTAGGCAGTTGAGCAAGGCCCATGACGTACAGTCGATTTGGCTGATTCAATGAGCGCAGCGATCTTCGACACCTTCGCTCAACACCACCCGGAATACGTATCCTTGGCCTGGGGAGCCATGAAATTTCTCTTTATCTCGGTGCTGAACCATGAAGAGCTTCTCAGCGAGATTTCCAAAGCAATTTCCAACCTGGCGGACGTGCTGCCACGGACTGAACTCCACTCGATCCTCTATCCTACGGCTCGGATGCAAGAGGCGGTCTCGCTGCTATATGCCAAGATTATGGAATTCGTCGTCAAGGCGATAAAGTGGTGCAAGAAAGGCAAGGCTATGCATGCTATCGCTGCCATTGCACATCCCTTCGAACTCAAGTTCAAAAACATAATCGACGAGATTACAAGACGCTCAAGAGCCGTAGACGAACTGGCGAACGCGGCATCCAAAGCTGAGATACGGGATTTGCATTTCACGGTACAACAAATGCATAAGTCAATCGCTCACCTCACCGAGATGATGGCATGTGAGTTCAAACTACGAGCTAATGGCTTACTCTAACCTTGTAAGACTTACTGATGAATGGAACAGTCCAGCAACAGCAACAGACGCTCCACAACCAGTCACTGCTGAGCCTTCGAGCAGAACATCAGCACATGTTTCGAAGAGGCCAGATCGAGGAAATCCGGAGCACCATGCTGATGCTCGACGATACACCAGATTCGTCAAAAAGTCTAGAATTTTGCAAATCAATGCGAAGGCGCCGTAGGCAGACACTACCAACACAGCTGCCTGTTGCTACACTGTCGAAACTTAGGGCATGGGTATCAGACCCTTCTTCTTCTATGGTTCTCGCCCAGGGACGGGGGATCAAAACGAGTTCAGTGGATTTTGCTGTCGACTTCTTGGATGCTATTCTGGACCGCAATTATCCGGTCATCTGGGCACTACCCGGTGACAACGACAGCCCTCAGCCAAATCCATCAGTCACCGGCATCATAAGGTCCCTGATTTCACAGCTCCTGGAACTAGAATCTGGTCAGGCCCTGAATGGAGGAGCGAGTCCAGTCCACATAAGGCAATTCCAAGGCAACACAAGCATCCGACACTGGTTTCAGCTTCTGGAGCACTGCATCGCCGTCGTTCCTCGCTTGTTCATAATCCTCGATACGAGCCTGGTACAACGCTCCCTTGAGCATGAAGCGGAAGATGAGGAATACTTCACGCTCGGCGATTTCATAGACAGTATGTCAGACATTGTCACTCGCCGAGACAAAGATGGGCTCAAAGTCGTCATTGCGTCTTGGAGGTTTGATACGGCTACTTCCTTAGAAGCCTGCGAAGTTTTCAAAGATATCCAGTTTGTCACTGACATGGGTCGTCGGGTAGAGAGACTCATGCGGCAACCAAAATATCGAGCCATTCTCAGAAGGAGAGAGCATTCATGTTCGAAGAGATTCAACTTCCCTGTTGATGAGATTGCATAGATCTTGAAGCTATGAAAGTCCTTACATCAAATTACGTTGTGCGATAAGAGGCATGATATGGGTCAATAAAATAGCCTACCGTTGATTCGCAATTCACATCAGTATCTTCCCCTGTTCTAGTTGGTGACCAGAATTGGTTGAAATGGAGCTGCTTCCTAGCGCTTACACAGCGTGTTGCTGCACTACATGTTGTGTAACCACCTGGACCGCTTTTAGGAGCCTAATGCATTGATGCCTTGTCCTTCAGCCTCCAAGCGGTTTCTTAGAGCCTCAAAAAACAAGCGGGGTAAAACGTTCGCTCATGACACACTGATGTCCTACGCCGCTTTGCGCAACCAGACCAAAAGCCGCGCAAACACACGCGATATCACTGCTAGAGACGCCACGATGGAGCAAAACAGTGGAAATGCCCCAATTCATCGTGCTTCCGCGGAGTCTCGACCCATAGCCGAAACGGGGAACACGTTGTTCATGGATCCTACAATCTCCAAAGACGATACAGTGGGAGACCTGTCCAAAACGAGAGAGATGCTCTCAAAATTCAGCAGCGAGCCTGGAAGAGGTGGGTAGTCACCGATTGTGAATCGGAAGCAGTTTCTTATCTATCGTTGCACAGAATTAAAATGGATGCGTTCTGTCCAAAATGATGGCGATGCGTCTCTGGGTCAGCAAAAGAAACCCGAGTCAATCGCACAAGGACGCTTTGGTGTGCCACGGGTGTCTCAATCTGTGCCTAGTGGTGACGAGCCGGAGAATCAGGCAGACAAAACGAATAGTCTTGAAAAAATCCATCCGATTTCAGATGATGAGTCCGACATGTCGGACGACGGGGGTTGGAGCTGGTTCCCGGATACCAAAGCCAATGACCAGGCAAAATGGCGTCGGACGGCTCTGGCAAAGCGAGCTAACGTCGGTGGAACGACTGCAGAAAATACTCCAAACCCGAAAGGAAATGTCCATTTTCAGCTAAATGGGAATACTTCCAAACCCATTGATGGATTTGATGAGTGTCGCGAGTCTCTTGTGGCGGCTTCGGCTGCAAACGAGAATTCACACTCGACCCAGGCTTCCGGTACGAGTTCTGTGTCCGTTGACCGGAATAACGACACCGGTGCACTTGCTAATCAAAACTAAGAAAAAGAAGTTTCGCAGGGCCCCGGAATAGTCTACAGTCCAGGGAATCTGGTTGAAAATATCTCAGCCGCTCCGGAGGTCTCCCCAGTACGTTCTGAAAGACCGAGCCCTGGCTCCAAACCGTTTCTTGAGGACCAGGCCCGGAACCAGCGCGACCGGGCCTCGCAGGAGCTTCAACCAACTATGGCCGAATCACTAAATGCGATTACGGAGAAGTTCCTCAACATCGATGTCCTGGATCAAAGACAGGACGTTTCCCGGTATATGGCTTACTTACTAGATGCCATCGATATGCTTGGCGCCAGGATCAACTTCCTCGAGGCCAAGGATACCGATAGTAGAAAGCATCCCACCAGTCAGCTTGAAACTCCCCGATCGCCCGGAAGACATACGGACATCTTCGTTGGTAAAGTGCTTCACAGGGTCACCTGTTCTAACAGAAACCACCATCATCCTGTTGCCTACTATGAAGATAAACCAACCTACAGAGACCGACACTCAGGGGGCGAGGGAAAGCTGATGGGTGACAAGATTGTTCACAGTCTTGACGACTACCTTGGTCTGCGGTCGAAAGTATCTTTTCTCGTCGTGCACGACCATTCTTGCACAGGCCACTTCCAGTCTGACGACCGCACGTTCGAGGATAATCACCGACGGAACCTGGGACCAAACAAAGAGAATCTTCGAGTAGTAGCACCTCTGCTCCAGGAAGCATTGCTTAAAGTCGCGGAATACTCCCCAATACAGGGCCTCCCGCTAGCCTTCCTCAGAGACCAGGGAATGGGCGCACCGTACCCGTTTCTATTTCACCACCACAAAAAACTCGTTGAGCTCGCCCGAGAAGAGATATACGAGGGTGTATTGCGTCCTCTGCTAGATTTCTTGGCCACAAATTACAGAAAAGAGTACGAAGAGGCCAATTCTCTGTTCGAGGCAGGAGTTGTGAAGAGTTGCCATCTCACAAAGCTATTCAAACCAAACCAAATGGTTATCAGCCGAAGTGAATCGAATGTATTGCAAGCATGCATACTGTATAGCTGCGTGATACTCCAAAGAGGCAAAGTCTTATTCCAAGGCTGGTCTTTCGTTTATGATGGCAATGGGTTAAAGAGGAACCCTTGGGTACAAGAGATCGATGGCTTACTGGATGAGCGGATTCGGATCGCGGATCTCAAAGTTCACCCGGCGAAATTTGCACGGCCCGAGGACATAGAGTACCTTGAGAAAAGAGGCAGAAGATTCTGGAGCATGAGGAACCAAACATACATCTGTTACACTGGTTGGGACAAAGCCCGACTGTATCACTACGTATGTGCAACGCCTTACTTCCCCCAGCAGTCCTTCTGAAACACTTGAACTTGAACGTGGATCTGATGCATTACAGGCTGAAGAAAGGTTCATGGTCGACATGGCAACTTATAAACTGATGCATCCATTCTCTAACCCTTCTGGCGCGGTCACGGCAGAGCTCATCGAGGATCAGGTGTCTGTGAAGCTAGATCCTTGGCCCCGGAAAGTCGACAAAACCGAGGAACTATCGGACAAGGCCGCGATGATTCTTCCAAGCACGATATTTGGTTTCAGACTACAAGCGAAGAAGTGGAGTGAGCATGTCCCCTCTTCATGCTATAGTCAGAAATGACACGGCATGATGCACGCGACTTGTGAACTGACGATTATTAGTCAACCTGCTTGTTGATAATTTTCACAGTATCAAATGGCATCCAGAGGCCTTCGGACGTCTCGTTCTCGATGATTCTGTGAAGAAGATGATTTATGCACTGATTAATGTACAGAAATCAGCAGGCAGGATGGATGATATCATTGCTGGCAAAGGTAATGGCTTGATCATTCTGCTCCATGGGAGTCCAGGCACTGGGAAGACTTTGACAGCAGAAAGGTATGTGCAACAGGCCCCGTGTTTACAATGCTGAGAATGTCTAATCATGGGAACCACGCAGCGTCGCGGAGATTGCAGAGAAACCACTGTATCGTGTCACATGCGGAGATATCGGCACTGACCCAAAGGACGTCGAGAACTATTTGGAGACGGTCCTGTACCTGGGAAAAACTTGGGATTGTGGTATATTAAGCCCCAGTCTCAATCTCGGAAAGTCACTGACTCGGCCACAGTCCTACTTCTGGACGAGGCAGACGTGTTTCTCGAGGAACGTACTATGGCGGACCTGCAAAGAAACAGCCTGGTATCAAGTGAGAAGCCACAGATGAATCAGTCAGACTTTCAAACCAGAAAGATTTTAATGCTTCTAGTCTTCCTCCGCACGCTCGAGTACTACGACGGGATTCTCATTCTGACCTCGAACCGCGTCGGCACTTTCGACGAGGCATTCAAGTCCCGCATTCAGGTTGCCATCCACTACGAGAGCCTGACCAAGAAATCCAGGAGGGCCATCTGGCGCAACTTCTTTGACATGATCGAGGAGTCGGAGGACGAGGATGCAAATATGGCCGAGTTGGAAAGGAGACTTGACGAGTTGGCGGCACATGAGATGAACGGGAGGCAGATCCGAAACGCACTGCTCACTGCCCGACAACTTGCGAAGCACGAAGGGGAGAGGCTTGACTGGAAACATTTGAACCAGGCTATGAAGACAGCGGCAGACTTCAATAAGTACCTGAAGACGGTCAAGGGTCACAGCGATGATCAGTGGGCGCGGGAGGAAATGTTGAGGTAGTGGATGATGGTGTTGAGCAGAAGTTGATTTCTGTCCTTCTTTTTTTCTTTCTTTTTTTCTTTTGGCATATGGTTCTTTCAGTCCTCCATTCTCTTCTTTTGTCACAGCTTTGCATGCCTAGGTGCGTATGGAGCCGTGGCAGTCGTCTAGGCTCCCAAGTCCCTCGAGCAAGGCAAGATGTTAATAAATTGACATGAAGCCATTCTTGATACCATCCTCCCATTTGGATTGGGTTGAGTAAGGCCTTACTATGCTTCGGCTTTGCAGGCGGAAATCCGGGCAAAGTGTTGTATCAGAACATCGCTAAAGACAGGCCTACCTTAAATCGCGAACGTTATTGACATAGCATTTAGGTTCAGGTGATGAATCAATGGGGAGCAAAATGCATTCGATACTCGTGTTACGATCTCCGCAGATCCCATCCTAGTAGGACCTCCCATGCACTCGCCGGAGCTGGATGCCTGTTCTGAGTGACACGCAAGACCTTAAAGTGACAACACTCCTACTCCTAAGCGCCTGGCCGATGTAGGCACCAACGTACGGGTTCCACGTGCCATTGAACAGAGAATTGCTGGTGCGCCAGCGAAGGCCAGAATCTGAGCGATCAACGTGACAATCCTGCCGCCCAAGACTCAGTATTCCTGACTCCCTCTGCGGGGTCGCCGAGCATTCTTTTGCGAACAAGTTCATTATCCTGGCAGGCAGAACTTTCTTGACAACCCCCACCGGAGCCGAAGGCATATCTGTCTGGCGGAGCAGATGTACGGTGCCCCCTTCCTCAGTCTCGCACCCACCCTTCATGCTACTCGAAACTGGATATTCAAGATTTATCTCTTCTTCTGCTCAAGCTCTTGCCACTTCCGCGCGGCGGCGTGAGATTTGATCGTGACCATAAGCCGAGGACGGGATCGTGTCTTCTCGGGAGGGTCTGACTCTGCTTCGCCCTGCGGCATCTGAAACTCGACGGTGCGTCGAGTGCCGCCGGTTTTGACTCGACGAGCTCCATCCGTAGCAGCCTTGGCCTGAGCCGCAGGCTCTGTGGAGCCTTCTTGGGTTCGGCTTGGGCTTCCCTTTCGAAGAATTCCACGCAGCTTTGGGCGAGAGAAAGTGCCTCGAGGGGGGGATTGCGCATTCGTGGTCTCTTCAAGACCACTGGGTGCTTGTGGGGCGCTAGCCTGAGCATCTCGGGTGTCATTTGTCGGTATCTTCGTGAGCTCGCTGGGTGAACACGTTTTGCGGTCTGGCTCTGGGCTCAAACCCACCCACTCCCACATGAGGTGATCCTTACCCGTCTTTTTCAGTCTACTGTCTCTGGAAGAAGAAGGGCAAAAGTAATCTCACCTGCGCCGATGCGGACTGCGCAGTATGCAAAGGGGTCTCCAGTGGCAAGGTGAGGACCACGTCGACGGGGTATCTTCCATCGTGCTTGACGACGCGCCGGATCGGCCCATCATAGGTTGGTTTGGGAATGCCGGTCGTCAGAGCTTGCTCGAGGTAATCCAGAGCCTCGCAAGTCGGACCACCCAACGGCCATCCTGGAGAATCATTGTCGCTATCGGGGGCGCCGTCGTTCTCGCTTGCATTACAGTCCGGGGTGACTGGTCGGCGACCTGAGGAATCCATGGTGGTCGGACGACGAAGTCTTGTCGTAGTGTGCATCGATGGGACCAGCAAGGATCGGTCAAACTGAGAAGCAACGGGCCGTTAGAGACTGTTTCCGAGTGTGATTCACAGCTGGGCCGGGGAAGTTGCCGAGGCGATTATTCCCCTGATTCAATGAACCCATTCACGAGAGGTTCTGAGCACGTCAAGGTCAGGCGTCGTTATTCCTAAGGGGAAGTACTCGGTGCTCGGTGATATGCTTGTCTGCTAAGCGTCATTCAAGGTGCCCAGTCATTGTATGTCGACCAGGTACACTAAATTGGCAACTAAAGATCAAAGGGAATATCAGTGATGTCCTGGGTGGTGATATCAAGTTGTATTTTTACATTGTGACTATTATTGAGGGATTCTGACACTCAGATGTCTGAATTATAGGGCATGGTAACATGGGCGCTGTAAGGTTGAAATACTGCTCAAGCTTCTTGTGGTGTTGCCACGAAAGAGAATAACACTAATCTGGATAAGTATGATGAACAACTTGAAGCTCTTTGTGCATTATTCTGAAGATAGCGGAAGACGCAAAACAGAAGACGTAAAAGAAGACGAAAGGAACAAAATACACAGCAACCAATGTATAGCCTCTGTCAAGTACATGGGTAAATGTGCATGTAGGGCCAACTGGTGTTTATTGAAATTGGATTTACACTAAATGCAGGAGTGGGCCGAATAACGAATGCTACTTGGTATGTGGAAATATAATTCAACCATGGCAGACAATACTTGGAACGTATTGTATCAATTCGTTGCGACAGGAACCATGCATGGAGGAAAGGATGGATGGATAGAATCATTAGTTTCAATATCTATTTCATATAGAAAAACCCAAGCCGGTCTATATCTTTCGTGGCTGGCGTCTTGCCAGCTCACCACCGTTCTCATTCTTCCATGTGCCCGCATAGTGATGAGTAACCAGAGTCTCGCCGATCGGGCCATCCGCCTCATCGAATTTGTTGGTCATGTTGGCGAATGCATAGCCGGGCAAAATGGTGACATCGAGCACCCGCACTGGCTCTCGGATGTTTTCAATCATCTCGCGCTCGATCGGTCGCCCCAGAGCCTGCCCCAGGCTCTTCAGTATGCTCCGTGTCATTCTCCGGGGGCCGGTATAGTCGACAATATCCCCGACGATCTCCATTGTCAGCTCGGCAATGGTGACGTTCGCCTCGGCTGTGCTCTGATGAATCGAGTCCATGATGTCGTCGATAACCATCAGCATGTGTGGTAGTCCTGGCTTAGACAAAATAGTCCAGCTGGCAAACTCGTGGGTGTAATCCAAACCCCATCCCGCGTCAAACTCCCAACCGACCAGTAGTGACGTCTCGTTCCTATGCTCCTCGGGGATCCATTCATCAATGGGGAAACCCTCACAGGAGACGTCTAGGTCTGACCATACACCGCCCTCGACGTACAAGAGGAGGTATCTTAGAAGGTCCGCTTTGAGGATTGGAACAGTGAGACTGAGATATGCCTCAACGATATCCGGGCGTGATGCTGAGAAAGTCTTTTCCACCCAATAGTCGGCCGAAGGATCTGAGAAGAACTCATATCTGTATGTGGGATTCTGTTTGATGCAAGTCTGTGTCCACTCTTCAATGTCCTGGCTTTTGCCTTTCGGCCCGAGCTTGTACCATATCCTTTTTGGAATGCCCTCGTCGGCCAGGGGTTGCACTTCTTCAGCTGGCTGCTCTGGGCGTTCCCCGAGGCCTAGGCCGTATCCTGCAGGTATATGGAGATGCTCAGCCAGTTCGTCGGCGATTCGGTCCTGGTGGTTCCATGCCTGATATAGAAGGAAACATAGCGCTACTGAGGAGGCGAGTAGCGTGGTTTTCAAGGTTTTGGATCTAGGCGATACCTGTTGTGCTTGTAATAACATGGTGTATGCTGTTGTTCTAGCGCGAACCACGAAAGATCACGGACGAGAATAGGTGCCACGGAAACGCAGCCTAGATGACTGTGTCCTCGCATGGGTTCATGGCATTTGTTATGTGGTCGACGAGCGCGGCCAAGTCTATCTGAAACCCTCCTATATGACCTGGATTGACTCGAGGCCTGAAACGATTTTGGCTTCCCGCACGCAAATAGACCTCGTGCTGTGAGACGGGTTGCGGGAGCTACTCGTGCGCCATGTGTTCTGAATTGGTGTGCTCCAGGTCCAATTTCTTGGAGACCGATCAAATCAACCCATAGCTTCAGAATGACTCGAATCACCGGGTTCGTCGCCTACGTTCCCTTGTCAACATGGCCATGGGACCAAACTATTACTACGGTTCAGGAGCCATCTTCAACCTTCCTGTACCAGTACCTGACCAGAAAATTGACAATGAATAAAACCTTGTGAAATTGTACATTTCTATAAAGATGCCAAGTTACCGCTAAGATCTTGACGTTCCTTCGGCCCGGGTAGCTTCACTGTTAACGTCGCATTGACGGTTGACGAGCCGCTAAAGCTTATTCCAACATCCTTGATGCCGGATAGAGTTTATGCTTGATTGGGCTTGCGCGGCATCACGACTGACCAAGAGACTTGGGCCGGCCTAATTCAGACCGGCGGCCCTTTCAACAGTCGCCTGCAGCGGAAATAAGAAGTGAGCAGAACGGCCTAATCAGGGAGCATCTTTGAGTGGCGTGCCTAGTTTAACACAGCCTTTCCTTGTCAGCTCAATAAGTGTCAGGCCGATGAATACTTGGATGTCACGTTATGGAAGACGATATGGGACGAGGATGCGGAGAAGTTGAAACATAGGGAGACGGCCGTTGAGGCAATGATCGGCCACCGTTTCTCGGTAAAGCCGAGTCGGGCTCAAGAAATAATCCGGTCTTTTCTGTACCTAGATAACACTGGAAGCTGTGAGACAGGTACAGTAGCCCATACCATGCAATAAAGAAGTACTCGTAGGAGAGTGGCATTCCAAAGGACCCCTTGATTTCAAGCCCCTCGTCTGCCGGATGGACCGGCTGACAACTGACCGAAACCCAGATTTGCATCTTGCAGCTCTCATCAACAGAGGGGTCTCTGGCGCGGGATACTGAAGACATGACCTGACTGATCAAGCTGAAGCACTCTGTATGGCTGAAGATGGCAGTCAACGGGCAGATTTTCTAACTTGGCTGACGCTTGCACTTCCTTTTGGAAAGCGTTAATCCAAACAGGGACTTCAGTTGGGCCTTACGCTCAAAGCTCCGTCTTAACATGTCTTCGTTCTCATGCCCAGCGCCAATCCAATCATTACTAGCAACAATTTGGTAATCGCGATTGGCGGCACTGATTAACAGACATCCAATATCAAACGATTCCAGGACCACATCAGGAGCTAAACGCACTCTCTTTTCCCTCAACAGTGGAATGGTTCAAGATACATCAGGTATTCCGAGACTGTATCACTATTTCTGCCGCAAGCAACCCTCCAGGCGTTGCCAAACCTGCCAGCTGTGGGGTCCTCGGAGACTTGTCCTTCAAGCCGATCCTTAGTCAAAGCCCTTTGAGCCAGCCATATCGTCTCTCCCTAAATCTTCGCAAACCTCGATTGATTTTGCGCTGTTGGACTGGCACCATGGACCAACAACCGGGGCCCACTCATTGGTACGAGTGTAGATGGGAGGGCAAGTTGGCCAAAAGTGCACTCTGACAATGGAAGATATGCAGCCAACTCAACCCCTAACACAAAGGGCCATTCACGTTGCTCGACCTGCAAACTTCCTTTGTTACCCCAAATTACTTGATCACATTATTCTCCAGCCCTTTGTGTGCAGGTGATACAACACGTATATCACTACTCTCTCCAGCCTCTCTTTCCTACAGCTCTGTTGTGATCCAGATCAACATCTACAATACAACGTTCAATAAACAGATACATTTCACAACAATCAACATTCTACAATATGGTCTACAAGACTTCACTCATGGGCCTATCCCTCGCTGCTGTTGCAGCAGCTGACAGTGCGGGCCCAGCAATTCTTTATGCTGCCTCCTACTCCGGCGACATTACATCACTGTCCTTGGAAAACAGCAACGGTGGCTACATGCTCCACAAGAACTCCGTCGCAACCGGGTGTGGTGCCAATCCTGTGTGGCTTGAGCAAGACAAGGAACGAAACCTCCTGTACTGCTCCGATGAAGCCGGCACTATTGGTGTCTTTGGGGTCGATTCTGAGACACCTGGCTCCTTAGAGCCCATAATGCAGATGAATTCATCTTATGCCCCAGTGGCCAGCACCCTGTTCAACGTGGACGGGAACCATGGCATCGCCTTCGCGCATTATGGCTCACCTGACGGCGGCCCACCCGGTGCCGCAGGTATCACCACTTATGCTGCAGGTGCTGATGGCGGCCTCCAGCTCACTTTTAACTTGACCACGGTCTCTGCTAGAACCGGTCCGAACCTGGAGCGCCAAAGCGCATCACACATACATCAGGTTGTTATCGACCCGACAGGGAAGTTTATGGTAGCTCCAGATCTCGGCGAAGACTGTGTACATGTATACCGTGTCCAGAATTCACCTCAGATTTCTTCGCTAACGGACATACAACTCCCGCCCGGATCTGGGCCCCGTCACGGCGTGTTCCAAAAGGTTGGCAAGAGCACGTTCTTCCACGTGGTCAGCGAGCTGGCCAATACCGTTACATCCTTTAAAGTCTCGTACGTTGGAAACAACAACTTCAGCATGACCCAGGTCGGTCAAGTTGGCACCTTTGGTGACAAGCCCATCCCCGCTGGTGCCCTCGCAGGCGAGATAATTATATCGCCGGACGGCTTCATCACCGTGTCCAACCGTCTGGACAATTCCTTCACGATTCCCGGTTTGGACCCGAACAACCCAACCCAGGAGGAGCAGTCTGACTCGCTTGCTGTCTTCAAATCCGACAAGCAGGGTAAGCTTTCCTTTGTCAACCTCTACCCGGTAGGCTGCCAGAGCCCCCGTCACATCCAAGCCAACAACGATGGCTCTTTGCTTGCTGCTGCGTGCATGGCCAACAACCGGGTTGTAGTTTTGGAGCGGAACAAGGCTAACGGGGAAATTGGCAACTTCGTTGCTAATTACAGCCTGACGGCGGCAACCTTTGTGGGTTGGCGTGATGGATAAAGGCCCTCCAATTCTGTAAGATTTATTTCACTCGGTGAAACGCTCACGATTTAGTTGGCTTGTGCTCCTCGAATAAATTATTCATTAGATACACTTTCTGACACCGCCTCTTGTACTAATGACATATTTTCTCAAGCCTGCATTCAAATAGACTTTCAAAATTCTACGTAGACTTGTGAGAACGCATAAGAATGACCACACTCGAGGACGAGATTTATAAATGATGAAATGAAGTCATCAACGTGAAATGTAGGTGTATATTCCGAAACAAGATACGATGCTCAACAACAGAGCCGGAGAAATGTCAAATGGTTACTTCTTGAATTTGAGACTCTCGATGCTTGGGAACGTACCAGTGAAAATATGCGAGCACCGGGTGAGCTTGAGATGCCCAATCAAGACTTTGTTGACGAATTGGCAGTTCGAGTCCATGTTTTTATTGAGGTCCACAAATTCCTGTGCGTGAGGGAAGATAATCTCCGCGCAGGTGGCGTTGGACCATCTGGCTCCTTTCCATGGGGCATTTGATCCGCACCTCACGCTAGATCGTGCGTAGTCTTAGGAAACTGTCCATCTGCCGAGGCCATTATGAATGTCTCTGCATCCTTCCTCTAATCACTCTCGCGTGCTAGGAGGCATGTACGAGATGGCCGGACCTCTCAGCCAAGAAATGGACGGATAAGGTTATAGCCGTCGGTCTGGATTGAACACGGGGTTCCCCTCGTTGTGCCCCGCTTCCAATGTTTCCTGGACGGATGTTCACGCCATGTTCTTGTCCTAAAATGCGACTCAATGGAGAGCAGCCACAGCAAATGGTCGAGCGTCCCCACCGAGTCCCCATGGCGTGACCCAGATCCCCAGCCGTGCTCGACGGAGAGAACGGGGAAATAAAAGAGGACGCCCGCCGCGTCCGGGGTGCACGGCCTGGCGTGGGGCAACGCGACCGACGGGCGACGGCACGCAGCTGCTGTGCGTGGCTGACCTGACGGGCGACATGATCTAGGCCAACGCGGTGGGCGGGGATACGGGAGGCGTCACGGTGATCGGTCATGTCAGCGTCGAGTCGGCTTGGGCGCCGAGGCATGTCGCGGTGCACCCTTCGTCAAAGTACCTCTACGCGACGATGCAGACGCCGAGCCTGCTGGTGTCGTACGAGCTGGATGGGGACACGGGCTTGGCTGGGGAGGAGGTGTTCCGGTCGTCGCTGATCCCCGAGGCCAGCTCGTCAACGTGGTGGGCGGCCGACCTGGCGGTCTCGGCCAGCGGGCGGTACCTCTGGGCATCTGCGCGTTCCATGTCGACGGAGTACCCGGGCCACATCTCGGCATATCTCCTGGCCGACGACGGGGCCATTATTGAGCACATGTTCCAGGCGCCCACGTCTACCGACGGTGCCGAGGGGAACGTTGTCGCGCCGGCTCCGTGGTCGGACGAGCACATGGCGGCGACCTACTATGGGTCGCATGTCGTCACGGTCTGGAAGATGGACCACCCAACAACGAACTCGTCCGATGGCTTGACACGATACCAGACAGCTAGTGAAGTGGTCAAGGTCGGGCCGGCCAGCGGAAATGTCACTGGTGGTCGCTGTGGTGCTCTGTTGTGGTCGGACTGGGTCGGTAGCCTTGCAAACATACAGAAACTCGAGGAAAACCAAAATACATCTCGCTCACATCGTGCTAGCCATGCCCAGTAGCAGTAGTATCGAAAGAAGCCACCACCGTCTCCACAAGGTCATCCAGAGTGAGGCCAACAAGCTCATCCTTCCTGTCGCACATGAAAGTCAAGCACCGCTGCAGCACCTCCATGAAGCTCACCGGGAAGCCATTCTCCTCCCTCCACCTGATGTACCCCTCCTCCTCCCCGTCCAGCAAGAAGATCGAATCAATGCCCATCCGCATGACATTCACAGTCGTGTGGCACGGGAAATCCGCCAGGAACTGCTCGGGCCCGTCCTCGATCGTCTTCGCCCACAGGCTCCCCGTCGGCAGCTCGCGCCAGTTGTACTGCACGTGGATGTCCCTCGCCGTGTCCGCCGCCTCGACCAGCAGCCTGTTCGCGTTGATGTCCGCCACCTTGAGCGCGGCCTGGTGGCAGTGCAGCCACAGGGACTGCCGCGCGAGGGCGAGGGCGAAGCGGAACGGCGGGCAGAACATGGCGAAGGCGCGCGACTGGTCGATGCCCGGGATGCGCGTGTTGCGGGACGACGAGCTGTTCCCGAAGCAGACGGACCTGGGCAGCGCGCGCGTGCCCTGGTACTCGAAGGCCGCCAGTGCCAGGGGCATGATGGTCTGGACGACTGTGGGCGCCGTCATCCCGAGTGCGAGGGTTAGGCCCTTGAGATCGCCTGTCCAGATGGCCTGGTGGAAGGCGCCGTCTATGGACCACCGGGACACCCTGCCGCCGACGCCTGCTTCCGGTGGCGGAATGTAGGGCGGCCGTTCTGCGGCGCCGTGGCTTGCGGCGTCGTCCCTCCAGAATTTGGCCTTGCTGGCATGATTGATTTTGGCCCTGTTGAGAAGATCGCGGACCAGTATCCCGGTTGGCAGGGGCTTCTGCGGCAGGTTATCCACCGTTGCTTGCCCCAGGTACAGCTTCACAACGTTGTCTCGCAGCCTAGAGCGGGAAGTGTTATCGGTCACGATGTGGCTGTCAACAAAATAAAATCCTCGACATTTCTCGCCCTGTTCGTTGGGGTAGCTAACGAGCAAGTACTTCTGTTCGAACGACACCTGAAGTCAGCATCCGCACAGAGCTAGCCAGACCTGATACGTGGTCGATGCGGCGACTTTGCTTACCGACCCACGACAGCCAGGAGTGTAACGCAATGCGTCGTGTTCTTGTTGGAGCCTTTCAAGCATAGCTTGTTTGGAGGAGGCGGACCACTCTTCCCAATTCAGTGGTGCGGCATTAGGCTTGGCTATAACTTGCAGCCACTCTTCAGATGACGGTAGCCGAGCGAAATAGGTTCGCGGAAGCTGTGTCCACGAAAGAAAGCTATTAGCGTGTCTTGACTATGCAGAAGCCTTTACGAGAAGTCTCGTCACGCACCGGTTCTGCCTTGGCCGCCTCCGTAAGTGCCCATTTTAACCTTTCGATATCAACAGAATCTTGAATCGGAGCCCCCATCGTGACGAATGAAGCTGCTGTGTCCTTGAGGCTATATTTGTTTGTCAAAGTCGCGCTTAAGAACCACTTCGCCTCAGGGGACAAGGGGAGGACATCATCTAGCTGATCAACCTGCAGACCTGTTTGCTTCGCCACGTCGGCCAAGATAAAGTCGACGGACGGTACACCTTCCAGGCTGTGGATGTGCTCGCTGAGGACAGAGAAAGGCGCAGGTGGTTCGTTGGCATCAGCTGCGTCTAGGTCAGGACTGTCGGTCTTGTTGATTTCTTTCCGGGCGGAATAAGACTTTATACACATGTCGATGACCTGCTGAACCGTGGGATTCAGTATTAGATCCGACATAGCGATACTGCACCCTATATGACGCAGGTCGCTCAAAAGCCTCGTCAGGCTCATTGAGTCAGCGCCTAATTCCAAGAGCGTAACTTCAGGCTGAACACTGTCGGCGTCCACGCGCAGAGCCGCTGTCATTAGTTTAGATATACGGCCAGGGAGATCCACGGGATCTATGTCGACAACCTTTCCCTTGCCTTCGCCATCAGCCGGCTCTGCGAGCGTTTTGGCCAGTTGAGCACGCTGTATCTTTCCCGTGGGGCCTTTTGGGATTTTGTCGTCGAAGAAGTGGATACGTTTGGGGATTTTGAAGAGGGCGAGCCGTTCTTCAAGAAGCCTCTGAATAGTTGCCTCCTCGCGCAGCTCCTTGGGTGCATCTTTCGCGAGGACGACGGCAGCCTCCACCTCCTGGCCAAAGAACTCGTCCGGGACCGCGAAACATGCCGCCTCGCGGACGTGCGGCGCAGCGCAGAGGACCATGGCCTCGTCGACCTCAGGTGGCGAGATTTTCTCGCCGCCGCGGTTTATTATCTCGGACTTCCGCCCCACGATGCGTAGGTTCCCCCCGGCTTGGCCGTCTAGAACACCGATATCGCCCGTGCGGAACCAGGGCGTACCGTCAGAGTCGGTGAAGAAGGCCTTGGCGTTGGCTTCGGGATTGTCGAGGTAGCCCCTCGTGACAGAGGGCCCAGTGATGCAGATCTCGCCCTGGACGTCGGTCGCGAGCGGACCAGCGGCGGGGTCATCGCTGAAGATGCAGAGGCGCACTGAGCCTGATGCTTTGCCGACGTGCCCTGGCGTGGCTTGACCGGGGATGTTGGTAGTCATTTGATGAGCATTTTCGGTCATGGCATATGCTTCCAACACTGGGCAATCGAAGACCCTCTGCAGCTCTTTGAAGGTCGAAGGCAGCAGTGGCGAAGAGCAGCTGCGTAGGAACTTGATGCCCAGATTAGGGCCGGCGTTTGGTGCGTGGAGGAGGATCTGCAGCGCTGAAGGCGTGCCCGAGAGCCAAGAGCAGCTCGATGCGACGAATTCGTGCCATGCCACGTTGGCGTCAAACTTGCCTGGAACCACAACACTTCCCCCAGATGCCAGAGGCGCGAGCAGTCCGGCGACAATGCCATGGATGTGGAAAAGGACCTGGATGAGGTAGCCACGGTCACTAGGACCGAGACCGTAGGCCTGGGCCACGTTCTGAGCGCCGTAGCAGAGGTTGGCGTGGGACAATGGCACGGCTTTGGGCTTGCCTGTCGTCCCTGATGTGTGCAAGATGAGGGCTATGGAATCGGCCGTGGGAGAAGCGACGAGAAGACCCACGCCGTTGGATTTGACCTTATGCTTTTCTGGTTCCTCCGACTGTTCTCCCGTCTCAAGCACTTCTACATCCAATTGCAGAGATGCTCGCTGATCTTGTTCGATCTGGATCGAACAGACCGGAATGCCAAGTTTGCGAGCAGCCACGGTTCCCGGATATGCATCGCCCGCATAAGCTGCGTCGACGACCAGAACGCTCGCTTTTGAGTCGCTCAGGTAGAACTGCCGCTCAGCGTCAACATTATCATCACACGTCCAGACCAGTCCAAATAGGCTGCCGTACCTCATATTCCGGGACGGTGTAGGCTGGGTTCAGCGGAGCAGCGATGACACCACGGCTGACCAAGCCCAGAAAGGTGCAAACGAAGCCGAGGCCGTTGGGAAGGGCCAGCGCAACCACCGGCTGTCCGTCTATACCGACTCCGCTTGAATTGGCCTCACCCTTCGACAGAATCAAGTCGGCCACCTGCTGGCTAGCCTGCTGCAGATGCTGACGTGTCAGTGCTATCTCGTTCGGAGCTGGCGCGAACACCGCGGGCGCGGACGCCTCAGCATTCTCCGTCCCGAAAATGAGATTGGGAAGAGTTTGAGTAGTCATATTTGCAGTGAGACAGAAAATCTCAACTGTTCATTTAGAATGGGACACGAGGGATTGCAAGAGGGTGGAAAGGGCCACTTGACGCCATAAACGAACATTGTTAAAATGTGCCACGTAACTTCCCCTGTCACCCACCATCTCAGGTGATCCAACGAGAATTACAGCTGCCACCGGATGATTAAGCGGAGATTTGTGGGGCCTGAGGATGACGAAGCTCATCACCCCGGAATTGCAGATTGACAGTCAGATGCATCCGTGTGGACCACCAGCCCATACCAGTTTCCCCTCCAGCGACGATCCTGTGATAAAACGGGAATGCCGCTCGTCTGGGCATTTTGCGCTGTGTGGTGCTGGTTGGCTTACACGGCGGGAACCAGTCCCTGGAAATTATCAGCTTACACATTTGTAGCACCTATGTGCATGCATAGTGCACATGTACCGAGAAGAGTGTGTTGATGGCATGGATATCGGGCCTGTCAGAGACGCAGCAGCTATCCATTCCGTATCTAGACGAAGCATCATCGCTTTGGTGGCTATACCGGCAACAATTTAGCAGGTTAGTGGTGTGGGCCAGTGACACGTGCCGGATTCGATTCTGGGCACAGGAATCATGTTGTACCTCCATCTCCAGGGGATCTCATCTGTGGGAGCGATACCAGCACATATGTACATAGGGCAAAAAGTAAAGGCGCCGCTAGTTACAGAATTGTGCTTGATTCAAGTGCTCCTTCTTTTGATAAGCGAAGGTTCATCTTTGCGCTGTGGGAATGGAGCAAGGTGCTCACAATCAGTCTAACACACCAGGCAAATTGGCTTATTGCCTTGTCAACCCACTGTCTTGCAAGGCCGCAGACATTAATGCTTTAATCTATATGACAAAATAAGTATGATGCTTAGAATCAGAATCCTATCGCCAGCATGGCAGGTCTCTGAAAGAATCGCTGGAGGACATGTACTCTGTGTCACACCTTAGCAGAAACCTATCACCATGGGCTTCATGGACACCGATCCGCCGAAATCTCCCCATATCTTTCCTGTCATTTGTCTCCACATGCTCGGGCAAAAAGGAACCATACCGAAATGCACCGAAATGCAATCAATGGCATCAAGAAAAGGCGGCCTGAATCATTCAAAGCCGTAAGCTCGGATGAACTTATCTCAAAGTCAAGCCTGATTTGTCCTTCGAGCAGTCCCTCCCATGTTGCCGAATATAAAACAAGATCCGAGTCTGCCTGTGGGTGCTCATTCTTTGCCAGCAACTTGTCTGACCCAGTAGCAGGGGCAGCTCGCTCAAGGCTAATTGGTCTCAGAAAGCCTGTTAATCTGATCTCAACCGTCGGCACTGCCGGCAATAAAAAGTTGTCCTCCGTTAAGGCCCGTCCTTCGCTCCCAGTGGCATCTGATGCCTCTGGGGACGTGCGATATTTGATGACATCCAAGTCTGCCAGACATTTCACATGACAGGTGTCTGAACGCATATCAGCTTGATTCCTGACTTCTCCACCAACTGAAGGCCATGAAAAGGTTAGGTGATGGCGCCTTCTCTCTTTTTCCTCCCAGTCCTCCCTCGGTGTCGACTCCGTCATTTGCAACAGCATATCAGTGATAAGACGGCTTCGCCATAACCCAGCGATGTAGAAATCATTATCCCAGAAGCTTCCTTTGAAATACTGGGCCACGCCTGACAATGCCACAAGCCTGTCTTCAGATTTTGCTCGTGTCAGCTGCCGTCTTGTGTATTGCCCCAACAAGCCATGCCAGAGGCAGTGTTTGCCGAAGTTATGTCGAGGAAGCTCTGAGCAGCCGCCGCCTGAGCCGCCGGTCTCAGCTGAAGATGCTGACCCTCTTTCCGTGACAGCAGGGATCGGTAGGTGTTCTTTAAACAAAGGCAGGGGCCTTCCCCAAGATTCTTCACAGTCTTCGTCTGACCCCAAAGACTCGTTTGCCCTCATCTCCCGGCATTCGAAGAGGACCTCGTGATCGCCAAAGTGAAGATTTGCACGGGACAAAAGCGGCTCCTGAAACACCCATCCCCGGGAGGCCAGAGGGGATTCATTCATCCGTGCGTTCCATATCACTTGGGGGCCTCCTTGCGAATGAGGTAATTTTGAGGCCCTGATGGGCTTCGTGACAAGAATAGACCGCCGTTGTCGTCGTTCTTTGAGGCGCATATGTTGAACTCTGCATTTGAGTACACCTTCTGCATCATAGGCGACTCCCTTCTCCAGTCCACATAATCATCACCGTCCTGAATGATGCAAAGCGAATCAATCCAGACGTAGGGTATTCCAAACTTGTGGGCGACAAGAAAAGCATCGCGAAAGGTCTGGCGCAGCATCTCCCCTGGAAGACTAGCCTTCCACAGCGCCAACTTGCCCTCCGTCAATTTGTGGAATCCCTGTTGGCCCTGTGGCCAACGGTGACTCAGTGTGATGTACCTCAGACTTTGGGGCATATCTTCCGACTGGGGTTCCACAAGCCGGCACTTCAGGTGGTTTGCGTTGTCACTGATTTCGGGCGCCAATGCGACTTCGATGAGGCGTGTCGGGTTCCATCCCACGTCCGCCTCGTTTCTCCGGAGACGGCATTTGTTATGTGTCTTCCCACATCTCCCGAGCCAGGTTTTGAGCTTTGTCAATTTCTCCTCAGACCTCGCCGAAGATGAAGTAAGGGTCCAAGGGAGGGGTTCAGCTTCGACAGGATACACCCTCTGACCCAGTCTTTCGAGTATGTCTACCCAGTGCAAAGACGCTTCCGCATCCCGAACCTCGTAGATAGAGCCGTATAGTCCCATGCCTTGTGTTGACCCAATTGTTGTTATACCGTGTCAACCAAGCCTTACTGTCATCTAGCTTGCGTCACTTGTTCACTGATGGCTCGGATGTCTCAGCCTGCCCGCGGATCCCCTGCTTCCATTCTTCTCGAACCTGGGAGAAGAGCCCTTGGCAGATATAGCATCCCTCATAAACAGCTGCAAGGAATGACCGGCAAGTACTGTGGATGTTCTGGGTATGGCCGTCTCTGAGAACGCTGATGCAGGAGTGACATAATGCCATATCGCTGAATACTGCAGTGTGAAGGGTGGGTTTCGACTATGTTCCACGATATGATTGATTGTTGCAATGATTAATTTGACCAAGACTTGTGAAAGGATACGACAAATACTGTGGGAATAATGGGTGTCGTTTGTATGGAGGACTGTTTGGGACTAGGCAGCTTTGACCCGTCAGGGTGCTCGGCAGGCAGCAGCCCTGGCGCTGCATACAAAATAGCTAGCACAGTCAGGCCTTCTGCCTTCCTTCCTTCCATAGTTAACAACGATCAACCACTACACCAACCAAACGTCGTATTGCAATACGTGACCCAGCCAACAAATACATTAATAATTTTCTTGCAGAAGGGCAATCGCAGAAGCTTCATGACAATAACAAGCGCACATTCGGTATACCTTTTCTACATAAGAATGAGGCATGGGAAGAGGATTGGCTCCCTTATATGCGCGTCGCTGTTTGCATTGCGAACTCGCGATGTGGATCTACCATCGTTCTGCAAAGCTGAAAACCCGCAACGGGATCTCACGGAGTGCAACTCCGTGATACACATGGGAAATAGAGCGGCTGACGACAAAACGACAGAGTAGAGCCTCCTTGGCTGCCGTGCCACTGTGATACAGTCCGGTCTCACCGCTGCAGTGGTAGCCTCAGGATGAATTTCTGATGCCTCACCCACTTGTCTTTGTTGGGTCCTGCAACGCGAGGGGGCAAGATGACTGCAGGGGATGGTCTGATGATGCGGAACTACAGACAAGCTGAGAGTCCCGTATACAGGTCTCGAAGAATTGTTTCCTGTTCATCTTGTTGCTATCTTGAGTCGGGATCTTACCTGCAGGTACCTGAAGCTTACAGTGGAGATGGTTCGGTTGGATGTGAGTTCTCGATAATTGAGTTTGGCACGTGTATTCTGCTGCAAGGGGTATGTGCACGTCAAAACCTCGCAGAAACGTGGTAGACAGGGCAGAAACGTGGTAAACAGGGGGCAGGACTCCGCCACTCCGGGTGGACGCAGCCCCGGATCAGGGACTCGCCCGAAACTGACCCAGGGCTGAGCCGCGTGGCCCAAGTAAACTCCACCGAGATCATCGACCTTCCTTTCACATAATAGCGCAGCCCATGCCCCTGTTCTCGAGCGCCTTGATCCGGTCCGTGAGCGACTGCACCGCCTCCTCGTTCATGCGCCTCTCGTCCCGCAGCGTCTTCTCCAGCTCGCCCAGCCGGCCCTGGTAGTGCTCCTGCAGCGCCTCGATGACGGTCCTGCTCTCCTCGGCCGACGAGCGGATGACCCCCTCCATCTCGGCCAGCTCGCGCCGGTGCTCCTCCTTGAGGCGCGCCAGCTCGAGCATCACCTCGCGGCCCGCGGCCGTGTCGCGCAGCGCCTTGTTGTCCTTGCCCATCTCCTCCTGCAGCTGCAGGTAGAAGGGCTTGTTGCCCAGCAGCCCCGAGGCGATGCGCCGCGCCGAGTCCGGGCTGTCGTGGTGGTGCCGCGCCGTCTTGGCGCCCATGGCCAGCAGCAGCTTCCAGAACTTGGACCTGAGCTCGTCCTCGCGCCTGAGGCCCTCCTCCTCGGGGACCCTGTCCCACATGGTCGTCGCGAGGGTCACGTTCTTGAGGTTCTTCTCGCCCGTGAGCTTGCGGAACATCTCGAGGTTCTTGGTCGTGTGGTGGGTCACGCGGTTGTCGGAGATGGGGTGCAGGTAGATTATGCCCGAGAGCTTCATCTCCTGCTTGTAGGCCACGGCCAGGTAGTCGGCGATCATCTGGAGGACTTCTGTGTCGGAGAGGTTCGTGTCGGAGAAGCCTGGCGTGTCGACGAAGCGGACTGTCTGTCCGTCCAGCTTCGTCTCGATGACTTGTATGTCTCGAGTGCCTGGGCAAGTCTGTCAGTATGGTGGCTTGAGTTTGTCTTGTAACTCTACACTGGCAGGGGACGGACATACATGATGTGAGGTCGTGTCCGATCTGGAGATCAGTCCGGCCGGTGACCTTTGATATGAACGTTGTCTTTCCAGAGCCGGTCATGCTGGGTCGATGTCAGTGATGAGTTTCTGATGCGAAATGGCAGATGCGTACCCCATGACGGCGATGAGGGCGTCCTTGCTCATGAACTTGTTGTACATGGACTTTGTGTACTTCAGTCCATCGTTGACCAGATTGCCACTCTGCTCTCCCTTGGCACTGTCGGGTCCGCGATAGAAGTCCTCGATGGACTGCTCCGACAGCTGCTGAGCGGCATGACCAACGGTAGGATCAAAAGCCTGCGCCTGTGGAATTTGAGGTACTTCGTGTGGCCCTGCAAGCCGCCCTGAGCCCGCGTTATGGCTTAAAGGGGAGCTCTCATGCAAGTCATCGCTTCCATCGCTGACGTCACTCACGGCTTCGACGTCGTAGATTACGTCGAATCCATCGTCCGATTGGGCCGGAGTGGTGATTCTGACCATGTTGGCTTGGAGGTAGAATGACGGAGATGCAAATTGTTGAAGATCAGTTGTTCGGTGGTTGGTTTAGAAGACGGCACTGTAAGACGTGGGATGGAGGGAGGGGCAATTTGTAGCAGCACACCAATCTTGGTGGCAAACATGGTGCATCTCCCAAGGGACCTTGCTGGTCATGTGGCCAACCAATCCACAGAGTCCTCAGGCTGCAACATTTTGAATAGATGGCTCTGTTTCGGGTGCCTGCTTGGGACCAGGCAGGCTTTTTGGCTTCGCTCCCACCACTGCATGATTATTCTTTGACTGGAGGTCCAGGTAAGCAAGGAATGATGTTGCTCCTTGCCGGGTATGGTAATGTAGCTTTGGGCTTGTATTGTTACACAATCAAATTGGGTACGGATTTATTGATGTGCGAAGCAACCACGCATTTTTCTCAGAACATGGAGACAATTTACATTTTCAAGTCACATGCTTAAAGGTTAATAGCTTGATGTTAGCTCTGTACAAGTTTTTCATGTAGTGTGAATAAAGCGAAGGGTGGTAATCTTGAATGTTTGCCTCATTCTTATCTTATCTTATCAGTAGTGGTCCCTGTCGCATCTAATCTATAATTTGGTATGGCTAATGGGAGCATGCAACACTTCAGCGGAGATGGTGAACCTAAGTGCTCCCTGAAAGAAATGTAAGCCAACGTATAATCTCAGGCTGTATAGTAGTAAGATTGAAAAATAATGAAGCAGGGTTGAGGAGCTAGAGCTTAAGTATTGACTTGACTTAATCTACACAGCAGAGCCTGACGGGCTGTGCAACGTCACCTGCAGGATGAAAACGTTCTCTATTGGCTCATTCTAAGCGTGTCAGCATGTCAGACAACCTTTTCTCCTCATCGCGAGGCAATCAACTTGGCCCCATGATTCTATCTGTGTTTGCTCGGCCTGATCCTTGATTCCAGTTATTCCAGTCCCAAATTTTCCTCGTTTTTCTTTCGCATGGAGGTGGGGGACTTGGGAAAACATGCGAGCAGCAACCCCTATTCTCAACGGCGACATCGAGGCTTCTTGCCCCTCAGTCAGCATGGTCAACATGTATCGATACCAGCCGCTCTCAGATCCACGAGCTACTCGCCTCATCATGCTTCGCAAAAGCCATGATGTCAGCGCACCGCTGTCTTGCGCCATCGTGGAAACCACGCTGGACAAGCCCGCCAATTACTACGCGCTGTCATATACCTGGGGCACCGAAGCTCCGAGCGAAGCCATGTACATTTTTCCCGCTGGAGATTCCACCACGGTCAGCACGTCAGCTGAAGTTATTCTCTTGACCCCAAATTGTGCCACAGCACTCAAGATATTGCGCAAGCGATTGGCAGATACCGATGCTGGGGTATGGGTCGATGCGGTGTGCATCAACCAGTCTAATGTCGCCGAGAAGAATGTGCAGGTGACGATGATGGCCAATATCTACAGTCTCGCAAAGTGTGTAGTTGTGTGGGTGGGCCAGCAATGGGCGCCGAAGAACACAAGGAGTCTGGTATTCTTATCAAATAAATGGCTGGGTTGGATTAAAAAGAGAGCAGCATGCCCTCACAAGAGAGAAGATCTTTGGCGTTGGACATCAGTCCTCATTTGCGGCATGGCGTCAAAAGGTATTGTGGGCGGAGACTCTTCGAGACCGTTAGCAGAATTGGGATTGCTGATCAAACGTGATAGTCTGCGGCGATAAGAAGATGCTCCAGGGTCTGACTGAGGCACCTTATTGGACTCGGGCCTGGACTCTTCAGGAGATTGCGCATTCTCATGTCAAGTTGCTCTGCAGGAATGACCATGTCATTGACTTGAAATCCGTGTTCGACGGTATTGGTTTCGTTGGAACGCGCAGTACTGACCGGCCAGGATTCATCTACCATGAAATATTTTTCCGAAGCAGCCAAGACCCGCGAACAGAACGTCCTTGGCACTGGTCCAAAGAACTTGATATTTATTACATGAGCTGGTTCATCTCTATGAAGGCATCGGATCCGAGAGACAAGATATATGCAACGAGAGGTCAGTTTGCGCGGACGTTCGGCAAGATACCAGTGGACTACAATCGATCCATTTCGTCAGTCTTCGCCGATGCTACGAAGCAGATTATCTGTGACGGTTCAGACGATGCAACTGGAATGTTAGTTTTGGCAAATGCAAGCCGATCAACAACATTGCGCGACCTTCCCTCTTGGGCTGTGGATTGGGCCTCTGAGGACATCACAACGCGCTTTTGGGAGTCCGGTGCCCCGCACCTAGTCTTCAAGGCAACTAGAGAAAGCCAGGCCCGGCACCGCTTCTCTGAAGACTTGAAACGGCTGTTTCTTATGGGCACGGTTGTTGGCACAGTGCAAGAGAGACACGTCGGCCCACAACTGAGCCAACACTTCCGTCCGAGGGGAAAGGATCCCGAGGAAGACATGACGGAGAATCCAGAAACAACGAGGGCAGTCTACAAAGCAATTTCATCGTGGGCGTCCGACCTTACAGCTGCGGCCGAGAACGGTCCGCGGAACACTGAGCCCGCAGCAGGCGTCCAGAACAGTACGTTGCACAGCTTTTCGAGTTTGCTATACCTGATAAACCACAAAAAACCGCAAGAGGCCTTGCAGTGGACACCCAGGAACAGTCCCACGAAGATCGTCAAATATATAGCCTCAAAATCATGGACGCGCCAGTTTTTCTGTTTACTATATCTTGGAACGGGTCGACTGTTTCTCACAACAGACGGTCGCTGTGGTTGTGGCCCTTGGGGCCTTGAACCCGGAGACCTGGTATGTGTATTTTCGGGGCTGCAATTTCCGTTCGTTGTCCGGCCACAGGGCTCGGAGTACACTCTTGTCGGAGCAGCAATTGTTGATGGTGTGATGGACGGTGAGATGTGGCCCGAGGACGAGACCAAATTGACCGAGTGGGAGTTCATATAAAGGGAAGACGGGAGTCGAGGAGTTGAGAAGGAAAGAGAAGACCTGATGAAGCTAGAAGGATCATCTAACAACCACACATCGATGAAAGAGCCGCGAGTGGGTAGATATGTCGTTGACACCTTCAATAAAATCATTAGCTTGCCTTATTCCACCTTGAAACTGATTGGGTGCATCCGTTCCAGCTCTCCGCCTGCTATGAGGCCACCACCACCTGCAATACTCAAAAAACAAGATGTGCTGGTCGTCGCCGCCGGATGCTCCATTTGCTTCTGTTGCAGCATAGAACTCTGTGGCCTCATGTTTGACATCGACCATAGTGCAGGGCCGGAGTGGGTAGAGCTGTGGCAGCTCTCGCAGGACCGGACCCCCTCCCACAAGTCCATCCAGATCGGCTATGCGTCAGCACCCGTCAGCGGCGGTTGAGGTGATGGCGAGTGTTCTTGACAATCGGACGGAAGTTGACGTCTCCGGTGAAGCTGACGGCAAGGTGTGTCTGGGCAACATTTGTGGGATTGAACATGTAGGAGGCGTCTCGGGAGTACAAGTTCCAAGCGACTGTTCGTGGCGATGTCTAGATGACCGCATACCTACCTAGGTAGCTATGCCCTCCCACGTTGGAAACATCGGGCATGAGGAATTGGAAACGTGCAAACTAACAATAGTCCAGTGTCTTGATCTGTGAACATTCACTGACCTCGTAGTCGCTCTTGGAGTGCATCATGCTTGGGCCAAAGCACCTCCCGGTTGGTGGTGCATGTCTGCCAGACCATCTACATCAATCCAAAGTTCTTGGACGCTGCTGGCTTCAACTGCCATCCGCCCGCCCAGTCCTTCTTCCTTCCTCGACATCCGATCTGGCCCTCAATTGCTTCACTCCGTATCCACCAAATGCCTGCCGAAAGCAACTCCAACGAAATCATATTGCACCGATCATGCCCTACCCCAATAGAATTAGTGCGCTGCACGGCTTCAGTGACCGTGGGTAGACTACGGTCAAGCGCGAGTGGATGGCAAGCGCCTGATGTGCTGTCGTTTTAGAACCTTAATCAGGGACACCTGGTTAGCGACAATGTACTTGAAAATGGCAGAAGACACTGATGCGGTATGGCAGAGAGTCAATGGAGCGCTTTGCAAACGGTTTTCGAACAGAAATCTCCATGGCCGAGAGGTACGAGCAGCTGGCTTTCCAAGGTCGGGAGCAAACTGCAAGTCATGACCACCACTGATGTGCATCCCCTTGCAACGAGCGCCATTGAGTTGAACGTTCAGCCAGGTCAGGGAATGGAGTGATTTACTCGAATAAATGAACTGGGAATTCATTAGGCACGCATTGACTCTAGCCATTTTCTACTATCTTTATTCGATCAATTAGGCTGCACAGCTTTGCCAAACGACACCGAAAGCTGTGGAGAAGCCGATTGACGGTTTAAAGTCGTGCAACCGAACAAACGGGTCAGACCCAGCCAGCAAAGACACCATTCACTTCCTCATGTTCACATTTTCCACGTCGCAGGTGCCCCACTAGCATCGGACTTCCACTACGACTCTGATCCAACTTCACACCCTTTTCTTCCCGCTATGTTTTGTATCATTTGGGCTCCAGCACATCTCTCGTTTGCTCGCGACAAAGATCCCCTCTCACGGTCCAAAACACACAAGACAACATGACGGACCAAGCAGACATCCCGCTCATGCAAGCTGGCTTGCCAGACCCCGGCAAGATTCCCACAAGCCCTCTGGCATTGGAGATGTTGAGCACGATCTACCTCACTGCAGCCGTTGCGTACATCACCTACGGTCTCCGCATGTACAGCAGAATCACGTCCAGGCAAACAGGACTTGGTAAGCACGAAGACTCAGCTTTGGACAATGGTTGCGTTTGTATCACGGTGCTGACCTTTCGACCGTTGCACAGAAGACTGGTTGATTACCGCCGCTACGGTTCGCTACCCTTGCTCCATCGAAAACGTACCTTTCTTACACTGAACGACTCACAGATTCTGTCCATGGGCTTCATGGCTGTTCAATACCGGTGTAAGCCCATCTTTCTTAGCCGTGGACGATGTGAGCTGACCAAATTCTGTTCGCAGATCTCAAGTACAACTACGCGGGATTCAAACTATCCGACATCCCGACGACAGGGGACACAGAAGCGGCGTTATTTGCAACGTGGTTGAGCCAGCTGCTTTACAGTCCTATCTTAGGATTGGTCAAATCATCGACTCTCGTTTTCATGTTGAGGATTGCAGGACACATGAGAAACATCAAGAGGTCTATACATGTACGTCCGAGCGGTGATACCTCCTCGTAAAATCGACTTGGATCAGCTGGGCTCTCCCACACTCAATACTGAATCTGCAGCACACCCGGGCTCCGGAACGGAAACATTCATGTAATACTGACGGGTTCCAACAGGTGGCCAACGCCATCAACATCGGCCTCACTATCGCAACATTCATTGCCACCATATTCTCGACCATCCCAATCTCCGGATATTGGGACATAAACCATCGAGTCCAACACGAAATAAACCACGCAGTCTTCATCATGTCAACGTCCTTCCTGACCATCATGACTGACGTTCTGGTTCTGGCTATACCGTTTTGGGCTTTCATCAGGACCCAGCTTCCACTAGCAACGCGCCTTGGAGTCATCATGATCTTCATGACTGGTGGTTTGTCAGTGCTGCCCATCTTCTGTACGTCTGGATGTACAATCACTGACGCTAACAACTGCTCTACAGAGTCACCGCATTCGGCATCGTGAGGTTCTGCGTGCTCGCCGAGGAATACTTCGAGCCCCCTAAGATCCGTTTCATGCAAACGTGGGGGCCGAGCTTTGCTCCGTTCGAGACCAACCTGGCCATCATCACCGCCTGTCTGCCGGCCCTGCGTCCGTTGTTCCGAAAATGGTTCCCAAATGTCTTTGTCAGCTCCAGCAACGAAGAATCGAGGGCTGCTGAGGAGCAACGCGACCATACAGGAGTTGGGAGTGGGAACGACAGGAGCATCACGATGCGGGACTTCAGCCATAAGCGTGGCAACGTCCGCTGCGGAAGCAATTCTACTGCCGGGAGTCATGAGCCGATCATCGACTCCGCGGGCATCAGGAAGACAACTGATGTGAGTCGCTTCCCACGATGGCATTTCTGGACTGGTTGCTAATTGGATATAGATCCACGTCTCATACTCCGCTTCGAAAGCTCAGAATTCCGAAGAAATGGGCAGGAAAGATACGCCACGACCATCGGACCCGGCTCTGGTGGTCTAACTGGGGGCCAAGACCTCGACTCGGAAGCACGCAGGGCACCTGGGCAGCTCCCCCAGTCATCCGGGCCATCAATCATCTTTCAGGGTTCCGAAGCACGAGACCCGGGAACCGACAGAAGTGGATCAAGAGAATATGTCGACAGAGGAGAAAATTGGTGCAGCTTCCAGTTACCATACGACGCATAATGCCTCGTGGATGTCTAGACATATCGGACGCGCAGCACGACGATACCCCCCAACCTTGTGCAGGACATGCATCTGAAGAATCTTGTTAGCTGAACCATAATCTTATTACCCTGTACACATGTATCACGCAAACAGCCTCGTGTCTTCCATGTGTCACCAAGCACACACAGATATGAAGTTGCGTGACGCAACAGTCTATCAATTGGCTGACAGCATTCCTGTGGCGGTCTCAAAAGTCGTAGGACCGGGCATGTTGTGAGAGCAGACAGCCATAGTGACTGCAGAATCCGAGGTTGTCTGAAAGAGAACAGAGCAGAGAAGCGTGGAATTAATATAATTTCAAGAGATCGGAACGGATTGAGAGGTCTCAGGGAGCTCTTGATGGAAAGACCAACGTCTTCCCTTCAGATGCCTCGAATGCCCAAGTTGTTCTTCAGGACTTGTAGAGAGCGGTCGTGATATGCTTTTGAAGGTACGCATATGCATGATTGGTGACGTTGCCTCGGGAAGAGCCCCGGGTTGACGTGACGCGGTTAAATGTGGGCCTCGGCCAAAGCTAATTGGCGCGGTCCGGGGTTCAGCATAGGACAGACGGGGGTTCAGGCTCAGCCTCATCCAGGGGTCCAGGTCGAGTGGCTTGGTTCCGTTTATCCCTTTTGCTCAGGAGAAACCCGGCGCAGACGCCACAACACGGTCAAGAAATTTTGCATACCATGCAGGCCCGGAAACATTGGATGCAGAGAAAATTCCATGCTTCCTCTAAGCGAGCATGTAAGGTTGGCAAACCTACTCTTGCATGGTTCTACTGCGGCGGCTTCCATCCCCTTCGAGCAAATTCTCACAGGGAGCACTCGGGACTGGCTGCTTAGGACTGCAGTCTCTCCTTGGACGAAGACATGATCAGCTTGCGTGTCTCTACCATCACATCACATGTGAATACACTTGCCTGACTCAACTCACTTCTTGCTTGTTTTGCGGAGATAGGAATGTTTACCCCGGGAGACCATGTTTAGCGCCCGGCCGAATGGCCCACATCGACCTGGTAGAGCAGACACCACCATTCATCTCGGCTCCATATCCAGGACTCTAGCACGCGTGGACAGGTCAAAGGTTATCGATCGCAATCTCACGCCATGCAATCGACATTGTATCTTACGACGTGCTTTGGGATGATCAAGACGAATGAATGTCCGTGAACGGATGCAAATCGGCCGAGTGATGTCAATAACTTGCTCTTTCACAGTTACAGTACTCATTTCTGTATATTGCCTCAAATTGGTCGGCTGATCTACATCTTGTCGTCGTGTCGCTGAATAATCGGGTGCCCTAGGATGTTGATCAAGTCCAGTATTGATCCGCTTCGGACTTCCAACGGAAAGATGCTCCGCAATTTTCACAGCCAGAATTTTGGCTGGAGGAAAGACCTTACAATTCATAATTTCTCTGAGCGAGGCCATCAAGCTCGGAATTTGAGCGATGAGGATTCCATCTAGTATAGACATCAATTCGATACAATTGTGGAGTCCCGAAACCCTCCATCGCTTGAAGATTCAGGACACTTCCGCTTCCTGGGAACGCCCAAGGCACCAAAAATACTGGTGTATTCAGATAGGGCTTCCATATGCCCAACATGGATGAACACTGCAAAGAAACCTATCGCAAACGTTGACGTACGCAACTTGAGCGTGTAGTGCAATCCATGTCGCCGCCAGTGAATAGTCCCGAAGTGCTATACACCTCTACAAAGAGTAGGATTGGCTCCAATTAAGCTTTGACAATCCTATGGGGCTACATATCTCATTTTACGCCGTGGTCGGCTATCAGAATCATGGATTAGAGGTGACAGCGTCCCGCCCGCGTGGGACCTGGAGTCTGAGCACGCCTTGCCAGATTGAAACAAACTAGGGAAACATTTGGCTACGTACGCGGCCCGCAGTGGTCCCCAAAGCTGTCGCCTCCGTGACCGGATTTAGAAATCCGTGGGGCGAGCCTCGCCCGGTGAACAGGTTACATCAGCCGCGGGAGGGCGATGCTGTTCATGCTCGTTGGGTGGGCACGAGCTGCCGCATATTAATGGCTGCAGAAGCCAGACACATCCCGGCTGGTCAAAAACGCGACCCCTGACCACCACTTAACATGTTTCGACTACTAGCCAGTCCTTTTCAACGAGCCCACGAGGATCGACGAAACACACGAACCACACAAGGAGATCTAGGTCGACGTCTGTTGAAACTGCCCTGTGCCTGGAGCTCTCGCTGACCCACTTCCTACCAGGAATATGAGACAGGAGACGGCTTACGTCTGCCCTGGCGGCTGGACGGCTCCAGCTGTTGACGACCTCCCAGCCGACGCGGCTGCGCCATCACGCCTGTTGTTTGTCCGCCTCTCTCGGGATTCCATGACTAACACTTCACCTTGATGCGGCCTCCAGTAACGCCATCCAAGGGTCGTCTGTCGTCCATGGTGCCGGAGCTGGCTGTGTCCATGGCAGCCCGTGGACGGCCCACTGTGTCTCAAGCAGGGAGCTTCGCTGGCCACGCAAATGCGCCGTGTTCTGTGGATCTGGGTGGCGGCGTGTGATGGAAAATAACGACGACTACGCCGTAATCAGAGGCCGTCCATGGAATCGATCTCAGGTATAAGATGGAGAGACGGGAACCACGAGAGAGGTTTGAATTTTCCTCGTCCTCATCCTCATCCTCATCAACAAACAACTTCCTTACTTTGCACATTTAGCCTCAACTTCGAGTTTCGATTCACTTCTTTGTCTACCTCGACACAGCCCTTTTTTTCTCCTCCGCCAACATTATCAACATGAAGCTGGTCGTCTACTTCGTTCTTGCCCAAGCGCTGGCCGCCGTCGCCGCGCCGGCTGACAGCACTCTCCCAGCTCCTCCCAGCGGCACTGGCACTTTGCCTCCCCCCAGCGGCACTCCTCCAGGACCTCCTCCGTCAGGAGCCCTGTTCTCCGGTCCTCCTCCCTCGGGAACCCCTCCTCCCCTGCCCACCGACGCCACCGGGGCCAACGTCAAGAGGGCAGACGAGAGCAGCCCCCCCTCCCCCCGGTGGAACGCCCTCGGGACCTCCTCCATCTGGAGTCTTCTCTGGCCCACCGCCGTCCGGCACTCCTCCTGTTGGGGAGCCTTCTGGACCCCCACCTTCCGGTGCGCCTCTCTCTGGTGAGCCGCCAGCTGCCACGGACGCTGCGGTGAACGAGAAGCGAGCAGACGAGTCCAGCGCCCCACCACCGCCTCCATCCGGCGCCCCATCCAGCCCTCCCCTGTCCGGAACCGGCCCGGCCGGCCCACCTCCATCCGGAGCCCCTCAGTCAGGAGCGCCCCCATCGGGCACCCCGCCATCCGGAACACCGCCCTCGGGAACGCCCCCGGCTGAGACTGACGCTGCCGCCAACGTGAAGCGTGCCGATGCTACCACCGAGCCCCCATCGCCTCCCTCTGGCACGCCTCCCTCTGGAACATCACCCTCTGGCGCGCCCCCTTCAGGAGCTCCTCCCTCAGGCACGCCGCCCTCCGGAGCCCCTCCAACTGAGACCGGTGCCGGCGAGAACGAGAAGCGCGCTGATGCCACCACCGAGCCTCCATCTCCTCCCTCCGGAACACCCCCAGCTGGTACTCCTCCCTCCGGTACTCCTCCTTCCGGTACTCCCCCATCTGGAATTCCCCCTGCTGGTGGCCCCGAGCAGTCCGGCGCCCCCGCAGCCAAAAACAAGCTCGCCGACTCCGATGCCGACGCCGCCACCGTGCTCCCTCCCTCCGGCACCCCTCCCTCCGGCCCTAAGCCCAGCGGCCCTCCTCCAAGCGGTGCCCCTAGCGGCGCCCCTCCCAGCGGCACCCCTCCGGCGCTGCCCACCGACGTCCCCACGACCCTGCAGAAGGTCCGCCGCGCCGACGAGACCAGCCCGACTCCTCCCCCTACCAGCACCGAGGGCGTCCCGCCTGCCAGCGAGAACCGGCTCCCGCCTGCTGATGGGGAGAAGTCTGGATCTGGGTCTGATGCTCCTTGTTCTTAAGCGAATGCTTCGGTCCAATCATGGGATATTCTACAGCTGCTTAAAGTGAAAGGTTGTGGGGGGATAAGGTGGATTCGGGGAGTTTTGTAAGATAGAAATTGGATTTCTTGGGGGGGGGGGGGTTAATTTGGTGCGAATATTGGATCCTTTTCTTTATCAGGGTAGATCTCATCTAAGGAATGCATATTGGTCATACAAAATTGAGCTCTCTCGTGCACTGTTTGATTCTATTGTTGAGCAGGCGGTCTACCAGTTCATAAGAGAAAATGACCCAAAGCATGTTTGGTCCCATCGTCATACGCCAAAGGTGGACCCATTATCCGTCAGGCTGGGCCGGACATGGACTTGAATGATGCATACACCTGTAAGGCCCCTTCGACACTCTGTATAAAGCCAAAGAGAACCGTCAAAACCAGGACCAACACCGCTACCCAGAATGTGTACCACTGAACACCGTTCCTCCGATCATTCCACCACTGGGATATTGTCCTTGGCTGTGCCTCGTCAAACACCTGCTTCAGCGTCACCAACAGGTCTCTCCAGAACATGAAGCTCTCGATCTGCCGCCGGTCGCTCCTCAGTCTTCCGCACTGGATGGCTCGGCCGTCCAACTGTGCTGTTGCTGCTGCTTTCAAAAACCACTTCCTCGTCTCAGAATCTGCCGTTGGAAAAAGGAGTACGAGAGTTTGCAGAGTCTCGGCGGCAACACCATCTGGTAAGAGGGACTTCTGGCTTTGGCGTTGACATTCGAGGAATGCCGCGTGGTGGAAGATGTGGACATTGGTAGCATCGTCCGACATGCGCAAGTGGTCAATCAAGTTGTCTGTCCATACTATCTCCAGTCCGGCGATCCGGCTCAGGTTGGGGCCTGTGAAATTCTTTTCCAACTTGACCCTCTCATGGCCGAGAACCGGTGGCTCCGCAAAATAACGCGCCACATGCTGCCGTAACGATCTTTGTGCCCACTGCAACTCAGTCCGACCTGAGAAGCCGTATGAAAAGGTGCCGTAGTTTATCATGAGAAGAAGGCTCGAGACCAGATTCACTGAGTTCTCCATTATTTCGTCTTCGTTGTGGTGTGGAGATGTCAGCTTCATGCGTATCTGGTCCTTGATTTCGGCTCTCGAGAGGCCAGCCTGAAGCTTCGCAGCGATTTCCAGAATATCTGCATGTGTCCTGATGGCAATATGTCTCCCACCATCATGAAGCGCATGAGCACATTCCTCGATGTAGAACTTCCAGTATGGAACCGGACTGTCATTCAGGCTGTTGAGCTGCTCCCAATGCTTTGAGCTATCGCCCCAGAACAGGTAGGTCACTTCCCTTAGGGCACGGGCATGGGGATCCAAGAGGCATGAATCAAGCGGCAAATCTTTCGAACGAGAGCGATCCATTATGGTTATCGACCGAATTATCGAAGGCTGAAGTAAAAGTTGATGGCTCGAAAGACAGTAAATTTGGAATTCGGCGCTCGACATTATCCCTGATTGCGTCATGAGGACCTGGGCAAGGTATGGCACAGCCTGCTTCGAGACAACTGCAGTAAGCACTGCCACGAATACATCAATTTGGTATTTTGGCCACTTGCCTACCAGTCAACAAGAAATGCATTTCAGGTACTAAAGTCATGCCTGCGCCCAGCACACCGCGTATGCGTGCCACTCACTAATGCAGTCGAACAATAGCCCATCCCGCCATCTGCCACACCATGACTGCAGTACTAGTAGGCTGTGAGAGGGGCTATGCGGAAAAGAAAGGGCTCAAACTCGGTCAGCCATGCCTCCATTCTTTCCCCGTTTCCTGATCTGCCACTGCCAGAGTCAACTCTAGAGCCTACTATAATGTCGTCGCCTCGTTCATAGGTGATGAATACACAGACATTCGCGGCTCGACTGTCGACTCTTTCCCCACCTCGACGGGAAGGGTTGACTGCCATCTTCCGCAAAGCCCAGGAACGAGTCTTGCCGACAGCTACTGTCTGGCTGAATCCCGAGGACTCGATTGGACGCTACGTCGGCAAAGCCAAATGGGACCACATCTGGGAGGCGATCGGGCCTGCTCGCGATGTGTTCAACACGGTCGCCTCGAAGATCAAAGACTACCTCGAGAGTGCAGTGGAGCCGATCTCGAGCAGAGTTACCTGGTCAATGTACATGATTGGGAAATCATCGAGTGCAGCGTCACCGTCAATCATTTTCTGCTGCGATGTCTTGGAACACCGCCGACAAGTACGGAACAACATCAAGGAAAGCGGCATTCTGAACGACTATCCAGGCATCAAGACCGGCCATCTGCCGCGGCCACCAGATTTTGACCAATTAGTGCCTCTGGGTAGTGGTGGACAGCCGCGCTACAACCGTGGTGACATAATGGCGTTGACTTCACCGGCCGAGAGCGCATGCGGCTCCCAGCTTTTCATCAATGCGAATGAGAGCAACTCGATGCCACCAGCTCCTGTAGCAACGATAGGTGGTGTGGTTCGACTGGGAGAGAACTTTTACTATACGACTGCTGCACATGCTCTGGAAGCATCACCGGACCCAACCGCTGCTGATGAGCACATCCTTGCCTCTCATGAGTACGATACGAATGATGACGCCCTTAGCCTCGACGGCGATGAGGATTTATATAGTACATCAACTCGCAGCCCCAGCACAGTCGACCCCGGGCGGTGGCAGTCTTCCGCCAGAATTGGAAAGAATTCAGAAGATAATCGATTCATGAGAGATGATATACTGCGACAATGGAGTCTGAAGCACCGCCACGTTGCGGAAGAACCTCTCTCATCCCTCGTATATCCCGGAGAACTGACACTGCATCAGACTGGCAGGCTAGTTATATCTTCGATGGAGGGGGGAAATCCTGGAAATGGACTCGATTACGCCTTGATAGAGATTTCATCGAGGCATCACATTGTGGAAAATGTGATAAAAGTCGGGCCGAACGACGAAGCCACTGTCAGGGTCCATTCCGTAGCCAGACCAGACCTGCTGGAGGCGGATGTCATAGCGGTCACACCTCGAGGTACCGCCAAGGGTCGGATATCGGGAACACCAGCTTACTCATCTGCGCCAGGCACCCAAACGCATGTCAGGATGTTGAAGGTCAGCTTGAACGAGCCACTTGAGAGAGGTGACTGCGGTACATGGGTAGTTGATGCCGCAAATGGAGACCTGTTCGGCCACGTTGTTCTTGGGTCTCCTAGCAGCGGCAGTGCGTTGATAACGTCTTTTGCCGACATATTCCACGATATTGCGTCCAGAGTGGGCAAGTCACCGACCTTTCCCAGAGCAAGAGATGAATACTCCTTCAGATCAGCCGAGAGAACAGCCTCTCCTATTGAACGAGACGAGGCTCTTTCTCCAATCATTCGAACACTGTATCTCTGATGGGCGGGTCAGGAGAACTTCCTCCCACACGAGATAGCATCGCCAGCAAGAGGACATCTATAACTACACTGGTGAGCGAGCCACAAAAAGAAGGGCCATCCGATTTATTCAGAGTCACAGGGCGATCGGAGGAGCCCACCAAGCAAGCGGGCTCGGGAATGGAAAGTGGTACGAAACACTTGCATGCCTCCGAGAACGACAGTGCAGTGCAAACAAGACCATCACTGAATCATGCGCAACAAGCCATGGCTTCAAAACCGGACTCAGCTACCGATGACTGGGTCGGTGATCTTTCTGCAAAATTCGAGCGCTTGATGGTCCAGAAGAGACAGAAACCATCCCGGCAAGGTGATAGATTTCATAATATTCCTGACGCTGGTGTCCAAAGCAAGTCAAGCTTGCCCAAGGATTCGACGACAAACCAGAGCATGGCCATGCTCCACGGCGTACCGCCCGAACCGCCGCTCCGCCCCAAAAACTCTAGGTTTAGAGACTTTCTTTTCACACTGTGTAACGTTCCGATGAAATGGGAGGACAACGAGCTACTGGACCTTGCACTCAAGGAGATTGACCTAAAATCGATATACAGCGACGCCGAGGAAGAGAATGAACACTTCGTCTCTCGGGCGCGAAGCCAGGGTGTCGGCACCAAGCCCGAATGGGGCTATCAGGACTGCGTGATCCGAGCACTTTCAAGATATTTCAGCAGGTCATTCTTCACCAGGGTGACCAGCCCGCCATGTGAGGCTTGCGCATCCAAGCTTCCCACATTGCCTCGTGGCAACACGCAGCCGAACGACAAGGAAAGGGCTGGAAATGCACATGCAGTGGAGCTCTATCAGTGCGCCGAGAAACGCTGCCAGTCTTACACACGGTTCCCACGCTACTGGGACGTCGGGACCCTCTTAAGGACTCGTCGGGGCCGCGAGGGCGAGGGCGCCAATTGCTTCGGGATGATTTGTCGGGCGCTTGGCTCCCGCGTCCGATGGGTTTCGAACGCGGAGGACAATATCTGGACAGAGGTGTATAGCGACCATCAGCAGCGTTGGGTACATGTGGATCCCTGCGCGGCTGCGTGGGACAACCCACTCCTGTACACCGAGACCATGGGCCAGAGACTGTCGTACTGCGTTGCCTTTTCCTCAGATGGGGCCACGGACGTTACTCGGCGGTACGTCCGAGCCCCCGGGCACGCCTTGGCCAGGACACAGTGCTCTGAAGCAGAGCTACTGCTTATCACCCAGGATATCAAGAGTATGAGACGCATAGATATGTCCAAAGAACAGCGCCTCCGACTAGATAGGGAGGACACAGCAGAAGCGCAGGAGTTGGAATCTTACACCATCCCGACGGAGACGCTGAGGCCGGCTAAAAGCTGGGATAAGGCGGAGGTCAAGCCTACAAAGAGGAAATCAGGGATAATAACGCCGAGGAAAGACTCAGTAAGCGTTCCACCACTATCCATCAGAAGAATGATGCTAATACTCTACCTAAAGCGAGAAAGCCTGCCCGGCGAGCAGCCCGAGGTGAGGAGGGTAGGCAACTGGGACCTAGCTGCAGCAGCAAACAAGGGCGGGTAGTGAATGTGAGCAAGGATGTTCTGGTGTCCACTTGATGGGTCGACGAATTACGACATGCTGAAACCAAATATGTTCTCCGTGGTAAAGATGCGATACAGCCATCCACGTTGTGGAATCCGTCCTGGAGCCTTCTATGCAACCGCAGTAGGACGCAACACATCCCTTGCCTCACTCGCATCTTCTACATCTTGCTGCGCATGTTCGACGTGCTCTGCCTTTCTTTTCCCCACATCAGTCTCGACTGCTGGCGTGGAACTCTTGTTTGCGTCCCAGTAGCGCACATCAAACCCGTCCCACTCCTCTAGCTTCGCCTGTATCTCTTGCTCGTAAACATTCAAGCCCCGGAGGTACGTCAGCATCTGCGACTTCTTCCCCGGTATGTTTGCGCCCGTCCACCAGCTCTCGGTGAAAGGCATCAGGGTCTGCGCGTTCTGGGCGTCCACGTATGCCTCCCACTCGTCCTCGGCCTCGGGCGTTGGCTCGATGGACTTGATCTTGCGGCCTTGTTTCTCCGAGTCCAGGATCTTCTTGATGGCGGCGGTGGCGAAGTCGGATTGTACCTCGATGATGGAGCAGCCGTTGGAGATAGCGGTGGGGGCGAAAGGCGTGTAGCACATAAATGCATTTGGGAAGCCAGAGGTGGTAGTGCCCAGGTAAGAACGGATGCCACCCTTCCAGTAATCACGTATGTCAGCATTATTGCGGCTCTTGAGGCCCATGTTGGTCAAGCTGCAGGTGCATTAGCGTCGTTCCACAAAGAAGAGTCTGGATGAGGAAGTACTCACGACCCGCTGAAGGCGTCAAATCCCGTTGCCAAGATCAAGACGTCAAAGTCAATCTGCGTGCCGTCGTCCATCTCGATACCTGTCTCGTTGAACTGTTTCGACGGCGTCTCTTTCGTGTTGACGACATCGACCCACGGCTTGTCGATCATCTCGTAGTAGTCAACTTCAAGGGGTGGCCGCTTTGTGAAGATCCAGTAGGGCATCTTCTCTGCCGGGAGCGGGGCCATGTGTTGCATCTTCTTCTCGTCTGTCATTCTTTCGCGGACTTTGCGTGCCCAGAACTCGTCTGTTAAAGCTCACGAATCAGCATTTACCAGAGTACTTTTGCTCGAGCTGATGAGCAGCTCTGCAGCCAATCCGCGATCTTTCACGTGACATACAGTGTAATTTGTTCGCCTCCTCTGATACCAAAACATCAGGGTAGGACTGAGTCCAGATGGCGAACGAGCCGCGCGCATAGAGATCCTCCCAGAGCTTGTTGCGCTCCGCTTCGGGTACATCCACGGTCATTTCGGTAGGCTGGTCCACGGGCAGGAAGCCGTTCTTGGAGGTCCGGCTTTCTTTAAAGATCGCGCCGAGGTAAGGGTGCCAGCTACGGTTCTCTACCTCAGAGATTGGTCTCTGCCCCGAGGGCAGGCAGGTTGAGGGCCGACGCATGAAGATGGTCAGATGTTCTGCTTGCTTAGCGACATCCTGGGTGATCTGCACTGCAGTGGCGCCGGTGCCCACGAGCGCGACCCGCTTGCCCTTGAGGTCGAGGTTCTCAGGGTAGAACGAGGAGTGGTAGAGTTCGCCTTTGTAGTCTTTCAACCCGGGGAGGTCAGGGATATGGCGCTGGTGCAGCAGTCCGGAGCAGAGAAGCAGGAACCTCGTCTTGGCGACATGGCCCTGTTGAGTCTTGACTGTCCACTCGCCGGCATCTTCGTCCCACGAGCAGTCGACCACTCGAGCATTGAACTGGGTGTCCTTCCGGAGGTTCAGAACCTTGTCGGCGTGTGCGAAGTAAGCGCGCAGTTCGCGATGGTCTGGGTATCGCTCTGTGAATGTCCACGTAGTGTACACCTCAGGGATGGTCAACTGATAATAGGGGAACTCGGAATCGACCCTCGCCCCCGGGTAGCGATTCCAGTGCCATGTCCCGCCAAAACCGTCCCCCGCTTCGAATATCTTGGCATTTAGTCCCATCTTCCGCAGGCGGTAAAGCATAGACACGCCTGAGAAGCCGGCGCCGACGACGAGAGCGTCATAACGAGAAATGGGAGCGTCTGCGTGATTCATTGTATCGTCCATAGTTCTAAGAGGTGAGCACGAAAAATGAGGAGTTGCATCCTGATCCAGGGATGAGCTATGGTTTTATACTACCTATTTACGTGGTGTCGATATAGACTAGTTGGACCTCGGTTGAACCTCAAACCGGACGAATCGCAGCATGACGTGTGAGATGTCGCCAGGCCACGCTGGCAACCAATTCTTCCAATTTCTAAGCGGAGCCCAGGCAAACACTTCACTAGAGTCCCCCGCAGGCCACCAAGCCTGGGAACCCGGGAATTGAATGGAAAGGCATACAGCCGGTTTTCGAGGTTGTGGTGAATGGAATGTTCCGTCGGTTTGACCATCTCCTCAGTTTCCCCTCCCGGCGGTTCCGCATTCCCGCAGGAGCATGTTACTTCGCTGCTACTCTTAGATCTCCATCATAAGCCTCGGCTGATGCACGCGTTGTCGTCATGGTCTTGGACTCGAACCATAATTAACGGGAACGGAGACTCGAAGACTCCGGCGGAGAGACCTGCCCGGTTGCGCATGCAGTCTTTGTATTCTGTTTCTACATCCCCTAGATACTATCATAGGCCCTTTCCCCAACCCCTCCCCCTTATTTGCTATTCCTGACTGTAAGAAATAAAAAGCGCTGCCAGTGTGCAGCTTAGAGAGTTTATATATTCTGACACTGACTAGTAAACCTATGATACTAGGATATTGGATCCTTCTGCATATAGCCGAGAGCGAATGAAGAAGTTGCTGCACACCATCATGACTTCCCACAGCCCTTGTCGCATGTTGGGGCACTAGCGGGCAGCCCAAGTTGGAGGCAAACTACGGCCGCCGGCCATGTCCAACCTCCCTGGAATCTCCGCACTTCAAGACGCCATATCCAAGGAGCCATTGCTTAGATAGGTGTGCTGGTCGACCTCACGACTCACGTAGCTACCTCGTTCATCGCTGGGCCCACCCTTGAATGACGTCGAGTTTCTGCCGCCGACCACATGAGGTTCGTGATAGGGCCCTTCCACGCTTTACGCTTCCAACAATCCGTGCCATGCCAGTGATGGCCTAAGACGCATGTGGCTGGATCGTATGGACTGGAGACCTCACTGAAGACACCATTGACGACGAAGCAAGTCTCTCTCCTGCCGGCTTAAGAAAAGGGAACGATGCGAGAGCACGCGCGGTGGATACAGCTATAGCGCTGGAAATTTATAAAGTCGGGCTGGAAATGCGAAATCGTTGCTGGTGAATTCAAGTGTAGAATGCGAAAAAGGAATAGGTCGAGCAATTGTGAAGACACATTCTGTGGCTGTGTTCTTCAAGGGACAAGGTCCCTGTGTGGTGTCTGACGACAAGGTGACTGAAATCATGAACATCGACATAGAAGAGCCATGACAATGTGGGTTTGGAGGAGCAGATACCATCATCTCGTTTAAAGACGGTCGAGGTAGGGCGAACATAGCCATGATCAACAGAGAGAGATAGAGAAAACTTCAGTTGGCGTTTGCAAACACCAGGCGACCTGCACTGGCAGGCCTGCGACACGGTGGTCCCCGTCAAGTTGCTCCCGTGCACCGCGATAAAAGCAGCTGATATCTTCCCACAAGAGCCGCCCCAGTTGCTGGCGGCTGGCTGACAGATCAGCCAATCGAAACACATCTCGCCAACAGACCAGGGAGTGTTGACCACCAGCAGTACGTAGGAAGTCATACGGAATCCTATTTCCTTATTGAGAGGACGGATGTTGAAGAAAAGAATGGAGCTTCTGACGCTGCCTATGCCACAGGTCCATCAAGCTTGGGGAGATGTGAGAAGCTGCGTGCGAGATAAGTAACACAATTCTGCCTCACTGTTCCGGATGGGTTGAAGATACTTCAGTGATCAGTCCTCACCGTCTGGAACGCAACAACCTTGCACGGCGTGACATAGAGCTCGACGGCATGTTGACTGAGACCACCCGGCACAACGTATATCGTGGCATGCGTGGACAGAGCCGTGTCAACAGGCGGGCTTTATATCTTTGGTTCCTGCGCCGTCCGACATTGTGGATACGAAGCTGGGGAAACACAAGTACATCCTTGAGAATGTCTGGCAATAGATTAAGAAAGACGACGCATGTTAGGCGGGCTAGAGTGCCCTATGTGGCTGGATTCGCACTGGACCGATCTGAACTTTGGGACTTTCAAATACTAAGTCAGTTCTCTGTCCCTTCAAGGGTTGTAACACATCATCCGTACCAGTAACAGACACTGGAATTCCAGCCATGGGGGCCCGTTGAGTTCTTATTCATGATCCATAAAAGGAACTGTGATAAAGCCAACAGGTCGCAATGCATGTGCGTAACCAACCGCAAAGCGCCCAGCCTGCGGGGACTCACAGAAATCAGGCCATTGGCGGCCCAAAGTGTTCGCTTGGGTTGCACAACGCGCGCATTACGCTGATCGGTTCAATTTTTACGGGTACGCATGTATGCGTGCTCGCGGCGGGGAATCCTTCGAGTTGCGACTGTGAGGTCTCTTGTTTTGTACGGGGCGTTGCGCTACTTAGCATCCCAACGACATCGACAGAAAATAGTTTGTCACGGGAAATGAGAAATAGACGGCATATGTGGAGCCACGCAGAGCCCACAGTAAAAGGGTCGGTTCACAGACGTCTTTTCCAAACGGCATCGTGCCTCGTAGTCTAAGTATGTATGAGGGAGGCACAGCAATATATTGCTGCGGCATGCAGGCTCCCCGAAGTGATCAGCAATGCCACGCCATTAGCGCTCACTCAAACCAACTGGGGATTGCGGGGTGGAGCCATGCCACTGCCCGGTCTTATATCTTTCTTGACTCTGCAAATCCATCCTAATCAGTCTTGCAAACTTGAAAGTCCCAACTGACGCCGGCCTATTCAACGATCTTGATACACCGTGTGGCTCCCATTCCACGACAACATGACGGATAGAATCAGCAGGGCTTACGAAGATGCTGTTGCCTCGAAGCTACTTGCTGGAATAGCGGCCATTGCGGGCAGGAAAAACGGTAAGCATGGGCCCAGTAGCAGGACTCACGCACAGAAACACGAGAATCCTCGGTATTTTGTCTAGAGGCGTGATCAATGGCTGTTACTGACGTTATCAAGGTGATACTCTTTACCAGAAATCCTTTGGAAGAGCTAGTCTGAAGGAAGGTCGAGAAGACGCCTTCACGTCCTCGACCATTTGTGCGATGGCCTCAACGACGAAACTCATGACCTCCGTGGCCGTCTTGCAGTGTGTCGAGCAAGGCAAGCTAGACTTGGACGCAGACGCTCGGCCCCTCTTGCCGGAGATGGGCAAATACGGGGTCATCACTGGGTTCGACGATGAGAAGAACGAGGCCACCTTCGAGGCCGATTCCACACCTATCAGCCTTCGCATGCTCCTGTCCAGCACGTCTGGCCACGAATACGACTGGCTCAACCCGCTCCTTGGGCAGTGGCGTGCTTCTCGAAATGAAATACCGTGGTCAGGTCCACTTCTCACTGACAAGTCTGCGATTCCACTTGTCTTTGCTCCCGGGACCGGGTGGGCTTACGGCGCGGGTTGGGATTGGGCAGGGAGGCTGGTTGAAATAGCCAGTGGCTTGACCTTGGAAGACTTCATGCACAAGCATATTGTGAGTCTTCCTTCTTGTTTCAAGACTCCTTTCCCACCTCGTTGCTTCAGACAGCAAGGATGTTTCTCTACAAGTTTCTCACCCGTTCGACCTGTCCTTGAAACGAGGAAATCTGGCGTCTGGAACGTTATCTTGTTCCCGTCCTGGAAAGTCAGACAAGCTGACCTACCTGTTCAATATAGTGGACACCTCTAGGGGTTGAAAAGGAATTTTCTTTCTGGCCCAAGACCAAGCCCGAAATGAAGAGCCGAATGGCCGACATCAGCACCCTGAATGAAGCAGGTGAACCTCCTGCCACGGACGAGCCGACTTTCGACATCCTCTTTGGTGGGACTGAGTGTCTCGGGGGCGGCGGCGGCTTTGGTTCCGCTGAAGGATACTATACCTTCCTTTCGGCGCTGTTCCGACGCGACAACCGTCTCCTGACGGCTGACTCTTACACAGAGCTCTTCCGGCCCCAGCTGGACAGCAAAGCAGAGGAGGCCTTCAACAGGTATCTGGTCCTCTCACCTGCTCACGAGCAGTTCATTGGGATGGGCATCCCCAAAACGATTCGCAAGTCGTGGTCCTTCGCAGGTATGGTGGCCCTGAGTGGCCAAGAAGGCCGTTTCAAACCAGGGGCTACGTTTTGGGGAGGCGTACCATGCATGATGTGGTTTATGGATCACGAGGCGGGCATCTGTGGCACCGCCTTTTGTCAGATGCTTCCGCCTATGCACCCGAAGATCATGGCACTGCATGAAGAGTTCCAGAGAGGTTCATTTGAGGCGGCACTTGCGGAAGCCTCTCGCTTGTGAGCTCTCACTTGTGAGGACGGGTGGGATTTTCCCAGCGAAAGTCAGCAAGATAGATGATGAATGACTGTATGAAGGCGAAGCAGGGAGTTTGGCTGCACAGCCAGCAATGTTGGCGCGGAGTAGCGAGGACGGTGTTGTTCTGTGTCGCTAGGAATTGAGAAGACACGGCGTCATAGCACTGGCGGTATTTCGGTTCAGGTCTTCCTCGTCACGCTGTTAGTTTCCAGCCAAGACCACTGCTAAGAGCAGGTGTGCTCCAACGGGTCAATTCAATGGGAAACGACTGCGCTGGTTGCGTTGACGAATAGTAGTCTAGTGCTTTTCCTAGCTCCAATGTGGTTACGTGTAAATCTCGCCAGTCTGCGCGTTAGAGGGTGTCTGGGGGTCCGGGTGTTAGTAACCATGTTGTTGCTTGCAGTGGCCCGGCCTGTGATGTCTTCTTCAGTCCAAGAACTCTGTCATATCATCCTGGTTTCTGTGGCGGCGTCGTTCCCGTGGCAAGCATGTTTGGGGATTCCGCTCGTCCTGGGAAACGTCGAGAGTCAGAAATTATTTGATAAAAGGTGGGCTACGAATGGACAGAACGCCCTCCTGCTGGGAGCTTATTCTCCTCTGCAAATTAAGGATTCTGGTATTCTGTGGCAATGCTTGTTATCTCATTACGCTCTCAGCAACTTCCGATTTGCACTCGTTGTATGATAGAATTGCATTAGGACTGAATAAAATGATATCATCATAGAAAAGACGTAATCTTGCAGGTCACAGAAAGAGTGTAGTTGCCAGTTGGTCATTCAGTCGCACTTGGAGACTGGGAAAGCTGTCCCTGGGGCTCGAACCGAAATTGTCGTCTTCAGCTCGCCCGCTTAACGGAGAACGTGTTGGGGGTGAAAGTCCCATCTGGGTCAGCCGTCTTCCTAGCCGCCATCAGCTTCTCATACTTGGCCCGGTCGTCGTAGTAGAACTGCCACGACTCGTCGAGGTCGAAACTGCCATACGAGCCCCACAGGACGCGACGGTCTTGCTTGCTGAAGATGCCATCAGGACCGAGACCCTGCTCGTCATTTGTTTGCGCCCACTTCTCCGCGGCACCCTTCATTGCCGGCTTGTGAAAGTTGTCGATAGTGAAGCAGAAAGTCGAGTCACGCCACTGCCACAGGTTGTCAGCACACAATTCTTGAGTTGCAGCATTTTCGAGCTCCACTTACACTGAGGGATGTTCCATTATCAGCGTTCGTCCTGAACCGGGAGTGCTTGCCGCCGAAACATTGCAGCTGAGCAGACAGCCACTGCCCATTCCCAACCGGCCGAACGACCTCGTCCATCCTGCCGACGACCCAGTCGACCCAGCCGTTGGTGCTCAGCTCCGTCGACGTCGTCAGGTACGTCCTCTTGACATACGGCAGGTCAAACTCCCTCGTGTTACGAAATATCCAGTCTGCCGTTAGCTCCGACATGGGCTTTTTGTTCGCGCCGGTCTGGAACCAGCAGCCCGTGCGCAGCCGCTCGAAGAACTTCATGTCGGGCTTGTCGTCCTTGCTGAAGGGGACAAACTGCGCATACACCACAATCATGCGGGGCCAGACAGGGTCCTCGTCCTGCCCGAAGATCTCGGGGTGCTCCTCCTCCATCTCGTTGTCGAGCCCGCCCATGAGGCCCAGGATGTCAAACGACGAGCTGAGCACGCTGATGCACAGGTCGTAGTTGCGCGGGAACTCGTCGTCGTCGTTCATCTCCGCCAGCACCTGGAGGAGCTGCTTGAGCTTCTTGGTGTCGTACAGGTGCAGCGCCTTCATGCCCATGGAGCCGTCGTAATCGGCGTCGCGGTGCACCTCCACCGTGAAGTGGGTCAGGACGCCCAGGTTCCCCGGGGACCCGCCCAGCCAGGCGTAGAACTGCTCCGGGTCCCCGGCGAGCGTGATCTCCCTCTCCTCGCCGGCGTGGTCGATGATCTCCAGGGAGCGGATGTGGTCCCCGAAGAGCCCGAAGCTGCGGCCCAGCTGGCCGTACCCGCCCGTCTGCACGTGGCCGCCGACGTGCACGGCCGTGCACTGCCCGTGGGGCACGAAGGCCTTGTTCTTGCCGAGGAAGGCGTTGAACTTGCCCAGGCTCCAGCTCACGCTGGCGTGGACGTAGCTCTTGTCGTCCTTCTCGAAGTACGCCAGGTCATCGGGCCCCTGGAAGCTGTCGCGCAGGTCCAGTAGGATGTTGTCCTTGCTCGTGGACGAGGCGCCGCTGTACTGGTGCCCACCAGTCCGGATGGCGATGGCCTTTTTCTGCTCCTTGGCATAGAGGACTGCAAGCTTGATGTCTTGTTTGCTCTTCGGCTGGATGATCAGCCCGGGCTCCATGTCGTGGTCGACGCCATGGGTCGTCGTGGCGTATTGGTATTTCCATTCGGGATAGTCCTTCGTCCCGATGACGAATTGCTTGCCTGTCACACCTTCTATGGTCGCCATCTTGTTCGTGATAATAGCCGGAACGCTTCCTGGGAACAGCCTTTCCCATATTTTCGCCGGTGTTGCGAGCAACTCTCTTAAATACTTCAACGGTATCTTACCGAATGACGTCAGACGCCGTCCGGTCAGTATGTTGTGGCTGCTCATCTTGCTCGTGTTTTATGCTGTGCTCCCAGCCGAGTGTGGGACGGTGAGATCTTGTTGCTGGGCAATGGAGATGGAGGTGGGTCATTGGATTCCTCCTGGAATGCGGTGGCGTTTATGTAGCAGACGGACAAGGCTAGATTTGTAGCAGAGGGGGCCAATTGCGTAAACAATTCAATCAGATGCCCTTGCTCAAGAATGAGGCGAAGTACAAGTAGACAGTGACCGGTCATTTGGTGGCAGCGCCCCGTATATATGCGCTGCTTGTCAGCTGAGATGACACATTGGCATCTGGGCACGCGTGTGAGAGGTGCTGCTTGCATTCCTTTCAGCTGGGGTGGGCCGTGTGTATGTGACAAAGGACACCACTTCAGCTGAGATCTTAAGTCGTGTCAGGTTACCGGTCTACGATGCTTTTTTTGACTGCATATTACGGTTTTCGTGGTTAAGCTAGGGTAGTCACCCTTCTAGCGCTGCTGTGGTTGTACACATGTACATGCGGGAAAGGATAACTACTGCTTGCACAGCCTTCACATGTTCAGCGCTAGATGGAATCACCCATCTCGAACAAAGAACAATAATCAGCTCATGTGTCACACAACGCATAGCCCGTTCCACAGTTGCTTACAGGTCCTCATTCTCGTTGCATATTGACTAAGCTACAGGGTGCACATCCCTGTAGTGGTCTTGCCCACTTTTCGTCTTGGTTGGTGGTGTGAGTTGACTATTTGAGGCTGCAGCTGACGTTGCAGTAAGGCTGCAGCTCAGCTTACACCTGTTCGTAGAGCAAATGAAGGATGATCCGAATGAGCATGTGATTATGACACCTAGTAATGCTAAAGACTGTTGATCCTTGGCATTCGTGGCTGTCCTTCAACCACATGGCGTCAACTAGATTGCCACAAATCCGTGCAGGTAAAGAGTAAATTCCAATATACAGCCAACAACATTGACAATGGGTCTAGGAGAGCATACGTTGAAGCAGTCTTATGATTAGAAAACATTGACTCGGAGCTTGTACCGCTTATGCTTGAGCCACGTCAAGAACGCACTGTTAGTTGTGTTGTCAGGCCAACTTGAACCTTTGGAAACTATGCATCCCCATCCCCACTGCCCGTTGGTTTGGTATGAATACATCGCTGGAGTCTTGGTCGTGTTTACAGTATTCAGGGGTGCAAAACGAAGCTTAAGAATTCCGAAGTCAATATCTGTCGATGTCCATTTTGCCGACAGTAGGGAACTCCCGTCTCGCTGGCTCTTCCAGTTCTCTCCTCCATTGAGAACGAGGGCCATAAATATATGGCATTCAACTTGCCGTGAAACCTTCTGTGCCTCCAGAGTCTCCGCTGTGTCTTGTGTCATTGTTCCATGAGAGGTCTTCCTCGCTCGACGACACTGTGCCAACCAATCTTTTCAAGTTGGTGTGGTTACCCTTCTTTGCAAGACCATGTCGACCACCTCGAACCTTGCTACTATGTATACTGGTGTAACCCGAGAGTCCCTTCGATGATTGATCCCGTGGACCAACCTTGACTGGAATGGATTAATTGGTCATTAAAGCCACATTCCGGGACCTATCATGCTGGCTATGTCTAGTCTGGGCAGTTGTTCTCGATGAACTCGGCACTTTCGTGTGCATCAGGTGATCAGCGGCCCGGTCCTTATAATAGCGTGTCTTGTCTTTGTTCTCTCGATCAAGCAGTTTCTTCCATTCGGGGGTAAGCCCAGCAGGGATAAGAACCGGCTCAGTCCTGCCAATGGTATCCTCGAACACTGGAGGGTGACGCCAGAGGTACTCGGTTCGCGGTATTCCTTCCTTTGTCATGTAAGCCTCTTATCTGAAAGAATAGGAGCGCCCCTTGATGATCTCTCTCCCGAAACTTTACGGCTCTTCCCGTTATGAGACACCTTGCATTCTGTCGGCTTTGCTGTTTTGGGTTGTTAGTACCCTCCCCTGTTTGCTACTGCGTAGTTATCCAATTCATTTGCTGGTATTTCAACAACACTACACCCATCAGACGACCCAATGAAGTTCTTTGGATGTAACACCTCAGTGCTGATAATAGGCAGTATGTGATGGTAGACATCGTAGGTATGAATTTCTCGAGTGATTCTTTTTTCAACATTTTCATGCTGTTTGGGTTGGACAATTTCCCTCGTGATGGCTGCATTGTAAGTTAGTGATATATTTGACCACGAAGCGAGTTTGAAACGGTGATCCTGTCATTTGGATAATTTACATGTGAAGGTCTCACTTGCTCAAAGAGCGTGGCGTGGGGTACCTAAGCCAACGCTTAACGTACTGGGTCAGACTGATTCCGTCACATCTGTATCCGCACTTGTGACACTCGGTGATTTGAGTGCACGGTCTCTCGTACCAGCGAAATATTGATTCGAACGTCTCTTCTGTGTGGACTCACACGTTTCAGACGCTGGAAGTGGTGGGAGCGGTTTGCTAAACCGCGCTGCAAGCGGTGAGTAGTGTCCATGTCCATTCTTCATCCTGTTACCTCTCAATCTTCTCCACAGCTGTGCTCAGAGGACCATTCGACTTTTTCGGATGCACCCTTTCCACAAAAGCGTAACTCATGGTTTGCATGATGTACATGCATCTTTGCCCGATTGTGAGGAAATTAGCTATGGTACAGCTCAACCAATCTTCCAAGCGATGGACTTCGGATTGCGTGGCAAATACTGACATCAGCGTGCAGTCTAGAGGTTTAGGAATGGCGGATTGAATGCTCCGGTGGCATTAAACAACCGATCAGATGTCGATAGTAGAATCTGGCCGCAATTCACTCTTGGATCGCGAGATGCGGTGAGACGACAGCAGTCGCCAAAATGGACAAAATCCATCAGCATTGACGTCACTCACTGCTCACTACAGAGGTTTCGAACAATCCTAGCATCTAGCAAAGCACTGGAATTCGTGTCCCTAATGAAGCGAGCGACGCGGATAAACGCTCCAGCGATCGTGCTTAATAAGTGGCAAGTGTGGACCTCGGGGCGAGACCCTCAGGAGGAAAACATTGTTCAGGCCCACCTGACATCATTCAGCCCTATGTGATCAGCGCCTCACTTGTGTATGCAGTGTTCGATCTTCTTTCACAATGATTATCTTAAGTAAACAGCTTATCACCACTCTCAGCTGGAGCACAGTTCATGTGGGGATGTGTTGTCCATCGCAGCGTCACCGGTGGTGCGATGCTGGGGATCACAACAGCGGACATTTCGAAGTATTGAAGACAATGCGATGTCATTCAATGATGTACAGCTTGGTATTATTTATTTGAGGGAGCATCTGTTTATGATACGACTCTCTACTTCACTCCGAGCAGACTATCGAGCACAACGGCAACAATATTACCGTACCGCAGGCAGACACCATCGACAGTTCCCAGCTTTAGGTTTGACTTTTTTTTCCATTCCCAAGCTCAAAAAAACACACAATGGAGGAAGCAAAGTCAGCGCTCAAAAGCCACATCGCTAGGAACGCGAGCGCGAGACTTGTGTCCACGTAGTAAGTCTACCTTTCAGCGTAGCCACCGCAGATCACACCTTACTGGGTGGTATTATTACATGTGAGGAAGGCGACTGACACTGGATTAAGTCTGTTAAACCAGCAGTGGAACATGAATATGTGCAGCCAGCACAGCACGAAAATGTGTACAAGCCAGTCGACCGCGAGGTACACAAGGACCACCATCACACCAAAGTCCAGCCTATTAAACACAAAAAAATCTTGCCCGAGAAGCACACTCACATACAGGAGGGCCCCGAGAAACGTGAGATTCAGAATGGCAGCGATAATCACGTCAAGAAGTGGCTAAAGGAGGAGGCCGACACCCTCGGCATCCACCACAACCAACGAGAGGTTGGCAAAACCCAGAACACGAGAGCCGCAGCCCCATCCGTGGAGGGAGAGCACGTGCACCACCACGTACACGAACACATACAGCTCATCATCCAAAAGGAAACCGTCCAGCCCCACGTGGTACACCGGACCAAACCCATCCACGAAGTCCACCAGCACGAACCAGAGCACCACGGCGCATCCATACTACCGTCCGTCACACTGGAGGAATCCGAACGACAGGGCGGCAGCGTCCACGGCTCCAGCGGGGAGCGGTCTGATGCGTTCGCCGGCGAGCCCGGGCGCCTGGACCGCGGCCACATCGACGGTGCTGGCGTTCGGGGTACCACCAGCCTGACGCACCCAGATGGTGAGTCTGGCGTCGGGTATCACGCTCCGAGCACCCGGAGGACCACGCGCGGCGGAACCCCGGAGATGTACGGGCCTTCTGCAGATGCTCGGGGCATCAATGAGAACGATCATGAGTATGGTCTCTCATCAGAGGGGACTCACCACCATGGTGCCGACTCCCTCGGCTACACTACCTCGCCGAGATCTGGCACACGCGGGAAGTCGAGTGTCCCTCGTGGCAGCCTCGAGATGCGCCGGACTAGTGAGTCTACGCCAGGAGCGACACACACCACCACGAGTCCTACTCAGCATAAACCCACCTTTATAGAGAAGTTGAACCCCAAAAAGGACGCCGATGGAGACGGAAAGGCAGGGACTATGACCTAGAGATCTCTTAGGCACAGAGCACCGCAGTGGCCTGCAATGTGTTATAGCCTTCATCGGTGCAAAGCAAGTTGCAAGCGTACAGGGACCATCTCGCGGAAGAAAGGACCCCATAGTTTTGCTGAGTGCACGATGAGTTCAAGTATGAGATTGAATGGCTTCAACTTGGTCGTCAATTATAATGGAATAAACCGTCCCCTGCCACAAAGGCACCACGGTCAGTCGATACAAAATCAAGAAGCCCTAATAGAGAAGCTGACGAACTCCCCTCGGCGCCCGTGCTCGGGCACCAGTTGCGCCCCGGAATCCTTTTTCGGATCTCGGCCCAGGGGTATTCAGGGGTGAACAATTTGGTCGAAACAACAAACCCCAACCCTGCTCTCATGTCGAGGGAGGGCGTGGGTGTCTCTCGGTAAACTAGACGATTTGGTACAGCCAGTGTAAGATCCGAGAGAAGCCGTCAGTGGAGAGTCCATGCAGGTGCGTGTATTGATCTCAGTCAAGGTGGACCTATACAAGTTGCATAGGAAATAGACTACATGTAATCTGCGCGATCTACCAAGATACGTGAGGTCGAGACCGGCCTCGACCAAGCTGATGTGTCTAAGACGCGCCTAGATGACTTACAATGTAGATGTGACATCGTGTACGTATAGGGCTGAATTGCAGGGGCAACTGCCGAACCGCGATACATCGTCAAGCACGGAAATACACGTGTGTATGCCGCCCGAATTGGACGGAGTTGTTGATCCGTCGTGACTAGATGTGTCAATCCAGCATCCACGCGTTGCGGTCAATTTGCCTGGCGTGCATGCTTCTGTGGCATCGTCCTGTCTGCATGGGTCCATCCCTGCCCAGATGTGCTCAAACGCAGCCCGTGGAAAGCTTCCAGTAGCGATGCGAGCCACATCGACAGTGAGGCCTCGAATAACAATTGCTCGGAAACAAAAAAACAACAATTGCGGGAGAGAAGGTCTTAGGTAGGTGCGGGTAGTGCCGATCCCGTCCCACCTCGTAAGCGCTGCCCCCTTGGGCCGGCAGTTGGGCCAGATCGCGGGCTCCCAATCTAGTTGTGACCGTGGCGGTTCCGACGGCCCACTAACGACCTGGCTGGGCTGACTTTGTTTCGCGGGAACCCACTGGCCCCAATTTAAACGGCACAGTAAACTTGTTCCGTGGAGTCATGGAATAGGGAGAGCCTCACTAAGCCTTGCTCTTGCTCGCCCCTGAGCTCATCTTAGCGATATGACCGTACGTAATTCTGGTTCGCATCCCCATGGGAATCCGGCACAATAATCCAGCTGCATGCAAGTTGAAGAGCTATAAATCCATCTTGTTCGCTCTTGGCTTGATCAAGTTGAATTAATCCACCACAGTCTAACTATCATCAGTTGAACGATAACAAACTCAACACCCGCCAAAATGCACTTCACCAGCTTCTTCTCCCTCGTGGCCGCCCCGGCCATGGTCCTCGCGACCCTCGACCCTGCCACGTCCAACACCAAGGGCAAATGCCCTACCTCTCCCGCCTGCTCGGGTGAGTGATCTGCAGACACAATCCTATCCGAGAATACTATTCTTGGGCAAGGCGGCTCACCATGTTACTCCAACAGCCACCAAGGTCTCAAAGGCCATCCAGGCCGCTGAGTGCTCCCACAACACCCGCGTCTCCGGACAGCAGACCTTCGCCGTCTTCGAGACGGACCACAAGTACGACAGCAGCCACGGCGCTCCCTACGGAACCTGCAGCGCCTACACATGCGAGGCGCCTACGAGTGCGGACATGAAGGCGGATGAAGACTGCTGGACCTTCTTCTGGACGTGAGTTCACCCACGCGACACAGTGTCATGCCCTCTATATTTCCCAGGCATGGACCGGGAACTAACGCATCTTTGTTGATACAGTGGTGAGGGCGAGTCCAGCGGAGAGGGCGCGGGCTGCATCAAGTCCCCTGACGATGGAACTTGCGGGTGCGAGAACTCGGACGGCACCTTTGTTGCTGGCAGCGACAGCTGCACGTAAACGTCTCTCGACCGGGCCGTTCGTCAAGATCACGGCACGTTGATTCTTGTGTAAATATCACTTAGAATGTACAAAGCCTGAAAATATACCCACGGAGCTGCAAAGACGGCACTCCTCAACCGTCCACTCGCGCACCCTGCATCGTATTTGCAGCATTTTGAAGCGGCACAGGTTCTGGTGCTTCCTGCGGGTGACTCGCCGGGTAAATTTTGAGAAGGCCGTGTGCAGACCAGGTACAACGTGGCTGAACCAAAGCCTGAGTGGAGAAGATTTGTCCCGAGATTGTAAGGCAAAACGAATGTAGCAATGGAGGAGACTGCCCTGTCACCAAATCTGGGCATGGAACTGTCCAGCGAAACGCGTGGACTATCAACTCACTATTTCATCGATGAAAGTTGCACGCACCGTTATAACACAGAGTCTTTGATGGTATGCTCGAGTTTCTCTGCTGCACCATCGAGCAGCCGCTAGCCCAGGTTGTGCAGCGATATCCGCCTATAAACATTCCCACTATACGACCATTATGTTAACATTGAGTTAGTCATCAATGATTGTAGATAGTGATTACTCATGAGGCTCGGTGTATTCTACTAGGCAGCCTGTCCATGCCCAAACAAAAACATATGTCATAAGTACCTAGGTAGAGTGTGACAGTGGGAGCTACCGCTCTTGTCGGATACATGGTGTGCCTATGACACTTTAAAGGCACAATTTACTTCCGCTTTTCTCTTGGTCTTGGATCATAAACCTAGAGCATTATTAAACATTCGATTTTGTGGAACGCACAGGCAAAAGGTACGGGCAAACGGAAGCCGAAGCTGACCAATGTCGCTGTAGCTGGTGGCTACGAGCCTGCAATGCCAGATCTGGCGGCCGAGCCTTGCCTAGCTTCTACAGTATCGCAACATTGAATATCCTGGCCGCCAGACGGCCGCCACTGTGATAGACGCCACGCTGTTCAATAGCTCTCTACCCTTTGTGCCAGCTCGACTTCATCATATCTCTACAATACAGGCTCAGACAGAAAATTCGCAACCCCCATGGCAAACCGTACATAGGCTGCATCGGGACAACGAACTCGTAATACTACTAGCTACGACTCGGGTCTTGCAATCTCGCCAGCAGCAAAGGTTGGTTGCCAAGGATGACGATCCCACCGTCTACAGGGCCCGAGACACTCAACCCCATCACGTGCATCTTGAGGAATGTTGGTCAATTTAAAATGGGCAACTAAGATCGGACGGACATTGAACCTAGTCTCGGCATTTGCTTCAGTGGCTCTCGGATACCCAACCATCGATGTCCGATTCCGAGTTCTGAAGTCGACACCGCACACGGCCTTGGCATTGGGGTGCAGGAAGGCCGGCAAGGTGAGCCCTGGAATGCAATCCTGAACCTTCTTGTGTGGCTCGACGGCAGAACATTCACACGTGCTTTTGAAAGCATTGACACGTACTTTTATCTGAAATGTAGATGGCCGGCATCAGATTTGAGGCCCTCAAAGAACGGCAAGACCCTTGACGTCGTCAGCGGGGACTGCGTGGATGGTGCCATCTTTTCTTGGCCGCCCATTCTTTGACGATGTGTTAGCTCCATAGTAATCAGTATGCCTTTATTTTTGAGTATATACGGCCCCTAATGCATGACCGATTAATAATCGGCGTGCTACTAGGACTCGTTACATTTTTATCGCAATCGCACTCGCTTAAAGACTGGGCCTCGAGTCAATGCCAACCTATGAAATGGGGACCTCGGTTCCTTAGAATCCAAAACCTCTGTGCACATTGAATTTTCGACGGTGGCAGAGAAAAAAAAGGCCAACATGCTCTTCAATCCGGCTGATGATCAACTGCATCTAACCCACTTGAATACTATCCCCATCTTCCTCTGTAGACGAGACGCCCTCTTGCAGAATGGAGGCAGTCAGTAATGAAACTCCCCACGATCCTTTGGAGGCGATGGCCTCGCCTTTGATGGTCTCGCCGTTGATGGTATGCCAATCTAGAAATTCCTTCTTGTATCGTTGTGCCAAATGCTTTGGTTGAATTGACGGACCGACCTTGCAGTTGGCGGTGCATTTGTGCGTCTTAGCAATATCAGGCCTCTTCGTCAAACGACTTTACTTCCATCCCCTCTCAAAGTACCCAGGACCTTGGTATCACGCAGTGACAGACCTTCCGGTGGTCGTGTCATTGTGCGGAGGGAGGCAGTTCGCATACTACAAAAAGCTGCATGAGAAATATGGTAGGATACAGCCTCGTTTGCTCTCCGGCCAGCAGTGCTCAGCTAACAGGTTAAAGGCCCTGTCGTCCGGGTTGCGCCGAACGAGTTGAGCTTCACTACTCCCCAGGCCATGGAAGACATTTTTGGGTATGGAAACAAGGTAGGCTAAAATGTGACCAAGCGTATTGATGCGTCGCAGCTAGCTAAAATTGCACCAGAAAGGAGTGCAGACGACCGAGAAAGACTCCCGCTTCTCGCTCTCCACCAAGATGCAGGCTCCATATGGACTCATCAATGCCCCCAAGGACCACCACGCTCGTCTCCGCCGGGGACTCGCTGCCGTGTTCACAACTTCCGCCCTCATCCAACAAGAAGTCATCGTCCAATCCCACGTGGACGAGCTCATCGCCGCGTTCTCTAGCGCGTGTGACTCGGCTGGCAATGGTACCGCAGTCGTTGACATGGGCACCTGGGGCAACTTCTTCGCCTTTGACGTGATCGGGTCGCTCACCTTTGGCAAGCCGTTTGGGTGTCTCAAGTCTGGCGGAAAGGAAAATTTTACATGGGCCAGGTCTCTGCGAGAGATTGTTACAATGGGCACATACGAACAGGCAGCGAGCAGGCTTGTCGGGTTAAATTCAGTGCTACAGCCATGGGTGGTCTGGCTACGTAAGCAATTCTCTCTTTTCCACTTCACATTGTTGTTGTTTTGAATTCGCTCGCTCATGGTTCGGTCGCTAACTATGAATATTACAGTGGCTGACAAGAGCGCTTACGGGAGCCGCCTCCAAACATACGGGAAGACCTTCAAGGCTATCAACGACAGGGTTTCCATGGGCGTCAAGGAGGACCACAAGGACTTTGTGTACCACATCCTGAAGAACAACGAGAATCGACACTTGCTGTCCGAGGCCGAGATCCAGCTGAACCTCACGGGCTTTATTATAGCAGGGGGCGAGACCGTGGGCCTCACCCTGACGCTGTGGGCATACTGCATGGGCACACACCGGGAGGAGTACTTCAAGCTGCGCGACCTCATCCGCGGGACCTTCGCCAAGGCGGAAGACATCAAGTGGACCGCCCTCAAGGACATGCCATATCTCAACGCCGTCCTCCGCGAGAGTTGGCGCATGCCGATATTCGGCACGGTCCAGCGCCTCCGAGTCGTCCCGGAGAGCGGCATGCCAATCGATGGCCACGAGCTCCCGGGTGGCACCGTGGTGGCAGTGGCTGAGTACGCCGCCATGCACTCGCCCGACAACTTCAAGGACCCCTATGTGTTCCGCCCAGATCGTTGGCTCAACACCGATCCCGAGACTATGGATAACCTTGGCCTTTCACGTGAGTCCCTCCTCTGATCTCTTATCAAGCTCCTACAAGTCCGGGGTTCTAACAATAAATCAGGTCCCTTCTCATACGGACCAAGAGATTGCATCGGAAAGAATTTGGCAGGTATCGAGGCAAGGTTGGCGATCGCGCAAATAATTTGGCACTTTGACCTTGACATTGAGCCTATTGACAATGGTGGACCAAACTGGCCATGGAACAAAGAGGACGACTTCAAGCATGTCAAGGCAGTGGCGGGGCCGATATTTAGCCCTCTATGGGTGAAGCTTACAAGGGTTGTGAGGTGACCGATTCTGTTACAAAATGGGTTCTCTGCTTTCATGGTGGAGTTAGGGTCAAATGCATTAGACGTGAGACGATTGATTAACTGCTGGCATAATAAACCACTCGGCCAAAAGACCAGTAATTTCCAATCGCTATTGGAAATAACCCAGCAGTATATAAGCGCCGTACCATCACAAGACGGAAATTAATTTCACACGCAAGTATTAGGTATCGTGGTAGTGGTCAAGGTTTTTAGGTCGAAATGAACAACATTTGTTTTTATGGAAAGGAGACTGCAGCGGTGATCTTCGTTCATATCTTCTAGAGTGAGCAAAGTCTTCCTGGTCCCACTATCGAGCAGTGATTGGGGCAGTCCACACACGGACATGATAAATAATACCATCACGCGTTCAATGCTATGTGATTCGTCATGTGTAACGCCCTAGCATGTAATAGTTGACCTGGATCCCAGACCTGCGGCATGGCATCCTCTCTGGCAGCACGAGCCCCTGCTGTCCATCTGGACAAAGTGATAAATGTTACACTTCAAGCTTTGGAGAAAATCTGAAGCTGCGCGGAGTAGGAAGTAGAATCACAATCGATTGGGGTGGCCTCAGAGCGACAGATTCATGAGAACTCGATGTCTTACTGATGCAGGAAGGTGTTTACCTTCAGAGCGGATGAAGCAGAAAGAGCCGAAACTGACCCAGTTCGATAGAATGAGGCTTCGGGAAGAGATACGGGCGCAAAAGCATGCCTAAAATAAGCCAGGGCGTATAGGCAGGTACTTATAAATTGATTTAACCAGTACAGATAAACCTTGAATAATATAAGAATGTGCCCTCGCGAGCAATAAAAGCGGCATTCAAGACTTCGCGATCAGCCAACGCTCGTAGACTGTGTTTCGTGAGCTATTCTGGTAGGCTGGGCTAAACCAGAAATAAGGGCCGGCCCGCATCAAGCAACAAAAGCGCAACCAGCTTCATGATCATGTCCGTGAGCAATGCCACCTGATGCAGGCTACGGCGAAGAAAGTGGTGGTGAAACTGGAGACAGCGGCGACGGGACAGCGCGGATTGATCATGATCAACAAAGAGGAAGCAGAAGAGCATTGCGAGGGTTCCACCAAGCACCACAGTCAGCGACATTCCACAGATTCACATCGCGACGGAGAGATGAGGCCGCTAACTCAGCTACCGAGCAAAGGCAGTGTCAATGAGCAGCCCCCAACATGTTTCCACGCGGATCTGGGCACCGGGCACGCTCTGTCTACTCGCAGGTCTTTAGACCGCCCAATGCAGCACAGTCCAGAGGAGAGCCCCGAACGACAAACTTGAACTACTACTCAAGTCCTGTAGAGCGAATCTCCTCTCAATGTTGTAAAACCCAGGGTTGAATCGTCTGTTGAATGTTTGATTGTGGGGGATGGTCGGCTCAAGCCGAGCAGTAATCGGGAATGATGGAAAATCAAAGCAAGAAGAATAGAGGACTAGCAGGAATCTAGAATTGTCACGAACCCATAATCCCAGAGGGGTGGTCCAAACCTGCAGAGCCATCACCGTCAAGCAAACGCGTGCTATCCAGCCCTGCTCTCGCTCCTCATTGGCGGAAATTCCACCCACACCAATGCGTACAGGGGGGGGGGCATCCAGACTGCCCTAAGACGCCTCCCGTATCCCTTCCGTCTTAGCAGCCTAGCAGCCCTCCCACACGATGACACGCTAATGGTGATCTGGCTGGCAGCTGTCCCCCCTAGGGCGATTCGACCCAAGATGCCGGGACTCGACATGGGCGGGTCACAGACGGCCGCCTCCACGACCACTTGTCAATCCGGCTGTACGGATGTCAAATCGGTCTTCGGCCTAGTGACTTGCATCGTGCACAGGCAGTCGCATCTGACTGCGTGTGCGGTGCCTGATCTGGTCCTTGCTTCAGCAATTTGCCCCGGCACATGCGGGCGGCGAGACAGACACATGGAATGGGGAGTGCAATCCAGCATCGCCGTTGCGGAAATCAGGTTCTAGCGAGCAGAATTGCCTGGAATCTGCAGCCACCGCCCCTGTGGAGGCCAGCCAAGCACTGGAGCTGCTCTCAAGCTTATCAAGCTCACCAAGCTCACCAAGCAATGCCACACTGACTCGTGGGGGCTCCTCCCGCCGCGCCGCCTGAGGCTCAACCGAACTTTGGATCCTCTTGACACCTGGGCGGCTTCTTGGCTTCCTTGGAACATGGTCAAGCGAACTTCAAGATTACACACGAAAGAAAAGCCAGAGCACTCCAGGTGCGCTGTCGTCGTGACCAGCAACTGGGATGGTTTTAGTCTCGCAGGATCCATGTCTCCACCGTGAGACGGCCCCGGACTCCTGGGTCACATGCCATGAGCCCCGGATTCCCACGGTCCCCATTGTTTCCCCAGCAGACCACATTTCCCCAGCAATTCTAGGCCTGGATGGAAGCACCAGGGCCCACCTCCCCGCCACATTCTCAGAAACATCTCAGATCCTGGGGCATCAATATTGGCCTCGACCGTGCCTGCCGTGCTGGACCTATTCTGAGTCCCTCCGACAGTCCCATACGCCGAGCGACGCCGTGCATCGCCTCCATCATCACCGATATCAATTATCACCGATAGCGTATGCACCACGCCGCAGATGCCATGGCGGTCATCACACCCTTCAGTCTACGGTGCCACCTCCCTCCAGGCAAACAAGGGGCCGAGGCAACAGAGGGTTGCGTTCCGATGAGCTGCCGCTTTTCCGGCCATGCTGGGGATTGAACACAAATTGTGGCTGCAGCTGCAGCCATATGCATAGGGCTTCTCTTCCTTCAATGTGCCTCGCCGCGTGGCAGAAGCGCTCCAATTCTCGGAACCCACAACGAAGATATGTCCTGCAGGTCGAAGGCCTCCTTACAGCACCCATCCCGGTATTGCGGTAAGGACACGATTGGTGGAATCCGCCCCAGGAAATTTCTCCGCTTCAACCCCAGACGGCGAGTAGGAGGAAACCCGGGGGAAGACACCGTTGTTTTTAGAATCATGGGGGAGGGGAAACAAGTGCCTTCGAATCCTTCGCCGTGGGCTAACGGACAGACTACTGTGGCAGGTCGAGATGCATGGTCGCTGAGCTGGAGATCCATCTCTTCTCGCCCCGTCCTCGTGGACAAATCAGTCAAGCTTTGGGCTAGCTGACCAGCTCGACCGGGCATAGCTCCATATCGACACCCTCCAATCTGCCCGCGAGGGAATCCTTGTGAGTGGCCATCCGGCCCTGGAAAAAATGGAGACTCGACTTATCATTGTGTTGCAACTGTTCGGCCCTTTCCCTTCGCGAATGCTGCGGTGTTCCGGTGAAGCTAATGTCCCCATGGGAAAGAGATATTGCACCCTGCAGGTCCACTCCTCATGCATACATAAATGCTTACTCCCTTCCATATCCACCATTTGTTAGCTGCCTTCCTCACACCTCCTTCGTCCTGACATCCTCGGCGTCGGTGACTTGCATCACTCGGGTCTTCTCCCATAGTTGCCTCTCTACCTGACAGTACCCAGCAGGTCGGTTGACCGCCTGCAGAGACAGCCAAGATGCCGTCCTCAAAGTTGTTGTACAACTGGTACGTCGACCTCGTCAACTTGTGAGAACCCAACGATGTGCTGACCAGATACGTCTCACCACAGGTACATCTCCATTGTGGCAGCCATGTGTATGGTGCTCTATGGATATGATGCCTCGACCTTCAACTCGATCCAGGCCTCGGACAACTGGCTGAACTGGTTCAACCTCACCTCGGACTCTACATACATGCTTGGGTTGATCAACACGGTGTACTCCATTGGTGCGATCGTGTCTGGCTGGTTTCTCGGAGGCCCAGTGGCAAGTTGCGCCGAGGATAACGTCTACGTGGACTTCCGACTGACAAGACAACTCAGGCCGACTTTTTGGGACGTCGTTGGGGCATGGGGCTTGGCTGCTTCGTTACCATCTGCGCCACTATGATGCAGACGTTTGCTCCCAAAGGCAGCCTCGGCTGTTTCATGGCAGGTCGTGTTATCGTTGGCGTCGGGCAAGGAATGGCCTTGAGTAAGTAAATCCACTTGATCCCCATATCCCGGTCACTTCGAGCTGACCGAGATCTCACAGCTGCCGGGCCCGTCTACATTGGTGAGATGGCGCCTCCCGAGATCCGAGGCTACATCATGGCCTTCTGGCAGACCTTCTACTCGGTCGGCTCCTTCATTGCGTACTGGATCAACTACGCCTGCGGGCTCCACCGCGAGAAACTCGGCGAGTGGGACTGGAAGATGGTCGTCATATTCCAGGCCCTCGTCCCTGCGATTATCATAGTCCTGCTGCCCTTCCAGCCAGAGTCCCCCAGATGGTACATCAAGAAGTCCGGCAACATCGAGGCGGCCCGCGCCTCCCTCCAGAAGATCCGCGACACCGACGCCCAGGTGGAGGAGGAGCTCATGGTCATCCGCGAGGCCATCGAGTACGAGAAGGAGGCCATCTCGTCCGGCTACGGCGCCCTGTTCAAGGACCCGTCGATCCGCAAGCGCATGTACATCGCCTTCGTGCTCAACGCGGGCCAGCAGCTCACGGGCCAGGGCACGCTCAACTCGTACTCGACGGCCATCTACAAGAAGGTGTGGAAGGACAAGGCCAAGATCAACCTCATCAACGCGCTCAACGCGACCTTCGGCATCCTCTTCACCCTCAACGCCGTCTGGACAGTCGACCGCTTCGGCCGCCGCTGGCTGCTCATCGTCGGCGCCCTGGGCATGGCCCTGTGCACCATGCTCGTCGGAGTGGTGGGCCTGACCACCCCGGGGACGTCCTCCAAGTCGGAGCCCGTGGGGATTTCCATTGTCTTCCTCCTCTTCTTCTTCATCTTCTTCTACAAGCCGTCGTGGGGCGCGACCGTGTGGATCTGGACGTCCGAGATCTTCTCCATGAACGTGCGCGCGCAGGCCGTGGGCATGTGCTCGCAGACGCAGAACGTCGCGCAGGCCGTCTTCAACCAGTTCTTCCCGCTCTTCCTCAAGAACGAGGGGCTCAAGTGCATGTTCTTCTTCATGGCTATCAATGTCGTCCTCGCCGCGTTCGTCTGGTGGGTCGTCCCCGAGACCAAGCAGGTCCCGCTGGAGGAGATCGACGTGCTGTTTGGCGGCGCCAACCACGTCGACAAGGGCGCCCAGATGCTTGGCATCCCTGAGACGGAGAGCGGCGCGCACCATGTTGCTGAGAAGGATGGGCGGGCGACGGTCCAGGAGGAGGAGAGGGCCAACCAGATTCATCATGCTTGAGGCATCGGCTGGTGCGTGGGCTTCGTTGAGGTTCGAGACTGTTTCTATTTGTTAGAAGACGAGATCAGTGTCGATATACCTGCATGAGGGCTTTAAATTGACAATTTAGCTTCCCGACACAAGCCTACCCATTCTTGGTTTCGATGTGCCTATGTCATAGATCCCAAATGTCCAGTCATCCCGTACATGATTTTGGTCATTCAAATGAAGGAAGCAAAAGATAAAAAAGTTCGCTCAAGGAGCATAACTAATTGGCCTGCTCGTATATCTGCAGCCTCTTATGCCCAACCTATCCGGCGACCTTCTTCACACCGAACATGGTTCGTCGACCCAGGCACAAGCGGTCCTCTCAATACCACTGCCAAGATGTTGTAGGCTTGTTCCTGCTGAGCAGTCGGCGCAGGGAGGCTCCTAAATGTGATTCCGGAGTGCTGGGCTTATTGCAGAGGGCCGTCGGTTCGAAAGATTATCCCCAGGTTTAAACACCGCTGTGCCAAGGGGATCCCCGTCACTGGACGAAAAGACGCTTGCGCAAAGTTTGAGGCACCAACAAGATGAGCGACGAAGCAGGTTCTTGCCATGTTGCCCCCTCCGGGTTCCTACTCCTCAAACTTGATGAGAACGCCATCCTCCTCCTCCGATCCTACGTTGGATGCAACCTTGGGCTCGCGCGCGATGAAATGGGTCGTGTACCGGACCTCGTTGAACTCGACGAAGCCCTGCTCCTCTGCCAGCACTCAGGGTTAGTTCCTACCCAAGACACCAGGGAAAAGGCGAGGGTTGGCAGCTCACCCCAATCAACCGCCACCCTCCGCGGGAGACTGCGGCCAAACCGCGGCCACAGAAACCCATCCACGACCGCGACGCCGAGGAACTGGGGCCGCTTCCGCACGAGGTCCCGCTTCCACCCGCCCGGCATTCTGAGGACAACCTGGCCCGCGTCGTCGTGCATGAACTGGTTGTACTCGACGATTCCGTCGGCGCGCACGACCGAACGCGGCACCGCCGGCTGCAGGTATGGCTGGCTGTTGCGGACCCAGCGGTCGCCGCCGGGGGAGACGCCGATCTTCTGCGCGAGGCGGTAGATGCGCCGCCGGCGGGCGCAGTTGCCCTTCCGCTGGCGGTCGGTGGCGTTGGGGAGGGTCATGAGCCTGACCGGCATGCCCTGGAAGCCGTTGGCCGCCTCGTCCGCGCCGACGAGGGCGCTGATGTCCCCCGGGTGCTGGAGGGTGGCTTGGTGTTTGTTCTCCTCGTCGTCGATGGCGGCGTTGGTGCTGGCCATTTGGGCTCCGGTCGAATCTTGCCCTGTGGCAAACGGGGGAGGAGGGTGGTCGGACTGCGCAACCTCTGTGGCGTCGTCTTTGGCGGGCGTGGGTGCGCTGTCGCGGAACTGCTCGAGCTCACGCAACATGAGGTGCGCGAAGTATAGCTCGAGGTTCATCATCGCTTGCTGTGTTTTTGGTATTTTGCGAAGTGGACGTCAATCTGAGCAGAGTGAAGATGTGTCAGTGACAAGATCAAGTAGGCGTTTACGATGGCTGCGGAATCATCAGAAAGAAATATAACTGACCAATTTCGATTGACAGCGAAAGCTGCTGCGATGTGGAAGATTGTGAAGTTGTCACGGCTTGGAGGACTGCAACTTGATAATACTTCGGAGATATCGAGGACAGACGGGTGGGGGAAGCCACAGGTAGATGTTGTAGTCTGAAAGTTGAGGAGGCCAAACGTAACAGATTCGGAAAATAAATAGGACGCAGCTGGGACTTGAAGTCCTCAGTGATATCTGACCATCTGATCTTTGTGAATGGCAGACAATTGCTCACTGCCGTATCACTGAATACCTCTGCTTCCTATTGTGTACTGATTGTGCTTGTATTGTGTGCCCCGGGCACCCTGGATGCACCGGTCTTCGATTCATAGAGGACGCTATTCGATCTCTATTTGGTACCTAGGTAGTAAGTGTCATATCAAGCAGCCAGTATCAGCAACGAATAAGATACGGAAAGTATTGTCACATGGGAGGTCGAACGAGATACAACCAGTCCTTTTGGTGCGTTGAACTATAACAGGGCGCTCCACATTAATAGAGAATGGAGTTTTATCGCGCTGGTGGTCCGTTGCATTTTGTACCGAGTGCTGTAGTCAATGTGTACCACAAACTCTATTCGCGGTCTCCATTAAGCTGCGCATTCTATTCCTAGTCGGTCCTGATTTCAATTCCAGTCCCTTATTCCCAGTCATCCGCTGCAACCTTCATCCAGTTCACGCCAACGAGTTCCAGCCCATGCTTCTTGGCAAACTCGACAGGCTTGAAAGACCGTCGCTGGGTGAACTCCTCCCCGCCGACATCCTCAGGCTTGAGGTCCAGGCCATGTAGGACTGGCTCCCGGAACAAGACGAAGAGGTATCTGTGAGGTTTTGATCTGTGGCGTGCGTCAGCGTGGGATCCGCAGTACACAAGCTGGAACGACGATTGCAATGAAACATCCGCCTGGCATGGCCTTCCATCCAAAGTAAGACGTCCACGGAAGTTACTCACTCCTTGGTAGGGCCTGGCGGGTGATAGGCCGTAGCGGGTGGCTTCGTCGCAGCGACAATAGTCCCCTCGCCGCTCAGGGGCTCCAGGCCGTTGATGATCCAGTGCCTCCAGAAGGCAAACTTGGGGTCGTCAGGCGTGGGCGCATCGGGGTCGACAAGCATCAGCGTGTACGATGTCTTGTGGTCCACATCGGCCTGCGCTGTTGTTAGAACTCAAGCACTTCATTGGCAAGCCCTGAAGGCTTTGGAGGGTGGCTGGTAAGAGTTGCCATACCTCCCGCTGGAACGAGATGTTGGGCTGGACTTTCGTCTCGCGCACGCGGAACAGGTTGCCCAGGTCGACGGCCTTGCCGTCGTACGAGACCTCGAGCTTGGTGGTCGGGCGGAAGCCCTCTGGGATGAGCTCGGCTGCCGGGCCGGGGACGAGCTTGGCGTCGCTCAGGGACTGGGGCAGGCGCTGGCCGTGCGTCTGGAGGGAGGCCTTGACCTGCTCGATCGCCGCCAGGACTGTCTCTTTTGCGGCCTCCATCTTGAGCTCTATTTTTCGAATATTCGGTGGTGCTGGGTTTGTTTAGTGGGGTTCGTCACGATGCTGGGGAAGAAATGAAGCCGCGCACAGATATTTGAGGAGTGTTGTTGTTGCCCAGCTCTTGATTGTTGGCGAGTGGTGGGAAAACCAAAGGCCATCTTGGCGACAGCTGCAAGTGGGTACAGCTGTAGAGGAACCAGAGGCGAGCTCCAAAGAGGGATTCGCCCCGCTGCGAAGGTACCGCCAGCCATCTGACATCATCATGATCTGCACCTCCTTCCCACACTCCTCCCTGCGCCGAAATCAACCTGGTGTACATGATAGTAGACTACAATACACCGGACAGATGCGAGAAGCAGCACTGGAAACCCTGAAATAATAAAAATACCGAAGTTGATCTCTGAAAAGGGACCAAGTGTTGCCACTGCACGTGGCTGACAGGAGATTGTCACTTTCAGATAAGTCGGGAAGTACCGGTAGGACCTTGTCTTGAAAGGCTATTTCACCAGACAAATAATTCTCACGGGACTTACAACACTTCATAGTATTCTTCATCTTCAACAAACTAAACATTTGTGCACAGGCAAGGGACGGATGGCCCGCTCGAGGGGTCGCTCGCAGCAAAAACTTGACAAGTGACAGACACTCGAGCGCTGAAGACGACGAATTGATATCACAAAAAAATAGACCCTGGGCCAAAAAAGTTTTATTGTCGTGTCTTGCTACAATCCAGAGTTCCAGACGATGGCTGAAAACTCGCGACGCTCCCATCCGAACTCTTCTCCGTCTCCTCCTACTCCTCCTTTTGCTGCTCAGCCCTCTGCCTCGCCATGGCGTGCATCTTGCGGGTCATGCGGCGCGGCTTCTTCTTATCCGGCCAGTCCTCTCGGGCCAGCATGCGACCCAGAAAGTCGCCCAGCAAGCGGCCCTCGCCGGAAACATCATCATCTTTGTCGGTGGCGTCGTCGGCGACATCATCGGCTTCATGACCCGGAGACTCCGGCGCGCCGGTGTCGCCGGTGACGGCAGGTGCCCCGGTCGGGATGGGTTCGGGGTAGGTCAAGTCGGTGAGGTTGGTTATCGTGGCGGCAGTGAGGGTATCGCCGTCCCTGGAGGCGGTGACGTCGCTGGTGGCAGAGGCGATGGTGTCTCCTTCCGCGGCCCGCCGATCCATCTCCTCCCTCACGAGCCGCCGCACCTCCTCTTCCCGCCGGGCCTGCTGAGCCTCCTTCTCGCGGAGCGCCTCGGTCTCCCGGTGCTGCTGCATCCTGTCCTCGAGCTCATGCAATCTCCGGAGCAAGCGGCGGACCTCCTGGATATCTCCAAGGTCGGCCCGCAGCTTCTCCATGTCCTCCTGCCCCTGGCGGAGCTCCTTCATCTCCTCGGCGTAGCGGGCCTCGACGGCGCTCTGCAGGGTGTCCTTGAGCTGGCCGAAAACCGTGGCCATCAGCTGGTCCATCCCGCTGATGGTGTCGAGATTCCAGTCGTGGTCGTCCACCTTTATGGAGCTGATCCTGCGAGTGGCAAGCCAGTCTCTGTGGCTCATCCCGTCGGGTTTCGCGTTCATGGCGTTGATCATGTCGTCTCTGAACGTGCGGGCGATCTGCTGCACATTGTCGACCACGTTGGCTGAGGGAGTACCTAGCTTGGGGTCACTGATGCGCTTCGCATGCTCTTCTGTCGGCTGCTGGGTCTCTTCGGCAACGAACTGCCGAGTACGGTCCCCGAAACTCTTCCACCTTGGGGTCTCGTGTATCAAGGTAAATATACGGTTGGCTGTGATCAGTAACGCCAGTCCGTCAAGAGCCTTTTGGTATTCCGCAACCAAATCAGCGTGGTCTGAAACAAGCTTGTCAATCGACAAGCCTTGCTCCCGGATGAGCTTGTCGTTCCCTTCAATCAACTTGGTGTGCTTGTTGAGCTCGTTCTGGACGTAATCGTCGCGTTCGCCGGCGAGGTGCCGGGTCTTGGCGATCAACGTGTCGTGGCCCTCGATTGTCTTGTTGACGTAATTGACGTGTTCCTCAAAGGCCCTTTGGTTATCCTCGACGGTTTGTCTGTACTGCCCAATGATGTTGCACAGGGAAGCGTTCTGCTCCGTGGCGGCCCGCGAGCTGTCTGCGATGTCCTTCCTGTGGCCCTCCAGGACGTTGACGATGGAGCCGAATTGGTCGGCGTATTGCTCTCTGAAGTCGGTGTACTGCCTCAGCTGATCTTTCTGGTCCTTGTATATTTGCGCGAACGTTTCTCGAAAGGCATTCCCGCTCCTCTCAACCAACTGCCCGTAAAGCTGAAGCGCAACCTCAATTGAGTCGAGCAATTCCTTTGCTAAACTCAGCCCGCCTCTTAGCTCGAGATGAACGGACTTCAGAGCGGCTTGCGAGGGCTTCTCGTCGTGGACGCCATTGGAAATTGGGTTGGAAATCTTCTTGTCAGGAATGGCATTCGGAACGGGCTTTGAGGGCTTCTTGTCGAGGGAAGTCGATCTGGAATGTATAGGCCGCGCAGAGAATGAAGATGCCGAAAGTAGGGATAGTAAAAGGCAAGAGGAGCTTGGTCAGGGGTTTCAAGATCCATGTCAAGAACCCTGCCAGGGCCAGGCGACTGCCCAAGATACGGATGGCTTGTATTCCGTCCGAGTCCATCTTGTGTCTTTGTTCGAGGTTGATGAGACAGTATGTATCTTGCACCAGAGATGGGTGTGTGGAGACTGGATCGGAAGATGTACTTGGCAGAGGATTTGTCGAGGAGGTATAGCACTGAGCGGGTCAGTCGCGCTATGTTCAGAAGGCCTGGGGTCACAAAGGTTAGAAGGCACAGCGATCAAATACTGTGTAGACCGAGCCGAAGGGAGTGTGTGATGGATGGAATTGGCAGTAGCGAGATACATACAGACGAACACTGATGAGTTGAGATGGCACACTTGAGGTGCAAATAAAACAAAGGCCCTTTCGATGGTGTCGTTGGATGATGTACGAAGAACTGGTTTGTTGATGATTGTAAGGTTGTATGAAAATGGGGAGATTTGTCGGTTGGCCCGGCGAAAGGGCATCAAGGTCCCTGGTTTGCGCTTGTTTTATGCTGATAAAGAAGTCAGTGAATGGTCAAGCACTTTGGAAATACAGTCACGGATAGTCCTGTTGCAGGGTGCACGGAATGCATAGTGAGCATTTCGGCCATTCTTTTCTCCGGTAGCTATTATAAGAGCTTCGGCTTGCTCTTGTTGCTTTAGATCCTTTCTGATCAGAACAATCAACTCCCCTCTATTATTTTTGAAGACAGAATTTTGTCATCATTTCGACCCTGTGCGTTATGACCTTCTTTTATTCCTCCTCGCGTTAGAGTGCCCTTTGGCATAGCACTGGGCTTCTATCAGAACAGCGCGCCTTTATCTGTGTGGCGCCCGTTTTCAGTCCTCTTACTACTTAGTGAATGCCTGTTATGCACCTGCCATTGGGTGACCTCGGGACGCAGGATAGGAACGGCTAACTATACCAAGTCACTTAGCACTTCGACCTTGGTCCTTTCAGGTGGGGCAGCACCGATCTATTGTGGAAGCAATTATTACAGTATATTCCATTAGATAGTGCTTTTGACTACACTGGTCCTGAAACCTTTACCGCTACCTACTGTGTGCTGCCTGTGGACTGATGTTGTTGGCTCTCGCCCGATCGACGCTGCACCAGAGATCCAGTCGTGTTTGTTGCCCCTTGGTGCTCGCCCTGAGCCTCGTCCGTTGGCACTTTGTAACACCACTCCTCGAAGCAAGCATCGCACCCATCCGGCAAGCTCACACCCTCCTCCTTCATCATAATAGCGCACGCCAGACACAGCCCCCAACCGTCGGCGCCGTTTTGTGTCGCAGTCTGTGCGCCATTTGCGATCATGCCCTCCGTCACCTCCGTGTCGTACTGGAACTTGGCTGTGGCGAGGTTGCTCTCGTATGTATAGTTGACGTTGGGCAGATACACTATCGTCACCGCCTCCGGCTCGTTGCACCCGAAGAAGGCAGCCCGCTTGTTGAAGCCCTGCTCGAAGAAGACCTCCTGGACTGGGATGGTCGGCATACGGTCTGCTATGCGGGAAATATTCTTGGTATACCAGGAGGCATCGATCAGGCAGGCCCCGGTTGGGTAGTTGTCCTCGTCCGCAGAGGAGTCGCTCAGGAAGATAACGGAGACGTTCCGCGCAGGCTCTAATAGTGGTGCTAACGGATCGTTGTGCAGGCCGATACCGCCGTCCACCATGTATAGTTCATCGACCAAGAATACCTCCTTCGCCTCGTCGCCGGTGCCGTTGAAGCCCTTGAAGGGGTTCGGAATGCGCGCAAAGTCGAGCTTCTCGTCCACGTCGTGGAGCACGTCGACAAGTTTCTCAAGAACATTCTGCAATTCCCCGAACGGGTTCGACTCCACGCACGCCGAATTGCCCAATAGATTAGACCCGGTGCCAAGGACGAAGCCCAAGTTATCGAAGCCAACTGTACACTCCGTGTCGCCGGCAGCGGTGCCAAGATATTCGACGGGGATCCAGGCAGACACGTCGTCGTTCCAGCTGCCAAAGTCGTACGGCGTGAACTCCCACACGGTGCCGTTGTCCGTGGGTCCGCAGAGCCCGGCCTTGGTGTTGATGCCATTGGCATCGATGATGGGGAACGGCACGCTTTGATCCAAGAAATTAGAGAAGCCAGCCACGTCCGACAACCGAGTGGCAACGCCTCCCCTATCCCCCTCGATCATCTGGTACGACAGCAGCCGCGACCACGCGTCATCCAGCGAGACCGGGTAGCCCGCCTTCTTCTTCTCCAAGATGTCCGCCGTGATATCCGCGTACGCCGCGAGGAACTTCCAGCCGTCGGGCGCCTCGATGCCGTGCTTGAACGCCGGCTTCCACAGGTCGTCCGCCAGCTGGCCCACGGTGGGGAAGTTGTTGCCCGCCCACGACGAGACGAGCCAGCCGCCGCCGGACACGCCGGTGTGGTACGTCAGCGCCTGCAGCAGGCCGCTGGTGGCGGCGTCGCCGCCCTCGCGGCCGTCCATGGCCTGCATCACGCCCGCGCCGGTGAGGAACGAGCGCCACCCGCCGCCCGAGACCGAGAGGCCGAGGGCGGGCAGGCTCCCCGACCCGAGCCCGGGGCTCTGCTTCTCCAGCCACGAAGCGAGCGAGACGTCGGCTTTGGCCTTGCGCCCGACGCGGTATGCTTCCTCTCGGCCGCTCAGGTCGGTGTTCCCGTCGCGGATCAAGGGGCCGCCCGGGCAGGGGGTTGTTGAAGGAGCGTAGGGTGAGGTGGCGGCTGCCAAGCCGAGGCAAAGGGAAAATAAGGAATGTGAACGCATATTGCGGAAAAGAATGACTAAGATGATGAAAGAATGGATTTGTGGTGTTCAACCATAACCCCTGCCTGAGCAGCGAGAGGAAGGGCAGACAAAGATCGGCTGCAAATCAGAAAAAAGAATGGAGATGGTTGGGACCAGACATCGCGGCTTTAGGGGCTGGAAGCAGGCAGCCAAGACATATTAAAGCTTAGCATGAGAAAGCACAAGAATCAAGCGCACGTCAAAAGGAGAATTTCTTTCCAGATCAAAGGGTCGTCGACGGGTTCTATTATGGAACCACGTCGGGCCCGCTGCTTGCCATTCTCAGCCCTGCAGCCGAACAAAAACGGCCCCGCAGGCTCTTCTCTCGTCCGAGTGCTGGGCCACGCTGACTCGCGGTTCACCGTTCATGCGAGATTGGACGGCAGGCTCGGGTCTATCCGAGAGCACGAGTCACGGCCCTGTCTTTTGAAACTCTGCCGACTTGCGCACCGCCTCACTGCTGTTGGTGGTGATAGGGGCAACTCAGCGGGCGACTGCCGCGTATCCGGGTTGAGTTGTTGAATCGAGATATGAAGGCAAGCTGATATTAGTTGCTGGCGTGGAAGGACTCCTCCATGTCTTTCTACCCGGCCGAGCATGTCAGGATAGTTGTACTGCAGTACTAGGTATTCATTCTTTAGACACTCGACCCACAGCGGCAGATCACCGACGGTGGGTCGATCAGACATCGGCCTTCGAGATGAGGCACGTTCCCCCTTTTGCAACCACAGCGAAGGTGATAGATGACAGTATTCCAGTGGCAGTAGCTGTGAGTTGGAGGATAGTACCAGTACATAAAGCAGGCGTAGCCAGAGGCCTATGATTGGGGCTCTCAACTCCCAGGCGTTCGAGAGACCTGCCTCTCACGTTCTTCGCACAAGAGTTGGTAGGCAGCCCCTGATCGTTCGCCGGTAAATGTTGTCGAGATGTCACGCTCAAGAAATCTGGAAATGTGGTTGACTGGATCAATTTCAATTACTCAGTCCTATAGCCGTCATTGCGGCGATGTCGAGACATGAAGCGGCTCATGCCGGGTATCTAGAAGTACAATATGAAATGCTTCGAATCATGGCCCTCTCATGGGTGTCCAGTACTTCCCCCTTTGCCTGTCCTATGCCTTGCCTCCATCTTCCTTCCTGCCATCGTCCTCAAATGCACCGTCCCGGCGCCTCAGTCCTCCCTGAGCCATGGAGCTGTTTCGCAAGCCCCTTTCGGTCGTCGTGAGGTCCCATCAAGTGCTTGGGATCTTTACCCCCGCCGCCAGCCTCCGTCTTTCGTCCAAACCACCGTTCCCGCCAATTCCAAACCACAACATAGAGAACCGTTACCATTCCAGCGAATCCAAAGAGTAGAGTGTCGTAGAGAGAGATTGTGTGTGTGTGTGTGTGTGTGTTCCAGGCACCCGCAGGTTGCTATCGCTATCCCCAAGGGGATGGCTTGCCCTCCGACGGACTCAGCCTCAGCGGCGAGCATCGAGAGGGAGGCCCAGCCACGCCAGTGACAGAGCGTGACCCAGCGATAGAGGTTAGCAGGCGACTTGGAACCGCCGACAGAGTGATTGGTGTCGGCAATGTCGGACTCGAGAAGGTTCCCCGGCAGCCGCAGGTTACTGGTGCTCATCCCCAGGGGGATCGCCCGCCCCTCAGAGCAACATCCACAGTGGGTGCATCTGGAGGGGGGGTCAAGCCACGCCGTGATGGGCGTGGCCCAGCAGCCAGAGGTTAGCGACTTACCGGGGGCTTCTCGGTGATTGGTGTGAGTCGTAAGAAAGAGAGAAAGAGCAGGTTCCCTGACAGCCACAGCCCAATCTTGATGATCATCCTCAGTGGAGTTCATACAAGGTCCAGCCACGCGATTGACGACGTGGCCTGAGCGGCAAAGGGCTGCGGGATGACGGGGGAAAACCTGGGTGACCGCCAGTGCTCAGTCGGCCGGGGAGGAGGGCTGACTGGCGTGACCGTTGAGGGAGGTCGTTGGCGGGAGGGTGGGTGTGGGTAGAGTGGTGGATTCGTGGTGCTGGATTTATGGTACCGATATCACGCTGCTGGGTTCGTGATTGGTGGTTGGGTGATCAGGACGATCGATGAGTGCTGGATGGCATGGGCCCGATAGTGCCGAAAGGTAGGTGTCCATGGCAGTGAGATAGCCGATGACGCTGGTGGTGGTACAAGTAGAGTAGTCAGACAGGATGGATGATTAGACGCCTAGGCGGCATCTGGCTTGTGGTGTTGGAACCAGTTGGCCATGTCAACCATGAACATGCCGCGCGTCTGTTTGAATCCGCGGTCGAGGTCATCGAGGTCCATGATAATGATGGCCTGGATGAACACCTCCTCGCGGAACGCGCTCAACAGCCTCACCATCTCGGACTTGCTGTAGGCTCGCTTGCCATTCGGGATCTTAGCCTGCTCGAACAGGAAGTCCAGGTTGCGCGCCACGTCCTGCTCCCTCACTATCTTGATGAAGTGGGCGACCTCGTCGCTTCTCACGGTACCAAGCACGGCCGCCTGAATTGTGAGGTTGTTATCTGAGAGGTAGTGGGCTTTCCAGTCGTGGAAGAAGTTGACTGTGTACTGGGTAGGCCTCATGCTGGGCGTAGGAGGGACCATCGTCGTGATGTGGACATCCTCGTCGTTGATGTCGTTCGGGTCGGCGTAGTCCACCTCATCGTCGGCGGTGGCCTCGGCGGCCTTGAGCGCTTGGGCATTCTTGTGCTCAAAGGCCTTGTCCATTTCATCCCAGGCGGATTGCTCATTGAAGTCGTCCTTCTGGCGCTTGATCTGGGCCGCAGTCAACTTGCTGGCCTTGCCCTTGGGCTTCGCCATGGGACGGTCGGTTTCCATGGCGTCATTGACCTGAGACTCCTGTTTGTCGTCCATGGAATCATCGTGGGACTCTCCCTGGGGAGCCTTCGCACCATCCTCGGGCTTGCGCGCCTTGGCGTCCTCTTGAGACTCTCGCCTGTGAATCTTGCCAGCGTCATGTGGGGTGATTTGGACGTCAGCCGAGTGCTTTCGAGGGTTGACATCAGTCTCGTACTTGAGTGGCTCGGTGGCCTCGGGCTTGGTCTCATCTCCAGACATCTGGATGTCATCAGCGTTGCCGCCAGCTTCACCTTTCGCCTGCTCGGGAGCAGAGTTGCCGTTGTCCTCCGATGGCTGCTCGACCGGCTTCTCGACCTCCTTCGAGAAGACGTTAGTCGTTGTGGCTGACTCAATGGTGTCAGAGGTGGCAGCAGGGTTGGCGAGTGGAGAGGTAGTAAGCTTGGGAGCCGAAGCCGCGTGGTTAGAAGCCGGAGAGGTAGGGTTGTACATCGGAGACGTAGGGCTGTAATTCGGAGAAGTATGGCTGTAATTCGGAGACTTATGGCTGTAAATCGGGGACGTAGTTCTGGAACCCGGTTGCGCAGGCCTGTAAGAAACAGGAGAGGTAGGAGAGGGATGTGTATGTGCCGGAAGCAGAGTGTTAGTACCCCCGATGACGGTCGTCCAGCCCGGAGACGCAACAGGCTTGGGAGCCGGAGCCGGAGCCTTCGGCTTCAAAGCAAATGGAGAGGTGTTCACAGCGCCATTGAGCCCGGGGATGTTCGACTCAGAAGGCTCCTCGGAAGGCAAGGCGGTCTTCTCCACAATCGTCTTTGGGGCCGGAGTGGAGCCGTAGTTCGCGGCGAAAGCAGCCCGCTTCTTCTCGGCGAGTGAAGCCATCTTGGTCTTGGTCGTTTGAGTCTTGTTGGTGGTCTCCGTGGGCTTGCTCGGGGTCGCGCCTGGCTTGCGCTGGACCATGGGGTCGGCCTTCTTCTTGGCCGGCTTGGGAGCGAAAGGCTTGGTGGAGGCGGGATTAGCCGGTGTGGATGGACCATTGGTCATGACGGTATCAGAGCCACCAGCATTAGCCGACGGTGCGTTGTTAGCAGCAGGCTGACCAGTCCAGGGAGTAGCCGGGGGAGCGTTCACCAGAGGCTGCTTAGGCTTCGGCGCCGATGGCTTCACATCGTCGTCGTCGATGTCCATACCAGCCGGAGGGTCGAAGTTGAGACTTCCCGCCGAGGCTGACCAGTTGATCTGCGGCTTGTTGACAGCCGGAGGAGGGCCGCCGAAGCCGAACTTGCTCGGAGCAGGTGCCTTGGCAGGAGTCGCCGTGGGATTCGGGAGCCCCTGTTGCCCGGTGGGAATCATGGGACCACCGGCGGAGGATCCGAAGTGCGATGAGCCGGTACCAGTGGCGACGGGAGCAGCTGTAGGGGTCGGCGCCTGGAAAGGTGGCTGCGCAGGACCGGTGCCAGCGAAGGGCTGGTTGCTTCCCATCGGCTGTGGCTTTGATCCGAAGCCCAGGTTTCCGTTGTTGTTCGGGATCACTGGCTCACCAGAGGTCATGGGTGTGTCATCCTGCATCGCAAAGTTGGGCTGAGACGGTTGGCGAGGGGGCTGGGAGAATGGCTGCTGCTGAGGCTCCGGATCCGCGTCCTTCATCTCATCATCCAGCTCGGCTATTCCTCCCATGTTCACATCAGGTCTCGGGACGGGCTGCGGGTCCTGGTTAGGCGGGGTCGGAGTGACTGTCCAAGGTCCATTTCCTTGCGGCGCCGGAGTGGGTTGCGGTTGAGGAGCCTGAGGCTGTTGTTGCTGGCCTTGGACGGGTGCGGGAAACTGCTGGGTGGGGTTCTGGCCTTGCATCATGGCAAACATACCGTTGACCACGTCCTCCAGCTGGCTGTGGCGCTCATCCTGCTCCTTCTTCGCTGCGTCGGCCTTCGCAAAGCGCTCGGCAAACTCCTTGTCCTTCGAGGCAATGCGCTCGTCGTACTCCTTTCGGATGGATGCCTCGCTGAGCCTCATCTGCTCCTTCATGGCCTCCTGGAGGTCCTGCTTCTCTTTGTCCGACGCCTCCTTTTGCTGCCTCAGCTGCTCCTCGAAAGACTCCTTTTGCTTGGCCAGAGCCTCATCCAAGATCTGGCGTTGTCGCTCGTGGGCGGCCTCGATCTCCTTGACCTTTTCCGGAATGTCTTTGTGTTCTTCGAAGTAGTGAGCGTGTGTCTCGAGCTCGCTTCCGGCCCAATCGAACCAGGGGGAGGCGTTCTCCATCTTTGGGACGACGTCACCCATTGCGGTCTCCAGGCGCTCGATTCGCTGGTCGTGGCCATCGGTCTTGGCAGTCAGGTCGCTCACCTCCTTGGGATCACAGCCACCAGTCTTCGCTTGGGGCTGCTCGGAGGCGGGGGTGGTAGTTGCGGCGGCTCCGAGGTCAGCGATGTTGACCTGCTCGACGGGAAGTGGGTTCTCCAGAACGTGGACACGGCCTCGCAGCTCCAGGTCGGCCCGGGTGTTGGCGTCGATGGCTGTCTTCATGGCGCCTTGAGAGCCCTCGACCAGGTCAACCTTCTCGGACAAGCCGTCGAACCGTGTCTGAAGGCTCAAGGCGTCTTCCATAACCTTGCCAATAAGCGGGCACAGAGACGCAACATCACGGCCCTGCTGGTCAACCTGCTCCTTGTCGGCCTTCTTGGCCACCCGTTGGTCGACCTCGGCGATGCGAGCCAAGTAGGCCTTGCGGACGTCCTCAGAACGCTGCTTCTCTTGCTGCTCGAGCTCGGAGATTCGCTTCACGACGGCCTTGTGGTTCTCAGCAATCCGCTTTATCTCTTCCGCCGCTCGCTTCAGCTCTTCCTTCAGAAGGTTCTTTTCCTCGTCTTCCTTCCAGCGCTTGAGATCGGTATGCTCCTCCGCTGGCTGGGCCGGCGTGTCGGGCTGCTTAGCCACGGGCAGGGACCGAATGACAGCTGGTTCTTGAACGGGCTGCGGCGTGACGATCGGGGTTCGCTTGCTCAACATGCGGGCCATTGACGGGCCCTCTTGAGCCAGTAACTTGGCGTCCGTCCTGGCGTTCCACTCGTCGTCACCCATGCGGTTCATGACATTCACGATGGGCCTTGAAGCCAAGCCCGTTGCCCGTCTGCCAAGGCTTGCGACGGTCGGCCCGCTCTCCCTAGCGTAGCGGGTGGCATTGGCGAACGGGGCGGCGTTGGCGGAGCCGGTGGTGTTGCCCGCCTCTGGCTTTGGGCGTGGGACATCGTCGTTGGTGGCAGCCGGCTGTCTTCCAAGCATGCCGAGGGGGTTGGCTACAATTGAAATGTATGTCAGTCGATGTCAACTCGTATTTGCGACGATGCCGCGGAAACGATACTCACGAATGATAGAGGTCAGGCCGGCCGGCCAGTAGCTGGCGGCGCCCGAAAGGGTGGGGATGATGCGTCCGATCAAACCAAACATCGTGGATGGTATGAGGAGCGTTCGCTTCGTTGGGTATCAGTTATGGCGATGCGCGAGGCAAAGCAACGAAGCGATTGACCGCGGAGGGTACGTGGTTGATGGATAGTAGGAGGTGAGTGATGGAAGAGGATATGGGGTTGATGGGTAGGAGGAGGTATGGGTTGATGGAAGGGAGATGGATCGAAGATGGTATGTGGATTGACAAAGAGTAGGAACTCGATGAAGTTGTTGTGTCGGCCAAACTGTGGTCAAGTCTCACAAGTTTGCAGACGGGTGCAGAAGAGGTTCTGAAAACAAGATCGAGCTGGGAGGTTGGTCGAGGGTTTAAGTAGTTTTGGGATCTGAAGCCTGGCCGAGGGCCGGTAGAAGTGATTTCAGATGGGTGCAAGTTGAAAGTGAAGATTGGAGGGGAAGGGTTGGAGTGAAAATAGATGTGATGGTGGGCAGACACTCAGCGCGCTGCCACGGCAGCCCACGACGCGCCCCGCGATCGCACGGTCAAGTGAATGGGGAATGTGAATGGAGGCGGGGAACCACAGCAAGTGACTCGATGTCTGCGGATGGACAATAGCTACATAATCAGCGGGTCCTATTGTAGCTCTATTCAGTCGTTTGTTTGTAACGCTACAGCAAGACGATCTGCCAGTCGTTGAATACTTACAGATTCACTATTACTACGAGGACGAGATTGGGGGAGCAGCAGCGCACACGAAGCGCAATACATTGAAAGCTTCAAAGCAATGCACCTCTCAATAGAGTCGTGATGTGTTCTAGTGACTGAATGCCCCTTTCAATTATGCCATTCATGGGTTGCTTCGGTAGCTTAGCAGCAGTGTTGTGCCAGATGACGTCGAGGCTGACAACTGCCCAAAACGGCACCCCGCGCCTAGTGTGTGAGTGGGGCGTGTCATGTTTACCTCGACAGCCTCGCATCGCGACCACACAATCGCGACCAACGATGGAGCTCATTCAGGCGCCAGAACAATCAGAGAGAATCGGAGGTATTAATTTGCAGTGTGAAATTAGTGCATAGAATACTCCAAGGGTAGCTATCCCACGATGCAGCGTGTTGTGCTCAATCGGCGCGGCGGAAACTTGATGAATCCCTTCAACTCCTCCCTTGTGCCTCCTCGTGCGCCCATCCATCCCTGTGCTCCTACAGCATACCTAAGCACGGTTGGCGTGTCTGGCGTGTCGAGGTTAGCCAAGCCAGGCCATACTCCGGCGATCAACCACAGTGGTGTTCGCCGAGAGGACGACCTGCCTCGTAGCCATCCCAAACACCCGTGCTCGTCTGGCCGCAGTCGCCCGCCCTCTGAATCTGCACTTCAGAAGGAGAATCTAGAGGGAGGGTGACTGAGAAGCCGTCCGAGTATCCACCACTGCAATTGTGTAATGCCTTCCACCTCTTTCATGCGCGTGACACGATAGGTATCAATTATGACGATCGGCAAATGAATCAGTCGCAAGAGCAGCTATTAGCTGCCAACTGTCATCCGCCACTCGCTTTTCGAGGCTTGCTCTTGTCCGTGGACATCAAATGTAGGGCCATTGGGGCAGGCAAGAGTCGATTGTGTCCGGTCGAGGCTAGCGGAGGCTGCTGCTGAGAGCCTCTGAGCTGCTGCTTGCTGATTGGGGGAGCAGGCGCGCCCAGATCTCAGGTGTCGAGGAGACCGGGAGGAACGCTTAGGCATTGGGATACTGACTGATGCGTTGGGGCGAGAGAAGGAATGGTCGGAGATCGGAGGGAAGTCAACGGGATGGAAGAGGGTAGCCATCCAATGGCTTCAGGCGGTGCCGCTGCTACCGTCTCGTTGCAAATGTAGGAAAGCTGCCCCAGAGAGATTCACCGCACTAAATCTCTTTCGCGAGGAATAATGAATCGGAGACTATAGGGAGGAATGCTGATCCTTGTGGTCGGTAGTTAGTGGTCACAAGGAGATAGACGTACTTAGGTCCCGTCGAGGGAACCATTCAACTACGCCCGTAAGGGCGTACTTGGCCGGTAATCTTGACAGCGCTGTTCATGCGCTGCAAGAAAGTCGTCGAAATCAGGCCGCGTTGATGGCTTGCGGCCGAGCGCCTCCGGATTATTAGAGAGGTTGAGGATAGGATATACTGGCTGGCGCCTCGTAGCGCGCGTGTGTGATTAAGTGGCCGACAACTTGTCGGCAATCACTTGCCGCAGGTAGGGCGATTGGTGGTATAATTATGCTTCTTCGGTCGAGTGGGGATCGAATAGACAGCACACAGCTGGTGCTGATTGTCTCGAATTCCTTCAAGAGTGAGACGGTTCTTCTTTGTACAGTATTTCGACAAGAGACATCGGTTTCGTTGTATTTTCAGGCTTCCTCGTCGTCGTCGGCAGGCGAAAGAGGAAAGTTCTCGGGGTGGTTGTCTTTCAGGCCCGCAGGCAGCAGGTGGAGGTTGGACTTCCGAGCCCAGTCGATCGTCAGGTCAGACTTTCTGTCTTCGTCTTTGATCACTGTGTGTTCGCAATTCTATTAGCTCTTGCCTGGCAATAAAAGGGGCCATAGGAGGGAATGGTTCCAAAATGACCCACCTTGGCAGGCGTATTGCCGCACCATGTCCCGATCGTCTCGTATTTGCTGATTGCAGGCCAGAATGTGATCTCGCGCGCGGGAGTCCCGGAGAGGGTGGCTTGAGAAGTGGTGCTTGCAGTTCCCGCGGGGGCACTTTACGAAGGCGTATATGCCGTACCCTTCAGCCGTCCTGTAGCCGAACAGCCACGGCCTCTTCTTGCCCATCTTGGCGATCTTGCTCATGGGGATTGAGTTCCTGCTGAAATTTATGAAGCTCGAGGACGGCACCGAGTAATCAGTTGGGAACCTGATGGGCTGCGGTGTTATGTCCCCAGCCAACGACGTCAAGTGGCTCTCGGCGCTGCCGGGCTCAAGGTCTCCGGGCTCAGGAGTCGCCTGCCTTGGGGTTGCTGGTACAGCTTCAGGACTCGCGATGGGCAGGCCAGCAGGAGGCGTATCCTTCGTCAGACGCCGTCGCTTTGAGCCTTCAGGTCCGTGGCCATCACCAGCCTCCACGCCGTCCCCCTCGCTGTCGTCGTCGTCGTCGCCGTCGTCGCCGTCGGGTGTTCTGGCGCGCTTCATGCCAGCTTGGGAGGGAACACTGTATGAAGCAGAGCCTCTAGCCCCAGAGCTCGAGCCAAGGGCGCCAGAATAGGCCGGCTCCTCCGTCGGCTGCTGCTGCTTTGATGCCCCAGGCGCCTGAGCTTCAATTACCTCTGCGTCTTCACCATCGGCGGCATCGTCTGCTGAAGCCCGGAGGCGCTCAGCAGAGGCTCGGCGGCGAGAGACACGACCCGCATTCGAGGGGCCAGGAGTGGCGTTACGGTGGGATCGTTGGCTCTTTGGGTCGCGGTTCAGGTCCTCTTCGGTTTCATCTGCGTCTTCCTCGCGGGGCCGCTTCCGAGATTCACCACCCAGCTGAGCCTCGCCTTCCACGGGGGCCTCATCAGCGCCTTGCCTCGTGCTGGAGACTACCGGTGCCAAGAGAGTTCGCAGCTGACGCACGCGCTCCTGGCCACTCTGGAACTGCTCCCGCGCAAGACGCCTCACGTAGCCTTTGTCAGGTTCTTCTTGATAACAAGGGAGGCGCCTGTTGTAGCCAGGTTGGAAGTAGATCCACTCAGGGTCCACCCATTCTTCGAAGCCCTGAGAGTCAATTGCCTCGTACTGTGCCTGAAATGGCTGTCATTAGTAATTCGTACTGGAACGGCTGGGTGGAACGCTCGAGTTGGCTTACCAGGAGCCTCTCCCCGACGGGTCCCTTTTCCCGGAGCAGCGCCTTCATGAGGTTCTGCAGGTTAGCCCCCATTTTTGTGTATTCGGATTTCGGTCCGTTGTAGTATCGACAGTTCCAAAAGAAGAGAACCATGTCGTTGAAAAACGCGGTGGCTCCATAGCCGACCGAGCTGTCTGATCTCAAGCCCTGCTCGATGAATTTGAGGTGTCGGGGCCTCGCAATTTCGGGGTAGTATTGCTCGAATTCTGTCTCGTCAACTTGGTCGATGAATGGCTCGCCGTCCTTTTCGGCCATCAGGCGATGCAGAATCTCCAGAAGGAGAACGTTCCAGGAGGGATCGTCGTCCGGGTTCTTGTTGTGGTGGTGTGGTACTCCATCAATTCCAGCAAACGGCACCAGACTAATGGTAGGCTTTGGCTGTTCCCTAGCATGCTCAATGCCATCCAATTGATCCGATTGCCTCTCCGCCTCTCGAGTATCGGTTCCCCGGTCTTTCTCAAACTGGTAAGCAATGTTGCGGCAGATATCGTTCCGCGGGGAACAGTTGTCAGAATTGTACGATTTCAGACGTTTGACGAGGAGGGTGTCGTCGGAGGCGGCAATCCTGGCCTTGATCTCATCGTATTCCTGAGAGTAGCGCTTCAAAATGCCATCGGGCCCATTGTACTTCAGGTAGACTGCCAGGAACTCCTCCTCCTCTTTCTTGCGGACTTCGGCCAAGCGGTGCCTACCGAATGGGTGTTAGCTATCAAGCATTGAGCAGCAGGTTCTACTAAAGCTGGCCAGTATATGGCAATAATTTTCAGACCCTTATTCAACAACCATAGGCTGTTTGCAGCCCGGATGCCAGCGTTGAGACAGACTATCAACTAGGTCGATGCTTTTACTTGCAAATGCTCAAGTTGAATGTGATGATCTGCTTACCAAAAAGGAAAGACCTCTTCTTTCAGATCATTGACACGGCGAAGCTTCAATTCTTCGGGAATATCAGGGTGGTTGCGGATATCACGCAGAACGCCTTTGTACATGTAGAACTTGCCACCCGGCTCGAAGTCGTCGCCGTCGGGGTTCGGCAGGCAGTGGGTTGCCATGGTGTGGTAAGCTGCGTCACACGAGAGGAAAGGCTTTGAGGATGATCGGTCGGGAAGTCAAAGCCTCTGGAAATTGAGGTATTCGTAGAGAGTCCCTGTATACTAGATCAACCAATGGAACGTTGGTGGAGAGCGTTGTGGCCGCGCAAATGTCCCACACTGAGCCGGGGCTTGGTCGTGGTGAAGTAGCTAGGGCGTCGTATGTGACGGATACTGGGATTGTGTTGACGTTTGTGCCGGGTACTGGGGATTGATTCTCTCTTTCCGAGATGATCAAGATATTCGCAGATGTCAATTGCTCTTAGGTCGCGTTGGTCGATGGATATAGATTGTGGATGTTTTGAAGGGGGACCGACACGCAGAAACTGGGTGCAGCAGGCGTCGTGCCCTCGATTACCAGCGGACAACAACTCCTGAATCAGTCTAGATGGTTGGTTGTGGGCATTGAAGAGTTCCCCGGTGACAAAACTAAGTAACCCTGCGCTCCATTCAATCGTACCAGTGAATTGAGTTGCAAACATACTCAAGCACTCTAACCAACTTATCATGCGTTCCCAGCTCCCGCACACGCCGCATCTGCCCCTGACCTTGCGACACCACAACACGCCTCAGCGGCAATCAATTTTTTTATCCTGCAGTACGTTCCTGTTGCTGCCTGTGCTTTCCATACCCAGCGACACTGGGGTATCCCGAGTTGTTTCGTCGATGACAACACCGCCCGGTGCCCAAGATCACCAACACAATGGCGCGAGAGCGCAAATACTTCCGCGCGCGCCCTGAGCGCAACTACACCTACGAAACGTGAGCATATGCAAATACACGTACCATTTCTTTACTCTACACCCGTCAGGGGCCCTCCAGCACGCCATTGAACTTCCTCAAACTGACTTTTCGCCGTTCTAGGACTTTGGCCATTGACTGGGGAAGCGAGGCTGTTCGAGCGAAGCTGTACTACAAGATGGGAGATGGACAGCCGGCCGAGAAGCTTTTACAGCACATCTCGATCATGAAAGACATCCAAATTGATCGCCGAGAGGTCAAGCGCCAATTCACTTCCCACATTTATCCCTATGGCAACACTAGTCCCAACCCTCCTGGAGAAGATGTTTACCCAGGAAACAACCGTCTTCCAGGACGTCGTTCCATTTCGTCCAAGCTTGGGATGTATGCCGTGGTGGGAATCTCGGACGAGGTTGCCAGACAATCTCCCGAGCTTCAGGAGTTGCGGGCACTAGTCCGTCGGAAACCGCAGCTCAAGCAGATCATTCGGATAGGCATCGAGCAAATCATGTACCGTGTCTTGCGCAAGGTCTACGAGTCCTTCGCCTTCTTCCGAGAGCCCACGCCTCGCGTCCTCGACGCCATCGCACTGACGATCCCTGCTCAATGGACAATCGAATTCGAAGAGGAGTACGGCGAGCTGCTCATCTCGGCATGGGATCGGGTCTTCGACTGCAGGGCTCCACAGCTCATCTTCCTCAGTGAAGGACAGACCAATGCGCACTTCGCTTTCTACAGAGACACAATCACAGCGATGCATGATCGCCAGCATCTCTCTCACCGGGGTTTCTTCGACATTGGAAGGTGCAAGAACGCTGTTCTGATAATCGACGCAGGAGGACACTGCACCGTGAGTCTCACAGCATACGCGCATGGCATCTCCTTTGAAGCTGACAAGTGATCAACATAGAACACCTCTCTGGTCACTGTCTGCCATGATGACAATCAGCTCGAGGTTCTCCCTGATCGAGGTGAGCCTGAAGTCCCTTGTACATCTGCAGTGTTCTGATACGATCTATTTTAGGCGCCATTGGAGGCACAGCCCTGTGGGCGTGGCACGTACTAGAGCGGGCGAAAGCGGCCTGGGAACATACTAATCCACTGGAGGCTATGCCTGTGGAGATTGAGAACCAGATCCTGAAGATATTCTATCTCAACTGTCCAGACTACAGAGAGGACACAGGAGCACCGTTTGACATCTACGACTGCGGCCCCAACCGAGACATCTTCCACCACAGGCTCAGCCCCGAGGAACTTGTTCAGACATTCGAAGACGCGAATACGCATGCCTTTTCCCTTATTGAGGACGGGATCGTTGAACTCAAGGCCCTCCGACGAAGTTGCGAGAGGATCAAGATTGTGATCGGGGGCGGTTCAGCACAGGGGGCTATGTGGTTGGCATGCATGACCAACCTTTGCACAAGGCACCAGATGGAAGAGCCAATCTACATCTGGCAGATTGATCACATCTACGAGTATGTATACCACAAATTCCAGGTGTATTAGTGCAGCTCACTGAATACACATAGGCATGCGAGGCTCGCAGCCGGCGCAAACTACGCCCTAGCGAAGGCAAAGTCTGTGGCCCAGTTTGTTGACAGAGCTGCCTTCGGCCTTGCCGTGAAGAAGGGCTTCAGAGGTGCAGATGGATGGACCTACGATTGGCACTACCGGGCCAGCATGCTATGGGCACGGGTAAGTGGATCACATGCTTGATATCTCACGTGCCATGAAATTTAACTAACGCTCACACAGGGAAACAAGTGGGCCAAGACCATCACGACGGACGGCACGGAAAAGTTCAAGGTGATCTGCCAGCCCGAGTACGACAGCCCCCGAGCCAAGTCCACCATCGAGCCGAACTACAAGGCCTACGATCTCCTCCCAATCCCCTGCCGCACGAAGGGCATCCTCCAGTTCGATTTCGAGATCGACACCGACACCGACCAGCTGAAGCTTACAATCAAACACAGACGTGTGTCGAAATTGGGAAAGACTGGGAGGTCGACCGAGCTTGGGAAGGTTGAGTTCGATCTCTGGGTCCCACCCGGCAGCCGCTGCCTCCAGATCTGGGACTGTGTCGAGGACATCGAGAGCAAGGTCACTACGGCCTTTGCAGGACAGCAAGATGCAGAGGACACGGACGGCTCGGAGGGCGACGAGGCTGAAGAGATGGATATCGACTCGGGCGCCCAAGAGCAGCCCATCCAGAAGGCTCGCAAGCTTCGCAGCAGCCTTCGTGGATCCGCCTCACGCGGTCAACAGGCTGCTGCTGATGTTGATATGGATGCCATGGCGCCCGAAGAGGAGGACCAAAACCGTGGCGGCAACTCGTCCAGCGCGGCGCCGCTTGTTCAAGCTCAGGCTGGTGCGCCTCAAGGCTCCGCCGAGGACGTGGAGATGGGCGGCATGGAGGACGAAGAGGAGACAGCTGACACCATCACTGTGGCTCCTGTGCCCGAGGAGCCTTCTCAGCCTCCTCATACTAGAGGCCAGGGCGCGCCACGCCGCCGCCGCCGTGGATCCCGCGTCTCTAGAGGAATCTTCGCGCTGTGATGAGACTAAAGCCTTGCCAGCTGCGCCGGAAAGAGCCAGCCTGGGAGGTATACAAGAAGAAGACCTTTCGAGGTTTACGAAGGAGGGCTTGGCTGGCCGGTGTATCTATGAATATGATGTCTATGGAGGGAGCCCTATGGCGAGGCACCTTTCGCTGAGCTGAGGATGGCTCATGGTCGTAGCATATCTTTTGTGGCCCCTCTGGGGCCAAAGATTCGATTTTGGCCTTTTCGACAACCCTGGTAGTGCTCTATGAAGTTCAAGGGCAGGGTTAATTCTAGATTGGTAGCCTGCACCTCACTTGCAAATGAGACGTCACTTATTTTCATCACAGTCCCTCCTGATACAGATCTGAGCTCCAGCTTTATTCAGTTGAGGGCTTATCACGAGAGCAAAGTAGTGCCGGCAGCAGAACGTTGGTTGTTGGTTGTAAGGCTCGCATTAATGCTGCGCCGCTGCGATGCGTCTTGTGCTGAGGTCACGATCGACAAGCTAGGTTTCAGCGTCCCAATCACTCCGACAGGAGTGCGGAAAAGGGGTCCAACTAGAGAACCAACGAAAGTCAACGGGCCCGGCCGACTCATGTTCAAGGGTAATTTCTTGGATTCCTGCGGAGGGTATTAGTCCACGCTTGCCTCGACACTCATCCGCTTCTGGGGACGAACATCCGAAGCCCCTATCAAGACGACGCAGCAATATCACCACCACCATGTCTCAAAGACCCATCCGCATCGCCATCCCCGGCGGTGGTCTCGCCGGCGCCACCCTCGCCCACGCGCTGCTCAAACACGCGCACCTAGACGTCCACATCTTCGAGTCCGCCGAATCCTTCAAGGAAGCCGGCGCCGCGGTGGGCATCGCCCGCAATGCCCTCTCGGCCCTGGACCTCATCGGCCCCACGGCGATCGCAGCCCTCCAGCGCGCTGGTGCCGTGCCCCAGAAGGGCGTGCGCTTCATGCTGGCCCAGGGCCCCGACGCCGGCGACGGGGGAGCCATGATCGACGAGATCGACGCTGAGGCCCACCAGAAACAGATCGTCAGCATCGTGCACCGCGCCGCGTTCCTGAGGGAGCTCCTCGCGGATGTCCCGCCGGCTCGGATGCACGAATCCAAGAGGCTCGAGAGGGTCACCCGCGGCGAGGAGGGCCCCCCTGGCGAGGCAGCGCCCATGACGCTGCACTTCGCCGACGGTTCCACGCACGAGTGTGACGTCCTCGTCGGCGCGGACGGCATCCACAGCACTGTGCGCCGGATCGTCCTCGGCCACGACGACCCGGCCGTGCGTCCGCGGAACACAGGGTGGTGGGCCATCATGGGCCTGAGGCCCCTTGCCGCGGCGCAGGCGAGCCTCGGGGAGGGCCTCGTGGGCGTGGATGACCCGCGGCATTATGGCTGGACCGGCGAGGGCGCGTATCTCATGCACGACGCGCTCAGCGACGGGCAGCTCGTGCAGCTCGTCGCCTGCGGCATGGACGAGGACGCCCGCGGCTCCGGCCGGTGGCAGACCACGCTGAGCGCGGATGAGATCCGCGAGCGGTTCCGGGGTTGGCCGGTGCGTCTCAGGAATTCCGTTGAGAAGGTATGTCTATGATAAACCCAGTTCAGAGGTACGCTCTCTCTGAATCCAGCTTACACCTGCACAGCTGCTCTGCGACGAGCCGGAGCAACCGGCACGCTACCTGTGGGAGCACCCGCCAGCCCGCACGTACGTCTCCGGCCCCATCGCCGTCATGGGCGACGCCGCGCACGCCACCACGCCCTGGCAAGGCTCGGGGGCGGGCATGGCGATCGAAGACAGCCTTGTCCTGTCTACTCTTCTCGGCCGGGCGGAGACTGCGGCTCAGGCCTCGCTGGCCCTCGAGGTGTACGACCAGGTCCGCCGGCCTCGCACGCAACGAGTTGTCGAGTCGAGAAGGGGGACGGGTATTATGCGGACTGGGTTGGACAGGGAAGTGGGTCTTGATCTCCTGAAGTTCCGGAAGAGGTTACTTTCCAGGTGGGACTTTATTATAGATTTTGACAACAAGCAGCATTGTGCGGATGCATTGGCAGTTATGGAGAGGCTTCTCGGGGCAAGGCAATAATTAGAGGCTCCATCTCTGTCTTAAGCAACAGCTTAGGTTTATTTGTAGTAATGACCTAAAGCCACTGAGAATAACACTTAGAATTAATACAATTTAGTCCTATTGTCCTCGCTCCTATTTAAGCATAGACGCAGCATCGACCGACCACAAAGCATCCATATCGCAGATTGGAACGGGTCAAGTCCAGGCAAAGAAAGACGCACCGGCACTGTACATGATGGAGTCCCACCAGCTCTCAAGGTGCCAAGTCATGCTCGTGCTGTTGACGAAGGACGTGCTCAACCGCACCCGCAGGTTCCTGCTGTGATCGTAGTCCAAGGAGTCAAGCGCCATGATAACCTTGGGCGTCCCCGAGAACGCCACACCGAAGTCTCTGACGCCCGAGTTCTCGTGCTGCGGTTTCTGCCAGGGGCGCACGTCTTGGGTGTCGATCCTGCCGCTGGTGACCCCCGGCTGCTCCGCCGGGTGCGCCAGCCAGGTGACGCCGGCGGAGTAGAGGATCGAGTCGGCCCACGAGTCGGCGTGGATGGTGAAACCGTTCTTGTCGATGTCGGTCGCGGAGGCTATGATGCGCCAGTTCTTGCTCTTGTCCATGTCCAGCGACTGCAGCCAGGTGACCACCTTGGGCGGGGCGCTGAACGGCGTGGTGAAGTTGATGCGCTTCGAGTTCATCAGCTGCGGCTCGTTCCAGGGGCGGGTCTCCTGGGTGTTGTAGACGCCCGTCTGGGTGTAGTTGAAGGCTGAACTCTTCTCCAGGTATGTCATAGAAGCCGAGTAGAGGACAGTGTCGGCCCAGCTGTGCAGTGAGGCCTTGAAGTTCTCGGTCGTGGCTTCGCTCGTGGCAGCGGTAATGCTGATGTTGGCGGCCTGACTGATGTCGAGGGAAGTTATGCCAACTGGCAGCTGCGGAACAGAGTCATACGTCTTCTAGTAGTACTTGACCTTGTCATTGACCAGCTGCGGTTTGTCCTCGGGGCGGATCTCCATAGTGTTGAACTGTCCAGCATCATAAGTGTCAGCTGGATAGCAGAACTTGACGTATTCCATGTCCAGAGCAGAGAGATCAACCACATTGTTGCTAGTGCCCTTCCCATCTGTGGTCCATTCGTCAGGGATTTGGTACAGCATGATGCTATCCGGGTCGAAGGCTGAGGCCTGAGTGTCTGACGTGAGAGGGAAGATATTGTAGTCAACCTCGGCCTTGGTCCAGTTGTGGCGGGGACCGCAAAGATCCTTGTAGACCTTGTCCTTGTTCCACGAGATGTTGGCATATGGATTCTGATGCTCATGGATCATACCAAGCGCATGTCCAAACTCATGAAGGATGACAGAGCGGATGCCATCTTCTGAATTGCTCTCCTCAATCCATCCGAGATTCATGGACGTCTGGTTCTGTGAGCTGGCGAGGGAAGAGTCTGTACCCATCAAGGACCAGGATGCCGAGTCAGGTTTGAATGCGATGAGAATGTCCACTCCGCCCGAGTCGACAAAAGTGAAATTGAGGTTTGCATACTGGGTCCACTGTGGAGCATATGTTTTGACTTGATCCTGTTGACTTTTGATCAGTGCTTCAATTCTCTGATTCCGGCTTCCGGTGCTTTGTCTGAACACCTACCTTCTGCCAGGAAGAACCACCCTGGAACCCAATATTGAGTTCTCGGCCAGGTCTCCAGAACTTCCCGGTCATCATAGCAAGATGCTGAGACCCACCAAGCAGCTGAGGTGCCGGGGGTAGTGTGAGAGCTCCGTTCCGAGGGTTCTCAGTCAAGGCTGCGGAGACACTCCCCATGGGTAGGATGCCGTTCTCATCGTTGAAACCAAAGGTTTTGGTGAGGCAGATGGGCCAATAAGAATCCATGATGGAGAATATAGGGTCGTAGCAAGTAGTCTTGATAGTAGTCATTGACTGGGGTGATCGCTAGGTCTGTCGTGATTGACGCTACCTGGAAACGGAAGAGCAACGATAATTTGAGAAAACGAAAGCAGGAAATTGGTGGAGGTAACCAAGCCGTGTTCATTTGGAAAGCTCAGTACCGTCGAATTATGAGATGTAAGAGCTGCGTATGCTCCGCTCTTTCCTCACAAGCCGCTCTTTCCGTTCACCCACAGCTCTTTCTGCTTCAAGCCGTCAAAAGCCCCTTGAGTGGATTGAGTTATGAGCGGCTTAATAATACGAGCCGTCATTGAGAAGGGTTGTTATCGAGTAGTGTGTACGCGGTTCTTTCCCTGTAAGTGGAACATATGCGGCCTGGGGGAGCGTACATACCGCTCATGAAAACAGGGAACCGACGGTACTGCAGTCTGACAGCCCAAAAGCCAGGAATCGACAGCTCAGAATTATCCTGAGATTTCAGTCAGGGAACCAAGGAGTATGATAGAAAAGTTTTCTAAGCAGGTTTTAATTCTCAGTCCATCCGGTAAATAAAGGCCGAAGCCACATTTCAACTCAACGGGTGCTCTGAACATGATGGGTGCTGGCATCCCTAGCTAAGGAGGCTTAGGCTCCCCACAACTTAGAGGACTTCCCGTAATTGCCGTTCGTGGGAATGTGAACGGCATTCTACATTTCCTAATCGAGGCAGGTACTACCTTCTTCCGGGAAGGGTATCTGTCAATAGATCATCAAGCAACGATCTAGAGTGTCTTGTCCAAACTGCACTGGTCAGCCCAAATTTGCAAACACTGAGCTCAGCGACAAGTCGGTATGACACCACACGGAATGCATTGAAGCCCACTTAGTAAGTGCAGACTGGGGTTCATTTTTCGTGGATGAGCTCCAGCTTTCCCAAGCTGCCGGCGTCAGCCAGATGTTCGTGGCCGAGAATGTTGGCTCAGCCCTGGAAACCGGCAGTCACCTGCAGCTCTCCGTCGGTATCTGGAAACTAAGGAGCGCCATGAGGAAGTGGCCATTATCGTCAAGCCAACGCCACTGTCGTCCTGATCTCTTGGCTCCATGAATTAGGAGACCGCGCTGCTACAAGCATGTTCCACACAACCATAACCTGTCTTGGCATACACAGAAGAGACAGCTCTTGGACCGAACCCAGGTATCCGTAGTTCGATTAGAATTATGCTATCGTCAGCGAGAGTGACAGTCTTGGAAAGGATAGACCACCTGAAATTTGGAGGGATTGATCAGAATCGCAAGCAGTTGCTTGTATCGGACAGTTTGCAGATGGTGCGGAATGTGACTGAGATGTGTCTTTGTCTGTGGAGGTGGCTCTGGGCAGCAAAGTCTTACTTAGAAAGGTGGACAATAGCAATGTGTCCTTGACAATTTGGCTCCTTTGACGAGACCAAAAGGCCAACAGAACTGAATAAATGGCTTTTTATAGGACCGGCCGCGTGCTCGATGACTTCTTTATAACTTGTAAAAACAACATTATACGATTTATTAACGAGGAGCTGTGTGTTACATTCAAGCCGTCTAATATCAGCAACTCTTGGACTATAAGTACAAATTAATTTCTCACTGGAGCAGCATTTCTCTCGCCGCATCATTGACACGCGATCCTCACTTATCACTTCTACCACAATCAGGACTCTCGGTTGACATTCATCAAACAAGTCAGACATCCTCTACCTGTAACACATCTTAGCCACTGAGCGAGTATGTCTTCCGCTATGAACGAGACGGTATCTTCTAACCAGAACTGGAAGAAGGCGGGCCGTAAGACAAAGCGCGGCAAGCCCACCGGTCGTCGTGAGGTCGTCGAGAAGTACAAGGCGATTGGCTTGGACACTCTCGGCTGCGGGAACCGCAAGCAGCAGGCGATCCGGGGCCGCGTTTTCGGCTACGTATTCAATGAGCCCTCTATTGTCGCCCCCATGCTCGCCAAGGAGCGCCGCCGCGCCAACAAGCCTGCCCTCCAGGACCAGCTCCTTTCTTTGGAGAACAAGGAGTCTCAGGAAGAGTCTTGGCACGAGGCCCGTGGAGAGGTTATCGAAATGATGGACGGGATCTGCCGCGAGAACTCGCGCGGGAGGGCCCAGAAGCTTGGGCTTGAGCCGTGGTACTTTGAGCTTCCCCGGGGCCTTGAAGATGTCGACTGGTTCGGCTTTGACTACGGCCACCTTTCCGGTGAGTTCTGGGACAACCTCAAGGGAGTCATTGGATGGGCTCGGGAACAAGGCAACTATGTCGATTTTGAACAGGCAGCGTGGATGGCAGCCCCGCACTTCGGCGGCGAGGATTGCTTTATTTGTAAGAAGATGGCTGAGTATGGAGAGCTAGGCTATTGTCGGTGGATAGGCTAATACAATGATCTTGGGCTGTTTCGTCTAATTTTGAATTGCTACAGTAAGAAATGTGACATGCGGCGTGGGTCTATAGATGTACTGCAGAGGAGGATACAGCAATGGCAAGCTTACACAGGAGCCCGACACCCCATCGGCTCTCTGGAGACATGCTATGGGCTATAATCTTTTGGAAGCATTTAAAGAAGTCCTAATTGACGGTCACCCGGATGCCGCCTCTGGCGAGGCCAAGTGAATGGTCAGAAGGAGGCTGCACAGTCTTGTATGTAGCATGTGTTGAGCCTGCGGATGGACATGGCCAATTCAACAGGGCTGAGGAAGGTGCCATCTCGAAAACAGTGGCCCGTCAGAGGCTCTACATATCTAGCATTGGAAAAAGCAAGAATGATCTGTTAATTGGTAGATGACACAGGAATCAAACTTGAGCAGCACAAGGCAAGGCTGTCGTAGAAAAGCTTTGGTGGTTTTATTAGGGCTTGGCTACGTATAGAACGTAGTCAGTAGGCTGTCGCAACACAATGACGGGCATATTTGCCAAGACAGATCACCAGCGTCTGGCCGCGTGTAATCTCAAGGCCGTGCATTCTAGGTTGCGCCTCCCAAACGAGGGAACTGTTGCCGCCCTCGCCCCCGAGCCATCCGAGGCAACGTCTGAGGAGTGGCAGCCAAGCCTTGTGCTTATCGATCTGATCAGAGAGCTCCAGGCCGTCCAGACGACCCCTGGGCCTGAAGACCCATATTGGGCTTCGCTTAAGTGGTACGTCACGGGCGGAAGGCCGCATGTGTGGGGGGCAAGAGGTTTCGTCGCGTAGCATTGGGCTAAGCTTGGGCCTCGGCGCCGACACGGGCGCCTCGAATCATGTATATGAGGCAAAACGACCGGTGTGGTGTCGTCATTGTCGGAGAGTCAGGCGGCTTCGGAGCTTCGGCGCTGGCCGGGGGCCGGAATTATGATCACGGAAATGTGTGTCGGGAATTGACATCAAGATCTTGTCTGAATCAATCACCAACTCGCGTGATTCTCAGTTTCCAATGTATGTACATACTGCGAGCGGGAGAAATGCATACTTCCCACGTAGACGGAGATGGTGAGGCGGGAGAAATAACGTGCAGCATCAAATTACAAGTCTATATAATATCAAAACTAATGTTTGTAGATCCTTGCGGGCGCCCTACATGGCCCATATCTATAGTGTCACAAAGACCTTCTGGGTATCATAAAAGAAATGAGAAGGATGAACCTGAATATCCTCTCCTACCCCTTATAAATGCGAATGCATCATCCTCTGTGGAGAAGCTTATATGAGATCCCTTGGTGCACGATCCGCCTCTCTTAATGACATGGGGCCGGACCCAGCCCACCCCACAGCCTGGAAATCGACCCTGTTGAAATAGTCAACGGGCATTCTCGCCGTTATGGGGTCTCTGCTGAAGTTGAAATCAGACATCTGGGACACGGCTGACCCCTCGGAGCCAACGCGCCTCATCCTGGGCCGAGGCGCGCTGAGTCCTTCGCTGGCAATTGTGTCAAAAGAGCTGTAGCGACCTCGTGCAGCAGGGAGAGGCTGAACGCCTCCCGCGACCCGGATCGGGAAGTCGCTGCCGAGGGCTTCGTGTATAATGGCGCTCGGCGGCTGAGTGACGACGATCTCATCCAGTATGCTTTGGACGGAAGGACGCCGTCGCTCGGGTGGCTGGAATGGGCTGCTAAGCGGGGCCTTCGCCGGCGCCCTGGACAGCTTCCTTTCTGGATGCGGGCTCTCAAGCATCTCGTATCCATAGTGATCGCATTGAGACTGTGCACGTGACTGGTAGGTCCTCGTATAATCGGTTCTCGTATAGTCGGAGCCTGTGTCGATGCTCGGCTTCATGCTGGCCCGTGGGCTGAGCTTTTCGACATCGTTGGTCTCGTGGGACATCGAGCAACCAAAAGGATCCGCCACGGCTTCCTCAGGAGTGCGAAGGCCTCGCGCCGGCTCTCCGTGGTATTGCCTCCTCCGCTGCCTGCAGCTGGAGCGCAGGCAGTCTGCAAATCTCTTCCTGGCAGCGCGGGCATAAAGAGGACGCAGGGTCGGGAGACAGGCGCAGACGATAGCAAGACACACTTCGCCGATCGACCACGCGGTAGCGTCGAGGTTCTCGTATGTGACATCCGGGTTGAAGTTTACGATTGGTAGGTATTTGATTCTTATGCCGGATATGGCGCAGTTGCTTCGAGTACATTGTCAGCGGGATTAGAACGTGCCGCCCCCTAGGGTGAAATCCACTCACAAGAGACCCAAGCAGAATACAAGGATGAGGAGGAGCCGCTGGGCTATTGAGACTCGCATGCTCCAAAGTACCGGTATGGGCAGGGTAAATATCACAATGTCGCTCAGTATGTTGCCGGCAGAATGGATGTACAACTGAAAAGTAGGGATGCAGGTGGCCTTAGTCTCCTTTTCCCAGTAACCCCGAATTGGGTGGCACGTGAAAATGGAGAGCATGACCAGTCCAACGCTCCATGAACCGATGATGAGCAGTGCGATGTTGATCGCTCGGCGGAGCTTTGAAGCGAAGATGCGCCGGTATTGTAGTAGCAGGGCAATCTTGATTGAGCCCAGCGCGCAGTAGTACAAGATGACGGCGAAGTAAAAGCGCTGTTGACAGCGATTAGCAGGGGCTCAGGTAGCTTGTATTGTCTTCAGATAGGCGCACCTTGAAGTGCTCTTCGATCTGCATCTCACTCAGATTCCATATATGCTGTCCAAGCCCCACCTGGGCCACGAGACAGACCGTGATACCTTTGGCTATGATGAAAACCTGATGAACACACGTTAGCGTCCGGATATCCATTCAGTAGCTGAAGATGTGCTCGTGTCTTACCAGTGCTATCAAGACGGCCCAATCGTCCAGTCCGATCCAGTTGTCGAGGCGTTGTCGAGTGTAGAAGCGCATGGCTACCACGAGCCCAGTAAGCGGTATCACAGTCGAGACGACGGCCACCACAACCCCAGCCCTGTTGTCCATCGGCAGCTCGACCACATCCGAGCCTCGAACATCCGAGTCCATCTTGTCCGTAAGCTAGCCCATCAGCGTGTGCACCGGTCGAGCGTATAGTCCGTCGGTGGTTGAATGAGACGTTGCCGCGTGGGAGACATTATACCAGCGAGACAAGCGTGGTTCGGAAAGGTTGGCAGACATTGGCATCGACATATTTAAAAACCTTCTTAGAGTTAACTCCCCGCCACCCGTCCGGACGGTGTGGGTGGCCTTTCTGGAACGGATCAGTAGCCCTGCCCATAGTGTGTGTGTGTGTGGACCCACAAGAGAAACTCCGAGCGGAAGTACATGTTGTGTTGTGCCTGAGTAGAGGTGCGTTCCCGACGTGCAACATGCGACTCGCGAGGTCGCGAATCGCTGACAGGGTGCGAACTCTATTCTGACCTCGCTTCAGGCCACTTTGCTCGCCTACTGGAGATGAGCGGCATGGTTACATTGAACAAGCCAAAGTCATCCTCCCAAGGCGATTGTAAAGGGCTAGCAAGAAAAGACCAGTCCAGACGTTGGTCCGATGTAGCCTGTTGCGGCCCAACCCGCGGTTTTCTGGGCGCGACTTCAGGTCAAACTGCTGCGAGCGCAACGGCTGCTCAGCCAATGCAACTTTGAGATGACAGCCGCCGCTGGAACGCGCGCTATCGTGCGCTTGGGGAGCTGTGTCAGATCTTAAATCCGGAGGGGGCCGAATCAGAGGCGCATGCATCGGCAACTCTAATCAAAAGCCTAATTAAACTTTGGCACCAGGAAGCAGATGGTGCTGCTGGTGAAACCCGCGGGCCTGAACCCACCCGAGTGGACAAACCCAAAATCCTCTCGGCGACTCGCAAGACACCTGCTGTCCAACAATCGCACCTGCCTTTTTACCGGGAAATGTTGAGACGCTCAGGAGGATTCACTTTTTGGTTGTCTTTGCTAGACTTTGGATCGCTCCGACCACTGGAACCGTGCCTTTTGCTCCAGCACCCCGGTTCTTAAACGTCAGATCAAGTCTATTTCCTCGTCTTGGTATCGCGTTGGCTCCTCAGCTCAGTTTCTGTGCGCTCAGCTGTCGTTGTTCAGATATGAGCTCCAGCTGTTGCCGAGCTCCCCGCAGCGAGCCTTGGGACGCCGACCAACACCTGCTTGACTCGAAAGCTCGCTTATGTATATGACACAGCCGAGGCCAAGACCCGTCGACATTGGCCATGGCTTTCCCGTCATGTCGTTAACAGGAAGAGAAGAAAAATCACCTGACGTTTGGACTCCACTCTTCCGCCCAAAACGAACTCGTGGAGCTTGTCACCTTAACGGGCCCGCCCATGACAAGCTCCTCCCCACCCCCGCCCGAACGCTACCTTCCCGCGGGCGCATAATTGCTTGACGTCTCGACAGAATCAGTTCCCTGACGTAACGGTTTGCGCTCACCGGACGAGATTGTTTCACCTGCCCATTAGTTGGCCACCATCGCGATATTGGCCTAGCACATCGCGCTGGCGCCCTTCCAGTTACTACCCACGGCCGCAACTGTCAAGTTACAGCGATGGTCGGTCCGACTCGTAATAACAACGGCGCCGTCGTTTTTTTACGAGCCCGGAAGTCTATTGGCTAGCCTCAGTCCCCAGAGAGAGACGGCAGCCATCAGTACTGGCGACGACTAGCGTCAGGGTCTGCCTCTCCTGGCCTACTTCGACGTGCGGCTCGGATACTGGGACGGCGATGTGAGGGAAGGTCTGGATCAGACGACACACGGTGTATGAGACTTCCAGCAGCGCGAAGTCTTGTCCCAGGCACAGGCGAGGGCCTCCGTTGAAAGGAAGGTATGCCCAGCCCACGTCTTTCAATCTGTCCTCTTCCCATCGCTCCGGCCGGAATGCCTCAGCGTCGTCGCCGTATATATCCTTCCTCCGGTGCATTGCGTAGACACAGTAGCCGACTGCCTGTCCAGGCCGAACGAGAATGGGCGCCTTGCCGTCGGGACCGCCACCAACCGGCAGTGTAGTCAAGCGCATCGCCTCTCTGGAGTTGACGGGGACGGAGGGGTAGAGTCGCAATACTTGGGCACAAGTCAGACCTCGGCAACTAAGGGGGAAGAGACTCAGCAGTAGTAGTGCTTACCTTCTTTGACCACCAGACTAAGGTACGGCATCCGTGTGGGCTTCAAGTCATCCCGAGATGGCGGCTGCGAACCAGGTCCAAGGCCACACACGCTGGCAATTTCCTCTCGCAGCCGGTTGAGAACCTGTGGATGTCGAGCCAGCAGCCTAAACGACCAAGACAGAGCGCAGCCAGTGGTGTCGCGCCCTGCAAGCAGCACATTGAAACACTGATCCCGCAGCACCCGTCTATCCTGAGTTTGCTCCGCCAGGGCGTCAATGAACGAGTACTTGCTGCGCAATTCCTCGTTGCCCTTCTCTTGTATCTGGCCGCTCGGCCGCAGTGCCTTGTCGACTGCCTCGTCCACAAACTGGTGGCACCTCCTGCAAGCATCGCGGAAGGCCCTGTCGTTCAGCAGCCAGTAGAACTGGCCGAGGCGGCCGCGGTGGGCGAGGTAGTCCTGCGCCAGGTTGAAGGCCTGCGCGAAGGACGACTCCTGACCCGCGACCTTGCCCCAGTCGAGGTCCAGCACCGATTCGCCGAAGAGGAGGAACATGGTCGTGTCGAAGGTCAGCTTGAAGAAGAGCGGCTGGAGGTCGACGGTGCTGCCGTCGCCTGGGATCGAGTTGATGAGGTCCTGTACGCAGTTCTTGATCTGTTCGAAGTTCTGGGACCTGTTGGAGGCGAACTGGGGCCTGAGCAGGGCCCTGGAGTGCTTCCAGAGGGCGCCGTCTTGGGTGAAGATGCCGCTGCCCAGGAGAGGCCGAAAGTGAGGGGCTCGCAGACCAAGGCCGTAATCTAGATGTTTTCACTGAGTCAGCTTGATTGTTTCCGTTGTTCGGCCATTATTGACGTGCCTTCGAAGTTCGCAGAGAGGACAGCCTCAATGTTCTCTGGGTCCACCGTGTCGATTCCCGTTGCGCCCAGCAGCTCCTGGACGAAAGTGGTACCATTGTCGTCGACGACCTCGAGGAAGAACTGGAGGATCTGCATCGTCCTGGCGTACTTGAGAGCCTTGACCAACATGTCCAAGCCCAAGGGCCACGTTGAGTTCCATGTTTTCGGCGGCAGACATCCTTTCTCGGCGGCGAAGCGACTCTCAGCCTGGGATATTGTTAGCGACTGATCAAGCTCGATGGGTGATTGATCTCTGCTTACTCGGCGGCGCTGGCTGCGGCCCAGAAGAAACCATGCCAGAGCTGCTGACAAGACGATGCTGAGGATAGTGCGAAGTGCACGTGGCTCGTAGAGCCCTTGTGCCGCCTTCTGGTCCATCGCGCTTGGCGGGCTGAGGGTGGAGCGGAATGTGGGGTGCTATCACGGCAAGCTTAGGCCATTCTACTTGGAGGTCAACTTCGCTGGTCGATGACAAGGGGTGGTTCGTGGTATTCAGGTAGATTGCTTGAATGATCTGATACCAGCCCCTACGGCATTTTCCATCCTACAGTGCGACCTCAAACGACCCATGTTGACTGCAGGTTTGGCGCCCCGAAAGCAGGTTAGTGGTCACCCCCCACGTGACCTCCCTAATAGACGTCAAGCAATCCACATCACCACTAGCCCTGGCATCAGTAACTCTTTGCGATCCCGAGTATGTTGGGCGTCAGTATCCTGTAGTCAATAGTATAGCTTCCCACGAAATTTGCAAGCGCAGAATTGCTTGAGAACGGCTTAATGCTGTGGTTTGAGCGATCAAACTATCTTTGATCACGACTCCCGTCTTGAAAGCCAGGACGGGACTGAAAGTGTTCTTCAGATGATACAGACATCAGATGTGCTTGTAGGCTCTCAGCTGGTCGAACCGATCTGGGAGCCTGATTGCGAAGGTTGAAATCTGAGCCACGAGGATCCCCTTTGTTGGCCCCAACCAGCAGTTAAAGGGCACTCATTCTTTTCCAGGTGACTACATCCGAATAAGACCACTGAGTCTCAGTATGCCACCTACATTTCGAGCATCGCTCTTTTATATCCCCCTTGGAGGAAAGCCAGCTAAACGTTAGGTCGGTCGTCTCCCAGATTGCTGTCTCCATAGATCCCGTCTCAAGTTGCGACCGGGCCTTTGCCGTTGAGGTTGGAATAGGGCCCATTTGGACATATACATTCACTTTGGGATTTTAATAAAATATCATTGTGCCATTCAACGCGGGCTCTTTCAAATGCATACCGAAATCGCTCGTCAGTATTACCTCCTCGGCGGCAGAGTAGACGACGGGTCGAGCCGTATTCACTTGCTTTACTACTGGGGACCTGCGACCGAAACCTCAAGGGCTTGACGCAGTCTATTGATGTACTTCTGGCCTAGCTGACCGCCAGTTCTACTGTTGAGCGAAATTGTCCCCTCTATCCACCGTCAACTGTGTGCAGACAAGCTAGATCGAGATTTCGAGGAGGGGTAACAAACGGATTCCCACTTTCCACCAGCGGCCGGTGATAGAATCCATCCACTTGGCTCCCTATTCACTTTATGAACCCCTCAATCAATCCCCAGGCTCCCTCTCTGCAGCCTTCAACGCTCTGCAACAACCTAAAAGGCCAGCCCATCTCCCACACCCAACTCTTCCCTCCTTCCTTCCAACCTCTCCTCAACCCGATCTGGTTTTGCCTTTGAGTTGTCTTTCTTCGACACAGCATCGTGCCCTACCAGATTACATCAACGATATCGAGCAAAGGAAACTTGTTTCCCTCCTCCAAATTGTTGATACCCTCGCCTACCCAAAAGGCCTTTCTACGTACACCAACCGACCGTCCAGCTCGAGCAAAGGGAACTTGTTTCTCGACTCCAGATTGCGGCGAATGTACCGTACCCCGACGAATAGTCGAACCATCCGAGCGAATACATTGACGTGAGCTTTCTGATCAATCGACCACCTGCAAAAATTGCCCTGCTCTTGTCCATCTCCTGCCACCCAGTCCCTCCATCAACAGCCCTAACCCATCGCCGACAAACAATCGTAGTTTTGATAGTAGCTAAACTCGTGTTTCGTATTCAGATACCTCATCAACCTGAACGAACCTGCACTGGTTTCGCAACACTGCTCACCATGCCCGACGTTATACAACGCGTCTTGAGCGCGTTGTGGCGCCTTATCCTGATGGGCGGCATATTCGGCGTCGCCTACATTGTTTGGGATGCCCAAGTCCACCCTGTTCACACCATTCTCATTCCCGCTTCCTGGTTCTTTTACAGCTACGTGCTGGTCTTCCCCACGTCCCATCTCGCCGCTGGCCTCTTCTACTACTTCGGTCTACTCGATGACATCAAAATCATGGTCCTGATCTTTATCTTCACTGGATTCCTCTCGTTACACGCCCTCTACCAGCACCACCCAGTCGGCATGATCTACATCGTGGCTTTCGGTATAATCGACTTCTGTATCATCCAACGAAGGGCTTCTCGAGCTGCTATGGAGTCAGCCACGACGCAGCCTGATGCAGCTTCTGTGGAAGCCGAGGACTCTGACGAGACTAATACCGACACTGACCACGAATCAAGCCTCGAAGATGAATCGGAGCACTCTGCGGAGCCTACGGAACCTGCTGAGCCAGAGAAACTTCATGACTCTGAGCCCTCGAATGGCCAACTTGTTCTCATCGCCGTTCCTGCTGGCCCGTCGGTCGAGGAAGTCGGGCAGCCAAGCTCTTGGGCTCGCAGCGCGATGAAGATCCTCTGGTCCTTCCTGTGCGCCATTGTCAAGGTTGGAGCTGCGGCCCTGGTGATACACTTCCTCATTGATGTGTCGCTCAAGGCCTGGACGCTCACCCCGGTACCTGTGGACATCGCCCCTCTGTTCGAGCCTGAAGTTATCATTCAGGCCAACAAGACTGAGCTTCCGATCCCTGTCCCAATGGCCGAGTTCACCCCTACCGGTACCTTCGGAAGCCCCTGCCAAGCTGCCCCGACGCCAACGCCGGTCGCCAAGTCGATAGTAACTGTCATGTCAACACCGATGCCGACACCGATGCCAGCGCCCACACCCAGCGCCATGCCAGAGCCAGTGCCAGAGCCGGAACCGGTGGCCGTTCCTGACGAGGCGTTCGAGCTCCTCAACCGCCTGTTTGACTTCCCCTTTCCCGATCCAAAGCCTCTTCTAACATGGTACTTCGACCTTCCCCCTTCATCGCAATATGCCGTCATTGTCGCTTCCCTGCTGGTGCTTTGGTGCTTCTCAAAGCCCCTCGCTATCCTGACACCCAACCTCATCGTCTTGGCTGTCGACTACTTCGCCGCAGCCGCAATGCTGCCCCTGCTGTTCCGCTACGGCTTCGCACCCAAACAGGCGATCGTCATCACCTTCGCAGCAGACTGTGCTTTGACCGTGAGCATCTGGTACGCCGTGTACTGGCTTTTGAAACTGGAGGCAGCGTGCCGAAACAGCGCCACCGGCCTCGACGATGTCAAGAGACAATCCGAGGACAACGCTTCTGGCATCGCTGATCTCAGGAACCTATCCGAGGATACTGCCTCTGGCCTTTCCGATCTCAGGAGCCAGTTCAGGGAGAATGACGCCGGTCTTACAGGCCTCGGGAACCGCTTCGAGGAATTTGTCACGCAGAGCAAGCTGGGGTGGGCCGACACGGTGAAGCCGATCGCTGTCTTCGAGAAGGTGCTCGACATACTTGTATTTTGCGTCGACAGCATCGGGAACAGGGTTGATGCACTGGCAAAGACAGTCAGGCATCACACCACCGAGATATACGCACTCGGCAAGGAAGTCGGCACCAAGGCCGACCTCGAACAAACCATGAGGATCCTCGAGCAGATCTCTGGTAGAATTGCTAGCCTTGAGACTTCGAAAGCAGATGCAGGTATCCTACAGGCGGCACAAGACGAATTGAAATCGCTGCGTTCCTTGGTTGAGAACCTCAAAGCCGAGAAGGTAGATGCCGCAGAACTCGAGCGAGTCCAAAAGGAGCTGAAAGACCTGAAGAGCCGCATCGATAATCTGGAAACCACCAAGGCCGATGCTACAGCCGTTGCAGATGTGGTCAGCCAAGTGAGGGGCCTAGTTACGGATCTTAACGAGATGCAAAAAGCCCAGTACCAACTCAACACTCGCGTTGATACTCTCAGGACAGAGATGGACGGCGCCCAGAAAGACATCAAGTCTCTGAGCGAGACGAGAACTCAGCATGGAGATTCGATCAACAGACTCGACAAGGACGCAAAGGAATCAAAGAATAAGTACAATGATCTCAACAGTCAGCATCGCAACGATAGGAAGAGAGCCGACATGAGGATTTCCGAGCTCGAGAAGGAAAACGCCAACCTCAGGCGGGACGTCGGCAACCTCCAGGGCATTGCGGAAGGCTTTCACGACAGGATGGCAGCTATCGAGGCGAAAGAGGACAAGCACGAGCAGGATCTGAACCAGCTCCGGGACGATGTCAGATCCGGCGCCGACCAGCTCCACTCTGAGATCGACTCGAATCAGAGCAAGGCCACGCAGGCACACAGTGAGCTGGAAGCCAGCGTCGACACCCGCTTCGCCGGCTCCGATAAAGCTGTCAATGATCTCAAGGAGAAGACCAAGGAGAAACTTGTGGAACTGTCGAAATTCACGAGCGAGGAGGCCAACAAAGTCTCGGCTGAAATCTGGGGGGAACTTGAAGTGCGAACGACCAGCATAGACAAGAGCCTTGTGGAGATCTCCACGAGGATCGACACGGCCGACCAGAGCAACTCCGGGGTCCTGCAGCGTGTGCAAGCCCTTGAATCGCAAGGCGGCAGTTCCCTTGCCCAGCTTGGAGCCGATGACTACATTCGGAGCAGGTTCGAGGAGTACATGGAAAACTTTCTGGTCAGTAAGAGATTCTGGGCCGTTGTTGAGGACACGCAACTGATCTTGAAGAAGCAATCCAATCGAGAGCGCCTGCGTGGCCAGGTTCAGGCAGCCATGGAAGAGTTACTGGACACTGAGGAGATTCAGCAAACCATTTATGCCAACCTCATGGAGCGAAAAGCCCTCGACAACACGAACGGTAACGACGAGCCCCTGGGTGACCCCCCTGGGGTGATCTCCGAGGGTCGGGCGACCCCTCCCGGCGACATTTCATCGGACGACAATACCGGACCCACCATCCCTGAGGAATCAACCATTCCGGACGACGCTGACGACCACCACGGCACTCGCGGCGTCCCTCCTGGTGATCCCCCTGGGGTGTGTCTCAGAGGGCGCGCGGCGAGCCTGGGTGGAAGCACGTCGGACGGTCCCTCTTGTGATGGTGGTACTGGACCTCGACCCTCGGGCGAGGACGACGATGACGCGCTTCAGCCGAAGCGGCGGGAGGGGAACGAGCCGTGTGAGGCTGGCGGATTGACTGACGAACAACTCCATGGCCCGGCCGATCCGGAGCAGCCTGGCGGTGAGGACGAGGAGACGGACGAGGAGGGGGAGGATGACGACGATGATGACGCCCACAATGACGGAAATGACGATGGTTCGGACGACGATGGTCCGGACGACGATGGTCCTCCGGGTCCGTCTCCCGGAAGCGGCGGCTCCAACGGTCACAATGGCACCGGTGACGACGACAATGATGATCAAGACGGACACAACGGTGGCGCCCCTCGCCCGTTCACCAGCCATGGCACCACCTGCGGCGCTCCAGGTCTTTCCAACTCCTGCTATGCTTCTGACCCATCTCTGGACAGCGGTACGCAACACAGCAGTGGAGCAGACGGTGGGCCACAGGACGACAATGACGATGGCTCAGAACACCCTTCCGAGGAGGAGCACAAAGACAACCCGAACAAAGCTTTGCGGAAATTGAATCAAATGCACGGGAATAGGCAACAGGCTGTCAAGAATGCGATAGACCGAGTGGAGAAGGAGAAGCGACAGCAACAGCAAGGGCAGAACCTTCCGGCGCCAGCGAAGAACCAGCAAACGGCTGAGGGACAGCTAAAGAACGCACACAGGAATCTAGCTCACACTCAGAATCAGCTCATCAAGGCGCTGGATCGGGCAGAGCAGGCTCGAAACCAGCCAGGGCCAACGCAGAACCCCCCGCAGCAAGCGAAGGATCGACGGCCGGAAGCGCGGAGGCTGCTGAAGGCAGGGCCGGGCCTGCTACAGGAAGCGGAGAACCAGTTAACGGATCTTCGGTCGAGGCTCGAGCACGCGCAGAACGAACACATGCAGCAGGAGAATCAGGACGTGCATCAGAAAATCGAAGACACGAAGGAAAAGATCCAACTACTACTGCGACAGAACCAGCCAGCGTCGAGTCAGAGTCAGCCAATACACCGGCAGAGCCAACCAACTCAACTCCAGAACCACCTGAAGCAAGCACAGGGCCACCCAATGCAGCCATACAGCCAGCCCACACAATACCCAAAACAACAGACTGGGAAGGGCCAAGAGCAGTAAGTACCACTCTTCTCCTTGTACGGTTCCCCCGTCTGTCATGCTCTGGAATGTTCAAGGATGCATGACTTTGGGACCCGTAGCAGGTGGTTAACACATACTAGGCACAAACGCAGGTTCAGACCTAGGGGAAAGGGAGGGCGAAACAAGAATGAGTCTATGAGCCAAAATTCTGAGCAGCCATGAGGTTCCACGAAAGGACAATGACACAAGAATGACAAGAAAGCGAGCAAGGGGGATTTGAGAAGACACTACAGCATTGATAGCTCAGGTATGGCATGAAGGGATGTACTATATGATGTAAACTGAGGAAGGGGGTTGAGAAGCTTCGGAGCGCCCAGCCCCCTCCCCCTCAAAAAAAACAAAACACATCATTAATGAGATAGACACGAAATTCACAATTCTTGGTACAACTTTGGCATCTGCATCTGTGTGATTGATTGTTCATGCTCTGTTGGCCATTTTTATGACTTCATCTACAGTAAGATTGGAACTGACGAGAGACTCTCGCCAGGTTAGCAGCAAGGAAGTAATAGAGGACGCCTAAAGAACTTCATGTATCCATAACTTGAGTCCCGGAAGTGAGAAGCTGGGTCGACATAAATCGCTCCAGTCTCGCTCAATGAGCTCTGCTACGCCTAGAATTCAGCGTGGAGCCTGCAAAAGACTCGATACCTGGGCCAGACACATAGTCCCAATCAGCTTCTTCCACACCCGTATGATAGGCCATCAGGTCGGTGGTGATAATGAGCTGCTTTCATATATTCAACTGTGCAGCGTAGCCTTTGTCTCACCCATGCCGACTCTTGGCGAGTGCTTCCCCCGCTGGCCCAGCGTTCTGTGAAACGTAGATCTAGGCGAGACTCATGTCCCCATTTGTTCTTTCGTACAATTCATGTATGTGTATGTCCGTTCCCTGGGCAACACCCATGAAAAGGAGAAGACAGAAAAATCTCAAGAGCACTAAGAAACCAGGAAGCGTCGGGCCTGGTTAAGAACAAAGTGAGTTTGAGCATCGACTAGCCGCAAAGGTGCCGGACTGGATGTTCGCGTGGGAACTTCTCCAGATGGCACTGGTAACACTAGAACTATTGTTTTTGAAGCAGTAAAATTATCAGCATCTAGTTTTCAAAAGCTGTTGGAGGTCTGAGCCTCACTCATGCTCGATCTAACAAGGCAGGGAGGTTGGGCCCCCTTGGGTACTCTGCCTTCTGCTTTCCCAGAGAAAGCTCCTGGGCTCGTTCTCTACATGACTCAGGTCAAATGAGCAGCTATCCGTCAATGTGCTCCGGGTGATGGAGTCTGGATTGGATCTGGCGATATAGCTTTTGAATGGGAGGAAAATCGATGGCCACTTACTTCAAGCCGATTTGCCATCAGGACAAGTATCCCGTAAAAGCTCTTATAACGTAAACGCAATTAGGGTATATCACAAGGGATTGTAGTTCTCTTATTCCGTCTCTGGGCGTTGAGTCGCAAATTTCAAGTCTCGTAGCCGATTCTGGACCCACTACCCTGAACCGACGCCGACTTGAGGTGACCTGCATATACATATTGTCACGTTTTAGGCCGCTATACTATAAGGACAAAAGTGACGCCACTAATGCACAGTACACCCGGGTCCTTATATACGCGACACATATGTAAACAAACCATTCATTCACTCTCGAGACTGTTCAAATGCAAATCATTCGGTAATCAGACCAGGCCTTCTACTATGTTGATTTCGTTTGTAGGTTGTCTGCCCCGTCGGCATTCAGCCACGACCCTCGAGAGAGGACGTCGCCAGTGTGGCAATACCAGCACCCATGATACCACATCTAGCCTGCACACTTCAATTCACTTGGTGGCTTGATACTTCTGCAAAAACCGCAGCATCTCCAAAAACTGTCAGTTCGACCTTCCTCTACCCAACATCAGCACCACATCGACCTGGCCGCAACTCCAAACAACCGCTCTTTGTGGCAGCGTCCTCTGATTCCACTTCCCATCGAGCGATACCAAAGTCGTCTTCCTAGTAAGTTCTCTCGAACCATATTTGGCGACGCTGCTTCCTGTATCCCTACCAGCTCTACTCCAGGCAGCGCATCGCCGTCTGGTCCGATGTCATAGGCTGATAAAGTGTGGCAGCTACAACGGAAACGCAAATAGACCACGATGCCTTGGCCCACCCGTAATCAGTCGATGCGGCACTTGATAGCCCTCATGATAGCCATGATGGGAGTGTTCTTTTGAGTGATGGGCCTTGCCATCTTGCAGACTCGCGATGACATGGCGCCTCAACCCCCGAAGAAGCGCAAGAAGAAGGTTGCCAGGCGACCCAAGAAGAAAGCCGGTAACGTCAAGAACCTACCAACCACCGATCCGAAGACTTCCCACCTCAACGTCCTTCCTTTCGAGCTACTTAGGCACATCTTTGGATACTTGGCTCCCGACAACGTCCAGCCACACTTGAGTGACATTTCCCTGTACGCCTACAAGCAGGCTCAGAATGTGCTACAGAACGTCTGTCTTGTCTCGAAACAAATGGAGGCTGTCGCTCGCCCATTGCTTTACCAAGGAGTCATAATCAATAACTCGGACGCCCTGTCTTACTTTCTTCGGACCCTTGATGAGAACCAACCTCTAGGGCAGAGAGTCAAACAACTTGTGTTTGAGGTTCCCTGCTCCTCACAGGATGAACGCTACCAGAAGCCCAATATTGCAGTCCTCGGATCACGGCCAAATTTCGAGAAAATCCAGAAGACAGAAGAGATGGTATCAAATTTCGATCTATACGAAGAATAATGTGCTCATCTCAGACAATACTCGTCTGACTGGGGTTGGGGCGATGACGAGCCTGACCAAACATTCAAGGAATGGGCTTGGGACAAGGAATGCGCATTGCTGAATGTTGTGTAACACAGACAACGCCGAAGAGGCGCTGCAGGCGTGCTGCAAGGCGGGCCACTCCGAGGCCTTACAGCCACCTGAACTGGTCTGACGGGAGGATAAATCTGATCGAGGCGGGGCGGGGTTCATCACTTATTTCTTACTGTCATCTGTCCTCCTGTTCCTCACACTCTTTATCCATCCAAGCATGTGCAGCATCCCCACCTCAATCCAACGCCCGATCTAGGTCTCAACTCGTGCGATTTGCAATCATTGAAACCAGCGAAACATGGAGCCACTTACAGCTCTGAGCCTCTTTTGCAACATCGTGGACATTTGCGACCATGCCATCAAGGTATGCAAAGCGTCGAGAGACATCTACAGGAGCACCACAGGCCGAAGGGCACAGGATGAAGAGCTCCTGAAATATGTGGGCGAACTCCAGGAAATCCTTAATAGTGTGAGGATTTCTTCGTCGAAACAACACAGGCAATCTATACAAGTCCATTTTGGAACCCCTTGATCGACTGGAAGCGAAGTCAGCTGCTGTCAGAGAAACACTGGATTCCTTCCGCACGAACAGGCCCGGCAATCGCCTATCAGCCGTGATAGCCACAGCCAAGTTGGTTCGAGGTCAGAGCAAATTAGACCGAACCTTGCAGGGAATTGGATAAATGTCGAGATGACGTCCACTTTGCCATAGCACAAAGCACACGGTAAGCATGACTTGGCCATTACAACTTCTTAATTCGAATTTGTCTGTTATGAAGGAGGCGAAAGGCGGCCAATATCACCCAGACGCTGGTCCACCATTGCCGTCATGCCAGAACCTCAAGCAGGAGGAAACATGCCTTGAAGCGCACTGCTACCTCCAAACAATATCCAGACAGGGGTCTGGATACAAACTTTCGCTACCAGTGCTCCTCAGTCTCCTTTGTCGCTTATTTTTGACGCAGTCCAGAATATCATCATTGATTGACAAGCCCCAGGGTCCAAATTGCGGCGATATCGACGCAAACAGATCGGCTTGGTCAAGGCCAACATGATATTCAGTCCGCCCTGGATAGTCTCGAGGCTCGATTGCGAAGCCTTGACAAGGGCGTCTTCGAGGTACCAGGCATTGTCAGAAACGCCAAAGACATATCGGAAGAAGTGCGCACAAAGCTTTGTGCATTGTCGATCCTCGGTCGACTCGGAGACACCAACCAGAGGTTTTGGGATGTGACAGAGGCCGATTCCCACACTTTCAATTGGATCTTGCGAGATGAGGGCGAGAGTAGCCTTTCATCTCACGATGGCGAGCAAGAGCCGAATCGGGGAGGCGAACAGGCAGAATCAGCATTGGAGAAAACAGAAAACCTCGGCTATGAGAGTACCCAGAGGGATGTCAACGTGCAACTCAGAAATTGGCTCCTCGACGGGAGTGGACTGTTTCACGTCTCAGGAAAACCTGGATCCGGCAAAAGTACGCTGATGAAGTACTTGATTAAACACCCGAAAGTGATAGATTCACTTGAGCAGTGGGCCCACCCGAAACGCCTGGCACTAGGGAGATTTTTCTTCTGGAAACCAGACCATGGACAAAACAGCCTAGATGCCTTGATTCGCGGGCTTCTGTATAGTGTGATACACTATGATGCTGGCTTAGTCCATTCGGCATTTCCAAAGTGTAGCGGAAACTCCTTCGAGCAGCTTTCTCTCCAGTCGAGGGTGGAAATGACGAAGGAAGATATTTTCGAGGCTTTCAACAACCTTGTCAAGCACGGCAACGTATCCAAAATGTTCAAGTTCTGTTTCTTCATCGATGGCCTTGACGAGCTTGACGAAGAAAAGGATACGACTCATTCGAAAATGATCACGATTCTACGCCAATGGGCAGATGGGGCAAATGGTTCCATCAAGATATGCGTGTCAAGCAGACACTTTCCGGTGTTCGAGAACATGGTTGCTGATCATCGTATTCGACTCCAGGATCTCACCAAGTACGACATTATCGACTTTGTCCAGAATTCGCTGCGGTCTGACCATGTTTTCCGAACAGAGATGACAGTCAATACCCAAGACTGCCAGAAGCTTATTAATAGTATTGTGGAACGCGCCGATGGCGTGTTTCTCTGGGTCGGTCTCGTTGTGAAAGCAGTTGAAAGGGGGCTCTCAAACGACGACCCAATATCCGTGTTGCATGAACGTGTGAAGAGCACTCCTCTGAGACTTGAGGAGCTTTTCAGATCACTTCTTGACTCCATTGAGGATTGCCATGCACAAATGGCCGTCCTGCTTCTAGCAATCGCTCTGGTGCGACTCGCAGACTCTGGCGACAGCCTTGTTATTTCCCTTTCCGGGTGCCGACAATTCTTCCGGGCAATGGAAACATCCAAACCAGTCAGTATTGACGATACTTTCGATTTCGACAACTCTCCAGAGACTTTCGAACTTACGCCACAAATGGTCAAGAGCACGAAATCAAAATTGCTCTTCCGGTGCAAGGGATTGTTGGAGATCGTCCCATGCCGGCTGGGAGACCTCTCTGACATGGATAAGTACGTCGGCGGCCGCGTCACATTTCTTCACCGTTCTATTTCCGAATTCTTGAAAATTTGGATCCCTGAGCATATGAATGCACTGGGTATCAGTTCCTTGCAGGTGAAAAATGCCACGTGCTGGATGTTATGGGCGGAAGTCGACTTTCTCAATTCTACGATCCAACTACAGAATTTCCCAGCGAAGGACCAGCTTTCGGCGCGATTTCGCATCCGCGTGATGACATGCGCTATAATGGCCAACTTGGGAACGGACACGACCTTCACGCCCGAGCTTTCATCAGAATTTAAGCTTCTGGGCCGCGCAGACGACGCTTTGCTAATGCCTGCTGTGTCGTGTTCCTCAGAAGATCAAACAAAGAAGAACGGAAAAGGGGCTGGCTGCACATGGAACACCATGAGCATTGATGCAACTGAGACTGATTCCACGATTTCACTTCCCATTTGCCCATCATATGCAGGACCGCTGCTCGCCGCTGCAGAAACCCGTTGCTATGGATATGTTCGCTGGAAAATGGCGAAAACACCGCCATCAGCTGAACGAACTGATTACTTTCAGCATTGCCTTGAAATCGCCTTTCACCCGTTGGCCCCTTTCGCACCATACATCAGCGGGTGGGTTGAGTACTGCATGCGAATGGTTGAGCCACTGATCCAGACCTCGAGTGCAGATATCAATGGCACGTTAGGGGGTTGCTGTGGCATGCTTTCGTGGTCTATCAAAGAGGCTGGCGCGCCGATGTCTGTTTTTGACACGATTTGGATCATAGCGCTGTCACACCCCAGCTTTATAGACGCCCCTTTCCAGCAGGAATTCTTTCACTTGATCGAGTCCTTACTGGGGCTTGGAGCTATGCCCCAGTCCGTTTTGTGCCTCGGCACATGGAGGGACTGGTTCACGGTTTCACCAGCCCCACTCGATGGCCCTATTGATATTCAGTCTGACAGCACCCTACAGATCCCTGGGTCTGGCCTCCGCAACTGGTCAGGGGAGCTTTCTCTCGAGCACTTGCAAATGACCTGTGGGCAGGACGATGGCTTTATCACCCTTGAAATGTTGGTGGCTCACGCCAAGCCCCCGAACATGGCGGCCATTCTGTCGCTCATTGAGCGCAATTCACACAATGAAGACGTCAAGTCTGTGGGTGCAAGAGACCTCACCTCCACGGAACGCCTCCACGCCGCTGTATTGGAGAAACATGGTGTACGAGGGAATTGCAAGCTTGTTTGGTTCGAGAATTTGAAAGGCCGGAATGGAGATCGCCCAGTGTGATACGGAAGCAGATGTTCGCACTCGGTGGGTAGGAGCACAGGTCTTCAGACAGCAGGAGTTGGCGCTGAGCCAGCGACCGAACCCGTCTCCTTCAACATCTTAACCTGTTACCCGCCTCGCCTCGAGTTCACAAATGGACTTCTATCGCAAAGAGCCACCACAAATTCTTTTCCTTCTCCGTCTTTTCTGGTCTGAACTTCCAGTCGAGCCAGCGGGGAAAGAGCTTTCGGGTTCTAGTCCCACTAATCCGCTCAAGTCAGCGGAGGGTATCGATGCAATAGAGAAGTAGCAAGGGGAGTCATGTGGCTAGAATTACTAGGACGAAGGTCTTTGCTGATATCATTTTATGACCTTGCACGAGGAAATAGAGCCAGAGTTCGCCTACCTAGCTTTCACAATACGCCTACCCAGCTTTTAGCGTTGGCCTACCCAGTACTTCCTTTTTTTAGTATTATATTAATAAGATTAGGTATTTTTTTTAAGTTTACCCCATATATAAAAAGCTAAGGTAGCTATTGTTTAATTTAAATAATACTTTAAAAATATAAACTTAAAAAGCTTAGAGCGCTTAGAAGCCCCTAGAGCGCCCAGAGGGCCCCTGAGCGCCCAAAGGGCCGCAGAGCGCGCAAAGGGACGCAAAGGGCGCAAAGGGCAAAGGGCAGAAGTAACTTTTAAGTCGTAAATAAAGGGGTAGCTATGAAACCCCTCTGGGATAGCTATAGCTATGCTTATTAATAACCCCATAGTACTAATATTTTATAATGCGTGTAGCCAATTTTCTTATACTAAGTAGGCCAACGCTGAAAGCTAGGTGGGCGTACTATGGAAGCTGGGTGGGTGTACTCTGGCTCGAGGAAATATAGTGGCACCATCTGAACCTTGACTGGGTTGCCGAACGACCACGCGCCGATGAATGTCGCTAATGTCAATCGTTACCATCAAGCCATGCGGAGTTGTCACACTAACTAGCAGATCTCTGGTGGTGGATCGAGTGCCGAGTATTGCAGAGACCCGGCGCAAACTTGAGGGGTAATGTATGGTGACCTCACCTATAGCAACACGAGGAGACTGACTGGAAGGCACACTCCATCGCGATGGTGGTCAGCCCATGGTCACACCGCGCACGCATGTTAAACAGATCCCACTGGTTGCAACCCCGCATTGGCTCATATATCCTCTGGGGTGCAACATACGGCTTAGATATCCAATCCAGTGTCGGATACGCTCATCTGGCCAGTGAATCGTAGCGCATTTTTTGGGGGGGATGGAGATTTGTGTTCTTTGATGTTGTGAGTGTGTCCGCCATCTCTCGCCTGTTCCTAATAAATGTCTTACTCTGCACTGACTCATCGGTATGGCTCCGGCACGCACTGAAGTTGAGCCATCGTGGCCAACGGACACGAATAAGCCCCCAACTTCATACCAAGGAAGTCCGAGGAATGTCAAACACATCAATGCCATTCGGTGGGATCAGGCGCTCGAACCGAAACACTATGAGATATGCGGAACTGACCCCGACTCCAAGATCTTGTTTCTAGATGTGAACATACTTGACTCTACCGGAGCCGAGCCTTACAAAGGCGATGTCCTGATCAAAGGTAGGCAATTTCTGTGACGCATTAGGTTGTGAAATCTTTACGGCATATGATTCAAACCTCCAGGTCCTCATCACTTGAACATGCTTGACCGATCTTATTTTCCGTGAGGCTTAGTTCTATGGCAGGTCAACTCTTTGCTGCTGTGGGCGAAGTACCAAATGTCGAGGCATTGAAACAAGATGCAAGAGTGCGTGTCTTCCGTGGTCAGGGGAGGACGCTGATGTCCGGCCTTGGCGATGGTCACACGCACTTCACATGGAATGGCGGAGACCTTGATCATCTGGGAGACCTGGGCGTTGAAGAACACACGCTGGTCACCATGAAGAGTGCACAGTGTTTTCTTGATTCTGGATACACGATGTAAGTCTAGCGTCGCCTTCATCAACAATAATGTACTCTTGTTGGATTAACCATACTGATGGATCCTATGCGTTGAAGGTGCTTTGGTGCAGCTTCCGCAAAGGAACGCCTAGACGTGGTCATCAGGGATGCAATCAACGCAGGGGACATTACAGGACCGCGTTACCTGGCCAACGGAAAAGAGCTTGCTCGTAGGGATGGGACGCTCGTTGCCGGAATCACGGCGGCTGCGGATGGTCCCGATGAGATGCGCGAGGTTATTCGGCATCATGTAGACATAGGAGTGGATAATGTCAAGCTCAGTATGTCCGGAGAAGAAGTACGTGGTACAATCACCCCCAAGCCCTGCGTGTGGAAACATCAGCTGATGATCGATCAGATAACCGAGACTCTTGCGGCCCAAGATTGCTACTTCACGGACGAGGAAACGGCCGCATGTGTTGACGAAGCGCATAAACATGGGAAGCGACTGTGTGCGCATGCTCGTGCCCGAGACTCTGTGATAATGTGTAAGCTTTCCAGGGCCACGGCGAACTTCCGGGTCTAATGCGAATTGTGCGAGGTGTATCAAATGTACTGAGAAGACCTCACAGGCGTCAAGCACGGAGTCGAGGCAATCTACCACGCATCCTTCATCGACGACGAAGGTATGGACATGCTCGAGAAGGCCAAGACAAAACACGTCGTGGTACCCGCCATCAACTGGCTCATCGCCACCCTCCACGAGGCAGAGGCCTTTGGATACACACACGCCCAGGCCGACAAGGCGGGCTACACCCGTGAGCTCAATGCCGCGATCGCCGGCCTCCGTGAGATGCACCGCCGCGGCATTGTTGTCCTGCCTGGCGGGGACTACGGTTTTGCATGGACGCCCCACGGCACGTACGCCCGGGACTTGGAGCACTTTGTCAAGCTTCTCGGTTTCACACCCCATGAGGCTATCATCGCTGCCACGGCAGGCGTCGCGGCGCTGATGATGAGGAGTGATGAATTGGGCAAGATCCAGAAGGGTTATTACGCGGATTGCATACTGGTTGACGGGGACCTGCTGGCGGACATCAGCATTCTCCAGGACCACAGCCGACTGAACGTCATTTGTATCAATGGTAGGGTACACAAAGCGGGAGGGAAGGACTGCAGATGCTGAGTAAATGAACCCATCCTGGCCGGACCAAAGCTGTCTTGCCTCTTTAGCCAGCAAAGGTCAAGGATTTCATGGTCAGGACTACCGCTCGCATGCAATTGCGCTTGTACAGAAATCATGTTCCAGGCTATTTCAATTAGTTCTATCTTACTCCGCAAGATCGGTCAAAAGTTACCATTCCGAAGCGCCGAGATGATTTCTTCCCAGATATAAAACTCTACAACGACTGCACCTTCACTGTAACCCTCTCGGCGCCAATGCCTCTCGACTTGGCCTCCTCCAGGATGGCCTCTGTAGCCGTGGCCCCGATCCTACTAACGCCCAAACTCCTGACCCTCAAAAGATCATCCAGCGTGCGCACTCCGCCCGCCGCCTTAATCTGCACCCCAGGCTTCGAGTGCGTCCGCATCAGCTTCAAATGCTCATACGTCGCGCCCTTGTAGTTGTACGAGCCATCCGCCTGCTTCACCATGCCATAGCCCGTGCTGGTCTTGACAAACGCCACGTCCAGCTCGCTACAGATCTGGCACAACTTGATAATCTCCTTTTCGGCCAGGAAGTCGTTCTCGAAGATGACCTTCAGGACTGCCCCTGCGGCCACAACCGCCTCGTTGACGGCCTTGATCTCGCTCCTAACGTAGTCCCACTGCCCGCCCAGGGCCTTGCCGATGTTGATGACCATGTCGATCTCCTGGCCGCCCTCCTCAGCAGCGCGGCGGGCCTCGAAGACCTTCACCTCGGTGGTGCTGTTGCCGGCAGGGAAGCCGATCACGGGGCAGACCTTGACGTCGGTGCCTTTGAGGGCGGCGACGGCCGAGGGGATAGCGTAGGGCTTGATGCAGACCGTGGCGACGTCGTACTTCTTGGAGATGGCGTAGCCTTGGGCGAGGATCTCGTCAGTCATGGTGGGGTGGAGGAGGGAGTGGTCGATCATTTTGGCGAGGTCGTGGAGGGAGACCTCGATGGTTGCGGGGAAGGTGACGGGTGCCATTTTATTGGGACTTTAGGAAGGGGGCGTTGGATATTAGAGGTGATGCTTGAAAGGGATGTGCTCGACAAGTTGGTACAAACATTCGAACGCAGGGCGATGCATATATAGTAATTTGCCCGTGTTGAATGAATTGTCTTGTCTGTTTCGTTAAGGCCGAATCTGCTGCTGCCACGAGTTTGATTCCATTCGATGTGTTCACCAGCGTTGGTTGCCTAGTAAAATGAGGGCGTGGGGGGGGGGCTTCCACGCCCCCGCGGGGGTCTCGCAACACCATCTTGAAGCTATCCGCAAGTCTTGGCTTTGATATCTGCTGACTTCCGAGTGTCACACCCGCAACGTCCAGATAGGAAGTTGTCCGGGCTTCCCGTTCAGGGACGCGGTGTGCAAAGATCATGCTATGCTTATGCGTGGGATTGAAACGAGATCAGGATCGAGTAATCATATCCACAATCAGGATCGAGATAAAGTAATTATTACATCCACCAGAACGCATCGCGGCGGAGCTTCTGATAAGTCGTGCTTATGGATAGAGCAATTCGTGCATTGACTTACTTCTTAAGCATCTCGCTCCCGTTCTTGCCTGTGATACCATCTCTCCTCATCTCTCATCAAAATTCTCCTTTTATTATTAGAATTCGAGATCAGCCAGGAGTCAAAATGGGAAAGTTCATAGTCCATTTCGTCCGCCGTGAGTACCCGTAATCCACTCTGCTCACGATCCCGGACTAACTTCTTTCAGACGCTCAAGGCTACCACAACGTACCAACGGAGAACCACCTGCAAATCCCTGACCCAGACCTCACACCACTCGGCGTCACACAATGCGAGGCACTTGCCAAGAGCTTCCCCTACCACAACCAGATAACACACCTCATGTCCTCGCCCATCCGCCGTGCCCTCTACACCTGCCTCTACTCCTTCCCCGGGTCCGTCGAGCGCGGCCTGCCCGTGCTCGCCCTCCCCTTCGCCCAGGAGTTCAGCGACTACCCCTGCGACACGGGCTCGCCCATCTCCAAGCTAGCCGCGGAGTTCGAGGGCAAGGTCGACCTCAGCCTCCTGGACGACGACTGGAACTCGAACAAGGGGAAGTGGAGCCCGCACTGCGACGCAATCGACGCGCGAGCGAGGGAGACGCGGCGCTTCCTGAGGCAGGCCGGCAGGAACTGGCTGGGGGAGAACGACAGGGACTGCCATATCGTGGTCTCGACGCACGGGGGCTTCTTGCATTACGTGACGGGGGAGTGGTCGGGGACGGGAGGCTCGGCGGGCACGGGGTGGCGGAACTGCGAGTTTAGGAGCTTCACGTTTGAGGAGGGGGAGGACGAGGACGCGAGTCTGGTGGAGTTGGAGGAGAGTAGGGCGAGGAGACCCGAGGAGAAGCTCTTGTCGACGGAGGAGCATAGGGCTCTGAGGGAGTTTGCGGAGAGCGAGTGGGTCAAGGGAGGGTATCAAAAGTTGCCGTTGCCTGATGTGCCGTTCGGTATGGATGAAAGCAATTAAGTGGAAGGCGAAGTTTCATGATAGAATATCAACGCAGTAAACGAATAGAGAGTAGAAGAGAAATATAGTAGAGATTAAATAAAGTAGAAGAGACCAGATGGGCTTATGCATATGGGGAACCATCTCAGAAATGGACCGATTGACGTCGCGAGGCCACCGAAGGACTGCATGTTCGACATCTGGATTCTGCCTAATCCCGGCTTGGGATACACACGGCGATTAAGTCGCAAAGTTACTTTAAGGTTTTGTAGCATTTAAAATTGTGGGGTATTCCATTTACAGTATATTTTAGTTGACCATAGTATTATATGAAGTGTACACAATGACAGCTGCAAGATTCATTTGATGAAGAGGCTGATAATGATTTTGTTATACAGATATGTATTGCCGTGATGGGTCCAGAACTTGGCAGCACCACATGCCAAACGATCAAGTAGGTAACAATATCTTATAGTTTGGGGTCGACGTTCAGGAAACCCTTCAATTTCTGGACATGGGCTCTGCCGGAGTCGGTCTCCCCAAATCGGCACGACTCGGCGGGCAGGCGGTGTTCACTGACACGGCTTCCGGCATCTCACAATCACCTCGCCGATGCAGCTGTCTTCCCCTCACTCTCAACCATTCCAAACCAAGAGCGCCCAAAGACCCTCTCTCGCCCAAAATGACCACCCCGCACAAGCCAACAATAGCAATAGCAGGCCTAGCAATCGAGACCTCGACCTTCCACCCAGGCCGCACAGAGGCAGAGGCCTTCCACCCCCGCCGCGGCACAGCCGAGATAACAGCCTACCACGCCGCGGTCATCGGCCCAGGCACACCGCTAAGCAATGCCGCAAACTGGAAGGGCGCCCTCATAGGGCACGCCCTGCCGGGAGGACAGGTCCTTCTCACAGCCTACCAGCAGCTCGAGGCAGACCTGCTGGCGCGGTTGCGCGCCATCGTCGAGGAGCACGCCGCCGAGAACGCCGGCCGGCCCCTCGACGGGCTGTGGCTCGACATCCACGGCGCGATGTGCGTGGCGGGCCCAGTGCGCGACGCCGAGGCCACGCTGCTGCGCAAGGTGCGGGACGTCGTGGGGCCGGAGTGTGTGGTGAGCGCGAGCATGGACCTGCACGGGAACGTCTCGCGCGAGCTGGCGCACCTGTGCGACCTGATTACGTGCTACCGGACGGCGCCGCACGTCGACGTCGTCGAGACGCGGGTGCGGGCGTGCGAGAACCTGCTCGAGGTGCTGGGGATGAAGGAGGCCGTCGGGGGCAGGGGGGAATTCAGGCCGGTCAAGGCGTGGGTGCCGCTGCCGATCTTGTTGCCTGGGGAGCAGACCAGCACGCGCGACGAGCCGGCGAAGTCGATCTACGCTGCTGTGCCGGGCGTCGAGGCCACGGACGGCGTGCTCGATGCGGCGGTGTGGGTGGGCTACGCGTGGGCCGACGAGCCGCGGAACCGGGCTGCGGTGGTGGTTACGGGGTGGGACGAGGGCGCGGTGGCCAGCGGGGCGGAGAAGCTGGCACGGCTGTTCTGGGAGAGCAGGGAGGAGTTCCACTTTGTCGCGCCGACGGGGAGCATGGCCGAGTGTCTGGACACGGGCCTCACGAGGATCAAGGACGAGACGAAGCGGCCGTTCTTCATCAGCGACTCGGGCGATAATCCCACTGCGGGCGCCAGTGGGTATGTCACCTGGGGCCTGGCGAGAGTGCTGGAAAGGGAGGAGTTCAAGCAGCCGGACGGCCCGCAGGTGATTTACGCCAGTGTGCCGTGCGCCGGGTGCGTCAAGGAATGTGTCCGGCAGGGGGTCGGGGCTATGGTGACGGTGACGGCCGGCGCGGGCAACGAAGCCGAACTCGACGCCCCGTTGACGATGACAGGGCGGGTACACAGTATCAAGCTTGGCGACAAGGACGCCAAGACGGAGGTCGTCCTGCAGGTGGGCAGTGTGTTCGCCATCTTGACAGAGGAAAGGAAGCCGTACCACAAGGAGAAGGACTTCACTGATCTTGACCTCGAGCCACGGAAAGCCGACATTGTTCTTGTCAAGATAGGGTATCTTGAGCCAGAACTCTACGACATGGCCAAGGACTGGATGCTGGGCCTCACACCTGGAGGGGTGGACCAGGATTTGATCAGGCTGGGCCACAAGGAGATCAGGAGGCCGATGTGGCCATTTGACAAGACCTTCGAGAAGGAGCCGGATCTGTCGGCTAGGATCATAGCGATGTCCAACGAACCGCTGGACGGTCCGGACGAGTAGTTGGCAGTGTCTCTACGGGATGAGGAGAATGGCGAGGGCTCTTCCGAGCCTGGCTTCTAAGCAAAGGGAGAAGATATAGTATAATATTATAATGGGCTGTATTCTATGAAATGGTGTTGCTGCAGGTGGTACCCATTAATTGAAGGGCATCGGTATGGATTCCCTTCTTGTGTCCGATCCGACAGCAGTATGATCGCCAGCCTGGACTGCGTAGGCATCACGACCATCTCGTTCCACGTGCAGCGATCATTGACCGGTGACAGATGGGCCTGGACCCGGCCTCGCCGCGGGGGAAGTCTCGTCTGGCTGATGGGCTCGCGCGTGATGAAACTGTGAGGCAGGTGTCGCAGCAGAGTGGTTGTGTCAGAGCCCTGTGCTGCTCTCTTGGTTCGCCCCACAAGACCGTTTCCTGGCCCGGACCATGGCCGATGCCTGTATCCACCTCGACTGCAACAGACCCGATGCTTTGGGAAAGGGCATTTGACAGTCCCTCGATCCGAAATGGGCGACTGGAAATTATAATCGAAAGGGATCTCGGTGGGTGTGGTCCTCGGAAATGACCCGGGCGTAGGCGTTGAAAGTAGGGCGATTCGACAGATGAATGCAGCCTCAGATGCCCTGCACTGCGTCGAAATGGCCGCGCCTCATGGTAGACAATGTGTCGCGCCCTAGGATATCATCGGGTCGCACAATGCTCTGGGAGTAGATCGTTGGCATGGCTTCGTCTGGGGGAATTTGAGCGCCTTGTGGTCCATCATACCTTGACGGCGAGCTTGCCGGTGGGTTCCCTGCCCATCTGGAGGTAGGCAACAGGTGCAGCCAGAGAGCACGAGGCCATGGTGGAGACGAGGAGGACGGAGAATTGCATCGTGGAGGATTGTCGATATCGATCGGATAATTCGGTAGTTACTAAAGATCTGCGTTGATGGGCAGACACACAGTCCAGCTGTTTTTGGTTGATCCAGCAACGTGACGATGCGAGAAAGAAGGTAAGGGTCGGGGTGATGAGCTCTCACCCGCGGATCAGCGAGGCAGTGCAACTGTCCCTCTTAAATGGCAGAAGGGCCTTCTCGAAAGATTTAACAGAAAAGGAAATATGCTCGCACCGATGGCACATGTCCGGCTGACGACGCCGTCCAGCGGTTAGCAACTGGCGAAGGCTCCGCTGTCTGTTTCAACTGCTTGGGGGGCGCATTGTGACAGGCGTCTCAACCATGGGACGACATCTCAACAGCTCACTGGAGCTGGCAAGTCTAGCGACGAGCCGATGTGGGCGACGGACATGTTCCTAGCCTGCCAAGAGGTAGATCATTTCGCCCTGGACGCCCGAGGGACTCGCCAAAGGGGTCGCATCTGCTGAAGCGAAGAGATGGTGAGGGAGTGAGGAAGGTCGGGATCGGCCCGTCGTCCCATCAACGGTTTGGAGATGGTGTTTCGTATGCGAGATGGGAGGCGACTCAGAGTTATTTCTTGCTCCTCTGCGCTGCACTCGCAGCATGCATTAGGTCAACGGGACGCATCCTTACAGCATGATGAGCGAGCTGACGACAACCATGACCATCTCAGTGGGAGTGAGGGAGGGAATAAAGCGAAGATGAACAACAGATCTTGCTCATCGATCGACCCAGGGGCGATGGCGGTAGCGATGGGTGGATGGGGGAGGGAGGGTGAGAGATCAACCCTCCCCCAACCCGGACCATGATAGATAAGCGATAAAGCACTCCCATTGCAAGCACCAAGGTTCGTGCCTCAGGCAACAGAGACCAATGGAGGGGCCTGGCCCGCGCAGGGTAGCGCGGGGTAAGAAAATTTCCCAACCTCGCCCTATCTGTTCTTGCTGTGTTTTCCTTGGGCAGCGACAACAATCTTGACGATTTCTCTCGCAGCTTCACCACAATCCATCTGTATTCGATACCCACGTCCCCATCAGCTCCTTTTCCACAAACCGCCAAAATGGGTTTCACCGATCTCGTCAGCGACGCCGGCCTGTCCGTCCTCAACAGCTACCTGGCCACCCGCTCTTACATTGTCGGGTAAGTGTGCCGCTTCGAGTCACCTCCTGCATTGCATCCATCGCCTCGACCCCCTTTCTCCTTTCGCGTGATGGTTCCCAGGGTTCGTGTTTCCGAGGAGCTCGGAGACCTGCGCATGAATGCAGGCCCAGCACTCCCGTTGCACCTCTGGGCCACCCGCACCAAACTCTGCTCCCCTGCCGATTCATCTCGCCCCCTTCCTTCCACGAGCCAGCCTGAAGCCTCCCACTGCCTTCCCTAAGCTAACATGTTCCTCCCCCACCGACAGCTACACCGCCTCCCAGGCCGACGTTGCCACCTTCAAGGCCATCTCCTCCGCCCCTGACGCCTCCAAGTACCCCAACGCCGCCCGGTGGTACAAGCACATCGCCTCTTACGAGTCCGAGTTCCCCACCCTCTCCGGCGATGCCTCCAAGCCCTACACCGCCTATGGCCCTGAGGCCGCCGAGGTCACCCTGAACCCCGCCAAGGCCCCCGCCGCCGCTGACGACGACGACGATGTCGACCTGTTCGGCTCCGATGACGAGGAGGAGGATGCTGAGGCTGCCCGTATCCGTGAGGAGCGTCTGGCCGAGTACCGCAAGAAGAAGGAGGGCAAGGCGAAGCCCGCCGCCAAGTCCGTCGTGACGATGGATGTTAAGCCTTGGGGTATGCTATTCCCCTCGATTTTCCATGCCCCGTTCAGTCAGAATTGCAATTCGCTGGTCATTCTGGAGAGACAGAGAGTGCGGTGCTAACGTGATCAAACCCACAGATGACGAGACCGACCTGGCCGCTCTTGAGGCCTCTGTTCGTTCCATCGAGAAGGACGGTCTGGTGTGGGGTGCCTCCAAGTTCGTCGCCGTCGGCTTCGGCATCAAGAAGCTCCAGATCAACCTGGTCGTCGAGGACGACAAGGTCTCCCTGGAGGAGCTCGAGGAGGAGATCGTCGGCTTCGAGGACTACGTTCAGTCCTCCGACGTCGTCGCCATGCAGAAGCTGTAAGAGACCCAGCTGTCATGCTGGTGACGGGGGATGGAATGGAATATACCAAAAAATCTGAGGCTGTCGAGAGACGGCTATGACTGAACATGGAAATAATGATGGTGTCTATCTACACCGCCTGCTTGTCAAGCTGAGCGCCGAGGAGTAGAATGCGTCAGTAAAGAGCATGAAAACCAAATGCAATGAAACGCAATAGACAGGGTCACCATGGCGAAATCCCGCGATCTTGGCCTTTGCTGTTCCAACTTTGATACCGTTTTGTCTTTGCCTGTGCTCACTGTCTTTACAGAAACCGTGGACTCCTGCCACAGGCCGCAAACCTTCAGCCCTGGCCTAGGAAGTTGATCAGCTTGGTCGAGGAGCTACACGGAGGCTGTGCCTACGCTGTTCAGCCACCCGGCCACGACCTGTGTCTGCAATTCTGAGCAGCATCCCCAGAACAGCGTATTACACCAAGCACGCACTACGAGGGTCAAATTGCTTTCCTATGCTGAGATCCGCCTCGGGGCGAGATCAAACCTTTCTTGAACAGAATTCGACATAGTAGTCACCGCAACAAGGCATCGCCGGCTAATGAAACACCAATCTACAAGCTCATACCTACTGCGTCCTTCTTAAGCAATGGGGTTGCAGAGAACGCATCTGTCACCTTTAAAAGAGTGCCACCAAGCTCTCGGAAATAATTTCTGCACCGGACAGGATCGTAACACGACGTTGTGTCGAGAAAGATCCAACACCTGGGCCCTTCGTTGGAGGTTGCTGGCACAAGCATCTTGGGCGACTTTGAAGTCCAAAGACCTCAGCAAGGACTGTACTGGGTATGTTTACCTACTGCTCGATATTGAACACCGCCTTTGCAGGTGGCACGGTAAGGGCTCCTCATATCCATGTGACAGAAACCGGGCCAACTCAACTCGCCTTTGCAAAATTCGCCATATCTCTTCGCTATCTCCTTCATGCGTAGCAAGTATTTACAACGGCAGGAATAGTGTCATGGGTTTCAATAACATCACCCTGTCTCAACAAGAACTTCGCAAGAGCACGAGCTAAGTCGTTGGTGCGGCTATCAAAGTCTAGTGCCGCATTGGACGGCCTAGTTCTACGGCTATCTTCTTCTATTCGGTAGTCTCTCACTATGCCACTAAGTTCTCGGCTGCTTGGTTTACGGTCATTTATCAAACAGCTGCCTAGGCCAATGAGCAAAGAAATATTCTACCATCAATGCTGAATAGGTCTATACGAGGCGCTAAGCGGTGCCGGTCCACCCTATTCAACCTAGAAGTCGGCCGCATAAGACGATGGTGCCCTGTGCTCATTGATGGACCTCACATGATGCGCATGCATGCGCCGCTCCCATACTAACGTGCGTTGTGTCCGTAGACGTCCACAACTAAAAGAAATTTAAACTTGAAATTCCACAAAATGTCATGCTTGAACTTCCACCTCGTCAAACTTGCACTTCCACCTCGTCAATTCGTGCGTTTCTCGAAACAACAGCTACTTCCCCAGACATCAATACGCGCTCAACCATGGCAGCCATTTCCGAGGCCTTCAGCTCACTGGAACTGCACGATGAGCCGCATCCTCGCCACCACTTGTTCGACTTTCTTGCTCTGCCCGGCGAGTTGCGAAACCAGATCTACCGCCTCACGCTGACTACCGATCCACCCAGGCTAGACCGGCAGCACAAGTACAGCTGCGATTGGTGCACGTGGGACCCGGACCAGCCTCAGAACCGGATGGTCGACCAGACTGGCCAGAACTTGCCAGGCTGCAGATGCTGGGCCCGACGGGGGCTCGCCCTCCTCCTGGCTAATCGCAAAATCCACGAGGAGGCTGCCCCAATCTTTTGGGCCGAGAATCACTTCTCATTCCAAGGCGTCGATAGTTTCATCCGCCTTGTTGGCGGATCCCTGCGGCCTCAGTATCGACAGATGATCCCCCATGTCACCATCTATTTGGACCCGGGCTTGATCACTTGGAGGATGGACATGGACCTTCCTCCCGTGCGGTTCTGGGATGTATTGTTCGAATGCAAAGGTCTCCGCGAATTGGAAATTCCACCGTATCGGAGGTGTAAGCAGGGTTCCACAGATAGGCGGCTCGTCGACACGGAATTGGCTTGCTGGGATCGTTTGACAAGCGAGCTGCCCAATTTGAGGGCGTTCTCATGGTCATACTTGGATGGTGTTTCGAAAGGCAGCATGTTCGACTCATGCCCCGCGGTCCCATATGTCCGTACAGAATGACTCTGCGTTTGGACCTGAGAGTCTTGTCGCCGGAACAGTTCAGACTTTACGGTCCCTTTACTCATGGGGACCTTGTGTGTAGTCGGACTTCATGCTTGCGCGCCTTTCCCTTTGGACCCCGTGGTCCCCTGCCAGGCGAGGTTATTGTGAGCGCAGGAAGGCCAGATGCGCACCGATGCGCTGCCAACATGAGAACTCTCAGAGACAGGCTTGAAGTGGGGCATTCGAGAGTCATGTCTACGGGCTGGATTATGGAATTTTTCTTTCTGCCGTTGAGCCCCGAGACCATCACGCGGAATGCCATGCTTAGAGCACGAGATGAGAATTCAAAGAAGGCGGAGAAGGATGCCGACACTTCTTGGGAGCTGGAAGCTCGTCAATCAGCCTCGTTGAAGATGGGATTTGCCAGGGTTAGGGCGGCCAAGCGGACGGGTATTTCGCGACTCGGATTTAGATGACTAAATCAGGATTCGATTTTCGTCATGACGATGACCTCACGCTCACTAAGACCACTAGCGGTCAGTGGATTCAAGGCCTTGTCTCCGTAGTCGGCCCGGGCTACAAAAGCTTTTGGCCCAACTCAACCAAGGAAGCATTTCAGCAATTGAACAACGGCCAGATTGACCATCTACCACCTGGGCATTCCCCCTCAACAGCCAACCAAAAACACCATGGCCCGCTTCTTCATCACCGGCTCCTCCGACGGCCTCGGCTCGCTGACGGCCCAGCGCCTCATCAAACAGGGCCACTCAGTCGTCCTGCACGCGCGCAGCGCCCAGCGCGCAGCCGACGCGCAAAAGGCCTGCCCGGGCTCCGACGCCGTGCTCGTGGCGGACCTGACCAGCATCGACGAGACCAAGGCGCTGGCGGCCGAGGCGAACAAGCTGGGGCCCTTCGACGCCGTCGTGCACAACGCGGGCCTGTTCACGGGCTTCGAGAAGGTCACGGGCAAGTCGGGCCTGCCGAGCCTCTTCACCGTCAACGTGCTGGCGCCGTACATCCTGACGAGCCTGGTGGGGCGCCCCAGGCGGCTCGTCTACGTCAGCTCGGGCCTGCACCAGGGCGGCACCACCAGGCTGGACTCGCTCGAGGGGTCTGTGTATGCCGACTCCAAGCTGCACGACATCATGCTCGCCAAGGCGTTTGCGAGGCGGTTCGAGGGCGTCGAGAGCAACTCGGTCGACCCGGGCTGGGTGCCCACCAAAATGGGCGGGGCCGGTGCCACGGGGGACATCGAGGAGAGCATCAAGACTTTCGCCATGTTGGCGCTGGGCGAGGGCGCTGCGAAGGGCAAGACGGGGAAATATTTTTACAGCTCCAAGGAGGTGCCGTGTCTGGAGTCTGCGAACGATGAGGCGGCGCAGGATGGGCTTTTGAAGAGGCTGGCGGAGATCAGTGGCATTGAGGTCCCTCAATAATGCACCACAGAGAAACAGCTTTGCTCGGATTTGATTTGAAGTCAACACAGTCACTCATACGAGGCTGCCGGTTCTGGGCCAAGTTCCAACCAGAATTAATGCTTTTGACATATAGCTCCACTGTAGCCGGATACAACATCGCCTGCATGACCAAGGCAGAATACCTTGCCCGGGATGAACACCATTGGCGGCCGTCGCTGAGCTCATATCTTGGCATGACTCGAAGGAGGAATCCATACTGACTGCCAGCTCTTGAGAATGTGCTTGACCATCGGACAACACTTTGTGCTCTGTAAATGATCCAAGACGAACACAAAGTCACAACACATCCATTAGCCTTTTAACAGTGTGATAGAACCTTCCTACTGCCCTTTTTCAAAGTAATGACGGCTGGAACTGAACATCAGATTGCTTCTAGATATGTAAGGTGGTCCATCCGCTCCACCCTCTTCATGGAGCATTGTCCACCCACCCTTTCCGTCATGGATGTACCTCGCTTTCTACAACGGATATCCGATCTTTGCCAAAACGGATTTACCAAACATTTCATGCCCTTGCCTGAGAACAGGGCAGCACAAAATCCCACAGCCAATATATTACTATTTGAGCAACGTCTCCGGAGACTAATGTTACAATCTTGACAGGCATCGTCATCACGGCACTGCGGAGAGAGGCACATTTAGTCTGTATGCTGACAAGTATCATGACGAAGAGACTGGAGGACTACTCGGCCAACGGACAAGATGAGTGATGTTGGGCTGCTATTAGATGAAAGTGCTGATGGTGAACTCCGACTGACCGATGGCTTTCCAAAGTCGAAGGAAGCGGTATAATGAGAGAAGTGTAAAAGCCCATGTCATTGCCTCGATGCCGCTTTAACAACCAGTTTTTGAGAGTGAACTTTTGCATTCCGGGCCCGTCTCCTGATCCTTGGGGTTGAAGCTATCTCAACCTAGTTCGATATGGTCATAAACTAGTTAGGCCGTGTCAAATGGCCCGGCTAGTTGACGTGAATCGGTAAATATTAAGAATGAATCTTACCAACCAGACATCTCCCACTTCACACAACAGATGCACAAGGACTGGTTGGCTTTGCTTCAAACAAACCAGAGTTCATCATACCTCGCTCAAGACAATTCAAGAACAGTCACTCGGCCACATCATCTCCTTTCGATCAGTCTCGTGTGACCAAAACATGCCCCGCTCGGTGACTCACTTTTTTCTCAACATATCCACAGGTCGACAAAGTTCAAGGGCCTTGGTCGCCTGCGGTTGTACTGCACGGCCTGTTCCAAACAGTGCCGCGACGAGAATGCATTCAAGCAGCATGCCCAGTCCGAAAGCCACGTGCGCAACATGGACGCCATCGGCTCGAATCTCGGCCGAATCCGCGATCAGTACTCCCAACAATGCCTGTCCGCCTTCTTAAATCTGCTCCGCCGCGATCACGGCGAGAAGCGCGTGCAAGCCAACCGGTTCTACCAGACCTACATCGCCGACCCTCACCATGCACACCTCAAGGATACGCGCTGGGGCAGTCTGACTCGTTTCGCCGAATGGCTTGGCCGCGAAGGTCTCTGCCATTTCGAGGAGAAGGATGACGGCGTCTATATATCTTGGATCGACACATCCCCCAAAGCTGAGCAACGGGCCGCGGCCCTCCAGGCAAAAGAAACGCGAGGAGGCGGCCGACCGGCGACGAGAGGAGCGCCAGCTGGAGGAGCAGGTCAACAGGGCGCATGCGCATGCGAGGCATCAAAGTCCTCCTTGACCTACGCAAACTGCGTCACTCGGCTCCACACAAAGACGCTGACGCAACTGTCGCGTTTCGATTCGGTCCTAACGCGACTGCCTCTGCCAGCCACACTTTCCAACCGGAGAAGGCCCCAAATATCTTCAAGGCAGCAGTGCAGAAGAGAAAACGACCAGTGGAGGAATCTGCTGAGTCGGGTCGGCAAGGTTTCCCCCTCAAACAACCTCTATGATAAATCTATAACCTCTGGAGGTCCACGGCACAGACTTCCTTTCCAGAGCTTCATCCTCTCTGCAACTCAAACACTCTAGTAGCAGCCACATAATCGCCCTCATGCGTATCGAAACTGTACATAGCCAGGAACCGGTCCCTCCCAAGCGAATACAGCCCAGGCCAGACCGCCTCGCGCGCGATCAGCACGCTCTTGCTCCACGTCTCCCCGCCGTCCACGCTGCTGACAACCTTGAAGTCCCCAGGCACGGTCCCGCTCGAGTTCGTCCCCTCGTTCGTCATGAACCCAGCCACCAGCGTGCCCCCGACGTTGACGACTCCCGCCGGCGCGGACGCCTGCCTCTCCTCGTCCAGCGGGTCGTATACCCTCGCCCGCGTCTCTGACGGCCACGTCTGCCCGTCGTCGGGCGACAACACCCGCCGCACGTCGAAGCGGCCCGACTCGGTCGTCTCGAAGAACAAGATTAGCCTGCTCCCGTCATCATCGTCTCCGCCCCCCAGACGAGCGACACCCGTCATCCCGTCCCGGCTACGAACCCTGTCCGCGCCAGAGACGACCCGCCGACTGCCCCACGTCCTCCCGCCGTCGCTCGACTCCCGCACCAGGCTGTCCTGGTCCCCCGCGTCGTTCTCGGCCGAGTAGTACGCCTGTAGCGTGGCCCCGTCAGCCGCGACGCGCAGGAACGGCTCCCACAGCCCGTTGAGGTCCGCGGACCCGTTGTTGGCGGCGCGCGTGTCAATGTCGCTGAGGAGCGCCCAGCTGCGCCCGCCGTCGTCGGACGCCGAGACGGACAGCCGGTAGAAGGTGTAGTTGTCCGGCACGCCGAGGGTGTTGTTCGGGGACCTGTCGTGGTTCCTGTAGGAGTAGAGGATCCTGCCCGGGGGGTGCTGCTGCTTCCCCCCGTCCCCGCTCGCGCTGCTGCTGTTGGACGCGTTCCGCCCGCCCGTTCCGGGGCCGTCCCCGGTCCCCGGGAACCCGGCGGGGAGCACAAGGGGGAAGGCGTTGTCCAGCTCGCGGGTCCGGTTGTCGCCGCGTTCCACGTCCCCGAGCTGCTGCCACGAGCCGCCGCCATCGGTCGACCCGTACGCCCGAAGGATCTTGGTGAAGCCCTCGCGGACCGCGTATCCGAGGTACAGCCCTTCCTCGACGGAGCCAGTCGCGCGCAGGTAGACGCCTGTGGTTTCTAGCATCACGGGATCGCCGGACGGGGAGATTTCCACGCTTGCGTTGCTCGCTGTTATCGGCAGGCACTCGAGGGCGCCGAAGCCCTGAGATGGCAGTGGTTGGGGGAGGCCCTGGGGGTTCGCTGCTTGGGGGAAGAGTGCTAGGGCAGCCAGGCATGCTGCTGGTATTAGACCCAGCATCTTGAACGAGTGTGTAGGAGGCCACAAGGACCGTCTGAGCCAGCGAGTGTGTGCTGCCCTCAGCCGAACGTCGCAGCTGCCATGTAGTTGGGCCGGGTTATATTCTTACGAGTCTCCATTCTTCCCCTTTACTCGGCATGAGGAAGGTAAGGTCTCATCCAGCAGAAGCAACATGTGACGAATCTATCGTCGGTGCGGAAGCTTAATATTTTGACTTCGGCCACTGAGATCCCGCGAAGCGTAAATAACAGACGAACCTGTTCAGGGGCGCATATAGCATAATTAGAGCTAATCTCGTATACTTCTTTTCCGTGTATCGCAGTGCTGCGCCTGCAGCATAATCAAGATTGGAACTTAGAGCTTGTGTGAAGGTCCGCGCGCAACTTGTTGGGCATAGCCGCACCGCGGCGCGGGAGGCAATCAAAATACGTTGGGAGTTGGAGAAGAGTGTCCATGGGAAGCATCAGAGGTTACGACGCAAGGTCTCGAAATTTGCATAGCGGCTGTATTGACCAAGTCTGCCCACTGACGTACATCAATCGCTAAAACAAAAAAAGCATTACCACACCGTCACATTACTTATTTACCCCCCGAGGCATCCGCAGGCTTGTCCTGTGACTGCTGCTGCAGCTGCTGTTGAAGCCCCAAGCCGACAGCGCTCCCAGCCACACTTCCCCTGGTCGGCGCGTACAGCGCATAGAGGTCCTCCCTCGTCCTCGTGCCCTCGCCCGACGGGCTAGGGCCTGTTGTGCTGGTGTACCCAGGCGTGATGGGCGTCTGCGGGTAGGCGCTGGTCCTGTTCAAGCTGCTGTGGAAGCTCGGCGGCGGCGACAGGCCCGGCGTGTTCATCGCGCTGGAGCGCCCGCCCGCCATGGTCGTGCGCGTCACGTCCGTCCAGGAGCTCATGGCTGACATTCTTTCGGTAGACCCCGAGACGGAGGAGCCTGCCCACATCGACTTATAGTAGGCTTGTGCGTCGTCTCTTGTGAAGACGGGCAGCGGGGCTGTCACGGATTCGGAGGTCGACTCGGTCGGCGACTGCGCGGTTGGTGCAGTCGCAGCGTTGTTGGTGTAGGCTTTCTGCAGGTCTAGGTCGGGCAGCGGAGGAACGTCCTGCATCCTCCTAGCCCCGCTGCTCTCCGCCACGACGCTTTCCCCTGAGTTGGAGTAGTAGCTGACAGTCCTTGAAGTCGCCTGGCTTCCTGGTCTGCTCCTCCTTCCTCCCGTTGAAGTGCTCCCTGTAGAGCTGCGCAGGCTAAGGCTTCCACTCGCTGGGTTCAACTTGAGTGGGTGATGCCTGCTGGACCTCTTGAACCAGCTGACCACACTCTTCCGGATACTCGCCTGCTCGATCGGCTGTGGGTCGAGCAGTGGCAGAAGATGATGCGGATCTCGTCGCTTCTCATCCAGGAAGCCCCGTGGCACCGCGTCACTATGGCCGCCTTCCATTTGGTACGCAGCCTGGATAGCCTCGTTGAGGATGGCCGAATCGGAGCGATCATTTCGGTGGCCGCTGACGTGCCTGGCGTTGAATGGGTTCGACACCTGGCGTTTCGGGATGGCCTCGGGTTTGGGTTTGTAAAACCGGTCGAGTGGGGTGGTGAAGGAGAACGGCAAGGCTGGCAACGATGGAAGGTTGACATTGAAACGGCTTCGTTGACCAATACGAGATGGGTAGTCGCTAGGGTTCAATTCATCTTGGCCGTGGCGACGCCGGCGTCGGCGGATGAGGATTGCCCCCCAGAACAGACCGACGATGAGACCTACGGCAGCTAAAGACGTGTTAATTGGAACCAGTAACCCTCAAATGACGATGGAACGTACCAATGACTCCGAAGGCGATACCAACTTTGCATGAGGTGCTTGGACCCCTAGGTGGCCGTCCGTCATCACCTCCCCGGTCATTCTGCTGTCTCCCTGTCTCCTGACCCCCAGGCGAACCTACGAAGATCGCACCACTGCTGGTAGTAGTTGGCAGTGATGAGCTGCTTGTCAATAATGGAAAATTTGTCGGCGGAGTTGTTATTTGCGGAGTGCTGGTTGAAGTCAAAATCGGAGGGATAGATAGTGTCGTTGACTGCGACGTGAAAGTACTCGATGTACTCGAATCTGACTCGGTATCTGACTCAGACGATTTGGTTGATTTTGTGCTTGGGCTGGTTGTCAGATCTGGGGGCGGCGAGAAGATCGGAGGAGTGGCAGGTGGTGGTGGAGGGAAAGACGTTGAGTCGTCGTCATCGTCACCGTCATCTAACGCTTGGAACTTGTCGTCTGCCTCGTCCTCATCCCTCTCAAGAAGTGAGGCGGTCCCATCAACAACAGCAAGCGTCCGACCCCAGATAGCGTCGTCATCATCTTGTTGTCTGGCAGATACTTGAACGGCTGCCCGTTGTACGCTGCTTCGCCGTGCCCTGGGAAGTAGATAAGATCAGCACAACGGATCCTCGACATGTAGCATGTGAGCGACGATCTTTGCCCCAGCTCAGGACTTACAGCAACGAATCGAGCCGAAGGGATACCATTTCTTCACCAACCGCCTTGGAGCTGCAGCTCAGGCATGAAGCAGCCTTTCGAGTCAGGTCCGGCAGGAGCACGCACAGGGCCAGGCACGAAGATGAGTGCGATGTTGGGAAATAAGGTTGGAAGAAGACGAGCTGTCAGGCGTCATGAAAGAACAATGCCCAGCAGCGTCCGCACATTTGACAACCCACAATCCCAACTCCGGATTCGACAGCCAAGTCACGGGCAGATCAGAAGATTCCTCGGTGTCATTCGAAGTATTTCGAAACCGGCTGGCGAGCAGATAATGGGCACAGCCCTCGGATGGTACTGGAAAGGAACAACAGAAACGGCCTCCTGGGCGCTGGGGAGAAGAGAAACGGGAGAGATGATCGTCCGGACGACACACGTTGACGCAACCGCTTGTGTCAGAACATGGGACAGAACAGCTCAAAAAGTTGGGACGAGCGACGGGCTGCCCAGGGACGCAAGGAAAGTGATAGAAAACAACAAGACGAGCAAAAAACTCTTGGGGGGATTTACACGATGAACAGGGTAGCCGGGCACATCACCGATTTTGAGCAGATCGGGGGGCACCTCATGCGTTGGCGATCGCTGCGTTGCCAGCAAACATGGTGGTGCCATGCAGCCAGATTGCGAGAGAGCAAACCATTATGCGTCGAGAGCGATTCTGGCTGCAACTGGAAGCACAGGTGCTGCACCAGACCGGGATGAAGGCGGCAAGTCATGTTGTTTCAGCAGTAGGCTCGCCCAACGTCATGTTTCAGAGTGTGGGTGATCCCCTCAAGCGATCAGCAGGTCGACAGCGCACACCCCAGGACGACCTGCCCACTGCGCAGTCTGGCGGTGGAGGCCAAGACAGACGAGCCAGGAAAGCGGACGAGGAAGCTTCGGGTTCGGGTCTCGCTTGGCGCTGTCCCACCAGTGGCAGCGAGCGACACAGCCTGACAGCCAAGCAACCCCTCCCAGTTGCAGCAGGCCCCAGAAGCCAAGTCCTCTAGCCCACCAGATCCACTCAGGAGCAGAGCAGGCTAGCTGCGCAGGGGGCGGCCCCCACTAAATAAAGCCCCTTCGACAGCCGTTCCCAGGGTTCTGCGGGTGATTCGGGGTGGAGGTGGCCAGGCTGGTGTTTGAAGCCCCGAGGGTAGAAACACGAGCAGGTGTGACTGAGAAGGCCAGGACCGCCAGTCTGTAACAAGGAGTACTATCACATTCGGCCGCCTTGGTAGGGAGACTGCCGGGTTGTCCAACCGTCCTGTGTCACACTGTTAGAGAGGCCGGCACATCCCACCCCAATCTCCTTCAGAGTGTCTGTCCCCTTGCCGACCCCCGCCAGGTGACCAGCTATTCGACTCGGCAGCTGAAGTTGAGACTGAGTTCGACCTTGAGTCTCCTTTCCATGCGGGTCCCCAAGGAGAAGCTTGTTTGGCCCAGAGTCTTGGGTAACGGGGTGCACCAGCCAGCGTCTCCATTGAGTTTCCCCGTTGGGATCTTCGGCCAGGTCCAGGTCGAGGCCCAGGTCCAGGTCGTTGTCCACCTCGAAGCCCTTTTCCCAAAAGGTTGACGAGAGTGAGCAATCTTGGTTCAGCATAGCGCCTTGATTGTTTATCCCCCAGACATTCGGGCTTTTGCCATCTCCAGAGTTCCAGCAAACGTGCCGGAGGATAGTAGCACAAGGCGGTGGAGAGGTAGGCAGGCCGGCAGTCGATCGAGAGCGGTGGAGACGTGTCACAACGGTCGCATCAGTCGTGGGAGGGAGGGCAGCCAACCCCGAGGCCGGGCGCGTAGATTGATGACAATCAAAAGATGGTATGATGCCTGGATCAGAGGACTGAACCGGGCAGACTCGATTTTCCGTCTTGTCTGCCGTCTTGCCTGGTCTTGATGAATCAACCAATGCTTGGGTGGGAGGAAACCGGGAAACAGCTACTTGCACATCTGCAGGGCAAGCTTGAGCACTGGCTGGCCAGTGCTGCCCTCACCCTAACCCTCTCCACCAAGCACCCTCATACGGCAGACTTCGAATCCAGGGTCTGGGCAGTATTAGCGAAACATCTATTCATGTCATCATCACTAAACGATTTGTATCTGGATTGGATGACGATTGTATGCTGAAGTATCTCGCTGACCATTTGCCTAGGTATACATGGTAGTTCAAGTAATTGTATTGTTGACATAATTATTCATTGTCTGGAAGCGGGTTCAAGCCCTCCTCCGATCCATGCTCAGTCTGGCGATGTCTTTGTCGAGCCAGCCAGCAGTCAAATATGGCTTCGCTCTGGTCGCAGGGGTGAGGCGGCTAGTACGTTAGTTAGTAATGCGACCTCAACGAAGAACGGATAGCGAGGACTGTACCGGTATTCTTTGCTCAATCGACGGTGCCTCGTATCTCCGCGAGTCACAGACAATGATGGAGACCCTGTCTTTCCGTGGCCAGATGCCTCCCACGCGTCTTTGCTTGTGCCAAATAAGAGAATCTCATTCGCCACAAAGTTCCATCCCTCTGGAGGTTCCACAGGGAAACTTTCTTCAAGCAGGACCTCCCTCTGCGCAAACACCATTTCATATGCCCACGCTATATAGCCAAAGTTACTTTAATTATGCGTGTCCCTAGCAAGTATAAACAACCGTATACTTATTTTTATTGCCACTGAGTTTTAAACGCAAAAGTGTTGAGAACTCGTCTAGGTCCTTGTTATAGAAAGGTGGATAGCCCTCGGTCGTGTGACAGCTATTACTACGGAAGAATTTGTCGAGAACTCGGATGTGTACTTTAAGGCCACGGATAATGGCAACAGTATTGCCTTGACCATTTTGTTTGATGGGATGTGTGTAGATAGTGGTAGAAGGTGGTATGTCGAGTGCTTGAGTTGAAAGGTTGCAGAAGGATGGCTTACTTAAACAATGCTCTTATGTTTCCAGGCAGCAAAGCTGTTGGTTGTGGTCTGACTGGCCCATTCTATGGTCAACAGGCAGACAGCCCACATGCTCGAAATGTGTGTACTTAGTACCTGGCTATGTGGGTATAGAGCGATGGGGTTGAACGCCAACTAATGTGACGCTCTCCTTTTGATATTAAATCAACCGCTTTAGGATAACCTCCTGGTAGGTGTGGGATACCCTCCTATGGGATATCCTCCGATGGGATAACCTCCTCTGGAATGCTCTCCTATGGGATAACCTCCTAATAGGATAGATAACCTCTTGTGGGATGATCTGCTTTGCGTTGGGGGGCCTCTTGTGGCTTATCCTCTTGCGGGACACCCTCCTCGCCTTCACTGCCATGAATTCACTTCCCGATATTCACTTTCGAATAGTGCCATCGAACCACCACAAAACCCCGCCCCTTCGCCGGCTTGTCCCAGAGAAAAATGGCGAGCGGGTACACCCACCAGCAACACCAGCAACAACAGCTCAAGCAATCCCAATCCCAACCAACATGGCCGGCGAGAACTTCATCAACAACCCTCGGGACTGGGGCCACGTCAAGTCGCCCTTCTTCAAGCTTCCCCCCGAGATTCGCAACAAGATCTACCGCGAGACCTTCACTGCCTCCGAGGTCGCCCTGGTCATCGATCCCCCGCTTTACGTCAACGTTGTTCCTGTCACCGGCCGTCGCAGCATCTTCAGCACCGCCAACTCCAACCACCACTTCCTGCTCACCTGTGTTCAAGTCTACCTTGAGGCCCTCGCCCTGTACTGGTCCACCACTGTCGTCCGCAACGGTTGCGAGGGTCACTTCTCCCGAAGCTACTTCCTGAACCGAATCCCTGCCATCGCCAAGCCCTACATCCAGCACCTGCGGGATGTCAACGGCGCGCCGAGCCGCGGACCCAAGTGGCTGCGGGGCGAGATAATCCGATGGTCTTCGTCCCTGGCCCAGTCTTTTGACGAGTTTCCGAACCTGAAGTCCTGCTTGATCAAGGACTGGAGACGGGGACCATCGCGGAACCTGTCAGTCCCGTACGAAATCGACGATGCTGTAGCCAGACACCCGAATGTTCACATCATCGAGACGGAGATCACCTGGGAGACGGACCCCCCGGGCCCATTTATGGGGCCGATCCGCCGATACGCATCCGGGTATCCAGTGCTGGTCAGACAGGTACGCAGCTCGGAATCGTCTCCATCTCCTCCTCTTTTGCCCCAGGTGTTGGGTATTCACCTGATGGCTGACGTTGGTTCATTGCAGTACATCTTTCTGAACCGCACCACTGGCAGAATGATTAAGTGGGTCCAAGACCGAGGATTCCAACGGTTCTCTGACGAGGAGTGCGTCGAGATGCTCATGGATCCCGAGCCCAGCAAGCTCGCACAGCAGTTGATCACTTAGATGGATGGACCCGAGGGACAAGGGAGATGCGGTTGAAGCTCCTATCTGGGCGACTGGCGACATACACTGAAGGCACGAGAACGTCATAGGCGTGTGCGGCGCACATCCCTCCTTCCCAGTTGGAGCATGAGCAACACTCAAAGACCAAGAGCACAACAGAAACAGCATGTCACAACCAATTGGAACGGTTGTGTATCATTTCCACACTGTCCCCTGCTTGAGCGAAAGACTGCGCGTGACATGACTCTGCGACATGCGAAGAGCCTCCAAATTTACATCGCCAACAATGGGTCTCAAGCCGGCGCCTCTTCAAAATTGTGGTCTACTTCTTCGGTTCTGCATGCCTGTTGGGTTGCTCACCGGCCCCATGCTTCAGGCCATCCGAGACGGTCCCGACGATCTCGCTGACGGGGTTCCGACGCCCGCCGACCTCGAGTCCTTTGGAAACAGAGCCCACAATATCCCCGGCCAGGCCCACGCCCCGCTTGGGGTTGTGAGCGTTGTGGGTCGTTGTGCTAGGGTTCCTGTGGCCAAAAGAAGAGCTTAATTAGTGACTGATTCAAATAGTGATGCTTGCGAGCAGGAATGGGAGTAGACACAGGAGCTATTTTGAGACATAATTACCCTGGAGGAGGAGGCTGATCCGCCATGGTGATATTAGGTCAGAGGTTGCGAGGCTACCGCGTGAGCCAAGGAAATTAAGTGAAGGAGCTTTGATAGTGTCGAAAAGTTTCTAGTTGCGGGAGCTCCGGTAGGCTTCGCAGCTAAGCTTCAGAGTTAGTTCATCAGGTGCGATTCCAAGAATACTCTTTTATCCTTTTCTCGGCTTCCGAATCTATGCTTCACCCTGCCCACCACCTCCTTCATCGTAACATGTCTGATTTCTGTAGAATGACGCAGCCGTGCGATGTTGATAGCTCTGATGTAATGCTAATCCTCCTATTTTGAGATTCATAGGACATGCCAGTGGTCGCAAGCCTGCCATCCGATGCCCTTAGCGCTGTCGCATCCATCCCCGATATGGCGCCCTACCAACTTGGGAATATCAATGCGAGGCCACCGAGCACACTCTTTCATGTGAAACCCGAGGCCAAATGTTTTGGCTTGGTCTTTGCTTGAGCGATATGATATCATTTACACGTGCCTGCTTCATCAACACGGAGTTGATGGCCTTGCTCTGGAGCAATTCTGCCATTGTCCGGAGTCTCAAACCACAAGATCTGGCCAAGACTATTTCGAACGCCTTCGAGGGGCATCAGGTGAAATAACTGCCTTTCTTGGGAATTTCTCGGACTCGTTCGTTGGAAATGGGTCTCATCACACCGGCTTCTCGCGTCGCTGAACACCATCAAAATAGCCTCCTCGTGGCAAGAATGAAGTCATAAGCCCTGCGACAGGCAAGCTAATTGCACAAAATACATCTCAGGCCAGACATCTATTTTTGCCACTGTCGATATTATCTTTTGGGCTGTCAGCCCACAAGGGCGTACCTGTGTAAGAATGAATGATGGGGCAGCTCGCGGATGTCGTGCCAGTTATGTACGTTTGAGTCTTTCTGGATTAGGTCGTTGTTCTCCAAGGAGCAAGTGACACTCTTTATCCATTACCCACTGTGGGACTGGCACAAGAACGTGACTACTCTCAAAAACCTGAGGCTGACAGCATTTTCTATCTATCTGTACCTAGGTAGGCAGAGTAGCACCACAGCACCCCTCATTGCTTTCGTGCTCAATGAACTGGGCCGTCATTAAGTCTTGCATCCCGTGGATGGCTCTTGTTGCTTTCTCGAAAACCGCGGGTTGAAACAATCAATTTCACGTGTAATGACAATTCAAAGGCCCAGGCCGCCAGCGTAATCGTTAGGCATGTGCAGGACATTTAATCTGTCACAGCACTCATGTGCAGCTCGTGGAGCCGCAAAGCCCTCGCCATCACCAGCATCATTGCTGTTACCGTGTGTATCAGTCGTTGCCGCCGGGGTTGATCATGCCTCAGAATTTCGGCATTGTTGCGCCGGCAGCAAGTCCTCATTCTACCTTCTACGCCCAACGTTGGTCACACATCTGACGGGGCGACGCCGGATGTGGAGAACGGCGGCTTGCGTGATGATGCAAATTAGCCCGTAGGCAGTAGCTGTGGGTTTCTCGGGACAGGCGAGAGGGATGAAATGGATGTACAGGACAGCACATATTGAGTATGATTTGAGTTGGATCTCCAATGTTGCTTCATGCGACTGAGGTTGGAACTTGTGAACATTGTAAGGCCAAATGTTGAGTGTCTCGTCTGTCACGTTGATCTGGAAACTTTTCAGTGAGCACTTCATTAGAAGGCACAAGGGCATCATGCGCAGAACTCGTGTTTATAGAGTCTGTAACTATAGTGTCTTGAGATTTCATATCTGTCCGGTTCGTCCTACCGCAATCTTGGAACCTCCTTGAGGTGCCTGGTTTATTCTGACTCGGATGACGCTACAGAAAAGACCCGTACACGTCAAATACTGAGCTCGAATCCTAGCGTCACGTTAAAGCATAACCTCATTCTGGCCAAGCTTCAATACGAAATGATACAAGGTACACTGGACTGATTGCACAAGAAGCGTGCTTAAGGACTCCTTAAAAAGTAAATTGCATGGCGTTATGAATTACAACATACCATCTGCAAGCATGAACGTCCTCTTCAAAATCATACAAAATACCCGGCATTCCCATCGAGGCTGCAAGCACAGCATGCTTGATTTTATAAATGAGCGCGTCCTCCCGAATCAAGCCCGTGTTTACAATTTGCATTACCAGCCAGTGTCCACTCATCTCAGAGCTCAGATTCTCGACAGCATCAGGTCAAGAAAGTAGGTGGCAAGTCGGGCCCTGCGAATCGTCAGCACAAACTCCCACAAAAGGGGATACAAAATCCACTCACCCCAGACATGCAGCCCATCCGGGCTCGCCTTGGTGCGCTGCGTAGGATAGTCCCTGTTGAGCAGGTCGCCGTCGACGTAGTGCTCGAGGACGAAGCGGGACGGGTCGAACCAGTAGTCGAAGATCTGGCTGCCCATGATGTGGCGGCCGACGCCCCAGCAGTTCTCGTAGCCCTTGTGGCGCAGCCAGTCGTGGCCCAGGACCTGGGCGTCGAAGTCGTGCGTCTCGAAGGACGAGTGGTGCACGTGGCCCTTGGGGCCCTCGAAGAAGAAGAAGCAGTGGTGGTCGACCTTCTCGTCGCCGCGGTCCAGCCGGAAGAAGACGGTATTGTCCTCGTTTTCGTCGTTGTAGTTGAGCTGTTTCGGTGGCTGTCAGCTACGCTGTGGTGGACCCACCCCCAGGGGACTTTTTGGGGTTGTATTTACCTCGCTGGGGTAGAAGTTGAAGTATTTCGTGTAGAACTCGTAGCACTTCTTGAAATTTGTCACGCACATGCCGTAATGGCCCAATTTGTGCACGGGCGTTGGGCGCTTCTCAAAGCGTTGGAACTGGTTGGTCTCACGGTTCTGCTTCTCAGGCTGCAATTGTGACCTCGTCAGCTCATGCACAACTCCCATGCTTACTACCGGCCACCGGGTTCCTCCTTGAAATAGCGGCCACCATGAAGAGCACTCACGAAGTTCAGCTTCAAATCCGGGAACTTCGGGTCCAGCTCCTCGATCGGCTCTTGCCCGTATACAAGGTGCATGGGGAACCGATCGACAGGGTCGAAGAACGTGAGGCCCTTCCCTCCGCCAGGGGCGTCAGTGAGATCGTAGATGCCCGTTGGCTTCGCCTCGGCGGGCAGGATCTTGGCGGCCTTTTGCAGCTCATCCAGAGATTCGACTGCGAAGGCGGCGCCCGCGAACTCTGTCTTGGTGGAAGCCTCTACGCAGAGAACAAAGGGCTCGGACCCGTATCCTCGGTAGTATGTCCTTGGGCCGACGCGCTTGGCCTCGAAGAAGCCGAAGTCGGCCATGAAGACGTGGGCGGCATCCACCTCCTCTGTGCTATACTTGTAGTAGACATGTGCGATGTGATGGAGCTTGATCTTGTCTGGGTTCTCTGTGTTGGCCATTTTGGATGGAGATGTGTGAGATGAATCGACTCGTTCTTGATGGGAGATAGGTAGGAGGTGGGGTGCCGTTCAGGCTAAAGATTCAACGTTGAAATAAGAGCAGCTGGATGAACTATACTCCAAGCTGGCAAGAGTGAGATCAGACGAGCTTGTTAGATGTGGAAATAATGTCTTATACCAAAACGAACAATTCCGTAATTCCGTAATTGATCATGGATGGGGAGGAAGGACCGGGAGCGAAGTCAAAACATCGGCGTCTATATGTGTGCGACGAGACGAGTCGAGCACTGGCACTGAGATAGGACGCCTTTGTTCGGGCCGTGACGTCTTGCCCTCACTATTTGTAGCCCACCCATACCGCCATCCCCCGCGGGGTCCAGTGGTGGGGAAGCTCCATCGTGTCGAATCAAATGGCCGACGAGGGTGCCACAGCAGAGGTCGCAGTAGGGATGCTAGCCTGGCGGCAGTTGTGTAACAGCCGACCTTGCTCTCCGTACGTGCCTGATTCTGTAGGACGAAGTGGGAAAACATTTTGGCGATGCACAACATCCACACTGCAGCTCTATTAGTCAGTCAATCAACACCAGCAGACATCTCAGATGGCAGCGATTGGGATCATAGATTAAACTTTGACATTGGATTTACTTCGGGTGGCTGACTGCAAGATGCAAGACAGCCGGACATCCGTCGCTCACAAATGCTGTTTCAGTCTTTTGACTCAGATCAGCTCTGGGAGCTAGGGAATGGAGGAGACCGTGGGGTGGACGCCCATGCTCCCGCTGTTCTTATCGTAAGCCGATAGGAGACAGACCGACATCATCCTCCTGCCTCCGAGGGGCAAATCGAGTAACCAGAGAATGCTTCGACCCTCCATCACGACTACAATCCCGAATACCATTCGAAGCAGCTGGCCATCACAACCAGACCCAAGCTACCCTGTTCCTCCCGCCCTTGTACCTTCAATCCCAGCTGCAAATCCACGGTCACACTCGAGTCGCATCAAACCTAATCGCAGCTCCAAGCCGGACCCTACTTCTGCTCCCCGCTCCCCTTGGCCGCCCTGCTCACCAGACAAACCTCACCTCCGTGTCACCGTCCTCGGTAACCGGGGCCGCCAGCCAACCGCGACAATGCCCAAGAAACTCGCCAAGTCCTCCACCTTCAGCACGATAGCCTCGTCGACGTCGGACCTGTCCACCGCCTCGACCATCCCCAACCTGCCCCCCATCCTCACCGACGGCGGGCCCCTGCCCAAGCTCTTCGTCTTCGACCTCGACTACACCCTCTGGCCCTTCTGGGTCGACACCCACGTCAGCGGCAGCACCCTCAAGCCCGTGCCCGGGTCCAACAACACCTCCGTCGCGGACAAGGTCGGCGAGCACTACTCCTTCTACTCCGACGTCCCCTCGGTGCTGTACGCCCTGCCGCAGCTGGGCATCCGCGTCGGCGTCGCGAGCCGCACCTGCGCGCCCGACCTCGCCCGCGAGATGCTCAAGCTGCTGTACGTGCACCCGCCGGCCCAGTCGGCCCAGGACGAGGGCGGCAGCGGCAGCAGCAAGAAGAAGTCGTCAAGCGGCAAGTCCCGCAAGGCCATCGACCTCTTCGACGCCGGGCTCGAGATCTACCCCAGCTCCAAGCTGCGCCACATGGAGGCCCTGCACAAGCGCACCGGCCTCCCCTACGGCGAGTTCCTCTTCTTCGACGACGAGAGTCGTAACCGCGATACCGAGAGCCTGGGGGTCACCATGTGCCTCGTGCGCGACGGCGTCACCTGGGCCGAGGTCGCGAGGGGCGTCGCCGAGTGGCGGCGGCGGAAGGCTGTCTCTGCGCTCGCGGACGGCCCCGGTGCGGAGTGAGGCATATTGCAGTAGGGGTTGTATACATATTATGAGGCTTCGAGGGAGCCTCACGGTGTGGTCCATGACGCCGGCCTTGGTCTGAGGAAGAGGTATTTACATCCACGGAGTGGAGATTGACCACGGGCAGGGCTGCCCTGCTCAACATAGAAGCTCTGCGCCGAGTCGAACTGCGCCAAGGCGACAAGCCGCCAAGGGCGGAATGGGACGCGATGTTCCTTTCGAAGCCACCTCTTAACCGCCACCGAAGCCGAAACTATAAAAGTAAAAAGAGAAAGAGTGTTTCTGAACGTTCTCAGGGCTTCCAGGCAACCAGCCCTTCCCAAAGAGGCCTGTTGGCCGCGTCAGCCCATCGTGGCTGAGATGGCCTCATCGAACACGCGATACCATAGATACATGAACAGATAGACATAGATATATTTAGAGGTCTAGCATCCATATGAGTTCATATAGACAGAGGAATCAATTTCTAACCAGTCAGTCGCTGGTGGTTGTTCTAACCCATCCAAGCAGACCATGTGTATCAATGCTCGAAACGCTTTCCACCTTGCGCCCAAGGCGCGTTCAATCTCTCTCCTCCCGTGCCTAGGTCGGAACATTACATCTTCAGAATCCCGCCTGCGTCTATATGGAAGGGTCAACCAGTACGTGCCCTCTTGTGCCAGGTATCCAAATGCTTCTCGGATCTGTTACATGCCCAGAAAGTCTCGTCTAATAACTCCGTCAGTATGCCCCTCCTCCTACTACACACACAGGCTCTCGTTCTCTCTCTCTTTGCTTCCACCCTAAGTCCCCCTCCCCTCCTTCCTGAATCATGACGCCGCCACCGGCTTGCCGTTAGGCACAGCCTCCGTCTCGCCCACCTTCTCCGAAACAGCCGCGTCGCCGTTCAGCTTCTTCTCGTCCACGGCGTCGCGGTCGTCCTGGAGCGACAGCTCCTGCGTCGCGCCGACGAGCGGCGACCCCAGCGGCGTCTTGAACTCGTCCTCGGCGGGGCTCACGGGGTCTTCTGTTGCCGTGGCCGCGGCTGCCGGGTCTAGAGCCGCGGGCTCTGGCGCTGCCGGCGCTGCTGCCGGCTCTGTCGCGGCCGCTGGCGCGTCTCTCGCATCGGTCGTGGTCACAGCAGGAACAGGGACAGCCGCCCCGTTCACAGCAGCCTCGGCCGCGCCCACGGGGAACGCCACGGGCAGGGTGCACACCCTGACGCACCTCTCGACCTTGTCCACGCTCCCGACGGCCACGCACTCGACCCTCTTGCCGCCGTCGATGGGCCTCCAGTACGCGGGGCCCTTGGGGAAGGCCGGGTTCTCCTTTGCCTCGCCCTCCCAGTCGGCGGCGTCGCGGATGACGGGGTCGAGGTTGGGCGCCTGGCCCCAGGCGAAGTCGAGGGTGCCGCCGTACTGCTTGGGGATGTTGGCCGGGTCGATGAACGAGGACAGGACGGGCAGGACCTCGGAGTGCGAGAGGATGAAGATCTTGGAGACGGTCACGGGGTCGAACCAGCGCTTGACCCAGGCCCAGACGGTGGAGAAGAAGGCGGGGGCGCCGATGATCTGGTTGGTTGACGGCTGTGGTCAGTGGATGTTGATCTTCGACGCTGGGGGGAACGGTGGGGCCAGAAAATGGGGGGATCGACGCGGGAAAAGGGAAGAGGGAAAAGAAGAAGAAGAGCTCACGAATATCCTGTCCAGGGTCTCCGGGTAGTGCGCGGTGGCCAGCTGGCTGGCGGCCTGCATGTGGCCCTTGAGGTTCCAGAACTGCTTGAGGCTGACGCCGCCGACATCAACAATGTTGGTGGAGAGGGTGATCGGGGTGCGCGGGTGCTCGCGGTCGGTCAGCTGGGTGCACAGGGGCTGGGCGAAGCGGGTCAGGTTCTCGTAGAGGGCGAAGAGGCGGATCAGCTTGGGCGGCGTGTGCATCGAGGCCGGGGGCGCGGCGGCCTTGGAGTAGGTCTTGTCGACCGACTTCTCGTAGGCCGAGATGGTCTTGGAGTCGAGGTGGCGGATCTCGAAGAGGTAGAGCGGGATGCCGCTGTGGGAGGGAGCGTAGGAGTTAGCATGGCCGTTGTTCTGCTGTCTACCTGGGTATCTCTTGTGCCGTGCGGCATACCGCGAGATATCCCGTCGGCGTCAGGAAGGGAGGGCCACCAACCGTCTATCCCTCCTCCCCGTCCATTGTGGGTACAGCTTCCTGCTCTGCTCGTATGCCTCGACGTCGATGGTGTCGTAGAGTATATCCAGCTGGATGGCCTTGCGCCACTCCTCGGTGTCCTTGAACTGCGTGTGTGCGTCGGCGATGGACCACTTGCGGGCGCGCAGGAAGCGCAGGAGGGTCTGGTCGTCGTGCGAGGGCGGCGGGCCGGGCTGGTACAGGCCCTTCTCCTGCAGGTAGGCCTTGAAGCCCTTGAGGGCGTTCTCCTCCTCCTCGGTCAGGTGGCCCAGGTGGCCATGCGGGTATCCGTTCTCGAGCGCCGCCTTTGTTTGCGATGCCCTCGAGGCGTTGGACTTGACCTTGGTGGCCGGCCCGGCGGTTGCGCTGGGCGACATTGGATGCTGCGCTGGGAGGGGCGGTGCCTGTGGCTTTGGTTCGCTGCACGGAGTTTAGAGTTTGAGGCTGCCGAGCTGACCGGATCAGACCAAAGGCAGTTCGACGGGAGAGAAGGGGAGAGAGGACAGCTCCTTTTTGGTGACAGCGACGGCAACAGCAACAAAGACAGCGAGCAGCGACTTTCAAAATGAAAGATGGGTAACAATAATGAGCCACTGTGCCGCAGGAACAGACCCGGTAATCATCGCAGGCACATGTTGGCGGCCACACACACGCCCGCCCAATCTCCACCGGCGGGCTCGGAGCTGACTCTCAGCCCGCGGTGGGTATTTTGGCCCGGAAGCTGCATCGCGCTTTGCCCGTGTTGGGCATAGAGTCGATCCTTGTTTCTGCGCCGTCATGACAAACCACAGGACATTTGACAATTCATTTTAACCTTACCCACACCCTCACGGCAACCCGAGAGATCCTTGCCCAGCCGTCTCTCCCGGCCTGCTGCTCGTGGTCATGCGGTCTGCGCTTCTACGGCCATGAGCAGACGACTCGGGGAGCTGACCCTCACGTCCCTTTGATAGATCTCCAATGACGTCAGCCAGGACCCCCTGCAAGCCGGACAATCCATTTGAGCGATCGAATAGCTACCGATAGGGAAAAGGAGTATCATCAAGCAACTCACAGCATGTTCAGATGCAAACCTAGTCCGGCCATTTATACAATTTCCGAACTCACAAAAATTCATGCAAGTTCTTGACTATGTACGAATGCACATGCGCCAGTAGTTGCTCGTACACTATGCAATGGTTTCGTCTGATATAACACCAGGTCCCTGCACTGCTCTACATCCGCGGAACCATGACTCTTCTTCTATCGAGCAGGCACCATCTTCAGGATTGCGACATTGCTCAGAATAAGCCTTTGAGAGCTCGATCGAGGTCTTGTTGGGCATATCTGGGTAGTTCGTATAGCAAGACCTGCATACCCGAAAACGGCTGCAGGAGGCCAACCTCTGCATTTCTTGAGTGCTCAGTCGTTCTCATACTTGGGCCCGCATATCGAAAAGGGCAATTTGGCCCCAAAATCTTGTGACTACGAAGCTCGATAAACGAAAAGCTTATGTTATTGGAGGCACTACTGTGAGATCCCAGGCAGGCCTTTTTTATACTTACCCTCTCCAGAGGACCAACAGGTGCTCAGCCAACTGCAGCCTGTCACACCTCTTGGCGTCATCCGAGGATAAAAAGGCCATAGATCGCAAAGGCATACCACAGGAGAACGTCCCTTCAGCTGAGGTCACTCCATTTAGCCTGAGACCGATATCACCCCTCATTCGCATCTCCACCTCGTCATTCAGTATTATCACAGGCCTCACAACTGCTTACCACATGCCATCAGAAGCCTGAAGCAGCTCTCTTCGCTTGTACATGTTGCGTTTCGAATATGCCTAGAAGTAATAGGACACGCAAGAACTTCTATGCAATCAGCCGCGGACGCTGCGCCCCGTCTGTCATCTCATCATGGTAAATAGCAGGACCGGACCCGAGGAGCACCGCTTCAAACGGTTGTCACTGACGATAGGATTTTATTACAGGCATGATGCATCTCCTATGGTTAGTGGGTACCCTAAAAACAAGTACAAGGGATTCGATGATTTTAGTGAAGCCATGGAGTGGCTTTTAAACGCCGGTCACGACACCTTCCACTTTTGCTATGGGCCCGTGGACGGTCCGAAATCGAAGAAAAATGAGCGCAGCGGACAGCCAGAATGCTACGTCGCCACTACTGGACAAGGTGCTGCCATATTCGAGAGCTACAGGTATGGTTGTCCTCAGTGCTCCGGGATCGTGATGCGGAAATCCAAAATCCGGGCGGAGCAGAAACAAATACAAGCGATGTGAAACAACACGTAGATGGGGTTAGAAATGCTACTCAGAAATCATATGCTGACCGTAAGACCGCTGAGGCGGTTCTGCACGGTATGGGGCAGCTACTTAAGAGTGTTGAAGTGCTTAGTCTGAATGGTATTAATGGGTCAGATGAAGGGGAAGACAGTCTCGTTTCTGGGATGGCCAATGTATCTCTGCAGAGCCAGGATCTATGCCACTAGCCACAGCTCGTGGGCCGAGTACTCCGAGGCCCCTTGTTATGCTGACTAGTCAGATTTCCGATTAATGAATCCATCATCCGCCCTACCCGTACCTCGCTGCACAGGAGTAGTTTTGGGGATTCACACAGAGAAGGAGACGGCTCCTTGGCTGCCTGACACGCCACGAAGGGAGGCTATCGCTCAAAGCGGCCGTTTCTCAGATGGTGCCCCGGTTGTTTACGGTTGAGGCGATCTCTATGATAAGTCTCATATTCTCAAATAACATTTGATCACCTTTTAAGGCGTGCACAGACGATTCTGGATGCTGTGTTGTGTCGCTTACTGCTAGGTTTGAACTGGACGACTGTAATAGATGCGCTCGTGTACGTTTCGGGAACAGGCATCATAGTGAGCAGGTAGGGAAGGGTTCAGACGGGCTTTGACGGGCTTTGTCAGTGCCATTAACCTTGCTGCCGCTCTTGCAACTACTTCTGCTTTATTTGTCCAAAAAGGCTTCGTTTCAACACACATCAATGTAGATGGATGTCCTCATCTAGGATTATGTATTTTCCTTAGGTGAACTTGTTCGTTTGAGATCGAACAGGTATATGGCATATGACCACGGATCTTTCCTCGTCTCAATCTGCGGTTTCTCGTACAATAAATCCTCAGCTTATTCCTTCAATACTCACATGCTACTACAGTAGTACTGTTATGAACCAAGAGTAGAGCATGTAAGAGGAACAATCTTCCATCGCAAAACTAACGAGTTCTTTGATCTCGCTCTTCACTGTTACAGCATAGCCTCCTTCGTAATGGCGTAACAACAAGATTTCGGGATGACGCCGTGGCTGCCTGTCCTCTAAATCTTGCTTTGTCTACCCTGAGAACGGGCGCTGTGGTCAGGTCATCGACATCAGTCGCGATTCCTAACGCTGAGGACACCTGATATGATGAACGTATTTATGGGGCATCATCAAACAATGCCGTCAGAAGTTATTAGGTCATAGTCTGACAGCGCCAGGCTCCGGACTATAATCTGACTTTGCCAACTGCCGGAACTATTACTGCGCATATGCAGATCCACCAACGTACGCCTTCTCTCAGATGTTTAGCACCATCAAAACTTCTCGATCGATTTCAAACCAAATGGCTGTGGCTTCGGGACAACTGCCGGCATGCGCAGTCCCGTGGTCGCGGTTCCGCTTATTAACCGGCTCAGGGCTGGTCCCCGCGTCTGGCTCAGGTTAATTAGTCTATAGCAAGGCACTTTAACGTTGATCAGTCCCACTCCGTCCTTTGTTACATTTTTTGCCAAGAACTCTGGAGAACACTCCCAAGGGGGAGACGTGGAGAAACCTCCTTCGTAATTCGGCTTAGCGCATGTCTGCTTCCCAGTCACATCCATACATCGACATTGCCATCCATTCCAATCATCGCTGTAGGGTTGCCCCAATACCGTCGACCAAGGGATGAACATGTCGCCAAAATCCTTGGCGGCCTAATCCCGCTATGGAGAAGAAGATCAAATGCTTTGTCACGGACTATGGCTTCCGAGAAGACTGTTCGATGTCACATCAAGCCCAACTGCGTTGTTGGAAATATATAGCATTACCAGCACGCCAAGAGCTGGCCCAAACTCTGTCCCGTCCAACTCGCTTCTACTATACTCATTGGAATTCTATAGGTCAACCGGTCTCCATGTCTCTCTCCACCGTTTTCCAACTCGCAGTTGCGTTGTGCGCGGTAGCTGGCGTTGATGCCGGCGTTCTGGACAAAAGGCAATGCCCCGGAGGACTGCAGCCAACATACCCGGCTCCCGTCCTATCCCAGGGCTGGACTGCTCAACTCATCGCCAACGGCGTGCGGAGCGCAAGGGGCCTTGTATTCGACAGCAGCGGCGCCCTGCTTGTAGCCCAGGCAAACACGGGAATCACCCGTATCACATTTACTGAGAGTGGCAACTGCGTCAGTGTGGCCAGCAAGACCACTCTCGCCACGAAGAATGATGTACGCACAAGTCCCCAAGCCCACCAATACCTTAAGCACGTACCTTCCTGAATGCCATGCTAACCATTACCAGCTCACTCATGGCATCGCGTTGAACGCCAACGGCACCACACTCTACGCATCCTCGGCCGAGGCCGTCTTCGCTTGGGCCTACAACCCGAGCACCGGCACGGTCACAGGATCGCCGACGACCATCATCAATGGCATGAACAACGCAGACCACGTCAGCCGCACGCTGACCTTCTCGAAGAAGCAGCCCAACCAGCTCATCGTCTCGCGCGGCAGCAACGACAACCTGGACATGGGCACCAAGGACATCAAGAGCGGCCGCTCGATGATCAAGGTCTTCGACCTCAGCGCCCTGACGAGCGGCAAGGTCTACAACTACGCCAACGACGGCCGGGTCCTGGGATGGGGCCTGCGCAACGACGTCGGCGTCGCGGAGCACCCCACCACTGGCGGTATCTGGTCCGTCGAGAACTCGGTCGACATGCTCACGCGGAACGGGGTTGACATCCATACCGACAACCCAGGCGAGGAGCTCAACTACTTGGGCGCACTTAGCGACCCTGCACCGGCGAAACCGCCGAACTTTGGATACCCGGATGTGAGAATCAGCCCAGGCCGATAGCGCGTAAGGATGCTTGAAGAGCACAGATACTTACTAATTGCCTCACAGTGTGTCGCCCTTTTCCAAGCGTCGGGTGTGCCCAACAGCCAGAATCTGAAGACAGGAGTCCAATTCAGCTCCAACCAATCCACGACAGCCAACGACACCTCTTGCGCAAGCAACTTCGTGGCGCCGAGGCTGACCTTCCAGGTATGTTGGGAAATGAAATTGTGGGACTTCCTGTCCAGTCGCTAACAGAATTTACGCATACAGTCCCACATGGCACCACTCGACATTGCCTTCACTGCAGACGGCTCAGAGGCGCTGATCCCCTTCCACGGAAGCTGTGAGTCCTCCCGGGTCTACTGTCAAAATTTTATGGATGGACCGCTGACCAGAACAATCAGGGAACCGTCAACCACCAATTGGGTACAAGTTCGGCATAGTCAAGTTCGCCAACGGACAGCCGGTCGAGCCGTCCACCAGCACAACGGCACTGATTGATATCATGACGAACCAAAATATTAACAACTGCCCAAACAGCTGCTTCAGGCCCGTCAGTGTTGCCATAGATGCCAAGGGCCCGGGTGTTCATGAGCTCCGATACCACTGGGGAGATTTATGTTTTGTACAGACCGGCTTAGAGTGCGTATGCCCAAGCTTTGTAGCACAACGTTGAAGGCTGCCGATGATGACCAATCTTGAAAGAACAAGTCTGGATTCTCATCATGGGCAAATGGAACTGTCGATTCTGTGTAGGGAATTGAAGATGGCTGTCATTACTGTACTATAATCCTGTGTTCTCCGGGAAGAAGTGCCGTGCTTATTGCTACCTTCATGGAAGAGCAAGCTTAAGAACGAATAAATGTATATACATACTCGAAAGTCTGCTGATATAATTCATGACGTATGATTAGATGTCCCAGTCCGACGATGTTTCAGCTTGTGTGCCCAAATCTTCTTGCACACACTGTATAATTAAAGGTGTCATATTGGAACATGCGGATTTTACTGAAGGCTATAGATTTGCATGCCCAGGTTTCCAAATAAGTGAGCAGCTCCGTTTCAGGCTTCACTGTCGCACTTTTCACGCGATGTACGATCAAGTACAAGTGATTACGACGTCCAGGGCTTCCAGAAAGCTTCTAGCACTACTTCTGGCACAACATAGAGAGGCACTGTTCAGCGGCCAAGCACAACTGGGGTGACTGATTACTATTATGATTCCTCTGCTATCCTGTTGGGATTGATTCTGTTCCTGTGCCATCAATGAAATAGATTTTGGATTTCTCAAGAGACTGGCTCGGAAACGTCGACTGCCATCGAGGTCTTCCCTGCCCGCCAGTCATGTGCTTCCCAGTCATGATGACGGACGGTGCAGACTAAGTAAGGGTTGAATTACTTCGTGCGACCCGGGCTAAAAAGTATAAGTGAATAAAGAATGAAAAATATTTTGTTAAGAATCAGGCACAGGAGCCTCAGCACCAGGTACCCCCACCTTGAGTGTGGATTTGTACTTGGGCAACCACTTACCTCGACCATTGTCGTCGCAGGGGTCCGGCTGGTGCGGGGTTAGGGTCCCGACCGCTCATTCAAGCATCGATCATCAGGGGTAACCAGTTCAATGTGAACCTCAAGACAGAAAGACAGACTCGTAGCAACCCATCCCCGCAAGACTTCAACATCGCAGCAAGCAGACCCGCATCACCGAAACTTTAATCAATCTCCGGATCACTCACAACCAAGATGGCCGACGCACGCCACCGCAGCATGTCCAATGCGCCCAAGTTCACAGACCGGACCTACGAGCAGCGCGAGGCGGACGCCAAGGTCAACGGGCCCATGATCCAGCGCGCGCGCGTGGTGAGCAGCATCCTGACGGCCAAGTACCTCAAGGCCAAGAGCATCTTCGACAACTACCACGAGTACGACGTGGACCAGGCGTTCGTGCCCACGACGACGGGCGAGCCGTGCTGGCGCGAGGACGCCGACCCGTGGCTGCGCATCCGGGAGACGCTGCCCGAGTTCCTCGAGGACTACACGCGCATCATCGTCGAGTCGGGCGGCGAGATCACGGGCGAGGGCCTGCAGAACCTCGCCGTCGCGCTGATCCGCGTCGCGAGGGCCGAGTGGGAGGGCGCGGGGAGGGACAAGAAGGCCCTCGACAAGGCCTTCGAGCAGGAGATCCTGGCGCTGGTGGGGAAGCTCAAGGCCGAGTTCAAGCTGCCTGAGGCGCCGGACGCTGACGATGACGAGGATGATGGGGAGGAGGAGGAGGTTGTTGAGACCAAGGCGTGAGATGCACGGCTCAAGGGTTCCGACGGTGTGGTGCGCTGCTGCACGTGCTGCTCACTCGCAGGCCAGTAATCACGGCGGCTGACCAGTGCATAGACCGCGTGGAGCGGTCAGCAGTGGGGTGAGCGCCGGGAAAGACCACACGGCGTACGAAGAGATGAAACCAAACACATGGACCGAAGGACTATGACTTTTTGACCGGCTCGCATTTATTCCCAATGGTTCGAGGAGAAAGCGAGGGAATGATAAGGCAACCCCAGATATTCGACCTCACGGCCTTGCTACAGAATCCAGCGCAGTGTTTGAACAGCTACCCATGTCTACCATGATGAGAAACAGCGTGGCGCGACTATTGCGCAGAGACATGTCACAACATCACGGCTAGCGGCCCGTCGAGCTAATTCCCGTCCCCGGAACGGACCTGTGTGAGACCGGGCCAAGGACAAGGAGAGCGACCTTGCTTGTGCACACAATGGGCCATGCTGGCCGGTGGCGATTGGGGGCCGAAGGATTCAAAGCCGCAGCATCGCCGCAGTCGCACACGCTGGCTCAGCTTCTAAAATTGGCCCCCCTTGTGCTTGCCAAGCCTGGCTGGGTGACCCGGGATTGCAGCGTGGTAGGGCTAGAAAGGTTGACTCCGTTCTGCAGAGCTCCCCTGCATGCTGTCATGCGAAACTCCCCCACTTCCGCCCATTTGCTCGTCCGTCACCGACGACGTCCCCCCACGTTCGGCTCCATCATTGTCTTTACTTGTCATTTTCCAGCCTCTTGATCCCGTATTCCCACTGCATAACTGTTTTTCGTGTCTGCCTGCGCTTACTTATGCCATGCCTTGTCGTCTCTGCGAATAGTATGTTGTTTCATTGTTTGATCTCTGGCCGCGCAACATGGTGCCATCGCGGGCCGATCCATGGCAGCCCTTGAGCTGCCCATCGCGATCGACTTTGGGCCCTGGACGTTCGTTGCGGCTCTCCATGCTTGTCTTCGTCGTCGCTGGATTGCTCACGAGTCAGGTTGGCCTCTGCGCCCCGGACGCCTCCACCGACGACCAGAGTTCCGTCACATGGATCTACCCGAAAGGAGGAGAGGTCTTTCACTACCTCGACACCGTCAACGTGTCCTACCAGTCCTCCTACCCTGAGCCATGGCTATATACCTTTTGTTACGAGAACAAGACAGCCAATACCGTGAGGCAGAGTACGCCCACACCCAATGGGTCCACCCAGACTTGGAACCTTGCCAGCTGACAGCACCTGAGCAGTCCGCATGCAAGAAGCCGAGCCCAATGATGCCTCGATGCTAATTCTCATGAATTTCACGACCCTGACGTCCTGCTGGTTCAACCTGCGCGAGAACACCAGTTCAAACAAGGGATCGAATACTAATAAGTGGTCCCTGGCGGAGATCAAGCGTCAATCTGGGCCGATCACCACTGGTGCACCACTCCCATCCACCACAACGACCACCTCGCTCCTCTCTTCCAGCTCATCTTCGGCAGCGAGCACCACAGTGAGCGCCGACGCCAGCGCCAGCGCCACTGTGAGCAGCAACGATGACTTAAGCACAGGTGCAAAGGCCGGGCTTGGAATCGGTGTTGGGATTGGAACTTCGCTGCTCTGTGCTGGGGCTTTCTGGCTGTACTACCGCCACGTCAAGAAGAAGGAGCACCACCAAGAGGTCTACAGGAGGATCGTGGGCGGACAGGGAGGTGCGGCCGCACCGGGCCAGGATGCTTTCACAACCCCCAACGAGCACCTGGAACCGTGGCGGTACGGCAGCACGCCGCAGCCGGCCCCATCTGCCGTAGGCTCAGCCTATTCTGGGGCGTCAGACCACAGCTCGGACTGGTACTCGAGCCAGGCCACCGTCAACGCCCCTTACCAGTACTACGACCCGGTGGGCAGCAGTCACCATGTACCGGCAGTCCACCATCATCACCCGCCACCAAGCGTGCTCACGACAGCAAGCATGACAGCCGAACCGCGCCCATCAATGATCCGGGACCTCAGTAGCCCCCGCGCCGAGCACGTGCCCGAGGCGGCGGCCATCCGGGATGTGCAAGACCTGAACAGCAGCTTGTATCCCTCCGAGTACAACGAGCCGGTCTCACCGGTCTCCGCTGACAGGGACGCACCGCCCCCTCGCACCTCGTCTGTGAACTATGGACCCATGGGCCGCCTCGATGCTAGCACCGGCGCCGACTTCACGCTCCTGCCTGATTATACGTCGCCAACGGGCGGAGATGACCAGCGCGAGGACGACGACGACCTCTATGGCCCGCCCACCCCGCGATCTCCGCCGCCTCCCCACTCGGCACACGCCCACATTGCGAATGAGCACCTTTCCCAGCAGCAGCCGCAGCCGCAGCCGCATCAGGTCACGCAAGAGCACGCCTGGCAGCCGAACTCTCACAGCGCCAGCACCAACTTTGTCGAGCTGCCGACAGCGCAGACGCACCACGGGTACGGGCCCCGGGCCGAATTGCCAGCCGGCGACGGGGTGCAGCCGGCGCTGAGACAACGGCCCTCCGACTTGCGAGGCCCGGAGCAGAAGTTCCTACTGCAGGACATTGCACCTCTGCGGACGGAACAGCATCGAGATGGCGGATGAAAGCGTCCTGAGGCGGCTTGATTACGAGGCATCGAGTACCACATTTATTCGGCCGTATTGCAGGCTACAGTCGTGCAGTCATCACTGCCAGAAAGCACTTGGGCCATTCGCGAGCCTGAGTGCTGCGTTAGGAGGCCGCGCCGTGCCGGAAGACCGCGTCGGCTGTAATCTGGAGAAGGGGCCTGCTGAGGGAATTTGCCAGCAATATATGGCGGACTATCGATCCACAGAGACAGGAGGAGGGCCACAGTTAGTCGCGGTGAGACTCCATATCCACCAGACCACGGATGCCATGCCGACAATGCCAAGGGATGAACGTTATCGCCGATCTAGCTGAGGAAGGGATCGGCAGATGTTCCCTCTTTCGACAGCCGCACGGGTATCGTCCGGCAGTCTGACGACATCGAGGAGGCGGTTGGGCTAAGAAGAGGCGCACCGAGGGATTTGGGAGGCAAGCCTTCGGGGAGCTGCTTGCTTTTACTTATGAGAACGGATGTGGGCGGAGGTTAGATACCCATCTAGGTGAACTTGATCGCAGTGGACGATAAGAAGACCAGGGTGTAATGTAATAGAGTATAATGAGCGCCACTCAGACGCTGAAACTTCGTGCCATCTGTGCTGTCTGATGCTCGTTAACCGGGGGACAACCAAAGCTGTTATAATCACTGCATATAATAGATCATCCTGCGCCCGATAGTATCACTCCTTCCTCTTCTCCGTTCCACGCGTGGCGGCCACCGCATCACACGAACATCGTCAACACGTCGGCTTCCCGAAAAAAGCCTCCGCCATGACCAGGCTCCTCAGCGGCGGTAAGCGTTGCTGGCCACTATCGAGCCTGTGTACCGAGTCTTGCCTATGCTTTTGTCTCGCCTACCGGAGTGTTCATCTTCCACCCCAGGAGGAGGTACGCATCAAGCGTAGGGGCGCCTGCCCTCGAGGTCGAGGATCCCGGACTGCCGCACCACCAGTTCGTCCGTCTTGGCGTCGAAGCACGCCTGCGTGATGCGCGCGCGCGTCTCCGACGTCTCCCGTGTAGATGATGACCTACCACGAGAACTCGTAAGAGCAGCAGAAGCAAGTGGGAGTCTGGCGGGCAGGAGGCCAGCCTCACCGGTTTCGTGTGATGGCTGAGGAGGAAGCTGCCGCAGCTGACAGTGCTCCGCCTGGCCATCTCCACCGCGGCGTCAAGCTCGATGGTGAGCCCACGTGCGTAGTGGATACCGACACCAAAGGCTTGTCTGAGATGCTCATCTTCGTAGCTGGGGACGAAGAAGCGGCGCTCGAAGTCTCACGGGGCCTGGTCGCTGGCTTCCAATGGTGTTGACTTCACGGCTTTAAACGATCGGAGCGTGTCATTGTCGATCCGTCTATTCTCTTTGTTCGCCCGTACACTGGGCGGTGACGTCCTTCAGTCCCTGAGGATTCTTCGCAAAGGCCCAGGGAAAAGTCTCAAGCTGTGGGACTTTGGGATCAGAAATGTGAACCAAGGGCTCATAACTGTGGAAAAAGCGAACGCTTAATCCGTCAGCGGATCAAGCCTTATATCTTTCAACAAAATGATATTGCGAAAGGCCCTGAGCTTTGAATAAGACTAATGTATCACCAATGGATAGAAGTACCGGGCCATTTCTTTGCGTGCCCTTGGTTAGCATGCGTGAGGAAAGGGCTGGTGTACTTTTACCCCTTCTACTGACATTGATACTCACGTAATACACCAATCATCCAATGGAACCAAGTTTTTTATTAGCATCTTGTCACACAGCATTGCCAGTGGTGTCTGTTACTGCTGTCTATGTATTATGTCAACAGTCGTTGGAGAGTTTACATCTGAAGGTAGATGTCGAAGTCGAGGGCCTATTTAACTAATTGATTAATGCTTTCCTTAAAGAGAGCCCATGCCGGTCCCGTCAGCTAACCGAGTAGCCTTGGTAGCAATGCACCTTGAGCATAGCCTACAATTACCCGTCTGAATAGGCTCAAATCGTCGCTGGTAGTCGAAGCGTGGAAACCGCGGGAGTGTTCTTGGCAGAGTGTCGTCGTCAATGAGGCGGGCAGTACAGGAGTTTAAGATGACCCCGCTCCCGACACCTCACAGCTCCGTCACGGTCACATCCCAATTCCAGATAAGCTTTGCGTCAGCCTCTGCTAAAACATGGATTCGACAAGCGAAAGGGCTGAGCGTCATTCCGGACTCGTTACTTCTCAAAAACCTTACCGAGGCGCATAATTGCGCAAAAAAGAAGGTGGTCATCTCTGCCCTAGGTAAACTCGGGAGAAGCCGCGAGCGATTGTCCGGCCCAGGTCTAGGCCAAGTATACGGCTCGCCCTTTCCGGGCGTCACACTGCATGCCGGACTGCGGAATGCTGCGTGCATAGCAGGCACGAGGAGCGAACGTGTCTCGGCCTAGCCTAGGTTTCGGTCAACATCCGCGTGTCCGCGTCCGTCTCTCCCTCTCCCTGGACAACTCCATACCGCCGCGACAGACACGACATACTCTATCCACTTCCCCAATTAACAACATTGGACCTTGAGCCGCTGTCCCACAAACACAGAACCAATGATATGACATGGCTCCCAAGCTCAAGACCCCCTCAACGCCACCCGCCCCGCCACCGAACCAGCAGCTCGGGACGGTGCTCGTGACGGGCGGCTGTGGCTTCTTGGGCTTCTACATCGTCGGCCATCTCCTCGGCAACCCGAACTGCGGGCCCGTGTGCATCATCGACCGGGATGTGACGCGCAATGCCCACGACAGCCCTAAGGCGGAGTACATTGCCTGCAACATCACCGACGCAGACACGGTGGGCGATATCCTGGACCGCGTGCGCCCGGAGGTCATCTTCCACACCGCGAGCCCCAATGCCACCTACGGGAAGCGCGGCGACTTCTACACGACTAACGTGACTGGGACGAGGACGCTGCTCCGCCTGGCCAAGGAGAGGCCCTTCGTCAAGGTGCTGGTGTACACGTCCTCCAACTCGGTCTACGCCACCGGCACGCACAAGAAGGTCTGGGAGTCGGATCCCACCTGGTGCGGCCGGCCCGCGCCGTGGAAGTGCGTGCTCGAGTACGCCTGGACCAAGGGGACCGCCCACAACATGGTGCTCGACGCCAACGAGAGCTGGCGCAAGGGCGGGCTCAAGACCTGCGTCGTCGTGCCGGCCAACATCTACGGCGTCCGCGACGGCCAGGCGCTCGCGCTCATGTTCGACCTCTTCCTGGATATGCGTAGGCCCCTCTTCCGGGTCGGTAGCGGCAAGAACATGGCCAGCTTCGTCGAGGCCGGCAACTGCGCCGACCTGCACGTCCTCGCCGCCATGGCCTTGCTCGAGGGTCGGGACGGGGTCGGGGGCGAGGCCTTCAATGCTGCGGACGGGGAGGACGTGCTGCTGTGGTGGCACACGGCCATTACCTGCGCTGCCATCCGAGGTCAGCCGCGCGGTGCTGGCAATGCCAGGGTCAGGCATGTCCCGGCGTGGATGATGTGCGTCGCCGTTTATTTTGTCTGGTGGGTGATGCGCATCTTCACCTTCGGTCTCAAGGAGCCGCCGCCGGCGTTCAGTGTGGAGGGTTACGAGTGGTGTACGCAGGAACATACGTTGGACATTCGGAAGGCGAGGCGAGTCTTGGGATACGCGCCAAAGTCTGGTGCGCAGTGGCACGAGGACGTGGTCAGGGACGCGGTCGATTGGGAGAGAGAACGCCGGCGGAGAGCTAAGCTGAGGGAAATGGCGGGCTAGAGAAGTGGTAAGCAGAGAGCCATTTGAGTACGGGGAAGCATACACATCCAATACGTTGAAGAATGAGTGGGAGGCAGCAGCTCAGATGCGGGGATCGAGGAAAGTACACGCATACGTATCGTCATGGGGAGGGCATCAAGGTGACCAGGACTTAAGGTAATCACTCATTATCAACGTTTGAGGCCTTGGGGCTCATGGTTAGGTACGTAGACAGGTAGACCTCTCACGTTATTGTCGTCTGAGCAGCCTCAGTAAACTCGAGTAAAATCAGAAACTTGTTAAGAAACCAGGATGGAGTACCCTTCGAGCAGGGACTCTTGCAAACGGTAGCTTGATACCATTTCCCTTTTGCCCCGTTTGCTGCCTTCACTTTTGAATCTTATCGCTAGCCAGCCCACAGCCCACTCTGCAACATTTACTTCACTTGACTCTAAAGCGCGTGGATCCTTCGAACATCAAACCTTTGACACCCCCGCGTCATACTGATCTGGTCTACTTTCTTCCTTCGTAACCTTATCCTTGGCCAGCTCTCCTTTTCGACAAGGCTTTCCATCGCATGTTGCCTCGAGGACGAGGCCCCCAAATGCAGCTCCTTCTCGAAAGCAATCAGCAAATCTGAGCGACATCCTCGCCTCCAATTCAAGGTACGCCGGCCCTCGACCGACCATCTTGGCTTGCGACGGCTTGCAGCAAAACTGACTGGAGCCATAGATTCAGCTCACTGCATCGCGTCCTCCAAAATAGCTCCCCAACCAAACCATTTCGTCGCAGCTCGAGCTTTGGCACAGTTTCCGCCATGGCGCCTTCCGACGGCAACCAGAATACCAGCCTGCAGGGCGAAACCCTCCAGAAGCTTGTGAAAGCGCAGGACGGCGAGGCCAACCAGATCAGTCAAACCATCAATCCCACCACTTTCCACTGCTACATGCGCCTCCCTTTCGAGCTTCGAGCACAGGTCCGCACAGCAGCAATCAAAGCAGCCAGACCACAATCAAGAATGATACTGTCCCGTGCCCTTGATACACAACCTTGTTGTCGGTTGGCTTCAGTCTCCAAGGAATGGCGGCACGATGTTGAAAGGGCTCTCTTCAGCGAGATTCGAATCGATCCCTCCGACGAGGAGGATGTTTTGAGGCTCAAAGAACTCTTCACGGACCAACGAAGGAGGTTTCTGACGCGGTTTGATATTGCCATCGATGACGACCAGAACTCAGGTCCTTGGCACAAGAACATGGGTTTGTTGCGGATCAGCCAGGTGATGAAGAAAATCGGACAGTTCTTCCAGTACATCAATGGATGGAATTTCTGCAGAGACGGTGAGCAACAACAGTCCATCGAAATCATCTTTACTACTTTGCACGAACCTGGAGGATATCATGAACCAAAAGACGAACGACCTTTCATGTTCGTCAGCTCGCTCTGGGAGCAGAAAGACCTGAATGTTCTCACCAGTCATGGCCTCATCCCTACCAACATGGTGTTGTGGGCCATCAAGTCCGAGTTCCCGTCATCTCTCAACATGGTAACACACTTCACTTTCCTTCCCGATTGTGTGCCATTGCCTGCTGCTCAGAAGATCATACAATTAATGCCAAACTTGGAAACAAGTGTCTTTGAGGTCAGATTCGGAACCGATTGCGAAGAGGGATGGAGCGCCCTCATAGGTAGGATCCCTTAGGCCTCAGATCTTAGCATAGAAGGATATGAAAACAACGCCTCGTACTACAGATTTCGTTCGCCAGCTGCGTACCTCGGCGCCATCTCTCCGCAGGCTAATGTTACACTCGCAAAACTTCAACCGCCTCGAGGACTTTGTCCCACCCAGCATGGGAGAGTGTGCTGCTGTCTTGCGAGACTATAGCCAGAGCCTCGAGTTCTTGCTCGTTTTCCCTTTCCGTTTGCACCAAGCCTTTTTCATGCCTTTCTCGGAAAGACTCCTCCCTACCACGGCAACATCGACATGGAGATGGCCACGGCTGCAAAGCTTTGAATTGAGATTCTTCTCTGCGCTGCCCAATCTGGGCCCGGACCAGCTGACATTAACACCAACCGACATAATAATGGCTGCGGGAAGGGCTGCCATGTCCATGCCGGCTCTCAAGAGTGCGACCATCGAAACAGATACAGACCAGTATTTTCACACCTCACGAGAGCTGCACAGCGCGCTTGGAGGAGGCGCGGGAACTGCCACTGTGGCCCTTGACGGGTTCGAGGAGAGCGAGGAACGAAGGATCCTCACTGCGTGGGCTCACTTCATCCGAGCTGAAACAGAACTCGTTGAGGAGGTGAAACGCGAGACACTTCCGCCTTTGAGAACCTTCAAAACCCTCACAAAAGATGGAGCCGAGTCTTCATATTAGGCAGCCAGGACGCTCATGAGGCTTGTCTACTGCTGTGGGGCCAAGAACCACAATTTTACGGGAGTTGGGCTTGAGGATTATTAGGAGCTACGCCGTCTCAGCTGCTTTCATTTTCAACCGCAACAACCACCCTCTAGCCTTGGTACACTTCTGGGACGAATCAAGCAAATTCGGAGAGTAGGGGACAGTGGAACGATGGATACCGTAAATAGAGCCAACACAGCAAAATGAAAGATTGACCTGGCGGAAATACCCGTTGCCACTTGCCGTGTACAAGGAGAGTTGAAGCCGACTTTGAAGACTACTTGATTAACTATGCGTCCACAATTTGGAAATTGAATATTTAGATTTCTTGGCTGCTACGAAGAGCCATGTCTAGCAATATCATTGACTTTACCTCCCCACTTACTTCCGTACCTAGGTAAGCATCGCAGTTTGAGCCGAACACGAACTAGTGGGCTTAACTTTTCTCCGAAGAAGGCGCCTTCTCCCCCAAAACCATGGCATCATGCCCGTCCCTACTGCCCACGGCCTCCACCTCCAAATCTGATTCGTTGTCGTAGGTCATATATGCATCCTCGTCGATGTCTCGGTGTCGGATCCAGAAGATGGCGGTCTGGGCGAAGAGCACGATGGCTGGGCCGAACCAGACCCACTGCGATGGCTGTGTTAGCACGGGCTCATGCGAGGGGGGGCACAGGGGGGGTGCCAAGGGACTACCCACAACAAGGTACGGGTCGTTGATCACGGGCGTCAGGACCTCGCCGGCGGCGGCGTACAGCGCCGTCATGAAGAGACAGATCGAGAAGACCACAGACTTCATGTTCCCGGGCGCACGGGAGTACGCCAGCTCGTAGGAGGTGACGTTGACCAAGATCTCGGAGACGGCGCCGAGGACGATCATGGGCAGCTCCCACCAGACAGATATGGGCGAGACGTCGTCGCACGCAGAAGCCAGGTGGCCGCAGGGAGAGGTGCGGTACACGTACAGCTGTGCGAGCCCGCCGCAGATGCCCGAGGTGGCGGCGATGATGAAGCCGATGGTCATGCGCTTGATGCGGCCGAATCTGATGTTTCTCTTGGCGAGGAACGGATAGACTCCGTAGGCCATGATTGGGGTGAAGATGATGATGGTCAGCGCGTTGAAGTTGGACAGGAGGTCATTGGGCGCGCCGTTCAGAGTCATCGAGCCTGCCAGGTTGGAACCGGCAGCGCCGATGCCGCCGTCGTTGAGCTGATAGATGGGGATGTAGAGGAAGACCTGACAGGCTGCCCAGGTGCGGCCTACGTCGGTAACCAGGTGGTTGTTCCAGTTCACAGTCCTTCCTTTCTCTGCCAAGACAGCCGGGCGCGCCGCGTCCCAGAAGTCCTTCTTCCAGACCATGAACTTGTTCTCCTTGCAGCAGATCCATGTTATCTTGAAGAAATCATTCAGCTCGGATCCCAGGGGTGGCTTCTTGACGATCTTCTTGTTCACGCCGACGAAGATGACGATGACCAGGACGTAAATGACGGTGGGCAGGAGGAAGGCCAACCAGAAGCCGACGTAGCGCTCAGCATAAGTAGAAGCCAGAGCGAAAAAGGCACCGATGTTGATGAAGCCGTAGTAGATGACCATGATACGCTGGATCGTTGTCTCCGGGTCCACAAGAACCTTCTCGCCCGATTTCAGAACCTTGGTGTACTCGCGCTGGTGCTGATACTGATCAATCACCGTCGGCGCGACATTTGGCTTGAAGATACCAGCACCGATCGCCAGCATGAAGAAAGAAATCATGAAAGGGGCGACGCCGTTGCCAGCTTGCAGCACGGATGGAGCAGCCCCGCCAACCATGACAACATGAGCCACGGCGCCGATGCTTGCCCCCCAGAGGATGGTCTTGTAGCGGCCCAGCTTTGTGTCTGCTATCCAGGCGCCGAGGATGGGAAACACGTAGGCGAGGAAAGTGAACAAGAGAACCAGGGCCGAGGCAAACTGGACTCCCTTGCCGAGTGCACCAGGTACGCCATTGACGTCTGACTTGGCCACGGCTCCAGCACCGTTTCCGCCCTCTGGGAGAGGGTACTCCATAAAGTTGTTGAACACACCAGTCGTGGCGTAGTACGAGGCACGCTCGGCCAGTTCAGCAACACAGAGGATGTAGGCGAGGGCGGGGATTTTGTCGGGCACCTTGCGGAGGGTGTCCCGCTCCTCATCGGTGGGCAGGGGATATTGCTCATGGTCGTATACTTGGCCGGTGGCTGTAGAGGACTTGGTGGCTATCTCCGCGTCGACATTGGCCTTCTCCTCGGGAACTGTGCCAACTTCCGGGTGGATGGCTGGGGGCTCATGGTAGGGCGGAGGCAGCATGCTGGCCTCGCCATGGTCTGTGGCAAGTTTCGCTATGATCGGGTCAGTTTAAATAACGAATGATGAGGGAAGGGGAGCTAGTTGGCATACACATCTTGGCTCGTTGGCAACAAATCGAGAGCCGCCGGGAAGAGTGCCGATCTACGAAAGGCTAGGTATGAGAGAGTAAGTTTCAAAAGCAAGCACAAGGGGCACACTGGAGGTATAAGAGTCGAGCAAACAAGACGTACGTGACATTGCACGCAGTGATACCGCAACCCATGCATTCAAGTCCGGCTGTTTCCCACCATGACCCCGGGGCGCCGCAACCCATCAGACCCACAAGCCATGATGTAGTATCATCGGCATCTCTGATAGCTGCGCCTAGGTCTCTTCCCCATACAAGGGCCAGTTTCTTATCGCAGCATGGCCAACCGCCAGATCAACCCTCGTCTCTTGTGATCACAGAAGTGTGTGCCTTGACTCTTTTCTTGACTTTGGTTGGCTTTCCTGACCCTCGACCGAATCATGGCGACGCATTTGGCAGGCCAAATCGAGAGTCAATATTCATATTTGCCTGCGTGCCCCCAGTTTGCTGGATGGCCACTCTTTCGACTAGCTTCTGGGGCAGGCCATCCCGCGCGTCAGATACCCTGATAGCCTTCAAGATTATGAGCTTCCACCCAGCCGAGGTCAAGCTTTGCCACCCCTGGACCCATCGTCTGTTCCAACGGATGATAGACCATCCTCCCGGTTTGGTTAAAATTTGCCTTTCTTTCATCGGACTACCCTTACCCTTGCGCCGACGATGATGTGCTCACGTGGCTCAGACGACAGTGGTGGCATTGGAGCATTGCGTATGCATGAAACGAAACAGACTGAGCTAGCGGAGTGGTTCGGCCCACACTCACTGAATGTGGCGGCAGATAAGTCCCGGCCGAGGCAGGAGAAATGAGCCCACCTTGTTGACCTGTCTCATAGTGAGGGTACGAGTCGTGATGTGCATGTGTAAGCACAGATTCGTGGACTTGGGGCAGAGTGTTCTGGTACCTCCACATCGACAAGCGAGGATCCACGGCGCTGCCTATGGAGGCAATGGCGGCACCATCCTTCTTCCAAATTCCTCGAGCCGATTTCGAACTCATGAGCACTCCGGAAGGTTGCAACAGATTCAGGTCCAAAGGGGGAAGGTCGTATATTCCAACGTTGCATGCGGACGACTGCGTTATCAGTTGCACCCATTTGCCCGTCCAGATAGCCAAGGGTCATCTCCACGAGGACATGGGGATCCGGAGATGTGGGTGATGCGGACGGTGGATTCCACGCGACTGGCTAGGATGGCCCTGCTGGCATGGGGGTCTTGGCTCGGTTGGGATACACTGTGCGGGTGGCGGCAGCACCACTCCAGACCGTCCGCTAAGATGGTATTTGAAATGATGTTATCGTGCCCATTCGCGCAGGTTATTCGCAGGTCGCTTACGGAATTTTGACTGTTGGTGACGACATGTCCATCTCCATTGGAAACCGCTGCGTGAAGAGAAACATGCCATCTGTCGTTTTCATGCCGAGTCCGGATGAAGCAGGCTGGACTCGGGACTGATTCAGCGAACTGGGTTTGACAGCAGGTCTCTCTGCATTCGTATCAACTCGATGCAATCCTTTTCTTCTTTTCCTATGGAGCTTCCGGTTACGCATCTGTGAAACTATGCCTCCATTGAAGCTCCCATACACGTCGAAAGGAGGATAGATCCGGTGCCAAGACCTGTCATCATACTAGATCGAAGGATTTTAGTCAGTACCTGGCTGGCTTGGCAAAAGCTTGCTTACCTAGTCTGATCGAGCGCCCTTTCTGGGCACTCTGCCTGGTCGTGCAGCTGGTATGTCTTCAACAGGAGCACTGACACGAGCACCGAGTTTGCAAGTCGACTTGCCCAACCCCTGAGATGCTGCATCAGTCAACACTCCTGCGCGCGCCTTTGCAATCGAGCTTCCGTTGGGCTCCCGTATCAGCTCCTCCTGTACAGGTCGCGAGGAGGCTTAGAGGACAAAGCCGTTATAGTGCCGGGTCGGAGTCTAGGCGCCTGGGCTCAGCCCATAACCTGGCTGAGTTGTCTGGGAGTTAATACCAACGTACCGTGCGGAGTCGCTCGCCAAGCCATAATAAGACGGCTGGTGTTCTGGCCGCTGTCTCTTGTGATTTGGTCTGGCTTGCATTCTCGTCATAGTTCCCCTCTTCTCTTTTCTCCACAGGCGGCTCGTGAAAATCATATTTGTCTATTTCTTCGATCCTCGTCCGTTCTCAAAGTTTATAAATGCAACGCAGAGCACCACAACTTCTATAAAATCAGCTTATACCAAAGTTCAAACGTGGGAGTTACCTTTCCCCTGGCAAACTTGCTGCGTCACCCAGGTGCGTGGAAGCATGATCTTTCCGTTTCACTCTAGAATGCTCCAATGGACCAGAAAACTGATTAAATTACGCTCGGTCGAGGTCTTGTCCTTGAAAAGATGGTTGGAGTGGGAAACATCATCCCTGCGGCTAGCCATCACCGGGGATAGCAAAAACATAGCGTCAGCAGCTCCGGATGATAGACATAATGCATGATTCGCAGCCTCCCTGTATAATTAATTGCTTAGCTCCATACAGTTTTCCCGTCCATGAGAAACGAAAATCCACCAATGCCGAGATTTCTGGGCACGCTCAACCTCTCGGCGGGTGGGTAGTTGCGCAGAGCTGAGATCAAGGGAGAACTTAGCTGCTGTGGAATAAAGGGAAAGTGTGCGACTGGTGAGACAGTGGAGTGTATAAGAGCTGCTTGTTACTGTTGAAAACTCATATGGGGGGAAAAGGACAAAGTCTACGACGGGGCGATGACTAATTTCACTTAGTTGGGGCTTCTGCATGCTGACATTCCAGCAGATGGTTAGACGACACAAAAGCTGAAAGTTTTCCCGATTGCAAGACCACCGGCGCCTTGAGGGATATAAGTCTCGGCGTATCTTTCGTGATGCCACCGTCGAGTTGTTGATACTATCATTGTAATAGGGTTGAACCACCGGGTCATAGCCAGGAATGTATCACGCTGAAGCCCTGGCCGTCTGGTCGTGTCGACATTCCAATGGCGCCACTTCAAGAGAACCTTTGACTGTAAAGAGAGCATGAGCGATTTCAGCATCAGTGATATAAAAGCCACACCATCCGTCTGATCTTGAGGAACTGTAAAGTCGCCGTCAATACACGGACATTGTACTCAACGCAATAAACAGACTCAAATCCACCCGAGGTCATCTCACAGAACACACGAATCACAATGAAGGTCCTTGCAATTGCCAGCGTAGCTTTGTACAAGTCCCACCCATCTCACCTGTTTGCCTCACGATGCTAATAGCCACTGCAGACTCCAGATCAGCGGAGCATTGGCTCAGGCCTGGGGTCCCCCCTCGGGAGCTATCAACTGGGGCGGTCTCCAGCACATCCGTGTCTACGCCGTTGACCCGCAGGGAAACCTCAGGGAATGGCAGTGGGACGGCAATGGCTGGGGCGGGCCAAGCTACATCGGCGGTGCCGCGGTACCTGGAACTACCGTTACCGCTGTTAATGACGGGTCTCTTGTGAGTTATATGCCCTGAACATATAGAGACACTGAATTTGTTGCTGATAAGAAGTGCGTCAAGCTGCGTGTGTATTACAAGCACACGAGTGGTTTCATTAAGGAGAGAGTTTATGAAAATGGCTGGGTTGATGGAGCCACGTTCCCGTGAGCTGCTAAACCATCCTGGAATTGCTTCAGTGCCTTTCATATTGGGATAACTTGGGGTGTCCGAGCAGCCTATCCAGAGCTACTTGCAATTTATACAGTTTTACGCTGCCAACGCGGAGCAAATCATCTCTGCCAGTGACTCAGGCTGTGGTATTTCTTGGCTGCTTAGACTCTCTATGTGGCTTGCCAGTGTTATCTCAGCCAGTCTTGCTATCATGTGAACATCATGTCCAACAGCATTTGGGAGCCGGTATGTAGAAAGGAAATATAGCCCTGAATGTTGATTTCTGCCAACTATATGTGCTTTATGTCAAGTACGACGCGTTCCTGGCATCTGCAATAACGCTATTGTCGACGAACTGCGCGATAATGTCTCTTGTCATGGGCTGCCTCTGGTTCTGCGAGGCAACATAAATATCCTCATCCACCATGTAGTCGATCAGGTTGCTGTCCATGTCCACGCCCAGCGTGCCGGCCCACTTGTGTACCGGCCAAACGGCCTGCACCGTGGCGGCATCCATGCCCACCGCCTGGGCCACAAACTGGTACACCTTCTCGGGCGTGTTCTTGAAGGCGTCGATAGCCTGATCCAAAGCCCGGATGAACTCGACAATGGCCCTGCGTGACGTAGGGTCGTTGAGCTTGTCGGTCGTTGTGAAAAGGGAGTAGATTTCCCGGAACACGGTCGCGTTCTGGAAGAAGATGGCGTTGTCCCCCAGCACCTGCCCGCCCAGCTCCGGCGCTGGTTCCCAGATCCCGAAGGCATCGATGGGAGTCAGCGTACGCCCACCCAGCTTCTACAGTACGCCCACCCAGCTTCCAGCGTTGGCCCACCCAGTACAAGGAAATTGGTTGCACGCGCTATAAAATATTAATACTGCAGGGTTATTAATAAAGCATAGCTATAGCTATCCTAAAGGGGTCCTATAACTACCTTAAAGGGGTCCCATAGCTACCCCTTTATTTGCAACTTAAAAGTTACTTCTACCCTTTGCCGCCCTTTGCCGCCCTTTACGGCCCTCTGCGCCCCTTTAAGCGCTCTACGGCCCTTTAGGCGCTCTGCAGCCCTCTAGGCGCTTTGGGGGCTCTGGGGGCTCTGGGGGCTCTGGGGGCTCTGGGCGCTCTGCAGCCCTCTAGGCGCTCTGGGGGCTTTAGGCGCTCTGGGGCCCTCTGGGCGCTCTAGGGCCCTCTGGGGGCTCTGGGGGCTTTGGGGGCTCTGGGGGCTCTGGGGCCCTCTAGGGGCTCTGGGGCCCTCTGGGCTTTTTAGGCTTGTATTTTTAAAGTATTGCTTAAATTGAAAAATAGCTACCCTGGCTTATTAAAAACCTCGCAGTATTTGCATTTTAATGCGGATGCAGCTAATTTTCCTTATACTAGGTGGGCCAACGCTGGAAGCTGGGTGGGCGTACTGTAGAAGCTGGGTGGGCGTACGCTGACTCCATCGATGGTCTTGGCTTGGATTTGCGCCGGGAGGGTGCCGGCGCCACACGGCGCCTTCATGCAAACGTTGCCTGACACCACCGTGTACTCCGAGTCCTTAACACCCGCCGAATTCAGCAGCTTGCTGATGAAGTATTTCGCCGACGAGCCCGACATGGTACCGATTCGTTTGCCCCTCAGATCCGCAAGTGTGTTTATACCGGCCGCCTTGTTTGCCACGACCCGATACGGCACGTCTACGATCGTGTAGATCATGCGAATGTTCTTGTGTGTCCCGTACTGGATCAGCCCTTGATAATCAGCGTTGGCACCGAGGTCCACGGTCTTGTCCGATGGCAAGCTAGCGACGCCGCCACTGACGATCGAGGCCTGGCCCTCGTAGAAATTCTTGATCGCATATGGCAGAGGTGTGTGCTCAATCACCTGCAGAGAGGCAGCGATCTTGATTGCGAGAGCCGGCCCGAAAAGGACCACACGGCCGGCTAGGTGAAGAAGTGTCGATCTCATGGTCACGAACTCGCTGGTTTCTTTCGACTAGGACTTGAGATGCCGTTACAACTGACCTCAATCTCGAGTGCTTTTGGCGACACTTTTAAAACTACACAATTGTGACCTCTCTTTCACGTGTTTCCAAAAGCCTAATAGCTCTACCATACTTATCGACCTGACGCAATGTGGTAGTATTGTTAATTTCTATCTTGGGGCACGACTTCTACCGTCAATTTGCCAGCGGGGTCTGCAGCATGTCGTGAGACAGCTCCGACCTATCGCGACACATTTCCTGGCAGCCGCCATCAGCCGGGAATTTGACTCAATTCCCGGACTAGCGTTCGGAAGGCATTGTTTTTTTTGTTGTAGGCAGAGTGATATGGAGATCACTCCGTTTGATTAAGCTGCCAGTAGGCCGGCTGTTGCGAAGCTTAGGCATGCCGTGTTGCCACACAAGGCGAGTCCTGAGTGCCTCGCGTCGGTACTCCACTTCCGGCCAGAACGATTCCTCCTTTGCGATATTACGGCTATGGGAATTGTCTATTTCATGTATGAAATTATTGAGATTGTTTAAGGCATTGCATTGAGACTTGGTTTCCGAAAATTACAGTATATTGGCCTTTCACAGGCTGGTCAGAGCTTCCAATGCTGTAAGAGAAAGGAATGTGTGCTCATGTGAAGATGGGCTGCCAAAAAAATAAAAAAATAAAAAGAAATACCATAAGACGGAAGCAGCGCTGACCCAACTTCCTACCTCTCCATGATCATGCCAGAGGATGCTGGTGTGGCCTCCACCGCAATTAAGTGGCTTAGTGAGCAGCCTGTCATAGTCTGCTCCAACTGAAATTCCTTCCCTGTCCGTGAAATGATGCACTAAGTTTTCCAAGTGTTGTCATGAATTCTCCCATCGCTTTGTTCCTAAATGACCAGTCTCTTCCACCATAGTTACCATCAATTTTGTATTCCAGAATCAGCGTGCGAAGGTATCGGAAATCGGTGGGGGCACACCAGTAGATGTTTTCCAGGAACTCAATGGTCATCCGAATTGTCTGGGCACAACTTCGAGGATCGGAAATGAGATATCCGTCGACTTGGTCTCCTCTCCATTCTGATTGTTCGTTGGCAAGGGGTTCCGCACGATGCAGTTGTAAATCGACGAAGAGGACCAAGGTCTTTAGCGTAGCAGGAAGCACGTCGCTTGAATCGTACATCGAGACCTCATCGGACTCCATGAATAGCCGTAGCGGGATTCTCAGTGTCTCCAAGTTTGGAAGTACGCAGAGATTAGATGGCTCGCCCGATTGGCCCCATAGCTCACGGTATTGCTGAAAGCGGTCGCCCCAAGTATTCCTGGCTTGAATGTCGATGTTCAAGTGACGAAGGGACCGCATCTGGCGTAGCTCCCACCATGACAGTAGATCAGTTCTCGACCAATGCTGGACTGCGTACCAGGTGGACAGCGGCGAGAGGTCGGTAAAGGAAAATCCGATCGCACCGACCTTCTTCCAGTCTACTGGCCATGAGCCCCGCAGATCAAGACTTGTGACAGCCTTGCCAAGGGGGTGGATTCCCTGGCCTAGTATCGGTTATAGGCAGGCATCAGGCTCTTAAGTATCTCAAAGGTGATCTCGTTGGGTACAGGCAGACCGGATGAGGCTGGCGCATCCATTCTCGCGTCGCCTTGTACACCGAGTGTTTCCATGGTTCCTCTTGGGTCCGGGAAATGGGCGTTGTGGTGGTGCCCAGCCATATTGCACTTGAGCACGTTGGTATTTTCGATGGCTGGGGAGTCTTTGATGTCAAGTTTTCTGTGAATGATGGCCTTCAAATCAAGTGTAATTGCTACTTACTGTTGTGTGGATGTTCTTCGTGGTGGACGCCTGGGTTCCGTGCAGGAGAGCTACCGCAGACTGAGCTCTCTGTGTGAGAATACGTTCGTTAGCAACGTATTGGCAGGGCCGGATGTGTGTGGGATCGGAAAAGATGAATCTTCGACAGCTCCAGCACAGCGACTTGGGCGTGGAGGAACGTAGATAGCAGGCATATGGGTGTTGAAGATTAGGAAAGTGTGCTAGCTGTCTCTTGCCATTTTATATCACAACGCATTGTTGTTGGAACTGTATGCCACTCAACCATAGTGACACTCCAAGTTGCATGACTTGAAATTGACGGTCGCTGGCACACTTATACCAACGTGACCCACTGGATCTCTGACTGAAGTTAGCATTTCATTCAATGGCAGCAATTGCGCGGGTTTAGGAACCCGCATGCAAAAAGCCCATGCTATAAGACACGAGATCTAAGGTAGCCCTTTTCCTACTGGCTTCTTCGATCAAATAACATTCAAGTGGCCATAGTTTACATGGGACACTCCTCTTCTGTAGAAATTGGTCGCTGAGCCTCAAATTAGCTATGGATGCTGTTGATCGACCTTGGTCTCAGCAGGGTGCGATGCTATTTGTGCCCCTTGCCCAATGTCGCCCGATCCTTTCAGCCTTCATTTGCCCTGATATCTGCGTCGTAACGGTAGCTGATTCACCGGCATGTCCAGGAAAATGTAGCAACACTCTCCCTTCTCGGTTTTCAGATCATGGGTCTGGCTTCCCAGACTAAAGTTTATCAGGAAGTCATCCAGATGTTATGGTGCAAAAGACCATTTGGGATCACTTTCGACCCTGCTGCCAGTGGAAGAAGAGATCACTGTATTTCTTCAGCTCAATCACTTCGAAAGTGACATCCACGTTCTTGAAGGCGAGCTTGAGGATGTCGAACCGGTCTTAGAAAGGGGAAACGATGCCTTCGGCCTTGGATGTGTAGTCCATATCTGGTCTAAGTGCCTGGATCCTCCTATGCATGGGGCAGCACAGCGGTAATAATCCATCACAAGGTGGTATGTTGTGCGAAGTATCCTGATATTCCGGACTTAAAGGGTCAACCAGCTGACTGCCGAGGGATAATTGTCTCCGCTGTATGCCAGTGAGCCGAGTGACTGCCCAAATGTAATCCACCTGTCGAAGACCAGGGAACTCGGTTGGGCAGATACTCGTCAGCTCCTCCATGAACCCGAGAGCCGCGACGCGAGGTTGAAACGGAGCTTCGTTGAGTGGAATACGACTCCAGAAGCCATTTCCGCTTTGGTCATCGACTAGAATGTGGAAAGACATGAGTGAGCGAGGGAGAACCTCCGTGGGAGAGACTGTCAGATGACCAGTGGTCGAGCCGTCCGGGGAGGCGAAGACGTTGATGAGCACTGAAATGGAGGTAAGATTACAAAGCTTCTTGAGGGTGAGGAAGTTGTAAGGACCCAGGAAGTCTCTGGTGAAATCTGGATCTCCAACGTCATCATGATGGTCGTGGGGGATGAAAACGAGTGTGTTCAGACTCTTCAGCTTTTCGAAGCTGTCTGACAGGTAGCGTTTCTCGAACTGGTCAGCGTCCATTTGTATGTTGCTGGCTGCCTCTGCCCTCTCCTGACTATCCCTACTAGCTCCCAGGCGCCTTTGGAAGAAAAGGACCTCGAGGACCGGGCACATATTGACGAAATCCATGATATCTGTCGGATTGCTGTGGCTCTCTCTCAGGACCACAGACTTTATTTGCTCGTAACGATGTGCGTTGACCAATGCTGAAAGGGCCAGTCAGTGCAGGATCTCAAGAGACAGGAACAAAAGGTTTGTGGCAACCCGCTAGAAAGCAAATTCTAACGGACTTGATGGGAATCGTAACTGGCATTGGGGGGCATGAGGGGAGGTGCCGAGACTTATGCTCAAGGACCGGCACACCGTTTGTTGGAGACCCTGTGGGCTGAACAGAAGGGTGAAAGGTGCCTCAGACCCCACTGTCCTCAATACATTCCAGGCTTGACAGGGGAGACAGATGCAGGAAAGGCTTGAAAACCTCAGGGTAGACCATGGCACGGTTCCACCAGTGTTGTAGGTGTGCATCGTTGATAAGTCGAACTTGCTCCAGCCGTGGCAAGATGGCAATGATAGAGCCACTATGCTGCGACCGTGTGATGGCCCCCGAGAGTCCGTGAATGAATCGGTGATATGGGCTCATTGTTGACCTGCTGCTTTGTCCCTGGCCCACCATCATCATGGTCAGTTTTCTGAGGCCAGCTGACCGCCTGAGCAGCTTAGAGTAGAAGTACCAGAGCCGCTCGAAGTCAAATGTCTTGATCAATGTGTAAGAAGGGTTACTGGGTCCACGCAAGTCGCTTGGGACAAGCAAGTTCAGCTCCACCATGTGTTGCCCAAGCTCAGGCTTCTTCTCGAGTGTACGGCACAGGCTTCTCAGACTTCGATAGGTAAGAATAGAAATTTCTCGATACAGCTCTTGTCTCGCAACTGGCTCCATGCGCTTGGATACCAAGCACAGGCTCCAGGCCACGCAAGGCGTGTTTTCGGCTTCGCCATTCCGAATGATGTCGATGAGCACCTCATCTGGGAGGGACTCCAGGCTGCTGCGTTCAAGGGTGGTTGAAGTGCTCGACTGCGGGGCGCGGTCGAGTGGAGACTTGTCTGGGCTCTCGGCCGCGATGGAGGGCGAGTCTGGATTCATTGTGTCTGGTTCAGGACGAGGCTGTCGAATTGAATGCCTGCGTTTGCGTTAGTGCGGCTCTTGCTCGTCTGTGCCAAGATGTCGGCGGAGGTCATCTGATCAAGCTCACTTTCGCGCTTTCACTGAATATACAGTTGCTTTGGGCCTTGAAGGTCACGAAAGAACAACTTTAGAAGACATTACGTCGAGACTCTCAAGAAAGGGGAGCTTGCACCTGTGGTTTGTGGGTACTTACTGACACAGTCGCTGGCCAAGAAAACTTTCGTGTGATTGGGGAGGCGTAGTGCTCTTCTCCTCGTGGAGTCTTGTGGCCTCTCGTTGTAAGGAAAGACCGAGAAGACCTTGATGATGGGGTTGGTTGCTTTGTGGCTTGTTGACAACTTGTGGAAGGAACTGCAATGGGGCTGGCGTTGACGGCAGAGACGCGTCCCTCCTAGGAGACAATGCAGCCCCGCAATGGTGGCCCAGGCTTTTCTTTTCATTTTCCTTGTAATCGTTCGTTCCTCCACACCCTCACAGCTGTTAGGCAGACGTGGGCAACCTGCAGGGGAATAGATCCTTGGTGGCACGTCCCCTGGTGCCGATGACAATTACAATGACTACTGAGTCTCACGCTTGGGATTTGTGATGTTTAAGATGCGATCACATGAAGAAGACCTTGATAGAGAAATACATGTCTTTGCTGGATCTGTCATTATTTCGAAGAAGGTAGCTAGACTGGCCTGCGATCATCCTTGTCCTGAAGCTGCCAGTCAACGGAAAGACAGGCTTGTCCAATATTTGCCAGAAGAGACCCCAAAGCCTTAAAATGCATTAGAACGGTCGAGTTGGACGCCTAGATGGCCCCCCTTGAGCAAATGTGTCTCGGTGGCTCTTGAAATTTCCTCACGCCCAGGCTATTCACCCACCACTCCTGCAATGCGACTGTCCCATCCAATCCTCATTGAGTTGTGGAAGTCCAAAGAGGTGGTTTATTTCCATCGAAGGTAGCCTCCCTCTTGAAGAAGGAACTGGACTTGATGTCTCAAAAATGAGGCACGAATGGCTTGGAGGCGGGAAAGGGTTGCATCTTCGGCTGCCTCATCGTCTTGGCTCCCTTGGACAGCACACGAAAAGGGGTTGCCGCAGCTCGAGCTTCCGAAACTGTATGCCACACTCTCAAGATGGGGGAAGCAGGGTAAGTCATCTCTGAGCGACTCGAGAAATGTAAGGGCTGCATCCACGGAGTCCCAACAGACTTCTTTCTGGTGTAACGATCTCCGTCGGCCTCCGCAGGTGAGTTACGCCAGGAGCACCAGACTCTTCAATGACTGTGGCAGGGCCTTTTGAGGAACAGCTGCAGTTCCACCAAGAGCTAACCGGCCTATATGAGCGAACATTTAGAAGGGAACTTCAAGATGTTGCAGAATTGACATCTGCGCCAGATTGAGCACATTGCCGGGGCCGAGGGATGCAGTGACATCGTCATAGTCGTAGAAATACAAATCGGGGTACACGTGGATTTTGAGGGTCCGGAGGGCAGTCAATTTCCTGAGTTTGGTTGATAGCGCTCCGCGCCTGCCACGTGCGATGTAATTCGCCAGTCTTCCGTGACCAAAAACTTCATTTTCAACTGAAAGAATCTCGAGGCATGGGAAAAGCTGAGCAATGTCCTCCATGTCGTACTGACATGCTTGGCTACCCATCAGTTCCAGTGTTATGATATTTCGGCGCACCCTGTTGACCTGTTCCGTCAGCATATGCAATACGGACTCAAAATGCTGGTATTTGTCATTGAATAACGAGGGAGATGAATAGGAACAATTTCATGACCACATAGGCAAAGGAAACATTACTGGGGTCCCACTCACTGTGAAGATGTACCTCAGGCTCATACGGCTCAGCACGCGGTGATAGGCGGCACCAATTGCCATCGTCTCCAAGGCTTCGGACTGTTCTCAGGCTAGGGAGGTCCAGGAAAGGCTCAAAAGCCTCGACACTCATGCCTCCGGCATGACACCACAAGGTCAGGGTCTTCAAACGTGGGAGAAACACTGCAGCTTGTCTGTCCGCAGTGGATCGAATTGCACTGCTGACATGGTTGAAGAATGCTTAGTGATTCTCGTGACGGGACAAGCCACGGCTCTCCACGTCGCCTTGGTCAGAATTGCTGTCCAGGTCTTCGTCAGGGTTGACACTGATCTCCAGCGAGGACAAGTTGACGGCCTGAGAAAGGAGCTTGTAGCACAGGATGCCAATCTTGTCGCAATCCTCCGTAGTACTGTTTGACATATCAAGTCCGCACTGGCCAGTTTGCTGGTAGCAGTCGTCCTGGAGCGTTTTTCGTTCAGCTGCATCGAGTTCGATCACGTCGAGGTCGATGTCGAGATCAATTGCCTTTATTTGTCCACCGAGATGCTGAGCCCCAGCAATGGTACGGTAGAGCCTGATCAGCGTGCCTGGGCGATCTATGTATATCTCCTTGGACAGATAGGGCCGTGCGATGAGGTCAATTCGCTTCGAGACCAAACAGAGGCTGTAGAAGGCAATAGTATCGTAGGCGGGCTCGTCCGTGGAGTCTTTCTCGCAGACGAGATGCTCGAAAATGCCTATCAGAAGTTCGTCGGGCAAGGCCTCAAGGAGACTGCTGTCGGCATTCGGAGGCTGCGCCATGTTTCGTGGGTTGCCGTGCTCGAAGCTGTCGCGAGTGCAGTCGTTGAGAGTGGCGGTGTCGGCTTGAAGCTCGTTGCCGTTGCCAACAGATGCGATCGGTGGCATTTTGGCGGTAGGTGTGGTTCAATGAGTTGGTTCAGACGGAAACAAAAGGTTTGTGGTTTTCAAGTTGCGTGATGTTTTGAAGTCTGTTTCGCCGAGTGGTCAAAGGGCTGTGGAGACTTGGATGCAGAGGTGGCTTGGAGGCTAGCATTAGGAAGGGAAACAGGCAATGCAATGACCCCACAACGGGATCATGTAGAAGTCTCTGCAGGGGCCACTGAACCAAAGCGATGTAATTCTTGACTGGTTGAATAGCAGTGAATCACATTGAAGTTGGGTGTCTGCAACTGTTTTGTGTGGCCCTGAAGCAGACGCTGAGCGACAGCAACCAGAGCTTCAGCACGGCAGCATCACTTCTCAACCCCTAAGTAAAGAAACTTTCTCATTTCATTATAGACGCAATCAGTGTATCGCATCATCGTGCAACCCAAGTCTTTTCTTTGGCTTTGTGCAATGCAGCACCCTTTGGACTTTATCCCTTGCCTCTAGCTTGAACTGCTATTGCCTGTCTTTGATCAGTTATTTGTCCCCCAGAGAAACTGCTATCGCATAACCTGGGTATTTTGGTGCAGATGTCTCTGCATTAAGCCCTTGGACTTCTGTGATCAGCCTCACTTCCACTCCTCTTGTGGCCTCCGTGCTTCATGCCCAAGTGCGCCAAGTGCGCCAACACTCAGGACATTCAAGACTCTCATACGCCACGCTAAACCGTATCTGTTGCTGCTGAAGTGATGCCTGAATCTGCTCAAGATGTTGATAAGAATCATCCCCGACACCAAAAAGGTCAATTCCCTCGAAGTCGCCCACAAGTATTGCCGCTTCCTCATGGGGAAACAAGACACGGTGAACCTTTCTGTTGTAGCAACACACAACCTCTTGAAGGTAGGGGAAAGCGTCGTGTCCGAGATGCGAGAGCGCCTCCATGAACTCAAGGATTGTTGAACTTGGCGGACAAGCATAACTGCGCGGGCCTGGGTTGTCGTCATCGGCTTGGTTCCGTTGGCAATACATGTCGACTTTGAAAGTCAACCGTTTCAATGAAATCGGAAAGACATCCACGAGGCAATCAAATCGATTGTGACCGGTTCCTTGGTAATCCTCGACCAACATTTGGAGAGGGATCTTGAGAGTCTCGAGATTGGGCAGCAATGCTAGAAGTGGGTTGATTGTTGCTGTCATCCAATTCTCCTCAGTGTCGTAATGTCCCAGATCAAGCGACAGAGTCTGGAGATTCTTCATTTGCGTAAGAGCTTCACGGAGACAATGAATACCCTCGCCGAGCGTCCGTTCCTGTTCTTTCCGTAAGAGATCAGAATGAGAGAACGGCCACAAGCCCCGAGGACTCGATATATTCAAGACCTCGATGTTCCCAAATAAGACACCAAGAGCGCGAAGGTCGTAAGCATTAAATGTGGCCTGTCCCAAGTCGGCCACCCTAACATTCTTGAAAGCACAGTCTGCAGTGAAACGTCAGCCGCGGTTAAGAAATGCCACATCCTGCGACAAACCTGATTCAGTGGGGTTTGAGACTTCATTCTTGAATACAGACCAAAGGCCATTGTCTCGGAAGGTTGTGACTTTTCTCAAAGTGTGAATTCGTAGTATGGGTTCACAGATGGCGATGTCAAATAAGTTGCCGTAGTCATTTGGATCGCCAAGAAGTTGCAACGTAGTCAGCCGAGGGAGGAACTCCGAACCTTCTCCTGTGAGTGAAGTCTGTATCGCATGCCTCACTTTCTGGAAAAATGGCTGGTACATGTAGATAGCCATTCCGCCGTCAAGTCCATCTTCTCGTCTGCAGAATGACTGACGAGTGGTCGGCTGGATTCTGATGACCAGTTGGTGAACTTTCGGTGTCCTACGAAGGATCTCGAAGTAACAACATGAGATGATTTGGTCGCAACAGTGATGGATGAAGCTTTGAGGATCACTGTCACCGAACTCGTGGTCCCAGCCCGTGAGAAGGCTTTGGCACTGGGGAGAACGTGGAGGCAAGAAATCCCAAAGTCCCACTTTTTTGGACAGGATCTCGAAACTAATCTGTCTGATGTAGCACCCCAGTTGGGCATTCGCTACCAAGGTCTCGTACAATCGCAGCAACGTCGCAGGAGAGCTGACGGTGATAGTGCGAAAGAGGAGGGGTCTTGCGATGGCATCGACTTGCTTGGATATCAGGCAAAGAGTGCGCATGTTCGTGTGGGCGCTTCGATTCGCCTCGAGTGAATCGTCGTCATGGAGATGATAGAAGGACTGTAAATCTTTCTGCGAGAGCTGCTCGAAGATCCTTTCGAGCACCTCGGTAGGCATCAGCTCGAGCTTGCTTTCGCCTGGAGGGCAAGGCAAGCATTGACTCCGAGGAGTTGGCGAGTCGGGGGGATCCGCCATCTTCTGGGGCTCTGATGTGGGCATCTGTCGTGTTGGAATGGAAAGAGATGAAGTAATAGCTCCCTTTTGATTGCCTCCCTTTTGTTTCGTTGGGAAGGGTTGGCAGGGTTTTGATGTCATGTGGTGTTTAGGTGAGGAAGCCTGGACCTTCCCATCAAAGTTGGGATGAATGGCAGACCATTGTTGGGCACCTTCTTGAAGAGCTTGAATAGCCACAGACTGAAAACAATACCAGGCCCCACCGACTGTGTCCGTTTGTCTCCAAGGTTCAGAATGGGCCACTGAACTGAATGTGGTCTGCTTCTACTGCTACATGTAATTACCTCCACCTTCCCTTCACCTTCTTGGGCCCTCTATCAACCACACCTCCGAGAGCTTTCGTCCACCTGGCCGCGAGACGACTTTCCCCCATCTACCTGACGTCTTTCTTTTTGTAAACTTACCGATTTCAATGACGATGGCTACTTTCGTCGATCACTACGCCGTCCTTGGCGTCAAGTCCACTGCAAACCTCTCCTCCATCAAGAAAGCCTACCGCCAACTGGCCCTCCAACACCATCCTGACAAGGCAGCGCCTGATGGAAAAGTCGATGCAGCCAAGTTCATCAGCGCGCAGGCCGCCTACGAAATCCTTGTCGACGTTAGCAGGCGCAAAGCCTACGACATTCAGTACGATAAGCGCTCCAAGGCTGCCCACGCCACAAGACTTGCGCACAAGCAAGCCACACGTCTCGCTCGATTTTACCAGCGAGAGACAGATGGCAGCTATGGCGGTGGATACGGGCGCGATGAGATGGGCGGCGACGAGGAGGATGAGGTCGTGGAGGACTATCCATCCGACACCCCGACCGACCCAGGCTCCGAGTGCGAAGACACAGGCGTCTACGAGGACGGCTACGCAGACCCCCACTACAAGCCCTACCGCAACTCGAACGACGTAGTCTATGGAAGCTTCTACAGCTGCGGCATCTATGTGGGGGACCCCGACTTCGACTCCACCGACTCCCACTACCAATTCCCTGACGACCTTGCGGACGGCTTTTCGCCCGCGCAGGGCTGCGACGACGAGGGGGACACCATCAGCGAGTTCGACAGCGACGAAGAGAGCCCTGCGCCGTGCATCTCCCACCCATTGACCGAGGCGTTCGACGCGTTCGCCAACATGAGCAAGTCGCACTACCTTGAGGAGAAAGTCCTCGGCCGATACTACAGTAAGCACAAGTCTTTTCTTTCTTCTACTGAGTTTCAGAACGTTCCAGAATGCATACCGTTCAGGCTCCGTAGCAAATTGCTAATAAAAACACAAAACAGAGGGCGCACTGTACGATCTGCAGAGAAAGAAGACCGAGTGCAACAACATCGGCGCGCAGCTCGTGGACATCGCGGTGCGCGTGCGCAAGAGAGTCTCCAGCATGCCTGCGGGGAGTTTCAAGCTCGGGGAATTCGAGGAGGCGCTGTCGCGGAAGCTGGGGGCGGCTCGACGCGCCCTGGACGATGTTCGAGCGTCCCTCGAGGCCTCTCTCAGGGTCATGCGCGTCGAGCACCAGCCCCAGTTCTGGCGGCTCATGAACAAGCGGACCTGGAGCGTCCTCGAGACCATCGAGAGAAGCGCCACGCACATGGAGAAGATGAAGGAGGCGCTGTCTGACTTGGAGGAGATCGTCATCAAGTTGGAGGGGTGGCCCAACGAGGAGCTGGGCAAGGTCAAGGGCTACCTGGGCAGCTTCATGCATGAGTTTCGCGACTGGCAGAAGGAGATCACGTCGTCAGCTCAATGCTGTTATTGGGGGGGGGGGGGGAAAGGCGAAGGCAACAACTGCTAAGTACCCTGGAACTGATTCAAGACTCATTACCTGGTGTTTCTGGACTTGTTAATTACGATTGCCTGATGCACTCCTCAGGCAAGCAGTACGAGGGCAGTTATCACGACAGTGGGTTCCATAGCACATTTGCTGTCTCCCTAGGTACTGAGTAGGATGAAAAGAAAGTTTCATGGCGTCTGAGAATTGTGGCCGCATGTCCAACTGTGCTTCCCTTCGTCAGCTTTGGGTTCCTTGTGGGATGACCCACGGCGGTTGCCTAACGGTCCAGCAAATCATGCCCGTGAGAGGCGCATGCGGCTTGGCACATTTTTGCCGCCCTCCGCTTTCGCCCTGCTCACGCCCACCGACTTTTCCATTTCAACGAGCAGGGAACAGAGAATATTTGCGGTATGTTCTGGTCAAATGAACAACACTGCATGCCTCCCTCCCAACCCACACCGCAAAGGGCCATGGAAAGTCAGCGCTCCAGCCTAGGCCTGCTAGACGAAGAGCACATGGCCATATTTCGCAACGCGCTGGGAAACCTATTGCTCACCGAAGCCTCGGAATCCACATACGCAGAGATAGTTGACGGCCTACCAACTCTAGACCCTTGGAATGAGTTTCACTTTTGGGCTCCAGTCGCGGGCAACCCCATAAGGGAACTGGAGCACAAGGAACTCTGTGCCGGATCCCGCGAGAAAGCCCAAAAGCTTCGTTCAGAATTTGACGTATATATCTTGCTCTTCCCTTCTCAGGTATGTCAGATGCAGATTTTAAGTATACAGGAGGCCGGAGGAAATGTTTCGATGAACAGTTTTGTTCTGCCAATCTGCTTGTACAATCAAAAAAACGCCATCCCCAGCGAAGGAAAACAAAAAGGTTAACGCCCTGTTATCATAGCTGCTCCGAGACTTTCAGGATGCACGCCCAGGAACAAAAGAGCATGCATTGAGCCTCATAGAGCTACTGGCGAGATCTTGTCACCAGCTCGCTGTTTTCATCTTCCAATTAGATGACGGCGTCCATAAGCACGCTTTGTATGAAGCCTGGCGCGATGCTCCGAATGTCGACCCGCTAAAGCGCGTGTCTAAGAAGCCGCCCTCTGCTTTCTCGAATGCAGTGTATCATTTCTATGAACAGTACCCAAATGGTCTCGCCGATGTGGTAGGATACTGGGCGGAATCGAAAATCTTCGGTGGAGTCGTTGTTTTTGACCGGGGACCTTCTGGCATTGAGGTGAGTCATCCACTTCTACAGCAACAATTGTCCCTGTTTGCACACTCATAATCCCAGTTGACTAACAGAGGCTTTATCTCGACCACCAGCGCCGCGAGATGTACTTGCATGGTTGCTCTATTCATAGCCCGTTCACCCTATTTCCCCCAACCGACGATCAATTTGAGTCATTGGTCCGTTTCTTAATGTCTCCTCTTCAGGACGGGCCCACGGCCGATCAAAAACCAAGCAGCCGTTCGGTGCAGCTCCCTATCAAGGCGTCGTCTCTCAACGGTTGGCGATACCATCCAGATGGCGCTATGTGTCGTTTCAACATCTTCCGCGATCGCTATGAGAGGCTAGAGCCGCCGACCAAACGCTGGAGTAATTCTATTCTCAGTGGAACGAATTGGCCTGAGACTGGGTACGAAATGACGCTCATGTTGTTGGACATAGATCGCAGGAACGGGAAGCCGGTAGACGAGGCGGTGGTCGCTGAAGCTCAGGCAGGGATAAAGAGGATCACCCCGTCATCTCCTATTTGGCCAGACGGTGGAAGCACCTAATCGGTCTGCCTAGATAGCCAAATCTTCATCTCAGGGGTATACTTGGATGCCTAATCGAATCCCGAGGAAGAACATGTGGGACACAAGAAGATGGGCCGGGGGCCTATTGACGCTGGTTTCATGAGGCTCAATGATGTCAAATAACTCTCAAAATGGGTAGCCTTGGTTGCGGACACCGTCAGCCAAGCGGTGCCACGGCATGGGGGATAGATAGGTCCGCTCAAAATAAGGAGCAAAGGATCCAGTGGGTTAGCATTTTTGCCTTCAAATGGGTAGCTCCTCGCCTGCAGAAGACCCTGTAAGCAGCCTTCAGGTGTGAATAGAATGTGGCATACAGTAGCGCTGTGCACAGTCAGCCAACCCACGTACAGAAACAGGGTTGAGCGCGCAAATCGATAGGTGGCGTTCAGCGGTCGCAAACCGCGCAACCATCCGTGTCTGTCTTTGAAACGGAAAGAGGGGAACTTCTATGCTGCTTATGTACGAATTTGAGTTCATGGAGCTTCGCTGTAGCAGAGGTTGGCCACTGATACCCAGCAACGGAACGAAATAAGGCGCATCGAAACTGTAGAGAGAGGTTCACAAAGATTCCAGCTCGGACGGCAACGAACCACGAAGGACCGACACAAGCAAGTCATGGCCCCTTTCGATTTCCAGAATTTGCAACTTCACCGGCAGCAGATTCGCCTGTTCCATTTGCAGCCAGGCGAATTTCATGATCCTATCTCAGCCACCCTGTCCATTGCATACCTTGGCGACTGTCCGAAGTACGAAGCGCTCTCGTATGTCTGGGGAGATCCAAATGTCTGCTTTGACATCACTGTGGGCGGGCATACCGTGCCAGTGACGATAAACTCGTGGGCCGCCCTCCGTCGTCGTGAGTCTCAAGCAGTTCTTGATTCCAAGCTGTCCATTGGCGCTGACCATGAGCAACCCAGTCCGCGGCGTCCGTGAGGAGAGGGTGCTCTGGATCGATTCACACGGCATCAAGCAGTCGGATGGAATCGAAAAGACGTATCAAGTAGGCCTAATGACCGAGATCTACAGGAATACCTGGCGAGGTCTAGCCTGGCTAGGGGAATTCGAGGAGGATGCAGTTCTGAAGCCTGGGATGGATTTGGAATCCTATCAAGACTCCGGAGTGACGATGGACAAAAACCATGCGCAACTGGCTTTTCGATTCATGGACAAGCTGTCGAAGTTGTCGACGGATGGACACTTCACCATTGAAACAGAGAATGTACTCCCTGGATGGGTGAGCGTCACTCGACCAGAAGTGACTACAATCCACAGGTTGGTGAACTTGAGATACTTCACCCGTATCTGGACCGTCCAGGAATTTGTTCTCCCACCACGCGTGGAATTGGTTCTCGGTAACGCCACTTGAGAAGAAGCGTTGGTCTCATTGGAGTCTAAACCTGAGCAGGACATGTGGAAACATGATCCACTGTTTGGGCGATGCTGCGAGACCGTCGCTACCAAATTACCCGACTTCCCAGCTTTGCTTCTTCATTTTTTCGACCAAATGCCTTCCTTAAGAAAGACAAAGCGGCGGCTGCCACTCCGTCTCGGCTATTCTATCAGCCGTTTCCGATATCGAGATCGCGCAGACCCTAAAGACAAGGTATTTGGATTGCTTGGTCTTAACTATCTCTCGGCAAGGCAGCTGGTGGACTACACATTTGAAAAGAAGCAGGTCTACACAAAATGCGTCCGCCACGACCTTGTGGCAACAAGCTCTCTCGATGCGCTCAAGAGGTTACCAGAACGCAGTCGGGACTCATGTTTACCATCCTGGGTGCCTGACCTGGAGGCGGCAGTTTGGGATGACCCGAGGCTCAATATGCTCACGACGGAGCTCAGATACATAATTGATTGTAAGCTGTCATGTGCACTGCGTATGCCTGAAGATGGGCCGACTACAACATTATACCCAGTGCCGTCCTTTGACAATGTTTCTTGAGACTGGCACTTGATCAACTTGTTTCTTCCAAGAGTCTGTCCTCCGGATCGAAAAACTCCAGTTGTCTCGGCACAACTCATCACCTATATCCTGCTGCATCCAGAAGGACGCTGCTCTCGTGTCTGGGACATATCTGAAAGTCGCAAGACGTGTAGCCCCTCCGCGCGGCCTTTGTTTACCCGCTCAGGGTTGTCTGGACTACAATATCACTAGTGGTGATGATTAGGAACGCAAATATTGCGGTACAGTTATAGTATTATGACCTGTTCGTCCGGAATATCCATCTCTAATGCCTCTCCGTCCATGATGCCATGTACATACGTATGCCCAACAAAGGTGTGAGATCCCCTTGTCCCTTCTACCTCTGGTAAATCACGTAAAAGAAAAGGTACACTACCTCCAAATAGCACATACACTATATCTCCGACTCGCGTGTCTTCCGGGCCAATTCCTATGTAACCTTGTTGAGAAACAAAAAAAGTTTTCGTTGGATTGATAACACTACCGTAGGCCCCGTCAGCCAACTTCTTATTTACTCCTTCTTCATCTCCTTCCGTAATTCTCTTGGCGCGGCCATCCAGATCCCTGGGCACATGTAAGTCGCATGTGCATGTGCGCCAGAAGGCCTCCGTATATGTCCCGCCGCTGGGGTAGCTGCCCAGATCCAGCAAGGGGTCCGTATCGATCATGGCGCGCCAGTCTGCTCGAACCTTCGGCATCAGCAGCGAGTCGCCCGTACTTAGCCAGACCATTGGCGGAGGCCCGTTGTAAATACGTCTGATGCTGTCCACCCTTCGCCCACCAAGGTGCAACTCGTCTTCCCTGCTAGGGCCCAGCTCCATGCTCCGCTGCGTTCCAGCCCTGAAGAGCGGAATACAATGTTAATAGATGTGAGAGAGTTTTAGGTGCATGTTCTTATAGCTAGGCTACTGAAGAAAAAGGCACCCGGAATTGGCCGCATGAACGGGCCTGGATTACCGTTGCACCGCTTCTGTTGTATGCCATCCATCATTTAGGCGTGTTAGCCGTACTTTCCGGCCACATCATAGCCCTCCTCCCTCGAGCCCACGCCTTCAAGTCTTGGGCTCAACATCTTTCTCCACCTTGTCACCGTTTTCGCCTCTTGCGACCTTGTCGCCCTTGCCGCCCATGTCGCCCATGTCGCAGTTCATGACAATCCAAGGATGTTGTTGAACCTTCTCGAGGGGCAGTCTTCGCTGGGGGTCGACGACGAGTAGCTTCTGTCATGTAAGTACTTAGTTGATTAGGGATGGCAAGGGCACAAGGGAACCTACCTTCTGGATGAGATCTTTGGCCTCATCGCTGACAAACGAGGGTATGGTCATATCAGCCCTCGCGATTCTTCGGGTTGTCATGACAAAACTATCCTCAAACGGCGCCTCGCCCACCAAGAATTCATACATCAATACACCCAGAGACCAGAGATCAACCTTTTCGTCATAGGAATTATCCATACTCCCTGAAGTAACCATCTCTGGTGGCAGGTAGTCGAGGGTGCCGCAGTATGTATTCCGGCGTTTGCCAGGTGCATGTACACTCCAGCCAAAGTCCGAGATTTTAACCTCACCGTGGAGACCAACAAGGATATTTTCGGGCTTGATATCGCGGTGGATAACATTTTTGCGGTGCAGGTGAATGAGTGCGCTTGTCATCTGCGCGATATACTGTGCTGCCTTCTGCTCATGAAATCGGGTTACTTTTTGTAGGTGTTTGTATAATTCACCTTGGCCAGCGTATTCAAGGATGAGGAAGACACGCTTGGTATCATGAAAGTGGCCATATAGCTTTAGGATGTTGGGGTGGCATAGGTTGCTCTGTATCTCGATCTCCCGCCGCACCTGTTTCTCCACGCGGGCTTGTTGGAGTTCGCTCTTGTGTAGGACTTTCAATGCGCAAATGAATTTATGCTGCCGCTCCCGCGCCAGGTACACGCGGCCGAACTTGCCTTTGCCGAGGGGCTTGCCGATCTCGAACATGCCCAAGTGGAAGGTCTGTATGGCCGGCTGGTTGACGAGTGTATCTGTCGTGTCATGCTTTTTGGTGGCTTCGTTTGATTGCTCCTTGCCAGAGGCCGTTTTCGAGGGAGGGGGTGCAGGTTTCTGAGTCTTCCGCAGCGATGGTATCGACGAGTTATCCATGCGATTCTGAAGGGCAAATTTGAGAAGTTTCGGACGGAATGAACCAGATGAGAGCGATGGCTTGGTGGACGTGGTCTACCGGAAGATTAGCTATGGCACACGGGTTGAGCACGTCATGTTTGCCTTGGACTTCTGGGGCTGACCATCAGCCATTTGGCCGTCGACGGCCAATCGTTCCATCTGAGCCTCTAAAGGTATGGTGGACATGGTTGCAGTTGTTTTTTGTGGCTTCCGTAGGGTAAAGACGAGCAAATGTGGTGAGCAATGGTCAAAGTAGGGTGTAAGGTGTATGGTGCGTGGTGCGAGGAGGCTATTAGTGAAATTCTGGGATTGGGTTGTTTGGATGGCAGCACATTTACTAGTTGCTGGGCAACCTGGGCGTTGTGGGGCCTGTCTTCAACGTTACCCCTGCGACAGCCGACCACAACACCATGCTTGTGGATTCCGGAGCGTTGCTTACATAAGCAACTTGGCAGCTGCCCCCTGGCCAACAAAACACCACGCCGTCAGCTGCCCACCAGCCGCACTGATACGTAGGTTGGGCTGAGATACGTATTAAGATTATTATTAGGAGTAATAAAAGTTAAACATTTAGGGGTATATAATGTTCAGCTTATATTATAGCTAAGATGAAAATGATGTTTATCTTACCTTTTGATCATGAAAGCCATAGAGTCAAACATTGTGAAGAAAAGAGAGTAACTATTTAATTAACTAGCTACTGTGACTAGTCGTAGGCCCAAGTCTTGGCTGTTAAATCCAAGGTACGCCCCAGTCCTCAGGCAACAAAGGCAGGTCACGGGAGAGTAATGACTACCTCTGTAGTTATGAAGTCGGGTAGGTGGCTGGCGTGGAAGAGTGTCTAGTCCCAACAGAAGAGCGATGACTGGTCAGGGGCAGTTTGCGTGGCCTTGGTCCCGGGAGGGATGACTGGTCAGGACTCGGAGGGCTCGCGCGGCCCTTGCAGCTGTTACTTGGCAATATTACCTCGCTTAGCCAATCAGCGTTTGAGCTTTAAGTTCCATGTGGCAGTATTGTCATGTCATTTTTTCCGTTCACAAACTATTCTAGATGAATAGCACAATTTACGTACTGTTATTCCAACAATGAGGATCTAGTCGGGTGACCGGTATCCATTCAGGTTGCTTGGTTGTCCAGTGAGAATTAGCGGTGGGTTACATGAGGATACCCGTTTCCCCGCAAAATGCCAAGTATCATCGCATGCGCCCTAAATTATTTATCCGTCCAATAACCCAGCACGGGCCCTGATGATCTGGATACAAACACCCTTTTCCGATGAAAGGCGCGCAGTACTGATGGGACTCAACGGGCTATCTCAAAAGCGAGGGTCCTTTTCCGATCCCCAACACTCACCGATCTCGTGGCCGAAGTTCCAATCATGTTGTACGAGTCTGTATAAGTGGAACCGACGCACAACTTGACCATGAGTGCTACGAGAGTTGCAAGAGCCGAGGGATTTAGTCGAGTGGGGGAATGGAGAGGAGAAGTGCTTGGCTGGCATGCACTACGTTGGCATTATTTGCTCGGGTACAGAGCAGATATCGTCGAATTTTCCGTCAGAAATGAGACAGGCTGGCACGAACGCGGTTGATATAAAAGCTGGAGTGTGGCACAAGGCGATGTCATCCTGAGCTTTGTTGTATTAGCCAGAGAGACATTGTTCGTCATGAAGTCCTTTCTTGTTACCCTGGCACTCGCTAACACCGCCCTGGGAGCATCTAACGTGTCCCTCCCCAATGGCTGGTTCACGATCCCTCCCGCCTCAAAGATCTCCCCAGGCTCTTTCCACGGGCAGCCTCGCTACTTGACATGGATGGTCGACAGCCAGATCAAGCACGGCATCGAGCCCACGCACGCCTACACCGTATCCGCGCTGCTTTCTGCCGTGAAGCTCGCCTACGACCGGACCCAAGATGATAAATATGCCGCATACATTGAGAAGCACGTAGACATCCAGCTCTACCCAGGCTATAACGGCAACATCTTGATGTACAACAACAGCAACTCCATCGATGACATTCGTTTCGGGCATTCATTTCTTGACATGTACAACATATCCGGTGGAGAGGAGATCTACAAAACTGCGGCGAAGGTCCTGAAAGACCAGATCGACCGCAGTCGCCGCACGCCAGATGGTGGATTTTACCATCGTTACCCCGACTATGTCGATCAGGTACGTTGGCGCAGCTATGACTGCAGACCCGCAATGAACTGGCTATTCAACTAAAACATATGCAGATGTGGCTCGACGGGATTTACATGCTAGACGTCTTTTATGCGCGGTGGACCTATGAGTTCGAACCTGATAACACCACGGCGTGGGACGACATCGCGCTCCAGTTTGATCTCATCGATGCGGGAACGACGGTCGATCGGGAGCGCACAAATGGGCTTCCACTCCACGGATTCGACGTTTCAAAAAAGCAGACGTGGGCCGATCCCGAAACGGGTGCATCGCCTCACGTCTGGGGCCGTGCTGTTGGATGGTGAGTGTTTGATTTTCCCTTGTCGTGGAAGTTTAATTCCGTGCAGGCTTACAACGGTGCAACGCGACAGGTACATCATGGCCCTCGTAGACACACTTGACTACTTCCCGGAACAGCACCCCGGCAGAGAAAGACTCCTGTCCTACCTGCAAAGCCTTGCAGACGCTGTCGTGGCGTCACAAGATAAGGTCTACAAGGGCTGGTATAACATCATGGACCCAGGTCTAGAGTCCCGCTCAGGCAACTACATCGAAAGCTCCGGTTCGGCAATGTTTGTGTACGGCCTATTCAAGGCTCTGCGACTCGGGCACATCTCCGGGGAGCAGTACGAGGCCGCGGCGACGAGCGGATGGGACCTTATGACTGGCACTTTCGCTGAGAAGACGGAGAGCGATGGGGCTTTGGTATGGGGCTGGACAGTTCAGACGGGGAGTTTGAGCTCCAATGGAACCTTCGAGGTAAGTCCTTCTGCCGACTTGTGGACGACATGAGAGGAGCGTCTACTGACGCATGTGCAGTATTATGCCAGCATTCCTCTATTCGAGAATGACCTTAAAGGTGTAGCGCCTTTCATTTTCTCTGCATATGAGTATGAACTCTATATTGAGGGGAAGGAGTGAAAAAATACAATGACCTTCTCATCACTGAATGGAGTAGAGGCATAGATATTCATAGGATTACAGGAGCCAACCCAGGATGAATGTGAGAGAATATGTATGAGCCAAGCTTTTGTCCTCGCACCAATCTTCGAGATTTCAACGAATAATTGACAGAAGTCAAGTCAATAAGTACAGCCAGAATTGATAAACAGTATTCGAAACAAGTGGAGCATTAAGTGCCCAGGCGGACTGGGCCGAGTAGCCAACATTTATGGCGATTCGAGAATGCCATTATCACTATCCGACAGAGTTAGCATAGTGGCAGCTCGTCCAGATCAACGAGTGCAACCCAAGAAAGGAACGATCTGTTTCGGGCAGAAGTCCCTAGGGTTTGGGAGAGGTGCTAGAAAAGTGCGTTTTCTCATATTGTGTAGTTTTTAGTGCCACTACATGATCCTTGATTCCGGAGGAAGCACTTAAGGCATAGGCCTGCGTATCACAAGGATATTAATGTGTGAGAATGCATCAGGTGGGAAACGTTCATTAGCGGCACACGCTTCACGGCAGCCCGATTAGAGCCTGACTGTCTTGATTTCGCGCTACGCCAAGAAGATGTTTCATTTCGCCCAAGTCATGAGGGCAAGAACTTCGATGTCGAGTACAATGCAGCCACGCTCTGGTATACAAGATGATTCGTTCGTAGTACGAGCATGTAAAGCAACATTGCGTCAGGCAACAGTCAAATGTCGCCCTTAGCTTGGGTGTCACATCAGTATCATCGCAAACGACTCCTCCCCATCAACCAGAGACACAGCCTCTTGGGCAACGAGCACCGTGGGTTGGAATCACCCCGGGGCGCAAAGAGATCACCTATGCCGCGCCACACAAGGCTACTGCAGCATGCTTAGCGAGGTCTACGTGGACGAGTCGGACGTCACCCAGCCGCCACAACCTGAGAAGGCTCAACACCATTACAGCTGACAACCTGTGCTACTCGGTGGAGACCGGCGAGGCGGTTAGGCTGCTTCGATACCTGTCCTCCCATCACTGCCCAGGTGGCGAACGGGGCGCTGATCAGTACGCCCTGAAGGAGCACTACCCGCGTTATGCCAGCATTTGAAGGCGGTCATCTCGGTGCCATCTGACTACAGGGCGGAGAGGCAGCGTCCTTCAACACCATTCAAGACAAAGATGCTCAGGAATGACTCAGGACTGTGGGGAATATTGAGATTCATCCTCGACTTATACGGCTACGGGTTTCTCGGTCTCTCAAAAACTGCATTGGAATCCATTGGCTGCGATGCAATATCCTTGGTAGGCAGTCTGACTAACCTACTCAACGTTATTGGAATACAAAGGAGAAACAGGTAAGTCTAGAGTGTAATTAGATGGTCAGTGTAGACCTCTGTCTGCCACTTTGAGTTCTGTACGGTGGGTATTTTAATGGACTTCAACAGCTGCTCAAGCAACTCTTGTCTTGCCTTGAGCGGGTAGTCAGCCTCTGGGCTTGGGGTTCTCAAGGCTCAGGTACAATCCCGGCACCGGGGCGGAGTAGCCTACTGGCCTCTAAGCCAACACATGGCAATGCAGCCCTACCCGCCTACGGCAGCATGAAGTCCCCATGCACCCCTCCTGCACAGTGAAGGACTATACAGTACACCATGTGCGTAGACTACATGTCTGTGGCTTGTCAACCTGTCCAGGAAAAATGCGCAGTAATCGACATCGACGGGCAACAAAAAACCCAAGCGCCTCTGCAATCTTCCCGCCGTGCCCGTATCTTTTTCACAGTAGCCCGGCTACCCAAGCTGGATTCCGGCGGACGGAGGCCGAGAATAGAATATGACGCAGGAAGGAACAGATGAAAGGGGATTCGGCTGCAGTTTGACTCCTATAGTGTCGCGTATGGTCGAAAGAGGGTGGTAAGTTTTCTCCCAAGGGTCCTAAAGTTGCCGATCCCAAGACGCACGGCGAATCAGGGGTCGGGTTGGGGGCGGATGCCGGACGGGGCAGAAAAGTCGGGCACCAACACGGCCCCCCTCCACTCGATGTCTTTGAGAGATGATGTGCGTGCCAGGTGACTGCAAACTGCAGGCATGCTCCACTGTTTTTCGAAAAGCAAGCCAATGCAAGCGCCATGCGAACTCAAGACGCGAATCAGCTACGGCTTCTGGGCCGCCGACGGTGGCTGGGAAATCACCGCGCAAAGCAGGGCAGACCCGACATCCATTCGGCAACGAGCCCGGAGGTGTCGAGCCGGCGTTGGGCGAGTCCAGACGCCGTCATCTGCGTCCAGGCAAGTCGGTCGCACAGCGCAAGTTGTCATCGCCAGCGACTGGTGAAAAGAGACGACAACTCAGCATCAGCTGGCGTGTGTGTGTGCCCAGGGTGCTGACTAGACTGACTGGACTGGGTGGGAGACGAGGCCATTTGGGAAACAGTCAGAAAGCCAGGGCAAGCCGTGGCATGCTTGTCCCGCCAACAGCCTGAACGTCGCACAAGGAACACGAATCTAATTTTGCCACCCACAAAAACGAATTCTTGGGCTTCCCGGCTCTGCATCTGGCTCCAATGGAAGCATGCCGGCACATTATTACCAGTACACCTGCAGCTGGAAGGAGTATCTAGACCAAACTTGACTCACAAACGACACCCAGAACGCGGTGGGCCAATGCTGCAGACCAGCCGGCCAAGAGATGCTGCATCCTGGACGCAGAGAAGTGGACACTGCGAGAGGAGAAGAGTCTTGCCGTCCACAGAAAATTGTCACATCGACCAAGTCTGGAACCCCTGGAAATCCGGGGCGGGCCACACCCTCCACCAGAACCACCGAGTTCTGGCATCTCCAGACCCATCGACTTCTTCCCAGTGTGGTAGGGGAATGCCCAGGTGCCATCTCGGCCCCTAGCAGCGCTTGTTTGATGCATGATGGATGTGGATGTGCAGCCCGTGCTAGACGCAGGGCAGAATGCATCGTGCCGTCGACAGCGTCTCCCCTGTTGGCTGGAAGCTGGGCACCCCCATGTCATCGGTGCCCAACGAAAGTTTGTATCGCGGGACGGACAGGCGAGGAACAGCCCGTCTTGCCCCTTTGGGACGCCTGCCACAGCAATTATTTGCGCTCAGAACCACTCTTGAGACGCACCTTTATCGACTGCTTGCTTGGGTGGTATTCCCTTTGTGACCTGTCTGACGTTGGCCCGGCTCTGCGGTTTTGACGTCGCTCCCTTTTATACTGCAGCTCGCCTTACTCTTTTGGTCGGAGGTGTCTCGCTCTGCTCATCAGTCTCGACAAACAAAAAGCCAACGACGACTTAGCACACATCCAACTCTGCCAAAATACCATGAGCATCAAATCCTTACAGCTCCAGTACCACAACACAAAGCGTTACCGAGACCGCTGAAATCCCACGTTACTTATCATTCGGCAGGATATTGAGGGAACCACACACAACAACCAACTGCAGGAACTGAGCAGTGGGCCAGCAGCAATGACTTCTCGCTCATCGCAGTCCTGGGGCTTTCCAGGCATGGACTACTTCCGGGGGGACAGCAAGGCTCAGGCTCAGGCAAACAACAACCAACGAGCTGGCAATGAAGCCAGCACAGAAACCCCCACCACGAGGCCATCGAGGTCTGCATCGACACGGTCGAGCTCGCATGACACCAAGTCTCACCGGCTGTCACGACACATGGACTATGACGACGCCTCTGAGACATCAGGAGTCTCGATGAGCTCGACCAAGGCGTCGACGGGGAGTTCCCCACCGTCATCAAGCAGCAACGGCTCCTCTCACCAGAGTGCCTCGCTCCGTCCTTCGAGGACCACCAAAACCGCCAACACTGCACGACCAAATTCGATCGCCGCTGCCGCCCCTGCACGACCTGTCTATGGACTCGAGCAGGAGCCCTACAGGCCACCAGTGTCACACAGTGTCACTGCCCCAGCCTATCAGCGCCCCACGTCGATGTACGCGAGCAACCCGCAACAGAGCATCTTCGGCAGCCAGCATGGAATCAGAGAGGCACCGGCGGCGCCGCAGCCGCCTCCCGTGTCCTCGAGCAGCAGCCGGTCTGTGCCTCCTCTGTCCACCAACCCCTTCTCGAGCAGCACACCTGGCCTGAATCAACTGGGCCTCCCGGGAGGTATGGGGCCACAGATCAGCCAGCCCCCGGTGCCGATGCATATGCCAGGTGCTTTCCCAGCTGAGTCCACCGTCCCTTACCGCCGGCCGACGGACTTGACAACTCAGCTGTCCATGTCCAACTCCAATATTTCCATGGATCACTTTTCCAGTGACAACATTTGGGACTCGGAAGGAGACAGTGCGTCGTGCCTGTCTACCAGCACAACTGCTACGAGTGTCATGTCGGACATGACCGAGAAAGGCGACACCTACAACATCACGCCGACTCAGACAACGACCTCGTCCAGGACCACGACGCCTACACAGGCCCTTGGACGAGAACAACCCCAGTCCCGTTCGGCGGCTCATACCCCTGGCCCATCCATTCTTCGCCATGCGGGACAGAAGTCCATCCTTTCTAATGGGAGCAAGGATTCTGCGTCTTCATCGTCGACCAAGACGATGTCAAGCAGCCACTCTTCCAAGTCATACACCTCTTCATCGAACTCCTCGGCGACCAGAAGCAGCACCGGCAGCGCCCCCCATATCCATATCGAGGTCAACCGGTCCACAGACTCGCGCGATCACCGCGACGATCACCGGAACCGGCAGCTGGTGGAGGAGGCACTGGTGGACAAGATCGCCCAGCTCAAGCTCGAGCAGAGCCAGGCCAAGGAAGCCAAGCCCACACCGGCCCCGGCCCCAGCACCAGCCATCAAGCGGGTACCCTCGGTGAGGTTCGCAGAGCCGGAGAAGGTCAAAGTCAAGGTGGAGCAAAAGCCTGCGAAGCCGACAGTCTCTGAGCAGGAGAAGAACCTCAGCAAGGAGCTCGTCCAGCAGACCAAGGAGGTCCAGAAACTGGAGTTGGAGATCGAGAAGAACAAGCTGCAGATCCGAGAGAAGGAGAGGGCGGAGCTCGAGAGAAAGCTCAAGGAAGAGGCTGCCGAGGCGGAACGCAAGAAGGAACACGAGCGACAACTGAAGAAGCTCCAAAAAGAGAAGACCGACCTCGAGAACGCCACGAAGGAGCGCGAGCGAGCCGACAAGGAGCGCGAAAAGGCCGAGAAGGAGCGTGAGAAGGCAACCAAAGAACGCGAAAAGGCCCGCCAGAAGGAGCGCCAGCAGATCGACAAGAAGCTCAGCGACATCGAGAAGGCGCAGCGGGAGCACGACAAGCTGCAGGAGTCGTTCATCGACCAGGGCAAGATCCTGGCGGACCTCAAGGCGCGGTTCGACGCGCAGGCCAAGACGCTCGAGGCGACCGAGGCGGAGCGCGCGGGCCTGCAGAAGATCAAGGACGAGTTCGAGAAGCGGTGCGCCGACCTGTCCAAGACGCTCAGCCACGTCAGCGACAAGGAGCGGTTCGTGGTCGAGCAGGTGGCGTCGCTGCAGATCATCAAGGAGTCCCTGCAGGGCCGGGTGGGTCCGCTCGAGACGAGAGTCGATGAGCAGGAGAAGGAGATCAGCATGCTGCACGGGGAGCGAGACGGGCTGTACCAGGACGTCAAGAACTACCTGCACCGCATCACGGAGCTCGAGAACGGGATGAAGGGGCTCGTGGAGGAGAAGCATGGGTTGATGGTGCGGATCGGGGCGCTCGAGAAGGCAAAGTCTGGCCTTGAGGATCAGATTAAGGACCGTGATGGGCAGATTAGGGACCGCGACGGGCAGCTCCAGGATCGTGATGGGGAGATCAAGAGCTTGACCAACAGCCTCGGGGACCGCGCCAAAGAGACGCAGCAGCACATCGCTTCCCTCAAGGACGAGCACAAGAAGCAGATGGAAGGGCTCGAAGCCGCCAAGGACGCCCTCATTTCCGGCCTGACCGTGGGCCACCAGCTCCAAGTCCAGGACTTGGAGGAGCAGATCGCCGTCCTCAATGTTCACGTCGACGGCGCACATGCCGATGTCGAAAAGTTCAAGGACACTGTCAAGTCTCTGGAAGACAGCCTCAGCGAGGAGAAAGCTAGAGTCGACGAGGAGAAGTCGAAGGCTGGTGTTGAACAGTCGAAGGCCGACACGCTGGCCGCAGAGCGAGACGCTCTCAACACACAGCTCGATGGCCACAAACTTCTCGCCATCAGCCAGGAGAAGGACCTGCTTGACCTCCGTTCGAAGCTTGCAAACTCGGAGGGCGAAGTAGCCAAGCTGCAAGAAGCCAGCAAGACTCTTGAGGCGGAGCACGAGGAACTTCAGAAGCTGGCGGCCTCCCTCGAAGAGAGCAAGAGTCAGCCTCAGCCCGAGCCAACGCCCGCGGATGCGCCACCGCCGCCCGAAGAACACGCGCCCGAGCCTACCGCCGCCGAGGCCGAGGCCGATATTATCGTGGTCGAAGAGGAGCAAGAAGCCCCCAAGCCAGACCTAGAGAGCCTGCAGACCCAGAACCAGGAGCTCACGACCAAGACAGCCGACCTGGAAGCCAAGAACGCAGAGCTCGCCAGCCAGGTCGAGACCACCAAGACCGAGCTGGGCACGCGCATCACCCAGCTCGAGGGCGAGCGCGACACGGCGGCGTCGGCCCTGATCGTCGCGCAGGTCGAGCTGAGCCACACGAAGGCCATCGCGGAGCGCGTGCCCGCGCTCGAGGAGGAGGCCTCCAAGGTGCCCACCCTGACGGCCGAGAAGACCACCCTCGAGGCCAAAGTGGCCGACCTCGAGGTCCACGCGGCCCAGGTCCCCGCGCTGCGCGGCGAGTGCACCCGGCTGGCAGAGCAGCTGGCAGCCGCGAACAACCTCGTCGCAGCCCTGAGCGCAGCCCACGACGCGGGGCTCAACGGCGCACACATCCCACTGCCTCAGTCCCCCCCGCCCAGCATCCCCAGCCCTGGTCCGCAACCAGCTGACATCCCGATCCCTCCCAGCCCAAGTCTGGTCGGCCCCCCTCCTCCCCCGCCCGCCGAGCGCCGCAAGGTCCGGAGCAGGGCGCCCAGCATGGCGCGGAGCGTGTCGTCGCGCAGCTCGGCCGTGTCGAAGAAGTCCTCGGCCGGGGTGCGGGATGACCTCGCGCTCGTGGTGGTGCGGGATTCCAAGGACCGGGGGAACGTTACTGTTGTGCGCAAGTGTGACCTGCGGGCTCCGAGGAGCAGGAGCCAGGGGCCTGTCAAGGAGTGAGCTGGACGGGTGAACTTGTGTGCCAGGGTATGTCGAGGTCTTTGGGATGGCAAGGGGTAATGAGTGATGAGCTATGAGGCATGATGTCATGAAGAAGAGAGCGTGTTTTGCTGTGGACGTGGGGGATGTCGGATGGACGGTCGAGGATGGATCTGGTCAGGTCAGTCCATGCCTACCTGTGTGCATTTTACCCTTTTTTTATTTTCATTGTAGGTGAGGATTAGATGGACCTCGCAAGATCTGTACGGGTACGATGGCATAGCATGTAGACAAAAGTGTCGCAAGAACCTCATGTATTGTTGGACTAGACAAAAGGAAGGTGACGGGCAACCAGGACGGGACATGTACAGTGGTGCGAATGTTGCAGGACTGTCTTAATTCTATTCGTCATGTTTAATCCACCATGGTTCCCCCCGTATTCGACTCTGCTGCCCTTCACATGTTCCACATGTTCCACGTGCTCCACCAAATAAGCTCACGGCAAAATTGTTGGACCGACGGAGGGCGTCCGTGCAGAGGCGCGCATTGTTGAAGTTGCCGAGGCAAGTTTGCATCCTCCTCTTATGCATCTCTTTCCAACCGCAGCGCGCTCGTTCAACGGCTGCATCCGCCAACAGACCAACATCATCAACATTCTTGTTTCTGCACATCAGCCTGCAGGGAGTTGACGCAAATACATGTCCGCGCCCCCACCTTGTAACTGCTACTCCGCCGATGCCGTTCAAGATTTTGCTGGAGGGTCCTTGCAGATATCTCATCACCATCACATAAGCCCCGCCTGGGAGCTTAAACGGCTATATACCCCATCCGAACCACTCAGGCAAAGAGCACCACGGGTTGTCCAACTTCTCACAAAACCACATCCACGGGATTGACACGTCTTGACCATGGCCTCCACAACAATTGCGCGGGCACTCACAATCGGCATCCTGCTGTCATGCGCCGCCTTTGGCGCGTACGGGACCTTCGGAGCCGGCGTCGGAAATGGCCTGTTCGAGGCTCTGCAGCGCTCCGCCGGGTACGAGGCCAAAGAAAAGGGCTTTCTGGGTGGCCCGACTCCGTATAAGACGACCTACACTGGTATCAGGTTAATTGACAACCATTTGGTCGTCCTTAACGCATTCTTCGTGCTCATAATCGACGGTCCTAAGACATGGGACGTGACGATCGCGTACTGGTGCCTCATGGCTGAATTCTGTGCTGCTTGGGTGTTCATCAGGATCGAGGGACACAGGAGTGCCAATCAGCACGGACGCATTGTGAACTGGTGAGTTGAAGCAGACATGCGAGCAGGGCACAAGAGTGACGGGGGCTGACCATCACGGACAGGACTGGGACTTTCGGCGTCCTCATCCAAAACATCACCTTCACCGTCACCACGCCCATCTACTTCATCATCTACCTCCTCACATCCCCTGCCGCCCGCAGCAACCCAACACCAGACGACCTCGCCGTCAACTACGGCGACACCGAGCTCCTCCCCCACCGCACAGCCCTCTCCTTCATCATCCCCGCGGCGCTGATGAGCCTACCCTCGCCGTCGGTCCTCTCCGCAGGGGCCCACTACACCTGGCTGTCGATCTGGCAAATCTTCCCCGTCGCCCACACGTTCTACCATTTCCTGCACTGGTTCGGCTACGGGCTCCTCGTCCAGGTCGCCCTGCCTGGCGACATCTTGGAGTCGAAGAGAAAGGACCGGGACGCCCTCATCCGCGCGCAGCGCTTCGCACTCTACCTCTGCTCCATCCCGCGCGCACTCGCTATGGCTGTCGCCCTCACGCCCGCCGCCCTGGCGCCCGAGGCGCTCAGGCCCGTCTTCGAGCAGGTCACCCTGGGGTCGCTGCTTGTGCCCTACTGGCCGTGGAACTCCCCCGTCGGCGGCGACCCGGCCTCACCCGCCGGCAAGGCCGAGCTGGCCAAGCTGTTCCTGCAGTGGGATGTGGCCTGCGGCGGGCTCGCCATCCTGGCGTGGGCCAGCTTTGTCTATCTCGTGGCCGTGCCGAACAAGGGGCTCCTGCGGGATGTGGTGCCCAAGGTGTTGACCTATGGGCTGGTCGGGGGCCCGGTGGCTGCCGCTACTGTGCTTGTTATGGAGAGGGATACGGCTGTTTTGGGGCCGTCTGCTAAGGGGAAGAAGGAGTAGCTCATGCGATGGTTTCCTCGTCAGGACTTTTCAAACATGATTGCGGTAGGCCATCGGGAATGCCGAAGTTATTGTCGTGGAAGCAGCGTGCATGATATTTTGTGCAGCTCATATGAGCAGCCATGTGCTTCTCACAACGAACGGTCCACTGCTCCTTGCAGTCTTGGGGCTTGGGTTACAACGCATATCAGCCAACACGATCTCCATCTCACTGGCTTGGTGACCAGAGCAAGGCCCAAATAGAAGGAGCCACACGAGTCCCTGGAGACCGGTTCACGGTGAGAGCAGAGCTGTGGTGGCAGGGCTGGGAATTGTTTGAAAGTCATGGGGAACATCATGGAGAGGCATAACGCGTAGATGGCAATTTTCAAGCCGTCTGTTGCGGCTTGTTATGGCTTTCTCTGCGCGCCACCTCACATGTGCGAGGCTCGTGGATGTATGTTACTTTCTCTTCGTTGATCCGGATCCACTCCTACGTGCGTAGATGCACGCCTTCTTATACATGAGAACATCTAGGACATGGACTGCATAGAGTCGCCAAAGCCCATACTTCTAGGTATACGGGGTACACATAATCATAGGCTAAAAAAACCTATTGGGGAGGGGGTGGGTTGCATTACCTTCCTTGCAACTGACAGCAGATCCCACGTTTCTCCCCCACACCCTGCCCCCCGCACCCCGCAACACCCTGGTTGTCTAGCGCACTGCTAGTGCTATAATCTCCTGGATCTTTGCTCGAGCTTTGCTCTGCCGCCTGCATGACATGAAAAAAAACAAAAAAACGACCCTTGTTCTCGACCGGCCAGAAATCGGATATATATCCGCACCCACCCACCTCAGAGGGCCCACATAGCACCATCAAGGTTGTAGCCAAGCACTCGGTACGTGGTATACTGGAGGGCTTTTCCGACTGCGGCCCATGTCCTTTGACTCAGTCGATGGGCCGCTCGGGGGTGTATGGCGAACAGCCGAGATGGCTACCCTCTCTGCCCCCTCTCGAGCCCCTTTAGCTTTAGCAACGATGGCCTGGAAAGGTCGAGGTCCAGGGGCTTGGCGTCCAGGTATAAAGATCAAGACAGAGCCATTGGCAGTTCTTGACAGGTCTTGGTCGAGGTTGCACTCCTAGCCCAGGGACCAGGTAAACGCTACATAGGTATGGCTTCCGTAAGACTCGCTACCGGCCTCGCTCTCCTCGAGGGCCTTGGCTCCTTTGCTGGAGTTCAAGCCCAGGCCGCGTCCCCGGCCGAGAGACCGTTGCCGGAGCAAGCTCAGATTATTGACCAGAAGAGCTTCCTTGTCTTGGATGAGGTGTTACCTCCGACGAAGGCCAACGCTACTACGGTATGCACTTTGTACCAGACATCACCTCAAGTTGTTGAGCCGAAGAACATTGACTAACAATATTTGCTATAGGAGTTCCTCTGGCCCGGCGTTACTCACGAGTCTCTCACGGAGAAGCCTTTCCACGTCTATGATCCGGACTTCTACGATATCATTGGAAGTGACCCGTCGTTGACTTTGCTCGCGTCTTCGGACTCGGACCCGCTCTTCCACGAGGCTGTAACATGGTACGCAGAAGCAAACCACACAAAGTACCTGCAAGGATTACTAGGAACCTTGGAAGCTGACTTTCTGGCAAAGGTACCCGCCCACGGATGAGGTCTTCTTCGTGCAAAATGCCGGAGCTCCCGCCGCTGGTACTGGTCTGAACAAGTCGTCCATCGTTCAAAAGATCTCCCTCGCGGACGCAGAAGCGCTGCGCAACGGATCCCTCGGTGCTGAGGCAGTCACTGTTCACACCGTGCCGTCGAACCCCCAGGTTATCAATCCCAACGGTATGTGACAATGATGGCCGGAAGTAAACACAGAAATGCTAACGTGGGGATCACTTAGGCGGAACCAACTACAAGGGTAACATCATCTTCGCAGGTGAGGGCCAAGGAGAAAATGTCCCATCCGCTTTGTACCTGATGAACCCCGTCGAGCCCTACAACACAACTCGTGAGTGTTCCCAGCGGGATCTCATCTCCCAAGAGCAATTCGAAAACCAGGTCAGAGCTAACTTTGGTCATAGTTCTTGCCAACAACTACTTCGGCAGGCAGTTCAACTCCCTGAACGATGTCTCGGTGAACCCCCGCAACGGCGATATCTACTTCACCGACACCCAGTACGGATACTGGCAGTACTTCCGCCCTGAGCCTGGTCTGCCGAACCAGGTGTACCGCTTAAACCCAGAGACCGGTGCCCTGACCGTTGTGTCCGACGCTTTTGTCTCGCCAAATGGTATGTTCCGAGACAGCATTGCCTTGATATACCACTAGCTAGCTATCTCATGAGCTGCGGAGGAACTGACGAACCCTTTTGTGTGCGCAGGACTCACCTTCTCACCCGACGGCAGCTACACCTACGTCACGGACACAGGAATGAGCCAGGCACTTTTCGGCACCAACATGACCAAGCCGGCTACAGTGTGCGTATCCCGATCCGTGTTCTGAGCTGTTTGGTGGGATTGAGGATTAATGAACATTCCCAGTTATCGATTTGACGTCCAGCCAGACGGCACTTGGGAGAACCGCAAAACCTTCGCGCACGTCCACGCTCGTCTCCCTGACGGTAAGTGGGACGGCACTGAATCCCATTGTTTCTCTCTCTGCTTCCCAACTATACCCGCGGTGGCGCGGCCTTGCTGACTGGGACTATGACTTGCTAGGTATCCACTGCGACTCAAAGGGTAACGTCTACGCCGGCACCAACGACGGCGTGCACGTCTGGAACAACTCCGGGAAGCTCCTCGGCAAGATCTACACCGGCATCGTGGCCGCCAACTTCCAGTTTGCGGGCGAGGGGCGTATGATCATCATGGGCAAGACGAAGCTTTTCTATGCCACCCTGGCCGCATCGGGTGTTGCCTTGCAATAGATTTGCTTCTTGATGAAAAGAGTGAGGTAGAGGCTTAAAGCAATGGACACCGACACCCCAGATTGGCTGGCACGCTTTGGGTGATCTTGCTTCCAGACTTCGACACCGGATAATGCCTGTGAAACCGTTCTATTCTTTCAAATAAGCATACAAGTGAGTAGCTATCGCCTATTAGTGATTACCTCTTAATCAGATGGGCACCTCGCCGCAGCGCCCATGACAGTATTCTAAGAGAGGGTTCTCCAAGTTTGTGCATCACTCCTGCTTCGCGAATCGGATTTCAACGGAAGTCATGTGCTGGACAAATCCTGACCCAATCGGAATTAGAGACTTTCTCCAGTGCAGGTCTCTCGTTTCTCCAAATGCATTTGACGTTGGAGGCTTCATGGATTTCCTCGTGAATACAAACTATGGGGCAGAGCTGAAAGTACTAACAACACCATTCATCACTCAAACACTATTTCCCTCTGCAAATATGACCGTTCTGCGCACAAAGGACCTTGAGCCGTTGTATCGGCCATGTGTGCATCCTCAGGAGGTACGTCCAAAGGCCCGAGTCGAAACATGCCAGAGTACTGACGTGCACCGGCGGCAGGTTGCGCCACCCATGCAGCCGGCCCCTCCACCGAAGCACGAGACTGCCGATCTTGAAGGAGGTAAAGTGCTGTTCAAGAAAGACATCGCGATCACGATGCGGGATGGTGCTATCTTGTATGCCGACTTGTACCGCCCGGCCCCAGCCTTGGCAGACAAGACGCCGACGTTGATTCATTTTGCACCCTTTTGGCAAACATGGAGCCGTCCCGCGTGACAAGTTCCAGAACATGGATGTCGACTTCGGCAAGCTGAGCAAATATACTACATGGGAGCTTCCGGATCCTCTGCGGTGGTGTGGCGAGTTTGGGTTTTCCATGCTGTCAGTCGACCCGCGGGGAACCTGGTGGTCCGAGGGCGACGCAAACCATTTGTCGCCTGAGGAAGGTCGTGATGGGTATGACATTGTCGAGTGGGTGGCCGAGCAGCCCTACTGGTCCTCCTGAATGGCAACCTCAGGCTTACAATAGATGGGACGGCACAGCGTAGGACATGATGACCACAGGAATGACAGTGGTTACACCAACACCTAGTCCGATAAAGCCAGTGAATACCAGCATCATCGCAGTTCTTTCGGGTGTCACCAACGCCAACAGACCACAGAAGAGGGTGATAAGGGCCAGAGAAATCGCCAAAAGAAGGCGAAAGCGCTTCACGTAGCCAAGGATATAGGAGGCCCCCAGAATGCCCACAAGCACAAATATATTGAGTGGGAGCTATCCCATCCAGCAAAGTCAGCTCAGATGCCCATGACTGCTATCATTTGTTTTCGAGATCGAGCCGATACATACCAAATACACGTTGATTTTCGCAGGGTCATGTGTAAACAGGGCAGAGGCTTCGATCGGAAAAAATGAGTTGATACCGTATAGGAGCATCCCATCAATGAAGGACACGGACAAGACGAGGACCAATTTACGATCATCAAGGAAGCGGTGGTCGATTAGGCCATCGCTACGACCAAAGGTTTCTGCACAAAGGAGCATCAGTGTGATAAGACCTAAAAGTTAGGGGTTTGGGTAGATCCAATGCGGCGTACCATTAGGTCCAAATACAACAAACAAAATACTTCTTAATACCAGGACCGGGATAACTCTTGCGCTGTTCCAGGGGTAGGCGTTGCCGCCCCATGTTCGCGGTGTGACGAGGCCAATGACGGCACAGAGCAGCAACAAGATGCCGATGAAGTCGATAGACCTGAGCATGTCGCATGCTCGTGTGCTGTTCTCGCTGCGCAGCCTCGTGGCAGGCGGCTTGTATAACAGCATCAACGATATTCCCGAAACACCGAAGAAGATGGCATTGAGTAAATAAGCCCACCGCCAGCCGTCGGCAGACATCTTCGCAAAAGCGCCACCTTCAAAATTAGTACGGTGTTAGCAAACATGCATGCAAAATTTGTACAGAAGCAATGGTGGACTAGTTGTAGTGTGCATTTCCAAGTAGACCTCACCTGTGACTAGAGCGATGATCGAGATTACTCCGTTGATCAAGCCCATTAGGCCTTGAGCCAAATTTCGACGGTCCGCCGGCACGATTTCCATGCCGGTAGGAATTGAGAGCAGCTGTTGAACAAGATGTATGTTTAGCACTACGCAATATTCTTGAGATTCAAGCCGGGATGTTTATCTTACAAAGAGAGATGAGCCAACGCCGTTGATGGCCTGACCGCCAATAATGACTTCGGTGGATCTGGGCGGTACCAGCAACAATGTTGCCAACGACGCCGACCAGTCCACCACAAACGATGAACCATGGCTTGCCAAATCTATCAGCCAATGAGCCCTACTCCTCCAGATATTACCTCAACTATGATGGCAAGCCTCGACCGAAACCGTGAGGGGGAAGCTTCTGTACCCATGTCGGCTGCAACCCAATCAAAGGGAAGAGCGCGGCGTTTGGGATCCATGTCTGCAACGAGGTGCCGCCGAGTTGGTCCACGGCGTACGAATAGGTGGTAGAAGGGCCGACGTTGGCCATGGTGCAAGTGCCCCAGGTGATGCCCGGGCAGAAGAGGACGGCGTATGTTCGGAGGGAGAGCTGGGGCGACTCCTCATGACTAGCAATCTGGGATACGGTAGCAGGGACGGTCTCGAGCTGCACATCGTCGCACTTGGATCCGTCTTACTTCGTTTCATTCATGATGATAGGAGGGCGAAATGGTGGACCGTATGTCTGCGAGGAGAATCCAATCCAACTAATGAAAGTCGCAGTGATTGTCGCAGCACGGGGCTTAGAACAAGGATGATGACTATGGTCAAAGAGCGACACGTTGAAAGACGAATATTGTGTGTTCTTTAAAGTGTCGAGTAAGTAACAATCCTCACTCTGACATTAGAAGAAAAGAAAGACCAGCGTCTTATCTTCTAGGATCTCCCGGCGCAGTTTTATTCTTATTGAGTCCCAAACTGCCAAGATTGTGGGCATCGATTGTGAAGACAACCATACTTTTCATTTCGTCATGTTGTTAGTTATGAAAACCGTACAGAGTAATTCTGAGCCAGACAACGACACTAAAGGCCCAAGCAATTAACCACGATCCGATTCGCACGGTTCAGCATCTTCCTCCGACCCCTGGCGAACTCTTTGCATCTGATCGCCTACGCACAGCCTACATGTGTAACTCAGTGCGCCCATGACCACCGGCCCGAGAGCCTGAAGTCAAGTAAGCAAAGACACAGGCTGCCCGACGAGACAGCGGTTCTTTTGCGGCCCATCCAGCGTTTCCCTCTCTATTGCACAGAAATTGCCCCATCTGGACATGGAATCCACTCATGTGCCACTTGGGTGGAGCGACCTGTCAAAGGTTGTTTCAACGCTATCTCTCCAGGCAAACCGATGTCTCGAGTCCTGCTTGACTGACGTGGGCTCGGTGGGCTTGCAGAAGGCTGCATGGAGCCCCGGCCACTGAGCGGGCTCCCTCCGACCCTGACAGACTGACAGGAGCTTGGCTTTATTGTGCCATGCCATTTCTACTATCTATCCCCGCAACACGATCCCTGCTTCTTAATATTGCTCACCTAGTGGGAGTCGCAATCAGAGCCCTCCAGGCGAGGCCCTCGCGAGCACTAGCACGATGGAAATGGACGGAGGAGTAACTTGGGTTAGAACAGCAGCGCAGAACCAGCAGTGCCTTATCCGACACAAGGTCGATTTCAGAAGGCTGAATCGAGTCAGCCAGCAAGGGCGGAGACAAGGCAATACAGTGGAGTATGCCTTGCCTTGCCCTGCTTAGTGTCTGTCATTGTCAGAGAAACAGCACACTAGCCCTGGAAATCCGTCGTCCGAAGCCCGGTCGAAGACGTCGTGTGGCGTCACTCCTCAGCAATCTTCTGAATCGGGCCAAGTGCTCTGGCCGCTGCTCCGAGGTTGCCCGAGTTAGCGTACGCCCACCCAGCTTCTATAGTACGCCCACCTAGCTTCCAGCGTTGGCCCACCCAGTATAAGGAAATTGGCTGCATGCACTCCAAAACATAGGTATACCTTAGGAGCTAGCTTTCCAAAACTATAGCTACCCCGCCATCTACATAAAGTAAACATTTTAAGTATTCTACTTTAAATATATACTTATTATATATTAATTAATACTTTTTTAAGTTATTTCTTTATACTTATTAAAGCTAATTATTAAATTAAATTACTTAAAATTATTAATAAAAGTATTATTAAGATAATAAACTATTTAATTTATATAAGGTATAAAGATAAATAAGCTTTATTATTAATATTATTAATAATTATTAAGTAAATAAAAACCTTACTTAATATTAATAGGTAAACATTAATAGGCTAAGTTATATAATATCTTTTTTAATTAAAAAAGGGTAATAAAGATTTATTTATAAGGCGGCAGAATTTTTTCCCTAGGGATATTTAAACCCTTAACCTCTTACTCTTTTTTTATTTTTTTCTTCTTTTTTATACCTCTTGCCCTTTATTTTAATCCTATAAGTACGCGGATTAAATTATATTAATTAATGCTAACTACTTAAAAATTAAGAAAATATAAAATAATAATATAAGCCCTAAAAAAGTAAAGGTTATAGCTATAAAGCCTAAAGGTTAAAAGGCAATATTATATTTAAGCCATTACTTAAAGAATATTATGCTTAATAAGCTAGCTAAAGATTTTAATATAAAATTATTAATGCTTTTAAGTTAAGGCTATGTAAATACTAGGATTAATAGCTATAATAATAGCATAAGCTATAATGGCAGCATAAGTTATAGCTAAAGTAATATTATAGCTCTTAGTTTACTTAATAAATAGCCTTAAGGAAAAAGCAAATTAACTGCTTAATTACCCCTTAAAGCTAATAAGTTTAAGCCTATACCCCTTTTAAAAGCTCTTAAGAAATTAGCTAAGGTATTAAAAATTTAAGAAACTAACCTAATTAATTAACGCTTTAAATAATAAATTAGCTAAAAGCAATAGCATCCTATAATTTAAAGCATTTTATAATAATAATAACCTTTTTATTATTATAGCTTTGCTAAGCTTATTTAAATACCTTAAGGTTTTTATTAAGGAAATAAAAGTTAATCTTATTAAGAAGAAGATTTAATTAATAAAGTATAATTTACCCCTAAATTATAGCTTTTTGTTTATTTATAAAATTAAAAATAAAAATAATAAGGTAATTTGCTTAATTTAATAAGATTTTAAAAATAATGCTATAAAATTTACTAAACTTAAGCTTTAGGTATCCTTAAATATAAATGCCGCGTAGAACTAAGAATAGGTTAAAAAGCAATACCATTAAGTTACGCTCTTTTACCCTTTAATGGCTATTAAAGTAAATGCTATAAAACTTAATAAGATTTTTAACTTTAAGATTATAAAGTATATTTATAAGCATTAAATAATAATAAATAAGGCAAAGTAAAAATAATGCTTAGTTAATTTAGTTTTTAAGTTAGCATTAATTAATATAAATTCGGAATTATTAAATAAAATAACTTTAAGTTTTCCTTATTAATATTTATTATTATCCATTTAATCTTATATTAAATAATTAGCATTAATTAATATAACTTTTATTATAATAGTTTATATTAATTAATGCTAACTCTTATTTTAACCCTTTCCCCTTTCCTTAAAGATTTATATAAGTTATTATACTTATATATTTATATTAATTAATACTAATTTATTAGCCTTTCTTAATATTTACTATATAAGTTAATAATATTATAATATTTACTTTCTTTAATATTATTACCTAAGTTAAGAAATTAAGCTTTTAAGGTTATTTATTTATTTAACTTAATATTAATAAGTAATTTAATAAGTTTATAAGGAGTTTTAGTTAACTATAGTAATGCGCTATCTTTTAGCTTATTATTAATAACCCCTTATAGCTTACTTTAATTATTTAAAATAATAACTTAGGCATAATATCTTAATTAAAAAGCATTAATATTAATATAACTACTAACTTTATAATTTTGCAATACCTTATATATTGCTTTATTAATATTAAATTAAGTGTTATTAAAATTAAGTGATATAAGCAATATAAACTTAATAAAGAGTACTTATATAAATTTTTATATAATAACCTATTTTATAGGGTTGCTTATTATAATAACTATACTATATAGTGATTTATATTTATTAAAATAAAGAAAAAAAAGGTAAGTAATTTACTTTTATTAAAGATTTCGCTTAATAAAAAGATAATTATTTATAAGTTTATTTATATTAAGGCTTAGCATTATAATAAATATTTTATTAATAATATAAATAATATAATAAAAGTTATTTTTATTAATAAGGCTTAAAAGGTAATTATAATTATAGCAATATAAGTATATACTTTATAAAAGCAATATATAAAAGCTAAGGCAAAGTTATGCTTAAAAAAGGATTTTGCTAAGAATGAAATTAAGGATAAGCGGGTTAATATAAATTAAGTTTTTATAAATCTATATAAGTGCATAGGCTTCCTTACTTATATTAATATATATAATACCCTTAGTTAAGAATTTAGTGCTAATTATAAGATAGCTTGTTATGAAAATATTATAAATGCCATGAATTACCTCTTTCTTATTAATTATTAAATTATTATAGCTTTTATTAAAGAGATTTATGCAAAAGGTTTATTTATATAGCTAAAGATTACTTTTATCTAAGGTAAAAATATCTTTAAAAAATTTAAGGTAATGCTTTTAAGCCATAATAGCATTTAATAATATATAACTATAAAAGAGCGAAAGGGTAAGGTATTGCAATAAATAATTAATAAGAGCACCCTATTTATAAATAGCTAAGCAAATAAATAATATTATAAAAATCTTAAGTAATGCTATGCTTTACTTATGCTTATATTAAATTAACTCCTTATAATTATTAACTTTATTAAAACCCTAAAATTTTTAAGATAATATAAGTTAAATATTAAAGGTAATGCAAAGTATATTAATTTATGCATTAATTAATATAATAACGTTAATAATAGCTTAGTTAATTTATATAATATTAGTTTTATAGCGGCTTAGGTTGTTAATAAGTTAAATAAGCTAAGTTAACATTAATTAATATAAAGCTGCGCTTTTACTTTACATTAATTAATATTAACTTAGCTTATAAGCCCTTTATTTATATATTAGCTAATAAAGGTTTTATAAATATTATCATTACACATTAAATAATAAACAGCTCATTAAAAGATATCCTTTTTACTAATAAAGTAAGCATAAGCAAGATATTAATTATGCTCTTAAAGCAGTATTTTTACCTTTTAAAGCGTAAGGCTAAGCTTAAAGCAATTAGCTTATTTATATTTAATAATGCTATTAAAGAAGGCTTTAATAAGATATAGCTTATTATAATATAAGCGCTTACTAATATTATTAAGCAGCACTTTAATAAGATTTATAAGTATTTTTTAGCTAATACTTTTAATATAAAAGTTTTTTATAAATTAAGAAGCAATATTAGCTATAAGCCTGCCTTATAAATAATTATAATAATA